AAAAAGAATTTTTAAATTCGGCACAACTTAACTCTGCCGACTTAATGGCCATAATTTCCCATAGTGCACTGTGAAAAAGACTTGTCGATAGTTTTTGAGAAGCCAACAAAATTTCGTTTCCGAAATAACATGGTATGAATATTTCCAAGATCATTGGCATCATGTAAAAGAACGTGAAAATAAATAGTGAAGGTTCCGTCACTATCGAAATCTAACAGAAAAGAAAATCAAAATAATTTTTCAAGGATTAAACTGAATTTTATATAAAATCTACGCTCTATAAGCGGAAGCTCTATGAGAAGAAAAGCTCCATGAGCGAACCTTCAGCTTCCGCTTATAGAGATTCCACTGTACCTTTGTCAACGTGAAAGCAGTCGTGCAAATGGTGATGACACTCATGATACCTTGAGCAAGTATCATGGTGCTGAAAATGTTTCCAACTCTTGATATCAAAATTTTCACTCGATGATGCATCTCGATACACTCCAACAGATCACGAAATTTTGTACTTTTCAATTGTTTCTTTTTGTCCTTACCAGATTTTCCAATGCTTTTTCGAGGTTTTCCTATGTTAGCAATTCTATCGTTGAGTTCTTCTAATAATCCTGCATTGACATTGAAGAAAAAAGCTGGAACTAAACCCCCAATCACAACTATTGCACAAACCGAAAAGGTGGTGAAAGATTGATAGAAAGCGACACAAGCAAATCCGAACAAGTTTTGTTCATGATCGAAAGGCGACCATACTGGAAAAGCGACTGCATATGGTGGTATGGGATTACGAAAATAATTGACCATAGGTATTAAAGCTCCCGCAAACCAGGCAGTGTAGCAGATAATCCAATATACCCTCAAAAGCTTAGTGGATTGATTGACACGATTTCTTAGAAATTTAAGGCTGCCATCTCCAACTTCCAAGAATGAAATAAAATGTTTCAAATCTTCAATGACTAATACCAATTCGTCTGTTATGAACATCACAATTGATGCTTTAGCAAAAATTCCAACGAAGGTGAACAAAACTGAAGTAATGGCTGCCCTTTCCACGAGACTATCGGTAAGAAAGAATCTTCCCAACTGACCAGTAAGAAACAGTTCGATGAAGAACAAATGCATAAAAACGCCGTAAGCTTTATAAAACTTTGAAGCCTCTTTATCATACCAGAAACCAAACATTTTAAAAATTTTAATTGGAACTTTCATTGGAAGAAAGTAATCAAAATTGTCCATTTTTTCAACTGAAACGTTCAAGACTTTGAATTGAAATGAATGGAAATTGTGAGAAACTTTCAAGTTTCATTCTATAGTGAATGACAAACCCATTGGAAAGTTATAATGATTGGGTTGGTCGACTTTTTATTTGTTCTTTTATTCAAAAAAAATAATTACTGATGAAATTTTTGAAAGGTGATAAGACGTCATTTCAATAAAAGCTGTTAAAGTTTTTTGATAAATGATTCAACACCAAAACTTTATTTCTCATTTTTTTTTACTTCACACTGAATTTAATTAACTCAAATCTACTTGATGCTTTGCAAAACAGCATAGACTGAGAAAGCTGAGTTCATAATTCTCAAAAATGTTACCAAATTTACAGGGAACACTCCTTGAGCTGCTGCAATTTTTATCGGATTTTTTGTGTTTTCCAAGATCATTTTCATTGCCGTTTTAAATTTTTTGTCTTCCTGAATCCAATCACTGTGAAAAAGACTTGTCGATAGTTTCTGAGAAGCCAACAAAATTTCGTTTCCATAATAACATGGCAGAAATATCTCCAAGATCATTGGAACCATGTAAGTGAACATGAAAATAAACAATGACGATTCTTCTAATATTGAAATCTAACAGAAAGAAAAATCAAAATAATTCTTAAGCTTTAAACTGAATTTTTTATACCTTTGTCAACGTGAAAGCAGTCGTGCAAATAATAATGACACTCATGATACCTTGAGCAAGAATCATGGTGCTGAAAATGTTTCCAACTCTTGATATCAGAATTTTCACTCGATGATGCATCTCGATACACTCCAACAAATCACGAAATTTTGTACTTTTCGATTGTTTCTTTTTGTCCTTACCAGATTTTCCAACGCTTTTTCCTATGTTAGCAATTCTATCGTTGAGTTCTTCTAATAATCCTGCATTGACATTGAAGAAAAAAGCTGGAACTAAATCCTCAATCACAACCATTCCACAAAGAGCGAAGGTGCTTAAAGATTGATAAAAAGCAACACAAACAAATCCGAACAAGTTTTGTTCATGATCGAAAGGCGACCATACTGGAAAAGCGACTACATAAGGTGGTATGGGATTACGAAAATAACTGACCATAGGAATCAAAGTCCCTGAAAACACGACAATATGGCACATTGTCCAATATACCCACAAAAGCTTAGAGAATCGATTGACACGATTTCTTAGAAATTTAAGGCTGCTTCCTCTAACTTCCAAGAATGAAATAAAACTTTTCAAATCTTCAGTGATTGATTCCATTTCTTCCGTTATTAACATCACATTTGTCGTTTTAACAACAAGCCCAACGTAAGTGAACAAAACTGAAGTAATGGCTGCCCTTTCCACGAGACTATCGGTAAGAAAGAATCTTCCCAACTGACCAGTAAGAAACAGTTCGATGAAGAACAAATGCATAAAAACGCCGTAAGCTTTATAAAACTTTGAAGCCTCTTTATCATACCAGAAACCAAACATTTTAAAAATTTTAATTGGAACTTTCATTGGAAGAAAGTAATCAAAATTGTCCATTTTTTCAACTGAAACGTTCAAGACTTTGAATTGAAATGAATGGAAATTGTGAGAAACTTTCAAGTTTCATTCTATAGTGAATGACAAACCCATTGGAAAGTTATAATGATTGGGTTGGTCGACTTTTTATTTGTTCTTTTATTCAAAAAAAATAATTACTGAGGAAATTTTTAAATAATGAGAAGATATTGATAAAATGGAAATTCATTAAATCTTTTATAATTTATGATGCAGCAATGGTGGCGAATGAATGCAAAAAAGCTAAGATAACAGCGAGTTTCATTTAGTAAAATGAAAAGTTTTTTCTTTCTTCCAGTTAAGTGAAATATTTCATGTTCCATAGAGCATAAGACCGAATCATTGCAAAACTCCTTCGAAAGTTTATTCAGAAAAAGCAAACAAAGGAAGAAAATAATTTTAGTTCGACAGACTTCAATTTTATTCAATTTTCAAATGATTTCTCTTGCAAATATTGATAGCTTCACTCATATTTCAATTAAGTTATTTTAATGGAATGAAGAGATAGCAGGAAAGGTTTTCGTCTAGATTTTCTCGAATTTATTGGAAGTAAGAATAAGAAATAAATTGCTTATGTTTGAATATCAACATAAATTTATGTATAAATAAATATTTTATGGATTGAAAAATATTCATTCAAAGTATTAAAAGTTTTGAACAATCGTAATAAATTTCATTGTTTTCTTTTCTCGGATTAAATTATAAAGTTTGAAAATCCTTTAAACTTGTTTATATATAAAATATTATTTAGGTAGCTGAATTGAGAAGAGTTATAGGAAAGTCTTTGGAAATTTTATTAAAACTATTCAATATTGGCTACTAGACAAAAATTCCTTGAACTAACAGAAGTTCAATCTCGAAAACTGGGTAAATAACAAAATTCATTGTTTTCTATAATAGACCAATGGACATGGCAATGCATGGTAAAACTAAAAATAAAACCGTTAAAATGATTAATTAGACATCAAATGTCATGATCATGACAGACATGAAATGTCATTGAACTTGTGCGAGGAAGTTTGTAGTGAAACAAAATTGTTGAAGCTACTAACTTGTTGCCAGCAGTCAGCACACACATGTAGCATATCTATGAACATTTAGATATCAAATATCACATGATTGGTAGCATTTTTGTGTATTAATAAGCGATTGTACATGCTCAATGAAATCAATTCAACAATTATGAAGTCATAATGCTATTGTAAGTGAGCATCATTCAATAATCTTTGCAAGTCATTTCATCTTAACATCATCATCATCAATATCAATTTGCATGAAGAAGAAATTGTTACAAGAAATCAAATTTAGCATGTTACACATTAATTCTTTTTTATTTTAATCTGGGTTAAGGTCACGTTGAAGCTTGAGAAAACCATCATCATCAATCTTGATTGTATTGGTCGCCGGCAATTTTTAACTCTCGATTTTCTTGCTACACGACGTTGTGTGGTAAGGTCAGTGTTTCTTTCTTCTCTCACTTTTACTCAAACGTCAACAGTTTACAGATCGAAGTGAATCAGTTCGGACGCGAAAATTATGGTTGACACAGGGGAAGAAGCTAAAGCAATTTTTAATCTTCCTGTTATCTCTGTTGAAGATCGTGATGAAGAGTTCAACGGCCAGATAATGAACAATTTCGCTAGTGATCACTATTCGCCATCTGTTCGTGCCATTTATATCACAAAACCAAATGATTCTACAAGCGGTTTTGGATTTCATTTGTCGCGATCAAAATGGGATCCTTATCCATACATATCACGAGTTGATAAAGACTCCTTTGCATCCACATCAGGGTTGAGAGAAGGTGATTGTGTGTTGGAGGTAATAAAACAAACTTCTCATTCATTCATTCATTCAACAATCTTTTTATTAAAAGAGAAGTTAAAACAAAACAAGCTGAAAAGAGACTTCAAGGTTCATAACAGAGAGAAAGAGTGAGATAGAAAATAAAAATTTTCTTAATCCCAAGGAATGCAATGAAATATTCATAAAAAGATTTTTATGCGTTGCCTTTAAATTATTAAACTGCAATTAAATTGTAAATGTGTTTAAAAATGAACATTTGAAAAATGACTTTAATGATTATATAAAGAAGAGATTAATGTGCGAATAATGTCAACCAACTTGACTTTCAGAAATCACTTCTTTCTCACCTTCGAAGATTTTTATCATTTTTTTTTATATTTTTAGGTGAATGGCGAAGACGTCTTGGGAATGCGAATTGTTGATGTAGCAAATATGGTGAAGTCAAAGAATGACATTGTTAGTCTCTTACTTTGGAACACAAACATAGATCAAGCATGTGAATCTAATTTATGTTGCGGACCGATGCCAATAAACTACGAAAAACTTGCTGCAACTGTTCAAACAATTCTAACAGCTATCGAATGTCCCGTGTGCTTTAATACAATTCCATCACCTTTCACACAATGTCAGAATGGACATTTGTTATGTCTAAAATGTAGATCCAGATCAGATCGTTGTCCAATATGTAGAGATCGTTACAGTGTCGTTAGATGTTTGTTAGCTGAACAGGTGACAATGTCAATCCATTTTGAAGTTTTACAAAAAGTTGTCAATTTCAAAATGTTTTCAGATATACACAACGCTTTTAGACGTTTTCGACTTGAAAGATGGACCGCAAGGGAAAATTCGAGAAAGGATATTCGGCGTCAAAGCATGTAAACCGGAAGAAAAGCAAAAAGACGACATGAATGTGACATTGAATAAACCCAATTCGCATACGCAAAAGTTTCTTGCGAAAATCATGGGAAAATCATCTTCGATGGTAAATTTGAACACGAAAAAGGACTTGAAAAGAATCGATGAAGAAGGAAACATATCAAAAAATAAAATGATGTCACAATCTTCGAGTGATATCTTTCAGTAGGCAAAAAAGTTTTTCTTTACATTGCAAAACATTCTCTTAATAAATTTCCTTTAAGTTTCGAGCCAGCTATCAAAAGATGTCCTTCAATGAATCGTTATCTGGGTTCAGAACTTTCAACTTCTTGTGGAAGTTTATTAAGTTCTCGACGCCCACGCTCATGTCACGTTTCAACTGAAAGCTTGCCCACCTACCTACAACGAACATCGAACGAGGAAACACATTTTTACAGCTGTCCATCAGGTCATGAATGTTTTCATGAAAAGCTCGCAAGCGCTATTTTAATTCAACACATTAACGAAGTCCATCAACATCCGGTTATATCGTTTGGTTCGAGCAGTGTTGAAATCTCTCTACCACCACGTGCACCCATCGAAAATGCCTCATTGATTTTACTGCTCGACGAAAAGCAATTTTGGGTAAAGGTTGTTGTTGCTGACTCGTAAGTTTCAAAGAACATTTTTGGTATTTAATGTTATTACTTAAGAGAAACGAAAGAAAAGCGAAAGAAAGTTTCTTCGCTTTTTCTGAGATGAACAGAGTTGTTGGCTGTCAAAATTACCTTGTCTTGAAGTGTGCTAATTAATTTCATTTTCTAATTCCGTCTTTAGACGAAAATTAGAAGAAATTAAAGTTTATAGTCGAGTGAAAAAAAAGTTATTTTTATTTCTACTCGAATACTACTTTAGCATCCCTGCAGTCGACACAACATGGAGAATCAAGAAAAGCCATAAAATCCACTCGATTCTCATTTTATTTTTCCGTACATTTCCAGAAATAATGACCTGTTCATTTCGTGTCTGATGCAAGCGCCGTTCGATTACATTTCAAAGTACGTTCTTGAAGTCGCCATTCGAAAATCCGACGGTAGTAAAGTTCCAGGCGTAGAGTTGATAAATCGAAATGAGATTTATTGCTTGGAAACTACGTCATGGCGGGTAATTTAATTAATTTTTCTTTTTCTTTTAAAATCTTTTAAAACTTTACGAGATTTCTTTTCGGATTCCTTCTAGGAAATTTTTGAAGCAAAAAAAGGAATAAAACTTAACAGCGATAATATTCAGTCAACATTTGCCAACGCTGATATTAATTTAAAAGCTTCCATCAAAAGGATTGAGGACATTTAATTATTCAATTAACAGCTCACACCATACCAGCACTTCAATTATTTTTAAATGGCTATGAAGAGGGTGGAAAAAAGCAAGCCTTTCCTAGCCTTTTTTAATTAATTTGTGACGCATTTGGTTTCGCGTCTGCCAGAATAAAAATTAAAAAATTTTCACATGAATATGATTATTGACATTTTACACTTCATCTCTGTTATCAAGGCATTTAATTGAGATTGATTGACAATTAATTAAATAATTTGATGAATTTATGCTGAAGGTAAAAATTGTAAAAAAGAGAAAAATTAATGACAATAAAAATTACGAATAAAAAATAAAATCAAGTCTGTTGCCTTAAAGTTTGAGTCTACAGTCATAAAACGCGAGATAATTGCAAATCCGACTTAACTTCCGGGATCTTTGCAAATGTACTTTACAGCGTAGGCTTGTATAATAAATCTTTAAACTCATACATTCATTCAATTGCTCAGAGAGCAGCGATTACAAGCACACGAACGTTTTATAACACGTTTCTTTAAAATTACCATTACACTCCGTTCTATGACTTAAGCAAACAACTCAACTCGAACGTTGTCGTGAATTTTTTCTTCTTTTTGTTTTTTCTTCTCGTAAGAAATAATATTTCTTAAGTGGCGGGGATTATGGAGTTTAATGTAGCATACGTGATTTTTTCTCTTAGCATCACCTTTAGTCTGTATTTGAAATTGAAGTTTGAACAAAGCTTCTTACGTTTCGTTCTTTTGAACGCGATAGATTAAATTTTGATCTTATTTCTGGTGAATATCAAGCGATTAAGAAGTTTAATCGAGTTGCTTCACAGAGAAGAGTCATCTTTGCTGATAATTAAGTGTTATCATTCTTAAGTAAACAACACACATCTGATTTTGCAATTCTCCACTTGTTATTGTTTGGGTTGAAAACGAAAATTTAATTAAAGCTTATTTTCTTATTGCGTGCATGAAAATATTTTCTCATTCAACATTTGGGGGGAAAACTTTCCAAAGATTTCTGCTTTTGAATGAGAAATTTAATTTAAAAGCTGTTTGCATAATGAAACTGATAAGAAAAGCAACAGAGTGAAAATTCAATTATCAAAAGTGTTGACGAGTAATCAGTGATTATGTGTTACATGCACGATTTGTGACAATTGTGAAATAATCAAACATTACAAAATATTTTTTGCCGCAAGCTCTGTGAATAAGAATTTTTATAGAAAGAATGGATAAAAGAATCGAAGACGACAACGCAAAGTTGAACCTTCTTCGAATATCACTTGAGAATGGAGCGAAAGGTTTGGGCGTCCGTTTGAGTAAAAGTTCATGGGATCCATATCCCTTTGTCAGTAATGTTGACAATGACTCGACCGCCTACGAAAATGGAATTAGAATCGGAGATTGTATCTTAAAGGTAAAGTTTCATTCAACAACAAAAATCGACATCAGTCGTCGATAGCACGTCGTTAAGATTATCTGTAAGAACCCGGAAACAAAAGCAAAATATTAACGAAGAAAAAAAACTTTCAAGGTTAACGGACGTGATTGTTTGGGACGGCAAATACAAGACATAGCGAAACAGATTCACAATCGGACAGATGATGACAACAATGAAGTTAATTTACTGTTATGGCGCTCGAATAATTCGCAAGTAAAGTTTTTTTCTTCTTAATACAGTTTCAGTTTTTATTGCATAAAGTCGAGTAAACTATGAAAAGTTTCTTGAATGTATGAAGATAAATCTTGGTATGGATGTGTTTGGATAATGCGTCACATTTTCAATGTTAAATTAAGCAGGTCTTCTATTAAAATTCACCATGAAGTAATCAACCAAAAACCGCTTGAAAATATCTCGATTTCAATTATAATAATCCATCAAAAACACTCGACAATAACCGTCATAGCTAGAAACGGAACCAATGTTGCGTTACATTCATTCATTAACAAGATCAAGAGTGTAGTTATGTGAAGGTCATTATCGTTTCCAACCGAAACCGAATAAAACCGAAAAGTGCCTTTTGTTAATTACATTTTCAAACAAACTTTTCAACTTTAACTGTTGAGCGTCGTTAATGACGTCATGCTTATAAATGTGATAAGATTGAGGATAAAGATTAAGATAAACTTTTCTGTTTCTTCTTTTTAAGTAGAGATTTTATTTTTCTTCTTTTTCTCTTTGTTACACAAAGAATTAGTTAATAGGATGAAAGGAAGAAGACAAGAAAAAGTTCGTAAAAAGCTTTGTAAGTTGAAATCATCATAATCAGCTATTCAAAGCATGAATCATTCACTTTTTAATTTATCTGTTTCATTCATGACTGTGTCCTCAAGAATCCTCTTTTTCCTTTCTCTGTTCTGAACCCATTCCTTTATGAAATGATATTGCATGATAAGAATGTAAATGAGAACGATTATGGTGATGTAGAAAGTGAAGTCGACCATGTAAAGTTTGAAGAAGTTGAGATGCCTTGCTTCGCTTTTAAGGTGACTCAACCCGTTATGCTTGAGAACTTCTTCAATCCAATGCAAGGCTGTAGCTTTAGGTCCAAGCAACGACCCCTTCATTCGTCTTGAAACTTTTTCAATATTTCTCATATAAAAGGGATTCTCAACAAGCATACGAACTTTTACAACAATTTCAATTGAAGTGAAATTGTTAACATCGAGAGATTCAGCAAAACCTAAATCAAGAGCTCTCTGAATATTTTTATGTTGACTGATCTGAAGTGGAATGCCTAGAATAGGCTTTTGATGCCACATTGCTTCTTGAATTGTCAGTAAACCAGCATTAGTGATAACAAGCTTCACTTTTGAATTTCCTAGGAAAATTTAATTAATTTTCACTTCGATCAAAGCCCTAGGAAGCTTATTTATGTACACACATATGTTAATTGATGTGTCACTAATGAAATATCTTTACCTAATAGTTCGTTTTGTTGAAACCAGTCGACAAATAGAACATTCTGTGGATAGTATCTGATGAACTTGGCTTTACATTTGCATATAAATTTAAATTCCTTCAACTCTCGAAAGGCGCTCATTATTTCTAACATTCTCTCTCGTCCCAAATCTTCAGCAAGAATATCTCCGCCCAATGTGAATAGCACAATTGGTTTGTCGGAGCTCTCGATGAAGGTGAAAACATCCTTGGGGACAGAGAAACATCATCACATAAGATTTAATCATTTCAGTAGAGTAAAACGTTATTTTTGGATAAAAACTCACATCGTTTGGAATTTCATTTTGACGCTCGACTTGCAGAGAACTTATTGGAATGATGTTCGGCGGTAACGCGAGAACGTCATCAAAAGCAAATTCACGATTTATGAGCACGAGATCCGAATACTCCAACAGCTCCAAGTCCAATTTATTTTCGGGAAACACTTTGCCGATTCTGCTATTTTCATTTTTCATGTAAACGTATTTACGATAGAACCAATCGAAAGTGTGATAAATCATGTTCATGAAACGAACACTTATTCTCTCTCGCAATGTTACGGGGGTGGACGTGATTGAAAAATGTGAAATGTAGCTGGGAAAAATTTGCACGGCTGCGGCTGTGGTTAAACTCGTTGGAAGCGAGAGCGGCGAAACTGAGATCAAAGGTGGAAACTCAAAATATTCCACGAAAGCCAACAAAGACTGTCCCAGAGTGAAATCAAAAACAATCGCGTGAAACTTAAAGGATTTCGGGTAATTAGCAAGCAACCGCAATCCTTTTGTGTTGAACAGCTTGCGACTTATAAAATTGTTAAACTTGTGATGTTCTTTGATGATGGTAAAAGAGGATTTTAAGTTGACACTCCATGGGGTTTTATTATGAAATTCATTTAGCGACTCGTAAATATTCTCCATATAAATGTACGTGACATTGGGTCTTGAACGTTCACGTTCTACTGTTAAGATCGTAAGATTATGTCCCCGTTCAGCCAAACCATCAATTAAAACACTATTCCACAATCTGTGGCTTGGTGAAGGAACTGGAAGCAAAAATAAAATGTTTGCACTGTCAACACTTCTACTGGTTCCTAGGAGCACCACAAAAAACTGTATAAATAACAAACAACATGTTTTGTATGTCATTTTGAATATTATCTGAAATCCTTTCACTCTAACTGTCTTTTCACAATTTATCACTCAATGTCTTCCTCCAGGGTGTCTCACTGTTGTATGTATGTTGCCGTGTTTTGATGTTTATCAAGCTAAATTGAAACTTGCTAATAGATAAGATAATAAATCACGATACGCTTCTTCTTCTCTTTTTATTTCATTAACAAGCAGCAGGGTTATCAACCGCAACTGCTTCACAATTTGGTATCAGATTTAATCAATGTTTTTCAACTAATGGAATGTCCCATTTGCATGGAGGTTTGTAATGTTTTTCTTTTAAAGTATTGCTATTGAAATAAATAAATATGAAATATGTAAACATAGATGATAATGATAAAGATATTTATGAGAATATTCTTTTTCACTTTTCATCTTTATGAATTTTATATCATCATCTTCCAAAATGTATTCTCTGAAAGCAATTTATCATTTTTTTCTCTCTTTGTCTGTTAGATACCAACATCGCCATCTCACACGTTTCAATGCGTAAACGGTCATATAGTTTGTTCAAACTGTCGTCCAAAAACGCTTCGCTGCCCAATGTGCCGTGTTCAAATGGGACGAGGCCGTTGTCTCGTTGCTGATAAAATACTTCGATATTTACAAACCAATAGCATGATAAGGATCGGCACCATTGGTGATGTGGAATCGCTTTCATCGAAAATTGATGAGCAAAAGGGTCAAAAGGCATCTGATGTGAAGCCAGTGGAGAATCATAAAACGACTGAGAATTTACATGTCAAGGGAAATTCTTGCCTGCCTTTCAAGCTCAAATTGAAAACGATCACATTTTGGAAAGATGCATAAGAATGGAAAATAAATATCTATAAAAAGAAAAGAATTGATTTTCAGCTGATTTCATTCGTTTGACTTCACTTTCAAATTCAAATTTTTATCCGGTTCAATAAACTTCTTCACACTCAATTGATTCCAATTTTCTTTGATATCCGCCACCGTCGATGAGTATTGCGAAGAAAAATAAACGAAGCGGGAGAGTGGAGAAGTATTGGAAACAGCTCAAAACGGAGCTTAGCAAATATTTTTAGTCTCTGTGCAATTTTATGCTTTACCTTCACATAATGTTGTGATAATTAATGTTGTTTTAATTTTAAGTTTAATAATTGACTCTCTACGTAAGTAAATTAATGCCCAAATTAACAGCTGACTCTTTTTCAATGTCATTTATAGTTTAAAATATCTTAAATTCCTTCCTTAATGTGGATAATTTGATTAAACTTTCTTTGTTTTTATTGGGTTTACATATATTTCCTTACGAAAAATCTTTTAACATTTCAAGTTTGATTTTGTACTTCTTGATTCTTCTTTATTCGTTACTTCTTGCAATTCCCTCGACAAGAGAAAACAGCTGGGAAAACAAAACGAGATTGCTTGCAGTCGACAGTCAAGTGTATAGATAATCCTGTTCTGTTTAGTCAGCTCCGTGATTGTTATTGCCAGAGAGAAAATATTTATAAAGTTATGCAAATAAGAATAAGTGTGAACTTGCATACATAGATGTACATATGTAGAGACAATCATATTGTCTCGAGAGTTGTTAGCATGAGCTCCTAGTTCGTTTGTTGGTTACAAGAGATCAGTTCATGTTATTTGTTCTACGAAATCTAGTTTTCATTCCTTTCAACACGACTAAGTTTGTTGTCATGAGGTAAACGAACGTCCCAAAATTTCCACATAAAGCGTTGTGCCTCCACCTCTACTCATGAATCACATTTCACGTATAAATAAACGCATTTAAAATTCATGCTGTTTGAAGACAAAATGGTGTGGTTGCCTTCGGCAAATTTCTATTGTAAATATCCCGATGTGAAAGTGAGTCGAGTGTGTTAGCAAATGTTTGGATTTTAAAAATGTAAATCTCATATATGCTTATCTTCTGACGTCGCACTCAACTGTGTTTATTTTTCCCCCAACACTAGTCATTTTACATGTTTAATGTTACTTCATCTTCTTTGTCATTCTAATTTTCTTCTAATGATGAAAATTTTACAAGGAAAACTTTTCCTTGATTCCGTGGTTTTTCTCAGTGAAAAACGTTTGGTTTATTTTAAAGGGAGAACTAGAAGAAAATTTACAATTCTAGCTTTACCACAAGTTTCGTAATCGTTTTATTAACCAACTTAATTGCTCGTAAATTTATATATGGCCTTGAGGGGTTTTCCTAGAAATGAAGAATTAAAATACAACAAAACTAAACGCCAATTTTCAAATTTTATTACTTTAGTTGCTACAATCCTTTACGTTGTTCTGTTGATGAATTAAAGATATATTTGGGAACAATATTTGAAGTAAAAATAGAAAGTTTGCAAAGAGAAATACAAAACTGTGCTTTTATAACTAAACGCAATGTGAATTTACTCTTCCAAGCTGATTCCATCAAGGAAAAGATTTCGAACTCATTTAAGGTAACTTTCAAAAGGATCTTTATAATTGAACAACTTTTCGTGGTTGATTTTTCATTAAATAATTCTCTCATTCACTAAAATGTAATGAAAAATCCTCAACCTTAACCACACTAATTATTTTTCGGAAATTCATCTTCACAGGAAAAAGAAAATTAAAATGAAAAGCAAACTTTTCTGAATAATTCCGAGAATTAAAATTATTTATGTTTTTGGAAGTCGTCGTAATTTAATTAATTTCTTTTGTTTCGCATACATCAATTAGGGATGAAACAAAACAACAAAAAAGAAATGACAAAACGTAGAGCCATTTCGATGAAAGAAATAATGAATTTCATTATTGATTTAATTATTTTTGCATCACCAATTACGGTAAAATTTCACTTAAAAACATTCACACAAAAGTCTCGAATCTGTTTTGTTTGTATCGAGACTTGAGAAAAGCTTTGGGGGTGTGAGAAAAAAAAAACACTAAAAATGCTTTTGGTTGCGTTTTTTTCTTTCAATTTTGCTTGCTTAGTTTTAATGATATGTATCTAACAACAGCATAATAACGTAGGTGTATAATCAAGCGCAAAAATAGTTTACAGAATCCCAGTCCGCTCGGAAGTCGTGGCTGTGTCGGCATAAAAAAAATACAGGAAAGCAAAAACCATTTTACGATTAGTCTTTAATTTACATTTTGCACGCAACATCGTAATTTGTGTGGCTTTAGGTAATCAGACTAGCAACTTGTTTGCCTTATTGAAATTCTTGTCGAACAGAAATGAGAAATTCCTTTTCTTTCTAACGTTGTGCGAGGAAAAATTGCGCCAAGAATTTTATTAACAATCAGAAGTTATGATATAACAAGCATGTTTCACGTAAAAATATATCAGTTTTTATTCAGAGAATGCTTTCAGTCTTTTTTGTTTCTTTCTTGTCGTGGTTGAAAGGTATTTTTCGGTTTCGGTTATGAAATTCACCCGCAGTTTCATGTCACGGTACATATATAAGTATTCAGCCAGCCAGAAACATAATAAAGAACATAAACTTTCATTACTATTTCTGTTAGCATTAAACATGAAATCAATATTTAATATCATCATCAACTGCCATGTGTGCGCTTTTCACTGTTTTCTCATCAACTCCCCACAGAGTGCTTTAATTGAGGTATCATCGTAACAGCTTTCAACATTTCTAATATTTCTTCGTATCAGTTTTAATTAGAAAAGGTTATTGAATTTGCATATTAATTGAATAAAAGTCAACTGAGAAGGATGATGGAAAGTTTCTGTGCACCTGTGCGGTCCGAGTTTAAAAGGGAAAACTTTTTTTTTTCTTAACTTCCTTTTCAATCCTCTCGACTTGTTTGTTGTTTTAAAATGCTTTTTTACAGCTGCCAACAAAAGCATCCATAACATTGAATTCATAAAAGGCTAATAGGTAAATTTAAATACCCATTTCCATCCCCACAAGCATTCTTTACGGTTGCAATGAAATGATAAAGTTTCCCACTCGGAACATGAAAATGTGAGAAGAGAAATGGTAAAACTATAGCATCGTTTCAGGCTATGAATCTCCAAAATATTAAAGATGTAATATGAAAAGTCTGCCATTGCCACTCAAAGCGAAGACATTAAGTGTGGATATTGTTATGGAGAGGGGTCTGATAGCAGGTGTTCAAAATGTTTAAGCTCTTCAGCCTCAAGTGTCTCTTTCTCACCTCTATATTGGGCTTCTTCAAGGGCTTCTTATGTTCAAGAGCATTTCTACTACTTCCAATCGACGCTGCCAAGCCTCGCCTTACAAAGAATAATAACCTCATACTTTCCTTCATCAACGATGTACAATAAAGCAGATTGAATGCGGTGGGAGTTGAAACAGATGAAGCAAAAATATGTCAAGATGCAGGAAGACGTACAACGTTGGCTTTTCTCTCATTTTATTCTTCAACATTCAATAATTCAAAGAAGATTCTCATCGCAATGAATACAAACATCGAATGGTTCGTTTGCGAATGTCTCACTGTTTAAAAAATTGATATTGAAAGCATGAGAAATGAGAGTAAGAAAATTCATTTTGACAATTAATTCTTTTTGTGGTTCTTTTCAAGCTGTCAAATAATTTAAATTGAAAGCTTTTCGTAAATAACTCAATAATGCTTATCGTGCCCATGATTAGACATAAAAATATTCTCCTGTCGGTAAAAAAGACTCCATTTAATGCACAGTTCCTCCTACATCACATCTAGAAAGTCGTAACAAAGTAGAAGTTTAGTAATCCATTTAAGGCTGTTTTTGGCATTTGTGTCTTAAGGCATTTCGTTCCATTCACTGTGATTTGCGAGTTATCTCTGCTGTTTCAAAACTGATTTAAGTGCTAGACTTGTTGGAAAATTATACACTTAGGATTTGAGCATTAAAATTGTGAAATATGTTGGTGATACGTCGAAAGTATTCTAGAATTTTCTCACAGGAGAGCTTTTTGCTGTAATCATCGCTCAACATGAGAGTTTTGTGCTGATGATGTAAATTTTATGAGGGAAATTGGATCAGGAAGCAATTTTTATTATCATGAAATAAAAGGAAGTTGTGGATGAAGTAATGTAATAAATTTTATAGTGTGCTGCTTATTTTAAATCCTCATGTTATGAGTTTTTAATTTAATTCTATATGGGCGCTTATTTTGATGAAGTGCATTTAACTTTAAACTTCAATGATGATTTGAAAATATTCAAGAAATAAAAATTTAACAACTTTAATGACGGAAAACTTTATTATTATGTTTTTATCATTTTTGTTTTTATCTAAATGTCGGTAACTGAAAATTTTATGTCTAGTAATTAGCTTTTAAATATTTAATTAACTCTTTCAATTCCTTTATGATTGTTTAACATTGTAAAACTTATTTAGATAAAATTGTAGATAAGCTTTTCAGATGAAAGGTTTCATCCGCAATATGTTTTACAAAAAGTTTAGTCTGTTTGTATGAGTGCGTGAACGATTAAATATTTGAATAAATATTTACATGTTTTTAAAACTTAATTAATCTCGATATGCCGTTTATCTTTTCCAACTTCATGCTTTTGATGTATTCCAGAACTAGTGTTGTATTTTCGTTCATTTGCAAATGATTCATGAATAAATCTTTTTTAATGTAATAATCCAATATAAGATAGTCCAACATATTCATGAATATATTTTAAATCGATAAATAAAATAAAATTTACCTTCATGAAATGAAAATTATTATTTTAACCATATAAACCAGTTTTAAATTACTTTTTAAAGTTGTTGAATTAAATTTTTCTGCTTTATTGTTGTTTTGAAAACAGAAACCAAAATTAAATTCGAAATTTAAAAATTTTATTCTGCAATTTAATTCAAAGAAGCTTTTTTTTGTAAAAAGCTTTAAAAAAGCTTCGTAGGGAAAAGCTATGGTAATAAAAAGGCGATGATTTGTGATGGTTATTCTTTATTAAGACAAACTATTTTGGGACAGCACAACAATTTAGCACCTCTGGAACAACAAGCACTGTCAAGTTCCGAAACATTTTTGCATGTTCATCAATAAAAATGAACACATGTGAGGCTAAAAGCACATATGGTACCTCGCAAGGAAAAAAAAAGCTTCTCATTCACATTAATCATTTTAAAAGCACTCATACAACATTTTGAATACCTGCTTGCAAAATACTAAAGCGAATATTTTTAAAAAGCTTTTTATTTGAATTTCATGTTGTTTCCCCACTTCTTACTTTCTCGTCCCATTTTAGCTTATATGAATCTCAAACTCCGTAAAAAAAAGTTGAATGTTGCAAACGAGCAAACGATTTTGTTGTGGGTAAGAGATGAAAGAGTGAATTTGAAATTCCAAGCGTCAATGGATGTATTTGAATATCATTACATTTGTTGCTCTTGCTTCTCTCGTCGTTTCTCTCAAGTTCATACGAGGTGATTTTGTCCCTGAAACGATCGCTAGTGTTGTGAGTGCGTGAGCACATAATGAAACACGCAAAACTCTTTAACTTTATTTTATTTCATGATTAATTTTTGAACGTTGAAAAGAAATTTTTCGTCGTCGTCGTCTTCTCATCGCGTATTTTTCGAGGACGAACGAATGAGATGAGATAAAGCAAAATGCCATTGAAAAGCTTTTCTCCTTTTTTTCCTCTGTTGTCATTTGAATAATTGAAACAACCACAAATTGAATATTTAAATTCTAGAGAGGGTTGTTGATAGGGATGAATAAGGATGAAAATGTTCCATCGAGGGTTGATTTAATTCTTGCTTTCACAACTTTGAGGCACTTCATAAGCATTTCTTTCCCTGTACGGTCGATCGATATTTTAAAGAGGCTAAAACGAAACGATTATTTCAATCGTCATCAGACTTCACCAAAGGTTAACTTTATTAACATTTTTATGGGATTTTTGAATACCGAATTTTATTGTTGATTAAACTTATGTAAATAACACGCTTCTGAATGAATTATTTTGTCGTTATGAATAAAAACTTGATTATATCGAGTAAAAATAACAAATCAATAACAAAGCCGCAGTTTCAACATAGAATGATTTATCATTCAACTTTCAACAAAAGCTCTCTGTGAAAACAAAAGAGAATAAATTTTTAATGAGTGTAGTTTTTAATCAGTAATACAATACAAACGAAATGATTGTTTTATTTGACAACGTTATGATGTCGTAGTTGAAAAGTTCTTTTTATAAGCTTTCATAAATTTTTCATTCATTTGTCGTAAGCAGTATGTGAAGATAAATGAATAATATGTAATTTTGTATGTTATTATTCCACCCCCGCATTGACATATTGATTTCAAGCAAACTGCTTTGTTTAAATATGTAAATCAATTGAACGAAAGTTTCAATGAATCTTTTGAATGACGCCTTGCAATGCATGCTTAAACTAATATTTAATGTGGGATTTTCTTTGAAAATAAAGCTTGTTGAAGCGTGCTTGTCATTTCTATTGTGATGTATAAAGGAAGTATACGAGTTTAATAATTTATTCCATATCATACTTAATATTGATATAAGTTCAGTAAAGCAGACTGATTTTCCCATGCCATTTGCTCAAAGTCAGAGCAACAGCAACAGCTCAAAAACTTTCGAGTGGTTGCCTTTTGGTTTTCCTTATTCTGTATTTTCAAGCAAGCTTCTTCTTCATTTACAATAATAAGTCAACAAGTTACATTGTTGAAATGGAAATTAGTTAGCGTAAAGTCAACAATTCTGTTTGATTCGTGAAAGCCACTGTGGGACTTTGCGTCGTTTTTGTAACATTTGATAGTAATGAAAGGAGTTTAACTATCAGCTGTTTAGTTGTCATGAAATGTGAAATAATTCTTCGCTTTCCAGGGAATACTGAATTGGAAGCTTTGTTGAATTTGGTCAGTGCAAACAGCCATAAATTAAGTTTAATTATTCAGCGTTGGTATAAACTGGAAATCTATTTTATTGCTTAGTTTACATCGTTGTCTCGCATTTGCAATTTTATTTGCACATTTCAACTTTCATTTGGCTCTAATACATATAAAAAAGCTTGTTGTCGAAATTTGTGCTTAAAACTTTTTAAAAGGAATTGAATTTGAAGCGCTCTCTTTAGAAAATTAAATTATTTTCATCCTTCGAATCTCATTCGTGCTTGTTCTCAATCGACAATTCAATTTAAACAATTGACAAAAGACAATTTTTATGACACTCAAATTTCTTCAACTCGTGTAATAAAAATCAATATTTGATTTGATCCGATTTCGAGAGAAAGCGACGAAATATTTGCTGATAATTTTTTTTCCTCAGTTCATACCTTTCAACATTTATTAATTTTCAATAACATCGCTTCATTCGAATATTGTTTTGACAATCACTTTATGCCATCGTCTTTTTCCTCTTTTCCTTATCGTTTCCAATTTCTTTCTCTAAATATAAGCTCCAGCAAGCCGTCTTCCTTACGATGCGACAAAATTTCTTCCGTTGTTTACGTTGAGGGTGATAAGAATTGCTCAAGATAGCAGCGTATGAGAGAAAAATATTTCCGAACACAATTATTGGGAAAGTCAGAATTGTGAATGGTGAGGGTGGAAATATTTGCCAAAATGCGAATGAAATCATAATGTGCGTAGGTGTGATGCTGTGCATTGTTTCTTTATCGTGTTTAGCGATAAAGAGTGGCATTTGCGATATTATATTCCATGATATATGGAAGCAAATACGATTTGATATCAAATTTTTCCTTCCATCTAACTTTATGTTGACTTTTCTTTTCCACCCAGTTATGAAATGTGGTCAAGAAACAGATTTTGTTTTTTCTTTTTTTTTGTGTATTCATTCGTTGTTTGTTTGGGTTTTCTGCTGATTGTCAATTTTCTTCTTTGATTACTGCTTACATCAGCTACTTCAACTTCAAGAAAAGAAGTAAGAAAATACAAGCTTTAAGATTTTTCTTTAATTTCATGGATGAATAATTTAAATATATTTTCCTGAAAATCATAAAAATAAGTGAACAACAAAAAAGTCTTATTATGCAATCAAATTTCGTTTTGTCACAAACTTTTTTTTTCTCTTTGAAGAAGCATTCAAGCTGCTGATAACGATTCTTGTCTTGTCGTTCAATGTTACATATCTACAACAAGAGCTCATATCACAAGCATTCACCCAATTTATCTCAGAAATTTGTCTTTAAACATCATAAATGAAATCTATAAAAGTAAATTGCTTCTTCAAAAAAGCATAATAACTGAAAAGATGAAGAAGAAATTGATGGAAAAGGCAAACACTCAACATCACATACAGTATCGAGCATAGAACTTTTTTTTTCATTATTATTCTTCAACTTAAAGTCTCCCTAAGAAAAGAATGAAAGAAACTTATTTGATGATGGTGTACTTTCAATGTACACACATAATAAAAATTCAATTTAGCTTCCATCCCTAGTATGGAGCCAATCCCACCCACAATCACTCTTTATAAGATATAAGAAGCCGGCAAGAGTGTACATATATTGAACTTACCAAGCGATAAAGACGAGACGAAGAAAGAAAAGATGAAATTTAAATTTTTCATCTGCCAAAGCATTTTTTATTCTCGTAAAATATTTTTATATTGTCCCGATGAATCAAGAGGCGCACGAAAGAAAAGAAAGGCAGGAAAGAAGACGAAAATAACCTCAATTTCATGCTTTTATGTAATCTCAATAGGGTAGGAATAATGTGGAATATCTTCGTATAATGGAAAACTCATGTGTGTATACACTCAATGTGGCTGATCGAAAGCAATATATGTCGAATGGAAGAGAATTTCCCCATCATGGTTTGCCAAAGCTTTCAGTTTACGGGAGGAATTCTTGAACAATAGATGTCACATTATTAAATTTATGAAATGATACAGCTTTCTGCCTTTCGTTGTTGATGTTGAAGATGATACTTTCGTAATATTCTCTTTTTTTCTGGATTACTTTTTATGCCTTTTTATTTTCTCGTGTTGTGAGTTTGACCCAAGGCAACTTGAAAAGATTCTTTCTTGTTTTGTCTCGGTTGGAAGCACTTTTAACGATGAGTCAATTGAATATGAAAGAGGGAAAAAGAATTGTGTTTTACTTAGTAGCTTCAACTTCAATTTGATATTTGTTTTGCTATCATTAAAAGAAGAAAAATATTTCATTATTTTGAATGTAAACGAAGCTTTAAAATTTCGTATTTCTTTCTTCATTTCATTCATTTCACAATACGTATTTATAAAATTTCAAGAAGAAAGAAGCTTTCAAAATCATTTAAATGAGAAAGAAAAAGAAATCACGAAATGTTGTAATCTGACGCATTCACTTCGAGATCGTTATCCACATATCTACATGTAAAAACACATTAAAAATGTTGATGAAAACTTTTGAAATGAAATGAGATGCTCATAATTAAATTCTTGCTTTAATTATGACTTTATTTATGTTCCTTCGTGACTTTCTTTGTTTTTATTTTGCTAGAGTTTAATTAAAAGAAGAGATCGTGTGTCGTAAATGCTTTTTTGACTTTTTTGTTGACTAATAAAATTTAAGCTGTTAATTGATGAAGGAAAATTAAAAGAAAAAATACTTTTTTTTGTAATGAAGTTAATGTTACAACAGAGTATAAAAGGTTACACTTAAGGCTAAATTTCATGTCTGTAGGTTGATGTAACCTATGAGATGTGTAAATTTGTAGAAAAAAATAAAAGAACAGAAATTTCCTTCGAGTGGTTTTACTTACAATTCCAACTCATGCTTTCTTAAACCCAAACCCTCAAGCAATTGCTTCAGAATCAAACAACAACATAACTTTAAAATCCGACAAAAACACGACTTTTGACAAGCTCTCTTGAAAGTTCATTCAAGTTTCTCAAAAACAAATGAAAAACATTTTAAATTTCATACACGAAAAAGAGAAATGGAAATAAAGCTGACAAAAAAATGTACGACGATGTTTAAAACTGCAGGAAAATATGTTGAAAGCGAACGTGAATTTATATGAAAACTTTTCATTTTCCTGTTTCATAAATGGATTTAAAAAGGAAAAAAATGTTGTCAACAATCGTCCACTTCATCCTTTTATTCAAGAAACCGCTTCTTCAATTCAGATTCATGAATGGTTAACACTGTTAACACCAAAAGCTTTGATTGCAGTCGTGCTTTAACTGGGATCAGCAAAATACACAAAGCCAGCAAAAAGAATAAATTTTCATTCATTATGACGGGTCATCAGAAAAGCTCTGCCTCAAGCATTAAGGTCCTAATCCTGTTTGAAAAAAGCTAAATTGGAGGTTTCTTCAAAGCTTTTACGCCGTGAAATAAAATGTGGTATAAATAAAGTAACTTATTTACCCGTGGGACAACTTCAGTAAACTCATTTCTACGTGTACTCCAATGTGAATTTCCGAATTTTATTCAAAGGTTTTCCCTCCAAATCCCCCGAAAATTCTGTCACGAAATCAAGGCAAAAGAAAAACGCAAAGTTTTATGATAATCAGAGATAATCGGAAAGTCATAATTCGAAAGAAAGTTTAATGATAGCAAATCTTCAAATGAATTATGCTTAATTAAACGAATAAATTTAATGAAACCAAATGTTCAACGAAGGATATTTCAACCATGAACTTTCTTAGTAATTAAAATGAGTTCGAGAGCAACAATCGTTTGTTTACCCAAGAAAAAAAAAATCTTAATCGCCAATTACACACAGCAGCTATGATTGCTCTCGAAAGGCCTCCACTTTTAATTAAATTTGTTCTTGATATGGTACTTAATTAAGCGGAAGCAATTTGTTAATTAGCATTGCAAGAGTGAGAAGAGAGAGAAGGAAAAATGTTAAAAGCACAGCAAGTTTGAAGGAATCAAATAATCCCTTCAAAATGTAAATAATTTCCTTCAATTTCCATGACAGCTGATGACGAATTATTTCATTTCTAATACTTTTCACAGAAATTTATTTAAATTTTATAGCACCAGAAAATAAATTGTGAAGTCAAAGCAAATATTCAATGGCAAGTTTTATGTTTTAATTAAAAAATAAACTGAATTTCAAGGTTTGCTTTGTCAAAATCAACAACAGATTGGTTGCCCCGGAAAAGAAGAAAATAAACAGAATTTTATTAAGTGAACAAATATGAAATCTTCATGAGGAAAGATAAGCAAATTGTCCAATATAAAGACAAGTGTTGCAGTAGAATTGTGATTTAGTTTAATTCAACTTCAATCCATTTGCTTGCTTAATTTTGGCTTGTTTCAATCTTCGTAAAATGATTGGATTCTGATGAAATGTGACCATAAAGACAGAGAAAAAAATAAAATAAACAAGTTTCTAAATAGATTTTCTAATGAATAGAAAATCATCTAATGAAAAAGTTCCAAAGTGAGTTTTTGTTGAGATTGAAAGTTTTGTGCATAGTTTCAAACTAAACTTTGGTTAAAGGATAAAGTCTTAAATTCTTTGAAGAAAACGGAATAAAAATGTAGAAGAACAGAAGAGAAAGCTTTAGCTTTTGGAAATGCAATTGATGATTATTCAAATGGATTTGCTTGGAAATCTTTTGAGAAGATTTCATTGCAAATTCAAATGAAATAGTTTAACATTTGAAGTAGATATCGAGACTTAAAGTCTTTCAGATTAAATTATCATGAAATGAAAAACAGACACTCGATTACCTTCTCAAATTTCATTATCAGCTAAAAAGATTCATGAATCATGAACATAACGCGATAAGAAAATATTACAATTCTTGCGTTCGACTCTCTCTCTCTTTGTTCAGTTCGAAGATTCATGTCTGAGTGCGGAGTGCGAAGCCAGTTGATAAGCTGTAATTATTCTGTTCTGAAACTTAATTAAGGAAATTTATTTTGATGAGTGTTCCCGAAGAAAATGGAGTCTCACCAGGTTAGAAGTCATTTAAATGATGAATCTACTCGCACAAACAAATAACTCTTAGTGAAGTTTTATTCTTATATTTCTGGATTCACCCCGGAAGAGCTGAGAAAAAAAGAGAAGAAAAGAAAGAAAAAAAAATTCCAATCAAAAAAGATTACAAATTGTTGGTGGAGTGAAGAGAAACTTTTTTGTAGGTCGTCGTTTCACAAAAAATGCTTTCAAACCTGCCCGAACGAGCTTCATAATATTTATTTTCTTGGATTCTGCAGCATAGCAAACCAGAAAAAGAAACTTATTCCATGTCATAAATATATTTTTACAACCCATAGAAGAAAGAAAATATAAGTTGCACAAACTTTTAATAACCAAAACACAAAGCAATAATCAAAACTTTTCTCCGTTGTTCGCCCGTAAAGTTTTCGTTTTTTCTTTTCGGGTCATTTGTGTGAAAGTGAGATGAAAAACAAGACAAAAAGTAAGAGAATTCGACGTTTAATGGATTTTTTTCGTTAACTTTTACCTTAAGACAATGAACATATTTTTGTTTAGGTCCAAAGTTGACAAACTGCAAAGAATTTGTGAACGACTAATTGGCTCTAAATATATGAAGCATATGAAGTGAATCATGTGAAATTGTAGAAGTAATTTCTCGTCTCTATTAGACACTCTTATCAAGATACAAGAATAAATATTTGTGTGGGTGTGAGAACAAGTTGTATTAATGCATTCAAACAAGTATTTCCAAATGACAATAGCTTCATTCACAGAACTTTAGCCTTTCTTCTCTTTTTGATATTTATTTCCATCGTAATGTGGATTGTTGTTGACTTGTCGCAAATCGCATTTTATCGCAACACATAACAATTGACGAGTTTTCCTTCCTTCAAAAAATATAGAAAGAATGTTAAGAAAAGGAAGTAAGAAGAATACCAAAAACTTATCTTTTCCTTCGCTTATTCGACTTATAAACTCAAATTAAAAGTTATACTTCTTATTTTGATCACATTATACATCAAGAATTTGTAGAACGAACTGGATACATTCTGAAAATAATTCAATAAAAAAATATCTTTCGGGTTGTTTTCTTATATTCCTTTTCCTGAGTTTATGAAAAACTTTTTTCATTTGTACAATGCTTTGTATCGCAGCTCATAAGATTCGTTGTTGCTGGAAAAAGTTATCATCCAAATAATGGATCGTATTATGTTAAAGTATTAAGGATGAAACATAATTTTCTATAACGACTTCCGTGTGCCGCGTTCAAGCTTTTCATATGTTGTCACTTGAATAGAAAAGTTTCATTCTCGTCTTTGTTCTCCACATTTTATGAAAAGGAAAAGAAAATTTGAGAGAAGACAGAATGAAAAGTTTTCCATGCAACATCAACTACGAGCTTAAGCTAAACGAGAATGCATCGCATATTCCTAACGATATGTACGTTTGCATTCCTTGAGACTTTGAAATAACTTCACAATGTGTCTCTTGAGCATCTCACTCCATTTCTCTTTGATCAAACTGGAAGCTTAAAACTTCTTGTTACAGTTTTGCACTCTCAAAGTTGCAGAGAAAATGAGAAGTGATACTAGAGAGGTGTGACGTTTAATGTCTTACTCCATCACTGAATATCTTACGGGAATCAAATTATTTCGTAACTAATTTTTGTTTTTTGCTGAATTAAACATAAAATATTCAGATTTGCATGGAAAATGAGTTTCAGAAATTTTTTATGTCGTTTTAAACGAAGAATTAGGGAAAAAGTTTTCCGTTTATTCGCGGGTTTTGGAAAGATTTTTGTTCTTAAAATTTCATCATGTCATGTATTCATCGTTTAAATCTTAATCTTTCGAGTTCAAAACTTTTAAACATGAAGAAAGTGACAAACTAAGAGACGATTATCTTGCAAATCATGACAACAAGAGTTGCATAAATCATGTTTGAGTCTGTCTTAATAGTCGTCCAACATTCTCAACTTGAAGCATTCACCACTCAATTATTATGTCGATGATTTGTCAGATAACTTTTTTATTTCTTTTGTTGTTCAGTTATCTACAACTCTCTGATCAACAAGATACGCGAAACAATCAAAATCAATTAACAATTCTTCTTTTTTGTTCATCTCGTCTCGAGTCATCAATGGAAACTTGATTAAAATCAATATCATCGATTATTCATTTACTACTTTACAAACAGAAACGTTTATTGATTTCAGTTAGCGCAGCACTTCATCAAAGAACGCCAGTACCGTCTATCGATCTCGATATGTATCAACAAACACAAGAGGAAGGACAGAAAATAACCGACACAGAAGGGTCGTTTAACCATCTACAAGACTATGAAAGACCAACAAACAAGGAAAACAAACCGAAAATGTAGGAACAAATATTAGAAAGCAATTTCTGACATTACTTTTTTTATGTTCGATGCTACGAAATTGATGTGGAAAAAGTTTTTTTTTTTCTTGTGGACTTTAAATTAAACTTCATGTCCCTCATAATGTTTTCAAGCAAAACTTTTCTGTTTTCATTCTCCATTTTTCCATTGAAGTTATTTAATATAATTCACCGTAATATTCTTTCAGATTCCTTATGTTAGAAGAAAGTTGGCCGAATAGCTCGCAGACTTTAGCATTGTTAGTGATATTTCTGATCAGCTGGGGCATTGCATCTTCGTTATTTCCTGGGTTGGTTTATGCTAATTCGACCATTATGAGAATAATCTTTCTAGTTATCGGTGCACAAGCTTGCGGTCTTCTGGTAAGCTTTATTGGATTGCCAGGTAAGAAATGGAAATTAAGGATATGCAAATACGAATAGTTGAATGCAAAAACTGCGACTTTACATTTAAAAGTCTGATAAACTTTTATATAAATTGCAAAGCAAATTTCATTTCAAACAAATTCATTTTGCTTTTCTCTCTAGACATGCTTGGAATGATTGGCTTTGGAGGTGAGATTTTCAGGTTTCTCGAACTGCTTCTGGCTGGAAATTTATTGCTCATGTGATTTTCGTCTCTTTAATTTCATTATTCAACAGTCTTCTACAAAAACATCGGTTGGGGTAATTTTGAGGGCTATGAGAAGCTTGAAGCGGTTTTACGGTGAGCTGCATTTCGTTTTCTGTTTTAGCTTTCGAACAATTCGCTCATTTTGATTGCATAAATTAAAAATCAGTCAAGAAGTGGTTAAACAATCAACATCAAAAGCTTCTCAATGAACCTTGTGAAAGACCCGAAGCTAATATTAATATTTGCTTTCACACTCAAGTCTCACTGAATATAAAATATGAATAGAATTAAAAGCTAGAAGAAGAAAATTTCATTGAAAATTCTGTCATCGCTTTGCCACAACAACAGAAGACATCTCAATGAAATTTATTAAGCTCTTCATAGGAAGGAAACAAAAAGTTATCGGTTTATCTAAGTTTAAAGTTAGTCATCGCTTTGTCTCTTAACACTAAAAGCTTTCTTCAGAAGAAGAAAAAAAATTCATTCACCATCTGATGCCAACATCCTAATTTCAAACTCAATGGCTGATTAAATCGTCTGAGTGCTTTCATTCTTCACTAAGTCTTCTCTTTAATAATGAATCATGCAATTTTTGAAATTGAAACTTCGCCTCTTCTCAGATGCCTCGCTTTGAAGTGCAGAAAACTTTGAAGAGAAAAAAAAATTATTTCAAGTCTTTTCCTGGTTCATTTTTTTGGGGACTTAAACAGTAACGAAAATCAAAAGGAAAAGACAGGAAAACTTTTATATTTTCCATCGCTTAAAAAACATTGTTTATCCTTTATCCTTCCATGTTTCTTCTGAAAATGTCTTGCAGCTAAATTTACTACAGGAAAAAAAATGTTTTTCAATTTACTTTCGTGAAAAGATGAAGGAATTTCGTAAACAATGTGATTGTTTGTTTGAATGCTTTTCTCATTTTCTTTTTCTTCAATTTTCCTTCTAGAGAAATGGCTTTGGTGAACATTATGCTTCTGGCTGGCTTAGGACTTGATCTCGAAGCTCTTAAGAAGCTGTTCGGCATCATAATGCGATTAACGCTTATTCCAACGATTTTCGAAGTTGCAGTAATTACCGTATGCTCCCATTATTTATTAAATTTCCCTTGGCTTTGGGGCGTTCTCCTCGGGTGAGTTAAGTTATTTCTTTGTTAATTTGATATTGCATAATGAATTGTTTGTTTCTATTTGCTTTTTATTCTGTTGTGTCGCGAACAACACAGCAACAAAAGCTTTAGTGAGCTGTAAACAAAATTGCTAAGCTTCTCTTTCAATGCTTTACACGTAAAAACATTCATATTTTATTGAAATCGTTCGTTTCTTGTTTAACAGTGAACACTGTGGATGCGTTGGGGATAATGTAGTGAAGCTGGTAAAATCTCAAATATGGAAAATGCAAATGATTTTCCATCCGACGAGGTTTATTAAAATGAAATCTTAATTAAAAAATACTCGCAGAATTTGCATGTTTGTTGCTTGTATTGCAAAATGTTATGGCTTTTTGTTACTACTAGCTCAGTTCGAGGTGCAATTTTTTTTATTCATTTTTGTAAGCTTTAACAACCACGAATATATGTAGAAATGAATAACGAACACGAACAGGTTATGAGAATTTTACATCATCTAACGCCTTTCGGGCTCTTTTTTGCCATGAATAAACTTTACTAGCTCAGCAGTGTATATGAGTTTAATGAAAATATTAATAAAGTTCCCGCATGCTTTAGTTCCACAAGCCCTTAAGAGCTGGAAGAGAGGAAAAAGTTTTTTCAGTCTCATCTCAACCCAAGCGATGAAAGATCTACAGTGTTATGAAAGTTTCACTGAATTTTAATTAAGGAATTATATTTAAAAGAGCAAAAAAAAGTAGCATTTAAATTTTAAAGACCTTCAAGGTGAAGAGAAGAAGGAAAAGTTCGAACAAATTTGAAGTTAATTATTCTGGCAAATCTTTTGAGTTTCAAATGAAATTATGTCAATTGACTTGAAAGCTTCAAATTCCGAGAGTAATGATGTTGATTACAATGTTTAATTTGTGTCAAATTGGCAATGAAAAATCGCAAAGTTTTCCATATAAAATTCAGTTTTGAAGCTTTTAGCTTTAGTCAGGGCTGTGAATTTGGTCAATTAAAGTTTCAGGGTTTCCATTTACTCTAGAATGAGCGATTCATTCAAGTCCCAAGCCCTGCACCTGAAACGCTTTCAAAGATTTTTTCATAGTTTTAAATGGAAAATCCAATGAAATCATTTAATTCACTTAAATTATTCCAGCGATGCAACTAAAACATTTAAAAATGTTTTTTGAAAAGAGACAATTTACATCTGAATTAACAGAAAAAATGTTTTAAATCTTTTAATGCAATTAACCTGCTTTACGAAGCTTTAAAAAATTATCATGCCAAGCATTTGAATTCACAACATATTGTCTTACTTGCGAGAAATATCTCAAAAAATCTGCCAATAACTTTTCATATCTTAATTATATAAATAGATAATTAGAACCAACTGTGACTTGATGTTTTGTTAGGCTGAAAAAGCAAAAGTTTCTGATACGAGTAATTTCTACCCTGGCTTGGGGACTTTACATAATGTTTTTTTAAACGTTTCTCTTGTTCATTTATATTATTCCATAGGCTGGTTGTGACGGCAATTTCACCGAATGTTGTTGTTACTATTTTATTAAAACTGAAGGAGGAGCGTTTAGGTAAGCAATGTGTTAAATATTTACACAGAATTTTCATGTCTTCTTTTAATTATGACTTGCAAAAAATTTAATTTACATTTTCTATCTCATTTTTCCCATCTTCATAATGTCACTTACTTCCTTACGTGGTTAATGCTGTTGACAGGTTTAAACAAAGGCATTCACACAGTGATTATCGCAATGTGTAGCTGCAACGATGTCATTTCAATATTTCTCTTTGGTGTCATGACCGGTGTTGTGTTTTCAACGGGTAATTTAACACATCAATTGCTTCAGGGTCCAGTTGGAATAGTCATGGGATTTGTCTATGGTTCATTATCAGGATTGCTTATCTTGCATTTACCATCGGATGCATCGGTACGAACAAAGATCATGACATAAGTATCCACATAATCTCAATTCCAAATCTAAAGAATTTTCTTCGTTTTCCCATTTGCTTTTCTCAAATTGAAATATCGCAAACGAGAATGTTTTCTCGTTTGCATGAAGACACGATGTCTCGAGACTCGAGTACATACTGCGACGGTATACTAATAGTGGTTGAAATTTATCTCATTTTTTTCTCTTTTCTCATCATTATCATTGCTGTAGAAATATTCTAACGGACTTCGCTTCACGACAATTGTTCTCTGCGGGGTGCTGTCAGTAATGGGTTCGAAATATCTCGAGTACCCATCTGCAGGAGCTCTCGGATGCATCGTTGCATCATTCTCAGCTGGAACAGGATGGAGAAGAAAGAAGGCAAAAGATGCCACGTTCAAAAGTGATGTTGAGATGTACTTAGATTTACTATGGAAATTTTTGAAGCCAGTGTCGTTCAGTTTGATTGGAAAAGAAGTCAATTTTGCATTGCTAGAAGGAAACATGGTTCTTTATGGATTCTTAACTTTAGTCGTTGGCGTTGTCTTTCGTCTTGTGTCAGGATATTTTTCCTTCGGAAGCACAGATATGAGTTGGAAGGAAAAAGCTTATGTCACCTTAAGCGGATTCCCAAAAGCCACAGGTAAGAAAGAATTTCATGTAATTTATAACATTTGTTAATGCTAAAGATTAGATTTTGATTTAATGCATCGTCTTTTTCATTTGTAATAAAACATGACAGTTCAAGCTGCACTTGGACCAGTGGCACTCGATTTGGCACGTTCCCAAAAAGAATACAATGAAGAGCAACATATATTGGCGCAAAATGTTTTACTTATTTCAGTGTTGGCAATTGTTTCAACAGCTCCATTAGGTAGATTAAAAGATGTTGAATTAACACCCTCGTGTAATGATGTCACGTTTGATTGATTTTTTAATATTAATGACAAATTCAGAAGCTTTCAAAAAGAGTAAAAACTGAAGAGAAGAAAAGTTGAATAAATAAAACGTGACATCATTTGAATAATAATCCATGCGAGATCAAAAATCTCGTCGAGACAAAATTGAGTGCTTGAACTCAGCAGTTAAATGAAAATGAAGAAACTGCTTAAAGAAAGATAGCCATGATTTGTTTTTGTGGTTTGTTATCAACTGACATGCAAGACGCAATTTTTCATGCTCCTCTTTACTTAAAGATGAAAGAAAAATCGATGAAAACATTTCAGTCGTTTTAATCTCAAATCAACTTGTGTCAGTTTGAGAGAATTTCTCCATCCATTATTTTAAGAAAATATCTTGAAGGTTTATTAAACTTGTTCATCACATTTTTTCTTTTTCTCTTTTTCCCCTTCAAGGCGCACTTCTTATGACTAAATTAGCACCGAAATGGCTGAAGCGTGAGAATCGACCCGTCGGGACGCTTTAGACGAGATAATTTCTATACAATTCTTATCATAGCAGAATGAAGAATAAGAAGACTGACAATCTTATGGTCTTGAAACTTAAAATTTATCAACCACAATGGACAAATACTGAAAGAATTTCCTTTTTTTTATCCAAAAATTTAAGCCAAAAGCTTACCTTCACTTTAGCTCCAATATATTTATTTACATATTTATTCGCTTATCAAGGGTTCGAATAACCTTTCTTTGTATAGAAGAAAGTAAAATTGTATAATAGATTTACTTAAATGGTTTAATAAAACTGCGAAAGGAACAAAAGGGGGATTGCGAGAAGCAAAATCCTTTCAACGTGTTTTCATCTTAAATCGGTTTTTCGTGTTCGCTTTTTTCCCAAGCTTTTTTTTTTCATCTTCTTATAATTTTTTCTTCTTTTTTTGTTGCTCTTTTAAAAGAGTTGATTTCTTATTCAGTTCTTCTTTCCTTTTTTTTCATCATCTGCCTAAAGGTTTCCTCAATCGGATAAAGGTGGGCTTGAATCTAAAGACAATGTAAAATAATAAATCATTTCCCTGGAGCCCATAGTTAGGCCAAGAGAGGGAAGTATTGGAGAAGGGTTAACGTTTGTTGAAACTGAAAGGTCTTGCTTAGTGATCTTGTCCTCGTAAAGATTTCGTGCGAGAAATTGATTTCGAAGATTTCTTTTCTTCTTTCGTCCGAGAAAATGTCGCTTTCAATATATGAATTGATGATGGGACAGGAACATGGAGTGAGATGGGAAAGGGCTAAGCATGATACAAAGGAATGTATCATTGAAATTAGATGCGCTTGAGAAAGTTCTCCGAAGGAACTATGAAGATTGCATACTATTCAATATGTATGTGGATATAATAAATTTAATCATGAATCAAATGCTATCGACGACAGAAATCGTTTTATTTATAACATCGAAAGATAAGCTTTTCATTTCCCAACCCTCAAATTCTTTTTAGTTTTCATGGTAATTGGGGAAAAAGCAAATGCCTTTGATATTCAATATGTTCAGATTTTCCTGTTGTGCTTTTTCTCATTTAGGAAGGAATTTGATGGACAGTGAAAACAGCACATAAATAAATCACCATTCATGTTTTATGGAATAGAATACCTTTGTGCGCTGGCTGACAGTGTTATCAAGCATGAGAAAAAGGTAAAGCTTAGATATTAGCTATAAAGGAATGAAATCAAAAGAATTTAAATACAAAAAGCGTTCGCTCAGGTAAATTATTTTTCCGGGAGTATCGAAGCGAAAGGTGGAACAGATTTGATGGTGATTGAATTTCAATCCAAGCTATTTGTAAATTTATTCTGAGGCAACTAATGGTGAATGTTTTTATCTTTCTTTCTTTCCTTCTTTACTTGTTTCTCTCTATTCGTCTTTTTTCATGCTTCATGATGAAGTGAAATGTTGTATAAATTCAGATTTAATTTTCAAAAGCTTCGTAAACACTTTCAACAACTTGGTGTTGCTTCCTTTTAACGCTTAGATTACGATGTTTGGTTAAGAAAAGAGAAACATTTTGTGATGAAAAGCTTTTGAGTTTTCCCACGACTGAAAGCTTCACTGAGATATTTAAGTTTGTTGATGCAAGGAACCTCGGAATCAATAACAAGTTAAAATTTAAATGCTTTTTAAGATTCACAGTTCAACTACCTAATTAACCTCAAGTGAAATCATAAAAAGCAATTTGAAAGCGACAATGTGCCTTTTAATTCGAATAGTTTAATTGCAAATTACAACCTACGATAATTAATTAAAAGGTTTTTGAACTTTCAAGTAATTTAAGTTCAATTTATTTTGAAGAAATTAAATTCGGAAATGATGAATTGATGTCTTGTTGAACACCTAAAGCATTAAAATATTTTATTTTTAGTTCATTATTATCTAACATAAATTCTGAAAAGTTTTCTTCTAAAATTAAATGAAAAATTAATTATTTTAAGCCTTCATCATTAGTTCAAAGCTTGACAAGAACAAAAATTAATTAAACTTCCTCAATTTTGATTGGGAATTCCAATGAAATACTTATTATCTTATAATTTAACATAATTCATCAATTATCTGCTTTCCACAGCAATCATTATCATCTCTCTTAAAAATTCTTGTCATGAGTCGGTGACTCGGTGTAATAGCATGAAAAATCTTGACATTTTTTGCTCGTAATGAGCAAGCATATTAATGAACTCTTATCTCGAATCAAACTTAATAAATTACTCTGGATGAAAGGAAAAAAATGTTTCAACATATCTGATAAGCGCTTGGTTTTCTTTGTAGTTATAAATGTAATTTATTCTCCACAAGCATTTTTTCTTTTCCTTTATAAAAACCAAAACACTGAAGAGGGGAAAAACGAAGCAAAGATCTTGAGTGAAATAAAAAAGAAGGAAAAATCTTGTGAAGATATTTTTTATGATACATAATAACAATAAATAATGTGATGAGATATTAATCTAAAAATGTTTCATCAGCTTCATCAGAATTTAGGGTTTGAACTTGAATGGATGTTAATGTTCTTATGAGCATAAAAGAACTTTAAAATGAAGACATTTAAAGGTAATTAATTATAAAAGATTACACACTTCGGAGTAACATGAATCATGAATCAGCAATAGAAAATTTGGAATGAACACTTCGACATAAAACTCGATTTAATATCAAAAGCTTTTATTTCTTCTACATCAATAACAAGATAAAGCAAGTAGAAAGGCAAGAACCACTCGTAAGGAAAAAAAAGCACGTAAACTCACAACACAAACTCATTTGTTGTTGTTTTTTATATCTTAGTAGAAGGAAGCAGTTGCTTTAGAAAGGATCTGAAAAGAACATTTTGAACTTTGAGGAAGTGTTCTGAGTTCGAGCTGAGTTATTTATGATTCCACTCTACACTTGAGGGGAGAAAAAAGAAATTTTTTAAATGAAAACTTTTCATTTTTTTTTGCTCAAAAGCCTCCACCCATAACAAGCACTTCATAATGTGTTCTTTTTCTTTCATTTCTTTCACAATTCAGTAATTTATGATGATGATCATCCAACTTCAAGTTTCCGTTTATGAACGTAACAACAATGAAGTCTTCCGATCGTAGAAAGGTTGCAAATTTCTTTTTACCTTTAATGTTTGGGCTTATTTTTCTTTTTTTTCCCATCATGTTGTTTTCAAAAAACTTCACTCATGTTCTTATTGTTGAGCATAAGAAAATTATCGAAATGTAAACAAGCGTCTACTAAACATGAAAACAAAGAGAAAAATGGAATTTCCTGTAGAAAGAAGAATCATAAGAGGGCGGAAAAAGGAATAAGGGTCAATTTTAGGAGAGTCCTTACCTGACATTTCATATGATTACAATGATTTATGATTTGAAATTTTACGATGTATGTTTGTTGGTTCACCTGCCTGCCTAACTTCCTCTAAGGCCTCGTAATGATTACAGGTTTTGGCTTAAATATGTAAAGAAAAAGAAGAAAATCAAAATTTCCCCAAAGCACTTATTTAATTGTAATTTTTCCTTAATTTCGATTTTATGTCACAGAAGGAAATTCACTCTCGATGATTGTCATCATATCTCGTGTTCCTTTTCAACAAAAACAATAATCAAAAGAAATTACGACAGACTGCAAATGGTTCGTAATATTTATTTGGAGTGGGAGAAAAAAAAGAAATCAAGAAAGGAAGAAAAAGTCAACAACATGCCTTTGAATGCGGTTTGTAAGGAAAGTTTTTCTTACTTTAACTTGGTTGTCGAGTTAAGAAAGACATTCAATAGGGGTTGGCTTTTGAAATCACTTTTCAGGAAAGTTTTTCTTCCGCCTCTAGTTATGTTATGACTTGCGATGGAATTTTCATTGTTTTTGAGTGCTTTGTTTTGTGGATAAGAAAAGGGAGAAACATTTTCATCTCGACTAATGTAAAAACGTGCAAAAGGTAAAAGAATTCTCTTCTTGCTGATTTCTTAGGTTGCTACTTAATAAAGTTAAGTGGCTCTTTCCTCATCCACCACACCAATAACATAAGTTGTTGATTGAACATAATTAAAGCATAAATTGATGAACTAATTGTTTTTGTATTGAACGAAGCGAGAAGTAATTATGACTGCTTTTGAAAGACTTTGATTGTTATTGCGAAGTTAAACAGAAAATTGCTTATTTTTGCGCCCTTGGCAACTCACAATTAATGAATAGACAAAGTCGAGTAGGTATTCAAGGAGGAAGAAAAAAAGCTTAAGTTTGCACAATTTATTATTCTCGATTAAGTTGTACAAAGACGAAAAGGTGAAAGGGTTGGACAAAATAAAAAAAAGCGAACAAAAAAGAAATGTTTGAGAAAGAAAAGAGGCCTGAAAGTGTTCTTCCTTTGACACAAAAAAGGCGAGCTTAAACAAACGAAGACATCAATTAAAATACAAGGGAAAAGGAGCGAAATAATTTTTTATCCTCGTCTTTAACTTTCTTGCTAAACCCCTGAAGATTTCCAGCTGAATATCGTTTTAATATTTAGGTTGGAGAGGCAATTAAACTTTGCAAGGTATGAATCGTAAATTAAATGTAAAGAGTTCTTTTTATAATCCCAGCCGGTAAATTTCGTGGAAAATTTATTAAATATTTCTTTATCGAAATTGTGGTTTCTTTGTTTGAAATTGAAAAGCCGAGAAATTGTGTGAAGGTCGTCGAATCTCTAACGTTCATCACATATCCCTACGCAATTTATTGTGATATTTTCCATCTATTTCCTTCCTCGAAATCTTCTTTTTTTTTCAATTTTAAAAGAGCTTTAAATGTGTTCATAATTTCTTTTTAAAAAGTTTCACGCTTTTCATTTCACAAATAATTTCCTTTAACATTTGTCTCGAACAAAGGAGAAGTTTTTCTCTTTTTTTAATACGAGTCAGTGTGTTTTATTGCGGAACATGCACGTGTAATTAAAAAGCCATTAAGGCAACTCACATACAGAGAGCAAGAGTTCCATAAGAATTGAATGTGAACTGCGAAGTGCTTTTAAGACGATGGAAAAGTTCGTTTCGCTAACTGATAATGAGTTTTCTACTCGATTTCAATGAAATAAAAATTATAAACTTTCTTTTAGATCCAAATCTTAGGTTTTGAGAGAGAAATTGATTTCATTTGTAAATGCAGTGCACTGAATTTTGTTTTATTTTTCAAAAACGTTCACAGAATTTTATTTCATTATTTTTGAGATTGTTTTGACTTCTTCAATGCTTGCTTTGGGCGAACTTTTCGTTTCAAATGGGATTTCAGAACTTTTGATGTTTTATTATGTTGCTTTGCCATGGTAAATTGTTCTTTGATCCTATGATTGATAACAAAGCACGAATCTTCTGTTACATCGATGAAACCCAATTTGTATCCACGATAAATAAAGCTTTTCACTTCCTTTTCTACTTCATTTTTAAAGACGATAATCTAAGAAAATATTCAAATTCAAATGAACAAGCTTGAAATTTCATGGATTCTCACGTTATGTTCACAACAAATTTTCTCAACAATTGCATTGACGGTTGCTTTTTCAACTCCCATCAAAGCACGAATAATTATTTTTCCATTTCTACGTTGAATCTCGCGAAAGTCGACTCGACAAGAATCTTTCATGATTGATCAATAAAATTGAAAATAGAAGATTCAATTTCCGATTGAAAACAAGCAAAAGAAAAATTACAAGAAAATAAAGAGAAAACATCGAATTGAACGCCGCCATGCCTACTGCAATTATAATATTCTTTTGAAATAGAAATGTTTTATTTATTCGTTTTTTTTCAATTTCTCGGGTTCCAAAAAAATGTTCTGTAAATTTGGCAGATTTTTCGTCTCCAAACATTTGGGGATGGTTTGAGGAAGGTTTATAGCGACTGTTGGGTGAATTTTTAGATAACGATACACTGGAATCTGTAATGGAGACAGAAGTGAAAAGAAAACATTTAATGCTGCTTCTTAAGTATCGAGGGTCAAAGGTTAAATATTAATAAACAAACATAAGCTAAGGAAATGTCAAGTGTTGGTTTTTCCGATCGCCGCTGGGATTTTTCCTTCATTTCATTTTTTGTATGGAGAGCTTTTTGAACTAAGTCCTGGAATTGAAGATTTCCTGTGGTGCTTGTTATTGGTTCTGAACTTTCTCTTGGGATACTTGAGACTTGAGACTGAGACTCAATTTCCAAATCATCTTTTCCATTAAGAACCTTCAATGTTGCTTCACTTATAGCATTTCTTATGTCAGATGGGATGCGATAGTTAAAATCTGGTGGAACTAATTCGTTTGCTGATAAATTTGTCCACTTCATTGGACTTCCAATGGTTCCAATATACTAAATGAAAAGGCAAGAAATGTTTTTATTCAAAGCTTAATAATCCTAATGGCACGCACTTGTTCACTTAAGTTCCAAAATCTCACAGATTTGTCACAACTCGAGCTAATCAGGATTTGCTTTTTGTCGGAAAATATTGACTTCTTGTGTCCTTGTTAACAGTTCAAAAGCTTTGGAATTAATTGATTAGTTGTGATTGATTTTGCATTTTCCGCGATAGCACCAAAACATGACTTGCTCTTAGAAATTTCTTCATCGATTGTCGACGACAAACTGAAACCAAATGAAAAGCAAAGTAAATTTTCTGTCGCATTCCGCTTGTCATTTTTTCACTAATTTTTCCACCCCTACAGTTAGTGAAATCAACATGAAAGAGAAAAATCGCTGTTCTATTTTCTGTCATTCAAAGCGATTATCATTGTAACAGTTACTTCTGACATTCAGTATGCCACTCAGTGTAACGAACACAAAAATGACGAACGGGTTGGAAAAAATAATTTTCCGTGTTTGAAGTTGAGAAATAAAAAAAGAAAGAGAAACTAACACGAGTGGAAAATGTGACATGCAAAGCGGAAAAACTCTTTAGTAGGGTGACTGTAGCCGTCAGTTAGATTTTCTATTGAATCTGTGATTTCAACTGATTGGCAGATACGGCGCAATATCATCAATCAAAAGTTGAAAGTGATTTGTCAAGGAATGTCAAGTTCCGATTACCCTACAGTGTAATATTTAAAAGTTTTACTTTATAAGCTGCATTTGTATTGACAAGAGTATGAAAGTTCATGAACAATTTTAATAAATAAACTCATCATTAAGAAGGAGAGAGAGAAGCTTTCAACAGACTTTCTTGCAAACATTGTTATGTTTCCACTAGCAACTTAATGTTTCTACTATAATTCATCATTTAATGTGTGTTCATGTGAAAATATAATTTAAAAAAATCACCTTCATGCATCGAAAACCTCTTATCAAAGATTTTAAAAAACATTAATTAATGTTATTAAAATACATAAATAAAATGGCAATAAACAATTGAGAACATACCAAAAGCTTGATATCATTCATGTTTTTATGTAGCCGAAAAATGATCCAGCAAATAAACAACGGTATGAGTGTCGGTTGCCACTTACTGACATCTCCACTCATGTAAATTTCGTCATGAATGATTCGCTTCGATGGTGGTGAGACCAAACTTGAATTTTTTTCATTTTACAGAGCTATAAAATCGTTCCATTGGTAAAATGGTTTGGTCTATTTAATAGAAAAAGAATTTATCAAACATTATTGAAGACAAGTCTTGCGTATTGTCTAATCTTGAAAGAATGGAATTATTCTCAGTTTTAAAGTTTGTTGATAACATCCACAATTTATTTATTTAACTGTATTTAACTAATATTCACGTTCTTTTCATTTTTAAAATTTTTATAATATTTGAAATTGTTTAATATATAGATACATGAAATACTTCAGAGAAGCATAATTTAAAGTAGATTTGTATGCAATCTGTAAGCAATTTGTAAACAAAACTTTCGTAAATGTAAAACTGACAGCATCGGAGCAACTGTCATTTGACGATCGAAAAAGTCAAATGTTTTTCGAATTTCGAAATGTCGCACTGTCACGTGACTTCTCGAAAAACATTATTTCGAATTTATCAATGCGTTCTTAACGTGCTTAAAATTTGTAACCATTGTGAAATACCAACTCAAGTTTATAACTTAGATTAAAATACTTAAATCGTCAAAATGAATCCAGATTCCCCAACAAGTAGCGATTCGTCAGACTACGCTGAACGTATTTTGAAAGATTTGCGTCAGAGAAATAAAAACAAAGGAACAAGTTTTTTCAGAAATATTACAAATTTGCCAACGAGTTCACGCACCAATGTAAGTCACTTTTTGCAATGTTTTGGGATGCCGATGACCTATAATTTTAAATTATCTTTTTTTCTTTCTTTAGGATCCTATACCAAGTGGTCAGAAAAAAATTGAGGAAATACTAAGCGCTCAAATCGATGTTGAAGAATCAAGTGATACAGAAAAGGAACGAATCCTGAAAGAATTTCGTAAGAAAAATAAGATACCGGGAAGATTTTTCTTAAATTTGCGAAAGAATTCAAACCACGATGTGAGTTTTTTTATATATTTTTGGAAGACTATTTAACATTATTTTCTCTTGCTAGGATGCTTTGCCCAACAAAAGTGTTTCTGACTCAGAAGTTCCAAAATCACATGTTGAAAAAACTTTAAGTGATGGTCAGAAATCTGATGATAATATTACGTTCCGGAAACCTCTCAATAAAAGTCAGAAAAAGAAATCGAAAGTATCTCAGCCTTCAGGCGTAGCAAGCGACTCTAAGGAAAATAGTTCTCCATTGGAATTCAATCCTACTCCGGTAATTAATTGAATAATTTGTTAATAACCTTAAAATGATAAATTTCTCAATAGGAAAATTCTTCGACGCCTGTTCAAGTTCGAAAGCGTAAAACGTCGTGTATTGATGACAAGAATGAGGAATCTAAAAAACAAAATCGCAATCAATCTTCAGAAGGCTCAATGTCAATGGATATTGAACAGATCACTCGCGATTCTAATAATTCTAGAAAATCCCCAGTTGAAAATTTGACCGTCAAAAAATCTTGTGATATATCAATTTCCTTGGTTCCACCAAAAGTCGCATCATTGGGAGAACTACAAGCAAAACTAGAAGAATGCGAAAGCGATGATAAGATTTCACAAACACCACAAGTTTCTTCTTCATCTTCGTCTTTAAAACGTGCAAAAAAAATTAATGATGATTGCTCAGTGCCTAAAAAGACGAAAAGATTGCAGCAACAAGCAGCAGTAAAAGCTCCAACTCGTGTAGCAACACCAGATACAGTCAAGAGTGTGCCAAGAAAAATGGGCCAACCTAAGATCTTGAATACAATTGCTTCTAATTCTGAAGACGAGTCATTGCATTCAACTCCTAATAAGAAGCAAAAACATTCAAATTCCAGCGATATGCAATCGTCTAAAGCACAGTCACAGGATAGTCATGAAGTTGAGGAAATCTCAACAGAAAATGAAAATCCTGAAGCTCAGGAACATTTGTCTGATAATTCTCTATCAATTCAACCTGATAATGAATCTCATCATAATCTTTCTGGTTCAAAGAAAGATGACATCGATGGGGAAAGCAGACAACTGGAATTGATTTCTGAGGAAACTGAATCGTTGTCTGAAGATGAAGTTGAAGCTAGTGAAACATTTGATCCAACCAACACGAAGAAATCTAATAATTTGCAAATATCTTCAAGTGAAGATGAAGAAGACGATCGCATTGAAATGGACTCTGGCATTACTGATGGCTTTTTATACGATCCCAATGAAACCGGCACTCATGGTTACAAATTGAGAGTTCGAAGACTCGCACGTGCCTGGTGGGACCACAGCACCGATCAACCACACTATTACAGATGCAAGATTCCGAAAGTCAAGCGATTGGAACGAGAACAAGAAGCAATGAAGAATTTAAAAAAAGCCCACATGTCTTCAACATCTTTCAAGAAACTTAAAGGTAAATCACCACCACTGTTTGCCTCGAAGGTTGACATATGGAATGAAGTTAAAGACGTTAAAATAGAACGAAAGCCTTTACTTCATCATCAATTCTCAAAGTTCATTAAACAAATTGCTGGACAAGGAGAAGCGGAAAATTTGGACAAGTCACAAGTTTTGAATGGCAAGTTCGATGATTAAAATAAATTATAAAATTAATTTCTTTTTATTTTACATCAGGAAGTGATTCAGTTGATGATTTGAAGTTTAACATCGTCGACGATGGAGTTTCTCATGCCTGCATCAACGATATTAGTTACTATCTTAGAATAAATGCAAACAAATTTAAATCGGAGGCACAAATTAACGAAAATTGTTCAATGGTAAGCCAAATTTTCATTAATTTGTGCCTCTGATTTAAATTTGTTATAAAATTTCTTCTCATCTCAGAGCTTGTTCTTGTTGAAAAGCGAAGTCAATTTACATGTCAATGGTGAATTATTGAAACTGAAACCTTTTCAACATTTCTTCTTAAAATCTGGTGACACTTATGCAATTCATAACGTTTCCAATGAAACTGCAGTCATTAGTGTGAATGTCAGTGGCGGATTATAATTGTACAATCTTTCCTTAAAATTAATTATTGACTTTATGTCTTATTACACTCAATTATCAAATACTTTTCAAAATGTTATATAAGAAGTTCTCAATAAATTTCTCTTAAAAACAAAAACTTCTTTTTTTTAATTCTTATTTCCAGGAATGAAGAAAGAAAAAATCATTAAAAACGATTTACGGCATCTCAAATGAGAACTAAGAAAAGAAATTCCCAGAAAAGAAAAAAACAACATCGCATGTTAAACGCGGATTTATTTTATTGACATTAAGAGAAGGTTTAAGAGAATAAAAGAAAGACGCAAGAAAATAACATCGCGAGATAAATCTGTGGAAAATATTCATGGATTTGAATAGATTTTGGCAATTTTGCGGCTGCTCTTATTTATTTTCCTGAAAGTTGATTGAAAACTCTTCTTTAATCTCAAACAGAAACTTGAGATGGCTTGGATATGAATTCTTAATGATTTATTCATCGGAAGAAGATTGATTTCCCTCAAGATTTTCAATCGATTTTCATTCATTGCCTTCGATATTTTAACGTGTTTGAAATATTATTTTCCTTCTTTTTCCTTTTCATTTTGTATGAACATCGGTGGATGATAAATCGTACGAGAATCTCAATATTTTCACCATTTAAAGATGAGATTTCTGTAATTAACTGTCAACTTTATGATGAAGTTATTGTGAAGTGTAATAAATGTCTAGATAAGCCCTAGAGATATTATCAAATGTGAAAATGACTTTCTTCATCTTGTTACTTCATAAAGAATTTCAAAGAAAAGTTTTTCAATTTCGGCTTTGCCTTTTATTCAATCACTCAACTCAGTACAACATGAAGTTCAAGTTATAAAACAAAACATTCAATGAAGATATTTTTTCACATTACTGCAATCCATTGGCTTAACGCAAAGCCCTGACTCATCGTCACGAAAATAACCAGTTCTACATACACAATTATTGCTGCAATCATTCGAAAAGCGACAGTTCATCTGACTATTACACTTTGTTTCACAACGATCCTCTCCATGACAATCGATGAATGTTTCATTTCTAGAACAATCGACTGAAATTCAAGTAAATAACTTTAAGAAGTTTATGCGAAAATTTGTGAGTTGTTACCAAAACAATCTTCAGGTAAAACGCATTTTCCTATGACAGTGTTCAAGACATAACCGGAATCACAAACACATCCCGGGTTGCATTGAGTGATTGGACAAGCTTTAAAATCTGCCATATTATTACATGATTTTGGACATAAAGTTTCACATTCTGTGAATATTTCATTCTCCTCGCAGTGGGGGTTTCCTAGGCAGTGGAAATGTTCAATTAAATTGCATTTATTGATATTCAATTGTCAAATGTAAACCTGGACATTCGTCAAGAAGAACACATTGATTAGTGGATGTGTCTCGATAATATCCATCCTTGCAAAAACATCCTACGACGCACAACGTGATGCAAGCTTCTGGGTCTGGATTCTCACATGTTGGTGGACATGACGATCCGCAATCTTTGTACTCTTCATTTTCACCAATACATACAGTGGAAGGTTCCATTGCACAATTTCTTGCAAATATTGCGAGAATAATAAAACTTAATCTTCCTTTCCCTGACATTTTATGAATAACTGTGCTTGAAAGTTTATTTTTAAATGATAGCGTAAGCAGTTTTTCAACTGGATTTATAGATAAGTTCGTCTTCATTGAAATGAAAAGCAATTTGTCATTTTATTCTCTGTCGTGATTTTAATTAAAATTATTTATTCGTTTGTCGTGGGTTGTAAGTTTTAGTTAGGTGAATTATTTTTGTTCTGATGATTCAATTTCATTTTTAAAACATTCTTGCAAAGCATGACAACTCGCATTGTGTTGTGTCGTGAAATAGAAAATAATTCCATGATTATGTTGTGACTTGTTTTCCTCCTGATCCTCTTGGCTTTATATTTTCTGAGTTGTTAGTTTCAGTTTAATAGTTGCAAGTTGCAACAATAAATTTTGAGTTTAATCTTCTGTTCACACATATGTTGGGTTTTTGGTTTATTATTATGGAGATGTTAAGTAGACTTTCATCAGAATGAGTTAGGAATTGAGGAGTGTTTTTGTCGTTTGCATTTGATAATAAGAGGAAGAGAATATTGTAAAGATTTTCTTTTATACTTTTACTATTTTGTTACAAAGGATAACACGAGTGAAAATTCTTTTTTCACATAAACTTTTCAAAGAGAAGCTTACCAAGTTCCTGATTTTGCAGTGCTTGTTTCAAAACTAAGAATCATCTACGAATAGTGTTTAGACAGTGTTAGTTATTTGAAGTTAATAGATTCATCCTTTAATTAAAACTTTTCCATTCCATGCTTTCATTATGTGAAATTCAACAATCTCGCCAGACAGTTTTGAAAATTGCTTTTCAAACCAGAGATTCGAATTCATCAACAATATAAACACAGAATACATTGTGAAGCTTATTAAAATGTCTCACCTTTCAACATGCATGAACATGAAATTAAAGTTCAAATTTAAGGTGACCACGTTCGTGATGAACATGAAATTCAGAATGAAAAGACATTTTTAAGGTTTCACATGAGAATAAAAGTATTTATGAAGCATGCAACAATCACCTTCTTTCATAAAAGCCCATGAGAAATCAAATTAATGCAATGACGAGTCAAAACTTGCTTAACAAGAGCTTTTATGTCAAACATTTCCGCTTTTTTCTTGAAAAAGGTTTCAATTTACATATTTTTTCAAATCCTAATTTTATTTTTCATTCACAAAAAACCTTTTCAATATATTTCCCCTGTCGATAACATTCGTCCGACATCCACTCAAAATAAAAATTGACGAAGATTTCTTTCGTTATCAAACATTTTTGATGTCTAAGCAACAGAGTAAGTGACAAAAGAATTGTGAGTGCGGATCACTGATGTCATTTAATGTTCGTCTTCTTTTTCTTCTTGCAACATTAGATTTGATATAAAAATGAATTGTCTAAAGTTGATGTCATTTTAATAAAATGATTTTATACTTGAAATTGTTTTTGCGATTGTCATTTCATTTGTTGGAAGAGGAAATTTGTACATTTCACAATTCAATCTGACATTACTGTAGAGACATAAGATCTGAAATTTACTTTAGACAAAAAATGTCTCGATGTTAGGCGTAAGCCAGAAATAATTAAATTACGCAACAGAATTTGTCGCATTTATTTTATTAGACACCAAATGGAAGAGAAAAGCCACATATGTGCGTGTACGAAGATTGTGAATGAACTTTCCGGGTCGGAAATGTAATCAATTTTATAATTTTGAAATATTTTACATACAACATTTTTTCCTTTCCCTGTCAGATGCTGATGAAATTTTAATAACTAAGTGGTTGGGGACGTAGATAGTTAACTATGTGAGCTTTTGTGGAATTTTCTATCTTAATTACTAAAATTATGTTTTTGTATCATGGGAAATATTTTCAGGAAAGGTCACAATTGAGTTGTGAATTTTAAATCATGTTTTGAGAGTTTGAACAAATTTTCTTCACATAAATTAAATGAAAAAAAAATTAATTCGCATTTATGGTTGAATCCTCAACACGAGAAGATTAACTGAGTGATGTTAAATGCGGTCAGAGAAGTTTGTCACTGTAACACTCAATTATTGTTTCCAAATTTTTATTTATGTCAGTTTATATTTAGAAATGTTCGTTCACATTATTTAAGGATATTTAAATACCCGGAAAACTTAATATCGGATTTTCCACTCAGGAAGCTTGAAATTAAAACCGAAAATATGTTTTACATATCTTGGATATGTTGTTAAACATAGCGGAATGAAATCCCACACACAATTTCATCTATTTGCCTAATCTTTTTAAAACTCAACAGCAGGTGATTAAGCGGTGAAAGAATCGAGAGAAATAATTTCCCATTCATGTGTTCATATTCATATTTTTACATAATTTATGCTTTTAATCGAGTTTTAAAAACATTGAAAAATTCATTGAGCCTTGAAAGTTTTTTCAAGTTTTAATCCAAATACAAAAGAATTTAATTAAAGCGCTTAATTTTCCGAGGAAAAACATTATAAACGGGGATGTTATAAAAAACAAAACGTATGTATGAATTAATTGACATTTAAATATTTATATAAAAAGGTAGAAAAATGTTCATTCGAGTATTTCTAGAGCATGAAATAAAATAGAAGAAAATTTTGGAGTTTTCATAGAAAAGTTTTCATTTTAAATGTCATTAGGGAGTCATGAAATATGTTCGTTCCTTTGATAAAATGAAACAATAGATTGAGAAATGATTCAAGCTGCGGAATATCCGATTAACTCATAAAAGCCAAGACAAAAACAAACAAAAATATTTCATTGATTTTCTTCTTGAAATTATTTCATAATCTTAAAGCTGTTCATTAATTAGATTAGAGTATGACAAAAACATTACAAAGCTTTGTTATATTAAGACAATTCAATCCTCTGATGAGAAACAAAAAGAATTTCTTTTTTGCCTTCCAAATTTCCACAATTATTTCTCAAGTCTTTTGTGACAGCGAATGAAAATTAAAAAGCATCCATCATAAACTCATAATGAGATGAAAAATTAAGCATTAATTATAATCTATTATTTTCGTTTTTGCTTCATCTCCGTCATTGTTGCCACATAAGAAACCAAATTTCTTTTGAGCACTCACAGCGATGAGATTCCCTTAAGCATGACACGAGAACTTTTCAGAAAAATTTACAAACATGTGAGACTTAATTTAATTTGGAATGAAAAATATTTTCACTTATTTCCATCTCCTTGGAATTATTTCATAAACGACAACAACGGAAAAAAGAAATCATGAATATTTCATGAAGAAATGACGACCAATTTAAGTAATATTGCATGTTGTGAAATTTACATCTCGAAAACCTCAAACTTCACCATTTTCTTCTTCTGTGATATGCTCTACATGTTGTTGAGGTTTCCATCAGTTTCAGAATAAAATTTTTAAAGGAAAAGCGACTGCAATTTAAATCACAATTCACAAACGAAAGTTCTCCAATGTAATGTAATATAATGATATGGTGCTGTGAAAGCATTTCAACATCGAACGGGTGTGTGAAGCACGACAGCAGTTCTAAAAGCCATAAAGTCATAAGCACTTTCAATTGTGAATTAGCATAGAAAATGTTTCTCACACTGAGCTCTCACACCACGCTTTTTAGATGGCTCAGCATAAAACTTTATTGACAAACATTTTGCGAATGTGATTTTGAATTTTCGTTTTCCGTTTTCCGTTTTTCCCCTCTCAGGTGGCCTCAAAAACTTTTCCAATTTTTCTCTCATTTTATTTCATTGCGGTTTTGTTGTGTGTTGTTTGATAAAAGAATGAAAAAGCCAGTAATAACATAAAGTTGATGATTATGGCAGCGGTGGATTTCGCGGAACTTCATATTGGTTTTTTTGCTGTCGTAACTTTAACAACCTCAAAGTTTCACTTGCTGATAAAGTTGTTAAAATTGTTGGAAATTGCCGCTTTTGCCAATTATGTTCAACGCTTGAGTAAATAAAATTTTCTTTCAGCACACAATAAAAAGAAATCCAAGAAATTCTAACATTCTTTTATGCTTAACAACGCAAAAGTTAGATATCTGAATGTGTTTGTTGGAGCTTCACGAAGAAACGAAATACGGGATTTCCTACATTCTTTGTGAACAAGAGCACACGTTGCGATGGTTGATTTGTGTTAGATAAATTGATTGAACAACAAATTTATACAGAAGTAAAGTCTGACCTTTTCAAGATTTATTTTTCATTAAGGTTTCATCTAAAGGGACATGTTTCTCATTGTAAATAATCAATTGCCATTGAACATTCCAAATGGAGAATTTCAGAACATTTTCTAACATACTTTGGAATGTCAAGGTGGTTGTTCTCAAAGACAAATGTTGAGTTTAAAAAGAATAAATAAATTAGATATTTCGTCGCTAAGACTAAATAAAAAAAGGAAGAAAGTTTGCCCAAAGAAATAGAAACAATCAAAATTAATGTAAATGTCAAAAAAACTCCAACCGTACATTGAGATTTCGAGGTTGACAAAATAATGAAGGAAGAATTTGTGTCCGGAAATGGTAATGGAAATTTATTTGCAATCCTCCACTCTTAATAAGAAGAAATAAAAGGAAAAGCTGATGAAGGAGACGACAGCTCTAACATAAACACACAAAAAGAAGAGAATAGATGAACTCATTAAATTAATTGCTGATGGGAAATGAGACAGACCATGAATAATGGATAACGTAAATGTACCTGCCAAATGTTTTTGTATTCAACAAAGCATATCAGAGATAATAGAAAAGCTTTTCTTCCATTTTCTATGAACATTCAATGATTTATCAGAGAATTTTATTTCCATTAAAACTGATCCGATGCATGCTTTCACTTGTCAAATCAAAGACGTCACAAATCGATTTGAGATTTTCCCATTTCCAGTTAAGAGAGTATCAAATGGAAGTAAACAGAAACTTGTGGGAAAACGATGAAATCGTAGAAAATTGATGTCCATTTGTGGCAATCATTGCATGAGTTATAAAAAGAGCTAAATTATGATGTGAGAACATTTATTTTACTTTGGAAATGACGATGAGAAAGGAAAGTTTCATTGAGTGCTGGTATCAGGTATGGAAATTCAAGAATCTTTTCAAGATTTATCGAGTTTTATGCTTGTTTTATGTTACTGATATTTCGTGATTCTATTCGAATATGTGCTAAAGAAACCCGATATTTTTTATCTTTCAATCTTATCGATCTACTTGTGAATGAAACAATCTTCGTCTCTAGAAATATTTGGAAACGAATAGTCAGCAAAAAAATTTTATTTCATGCAAATTTTCCTTTTAACCTCAAAAGAAACTTTTCCGTCTTTTGTTGGTCTTTTTTTGCTTCTCATTCATGTGAATGTTTCGATGTTGGTGATTATTTATAGATATACATAACGTTTCATTTGAAATAGGAAATCGAGGCATTGTTCGGTATTTGTAAAATGTTAATAACTAATTCATAATATGAATAAATATTTTGAATTAAAAGTTACTACTATGAACGTAGCTAATTAAATGTATGCAGTATTCAGTTGATAATACTTTAGTATTAAATATCGTTTACATAAAGAACATTGAAAATCTCACATGCATATTTATGTACATCGTCATGTGTTCTTGATTTACAAAGTAAAATTCTTAGCTACCGACGACCTTAACATGGCGTCATGCAAAAACGAAAACAAATCTCCATTAAGCACGCGATTGTTTTGCAATTTATTCAGCACGTTTCGAGTTGAAGCGGGAAATCGATTTTTTGCTCTTGCCGTTGTGAGCCATTGAATAAATTTCATCCCTTAAATGCAAAAGCAAAAAATCGGTAAAGGCTTATTGTCTTGCTTTTTATTTTTATTTTTTTCCAGCAAATAAATTGTAATCGTGATTAAGTGATATATGAGCATATGGTTGATATTATATCCTTTATTAAGAGCTTAAACTTAAAATCATTTAAACTGCTTTATCCTTTTAACCCTCATGGCTATAAATTTATGTATTCTTGTTTGGGAATGCTCAATTTCATTCCTTCATTTATAACGATAACGATAACGTTCGTTCTTATGCTTCAACAGAGATCCTTTCAATTGTAAAGCATTAAATAGCTGATATTTTAAGGTAATAAGAGCAACAACAACATTTAGAAATTTATCTTTATGTACGACTTAAAGCAACTTATATAGAAACAAGTAAGAAGCATATATTATGAAAATTTAATTATGTTCTGTAAATAATGTTGCTTAATGTTTTCTCTCATAATATTGAGATTATTCATGCTTCCCATAATTTCTACACAACATTTTATACATTTTTTAAACTCTGTGTCGGAAGTTCATTTTTTGTTGGCTTGTTTAGACTTCATACATTAAAATAAGAAGACTCATTGCTGTATATTAAATTAAGAAAAGAGGAATATTAGTGGTTGTGTGGGGTTGAAACTTTCTCATTTGGAGTCTTTTAAGGACGATGGCGTAAGGAGAAGCTTCGAATGGAAAACTTTCTCGGTTTTATTAGCAAACCATTGTTGTGCAGTGCAAAATGTGGGAATGAGTAAAAATTTTAGAGAAAGAAATGAAGTGCTTTCAACATTTTTTCGCTTTCTCTGACACGATTTGGTGAATTCTTTATTGATGCTTTAAAAAATTGTCAAGAGCGTGCACGCAATCAAAGCAGATGTTTCTATGGAAAAGCTCTGTTCAAAGTCTAAATTTCAGATGCTTATGAGCTTTCAAACATTAAATTAATTTTCATGCTTCTAAAAATCTTCCGTTGGTGATTTAAATGGAAAACTTTTATGCAAAGTGATTCCGAAAATTAATATTTCAAAATTTTCCGGTGAATCAGGTGAAACATTTCATAATACAATTCAATTTCCATCCTTCTCAAGTCAAACTTCTCAATTTTCTTTTCGTTTCTTTTGAAATGAATAAATACCAACGTTGAGAAAACTTTTCGTCTATTTGCTTTTCCACCTGAAGATTTTCTTTACATTCTTCCTACTTTTTTTTTAGTCAACAAAAACATTGAGAAGAAAAGTTTTCTTTCCATCCACTCCTGTTTTAATGAGGCAAAGTTTTAGTGCAAATTGGTATTTGAATGGAAACAGGTGTTTCATTACTAAGCTTTTGTAAGCGTTACAGGAATCTTATGAAAAGGGAAAATAGACAAATAAAAAAAAGGCTCACCTAAGGGCGTCGTCGATAGAGACAACCAACACAAAGCGTAAAATAAACACATTTCTTCTTCAGATGAAAATTTGCCGACAAATCAGAAATTATGGAGATTGTAATTTAATTACAAAAGTTTATCCAGAAGGAACTTTTCTGATGAGATTTTTTGTCAGTGCAAAAGCGAGGGAGGAAACAAAATATTTATTATATCCAACTAAATTACTTTAGGCAGGAAATTTCCATTTCTTTATATTAAGATTGAAATAATTGAGAGAAAATCATTTGATTTTGAGTTGTCGCTCCATCAATTCCATTAATTAATTGCTTTGAGAGGCTTTCGGTTTAATGAGCTGATGATGAAGATCTTTGTGAAAAGATATCTCGGAATGGTTTTAGGGATTTTATTGTGAGCTTATCTGAGATAGCTTATTAAGACAAATATTAACCTTCTTTGTTGTCTTTCTCCATCTACCGTCGTGATAATCAACCGAGCTACTATTTTACCTCTCAATTTTCATTCCCGACACTTCGTTATAATGTCAAACGTTTTTATCATGATGAAAATGTCTATCATTTGAAGTCAACATAAATTAACTTTTTATTTTCAATTTACATGCAAATATCTTTTCGACATTGCACTTCAATGACTTGAATAAGAAAATTGCAATTTCAAAATGTATAAAGGAAGGTGCAAGACGAATCGAGAACGGTACGGAAGCTCATTTGTATGTTCATGAACTTAAATTGACAATTTTATTCATCATTTGTTTGAACAATTTTCCACTTGAAACCTTGTGCTTTATGTCGACGAGACGGAAAGTTCATTTTAATCATATCCATGGGAACAATGCCGGGAAAAAGCTACACAAAAGCGATCGTTGATTTTTTTTCCTTTTCAAAATTGATTGATACCGAGGGAGAACAATAAAAAAATTCAAACAGGTAGATATGTGAAGCTTAAAAGTCTCGGGAAAAGATAAAGCTTAGCTCTTGTGAGTTTCCCTTGTAACAGGATACGTGTTTCTACGTAGCAAAAAAAAAATTGTGCGGGGGTGAGAAAAAAATTGTGCGGGGGTGAAGGTAAAAATAAAAATAAATTCTTTTATGTTCATCATGGGGGAAAAAAAGAAAATTTCTGATCAATTTTTCCATCAAGCTGAACATCAGGTGATTGAATGTGAGGAGTTTATCGATTTTCTCCACGAAACAAAGCTTTCTTTTATCTCTTTTCAATATTTCTTTATATGATGCGTCAATAAATTTAACATTTGATTTGCCTCAAAGAAAAAGCTTATTCGTCATAGTTCGACAGGAGGTAGAAAAGCGCAAGAAAAGGAAAATTTATTGACGGAAAACCTTATCACGACATCGTCTGTGATGTATGAGTGACAATTAAATGTGTCAAAGTTTATCATAGAAGCTGAACACAAGGTAAATGAATTTCGTCTTACTAGCAATATTGAATCTGCTTTATGAAGAGAGGAAGAAAAGCGAAACATAATTAAAATTCTTAATTAAATTGCTACAATGCATTGCAATGATGAAACCGTTTAACGATCACAACGTGAAAATTTACATAATGTTGATGAACATTAAGTAAAAAATAAATAAACAAACAACAAAGGGACGATAGATGGAGAGAAAAAAAGTTGAAACATCAAAGATGAAAGTTCAAATTGAATTTCTATTAAAGTGGATGAAACATTTTTTAATCTCAAAACTTTTGATGTTTTTCATTTAATTAGCTTGAAGCCAAGTTAAAAGCATCGAATTTGAATGAGCTTTAGTAATATGAAATATTATCCCTATGACGGTAAAATTCCATTAGGCGAGGCCACAAAGGACTTTTCCAATAAAACTTTTCTCCATACAAACGAAGTTAATAAAATATTTGAATGGTCATCGAAGCTTAATTTGACGTATTCAGTTGATGTGAAATTAAAATATTCTCTGACTTTTTCAATGAATAAATGGCTTTGCTATTGACAGAGACAGAAATTTAACTGTTTTACGAACATTGTAATCTACATATCTGCTAGCGCAATAAAAAGAACTCATAAAAAGCACTAAATGTAAATTGGACGTGAAAATTAAAAAAGCTTTTATCTGTGCTCGATGTATTGCATAACAATATAAAAGGAAATTGTTGTTCTGCTTTAATTAGCCTGGATTAACGTAGCTTCTGTTTTAGACATAAGCTTAACAGTAATGTTAGAAACCTTTGGCAATCTTAGTAAACACGATCATGAATAATCCCTAAATGGCGCTTTAATGACCCATTGACTCGTTCTTGTTTCGACTTGGGGAATTAATTATAGTCTTTTATATGGTAGAACAGTCGCTGAAACTTTGTATCTTGATGACTTAATAAAATTTGATTTTCTTTTTGGCTTTTGAAAATGCTTACAAGCATTCATAAGTGAAGAAGCTTCCGGTCTTCATGAGAGTTAAGAATTCATTTGTGTTTCTATTGCTACAGTTAGCAGAGTCATAAGTTCACGTTTTCGAAAGTCAGCCAAGTGCCTTTAAGTTATTTCTTCTAACAAGAAGCGAGCAAGTTTCTGAACAACATAAACCTTGACCATCGTTTAATCTATCACAGTTCCCCTTTGGGTACTGTTAAAGTTATGTTCACTCGAATGCTATTAATTTCCAAAGAAGAGAAGAAGAAAAGAAGAAAAGAGAAATCAAGTTAAACCACATTTAAGAATTCTGAATTCTCCAAGCAAGCTCACGTTTCTCCTGAAAATTTCATTCTTTTTCTTCGCCAATGTAATTAATCTCACAAGCTGTGAAATTTCTACAGCATCTGTTAATTGCTTTGTTCATGTAATCCTTCTCGGAGTGTACATATATAAATATACTTGCCATTAAAATGATCATAACAAAGCTTAACCACCTTAAAAAGAGAAGACGAAACGCGTTTCGCACCCACAGTGCGAGATTTTTTAAATATTTAATTGAAAGTGTTCTGCTTTGTGCCGTGCGAGTTTCCTCGACAAGCTTTAATAATTAATTTAATTATTAAATTTTTAATTTCTACCACGTTAAAATTATAGAAAACAAAAAAGTTTTTTTGCTATTGTTGGCGTGGGTGGGACTTGAAAAGTAAAATCATTAATGAATGGAAAAATGGCGAGAGAAAAACGTTGAAAGGTGTGAAATTGAGAACAACTTTTATTAAAGGTAAAGACGAAGAGGAGAAAGACAAAACCGAAAAGTGCTTGTTGTTAAATTTCACCAACAAAAGTGCTTTATGATACTCAAACTTACGATGATAATGCGCCATAAATTTCCATTGATGTTCATAAAATAAAGCAAAACAGTTGTGGACATCTGGTGAAGTGAGTTTCTTCCCTTTTCGTCATAAAAGTTCACTAAACCATGATGAAAACATCAAACAGATTGTTTCTAATTAGATTTTAATGAAATTGTTTGCTTGGAAAACAAGATGATTTTCTGCACCTTTTGTTTCGGACATATCTACACAGGTATCTCCAAGCTAAATGATTATAAATGCTTTAAATATGTAATTAACTTTGTATTGTGTATTAGGTTGCTTATATTGATATTTCATTGTGAATGATAACAATTGCTGGTTGGGTAATTGAATAAATTTGTGCAATTCTGGTTCTCATTATCGCTATTGTTAATCATTTCGAAGAGCCTTGAGTTAGACATGTATCCATTACCAATAATCTAAATGAACTTAAGAATGAAATCATGAAATCATTTGATACTCCGAACGAAATATTAAATTGCGAATTATTTTTGCATGTCATCGCTAACCAAAAAACCTCATTTCCTGCTCAGTCTTTAATGTCGAATTAAGTCTCGAGTCTTAAAATAAATTTTTCATGGTCAAAACGTCAAAGCCCCTTAATCGGATTTAGCAAGAATGCAAAGCAAGGAGAAAACCTTTAAATGCATTTTTTGGAGTCAAACACCGAATGAGAAGATAAAAGAAAAAATGTCCGCTCATCAATTTTATGGTCTGTTGAATGTTTAGCAATTTGTCTCAACATTGTAACCGTTCGTCATCTGAAATATTATTTAATCATAACGATTGCCAAGCTAGCGCTCTAATAACCGATTTAGATTTATGATCTTTTAGATGTTTCGGTCTTTCCTATGCTTCTGCTGCCTTTCATTGTGAGCTGTGTCGCTGTGTCAAAAGCGATACGATGGAATGAAAAGATTTATCGTTGAGCATCGGCATCTATATGAAAACAGATAAATTTTTCTCCCTTGAATTTATTGCTATTCATTTTGGTAATTCTGCTTCGTTTTCCTTCCAACAAACACAAAATTTGTTTTTGTGGTTACGCATTTTGAATTAAAGATTTAATTTAATTTACATTTTATCTTTATCTAAATTCAAAATAAAAGAATTTCATTTCTAAAATAAATGAAATGTGTAATGGAATGAAATAAAAAATCGAAAATCATTGGAATGATTCTGATATCATTGGAAAATTTATATTTTGTGGTTTTACAATCTCACGTTGTAATCTATCGGGTTCAAGGTGCGTCCATTCATCCTCAGGTACATTCAACCTACTCTCGATAGATAAACATAGCTAGGTTTTCATTTCTACCTGATGCTACCTGCCTATCTATAGATAAATTTATATATTCTTGAACTCAGACACATAACAATGTTTCTTTCGCAATTTTATGAGTTTTTGTTTTCTATGCTTCTCCTTTTAAACAAAAACAAAAGAATGAAAACAATGCGATGAGATGCCATCGTAAGATTGAAGATGATCATTAAAGAAATGCCTGAAACAAACAGAAAAGTAATGAAATACGAAGGAGTAAACTTCATAATAATCATAAAAGAAGAGTTTGAAGAATTGTTGATCTAAGCAGAATGATGGAATGTACAAGCAGCTAGGCTATGGAATGCTTTGCAGACAGATGAAGATTAAAACAGTTACTCATAATTACAGATTTTGTTTGTCTGAAGTTGATATGGGTTCTTATTCCATCGTTTTCAGCTTCGTGCCTTCTTCAAAACCTTTCTCATGACTTTCAAATTAGAAAAATGCTTTTCAAACTTTACTTCAATAATAAATTCTGTCAAATCAAATGGTGATGAAGAATGTTGTTGTGATGTAACCTTTGAAATATTCCCATCATATTATCTTTGAAGAATCTTTCGGTTTTTTAACACTTATCACGAGATTAGGATGAGGCTTTGCAGACAAACGCCTTCAGCACCTATAATTCTCATCTTTCATGAACTTCACATAAATCTCATCTTCATCTCAAATGAATAAATTCAAATACATTTACACCTTTGTTAAGTTTAATCAGAATTATTCATCGGACTTGAAAACGTTTGCATTGTGCCAGCAAATCGATAAGAATGAAAGAGTAAGTTTTAGAATAAAATGTGTTAAGCTTTTCGTGATAAAATGCTCTTTACACTCTTCTGTAAAGGTTCGAAATGCTATTATAAATTCCTCACTTAACAACACGCAAATCTCCGTTAGGTTCTGCATGCTCCCATAAATTCTTCCACTCCTCTAGTGAATCATAAATATTTTTATTAGATTCAATGAAGAAGAAAATTGTACGATAAACACATTGTAAGGGCCATAGAAGCACGCTTTGCGCTTCCTGACGCTTCTTCATGGTTAATGGTAGAAATTTGTGAATGATGATCAGAAGAAGTTCGTCTTGATATAAAAGTTTTCATGACTGTTTAAGCTACTCTCAGGAAACATTAAGAATACGAAATTTAGTTAAAATTTTATATTAAAATAGCAAGCAGAACATTTTGGTTTGCAAATGAAATTCTTAAATTTAATGAATTCTAAATTAAATTGCAAGAATTTTCAATTTTGACAGAATTTCACTGAAGTTTGAAATTAAAATTTTACAATTTGAAAGTTTAATTTAGGAAACCTCTGCACAATTTGGATTTACAGTGACAAAGAATTTTATCTTTTTCCTTCTTAAAATTGTAGTCGAAAGTTAACTCATCGGAAACTTTAATTGGCTTCATTGCAATGATTTCAATTCGATTGTGTTTCTCATACACTTTGGTGTAACAATTCGGCTGAAAAGTGAAATATTTTTCATTAAAAATTGAGAATTTTTCTATCAGACTAGAAGTTTACATCGCAACTGTGATTAATAAATTTTGAAACGTTTCCTTTACAAGTTGCATCAATCACCTTTCCATTCCCGATACTAAAAAGATAAGTTTCTTCCATACCACCAGACCGATTTATCTTTTCCCTCACGTCAGCTTCTTTTGAACTAATTAACTCTCCAACATATTCAATAACGATTTCATTCGTTCTAAAAGGTTTCTCAGCAAAAACTCCCCAACCATGAATAGGAGAAAGTGACAATTTTAATTTATTACTTTTTGAGCACTCTTGATTTATCATGACTTAGATAATTTCCGAATTTTTTTTGATGTTTAAGAACACCAGAAGTTTCCAATTTTCCGCTTAAAAAAACTCCAACAAAAAATTCAATTTGTCGGGGCTTAAGAAAATTTAATTAAATGACTTGAGATGGAAACTGAGATTGAAATTGACAAATGTCATAACTTTCTTTGAATATTTTTCATAATGAATGTTTCGATGCTTTCTTTAACACCTTTAAGAGCTTCGTTCGTATTTTCACGATCAACAACATTAAGGAGTGAATAAATCGATGTTAATTGCCGAATTATGAAACTTCACCACAACATTAATTGAAACATAATATTGCTCAAACATAAATTAATAAATTAATGAGACAGACCAGTAATAAAGTAAGATGTAAGAGGAACATTCTGAATACGATAAGAATCATTAAAGCTTCTCTGATTTTCGCCTTTTTCCTTTTACTTTCCGTGAGGTAACATTTAACAATCGTTTCGTGTAATTACATGACGAATGATTTATTGCTGGCCCGTTTTTCTTCCTCTTTTGCCAACTTTGGCGTGTCCGGCACGAGAAAGTTTTACTGGTTGAAAGCGTAACATGATGGATGGAATGTGAACAGCGACGATAACAGCAAAACAACTTTTCCGCAATGTAATAATTATCGATTTTGATTCGTCATCGTTTGTAATCGTCGATATCGAAAAGGCGTTTTGACTTCTACTTAAGTGAATGAAAAGGAAAATGAAATAACTCAATCAATAAATAATTTCTTATTCTCGTTAATCCCTTTTCATTCAACTCGCTATGCGAATTTTCATGTCGGTGATGCAGAGTCACGAACGTAATTTATTGATTTTTCATAACTTGAAGTTGAATATATTGGAACTGAATGAACATGACCGTAAAGCACAAAGAACTTCATTAACGAGAAGTTCTTTTTATTTTCTTGTTTGATATGTTTAATGTACAATAAGCGCTTGAATGGGACGATAAAATGTTATCTGTTTTGTCATAGGATTAAATGGAGAAAGAAAGAAAGGGAAGAGAATAATCTTCAGGTAATTTGCTTAATTTCCTTTCATATGTGTAGAGCAGTTTTTAGAGACAATCCCAGAACTTTCAAAGTGCATCGTGAGAAAATTGAAATTCATCCACCCACATATAATGCAATACGAAACGTAAGTAAAAGGAGTAGAGAGACTTGAAGATAAACAAGATTCGCAAAACAAGACTTATTGTTATTTATGATTCTTTACACAGACTGATCTCAAATCCCAGGGATTGAAACTTGATTCAAAACAAAAATTATACTAAAATGTTTCTCTCTCTCTCTCTCTGATTAACTTTCTCATGAAAGAAATTTTTTAATGATATGGAAATTATAATTTGATTCAATCCCTGGCCAGAACGTTCACATTGATCATGCTATATCTTAAATTCTTTGGTGTGTTCATGTCAATACTCGAAACAGCAAAATAAATACGAAATCATAAATTTACATAAAACGAAAATTGCTGCTTTTTCAGCTTCAGTTTCACAATGTTGAACGAATGTAGGTATTTGCATTGCTGCAAGAACAAAACAGCAGTCACAAGAGACAAGTTTTAATAATAAAGCAAATGATAAAAAGCGAATTCTGGTTTCACGATTTCAACTTGAAATTGAAATAGTTTTAAGAATGTGAACATTCGAAATGAATTTTAATCATTCTACGTTTAATTTATTTCGTTTCATCAGGCAAATATTCGTATTAAAAAAATAATTAATCAAATAATCTTACATTTTAAATTAAAATTATAAATGAAAATTTATTTTGAAAACTTTGCACTGTTCTGTCACGAAGTCAACAAGCATAAATTAAAATCTCATTCCTGAGATATCTTTTATAAGTTCCAAGAACTCTCATCCAAACAGAAACACTGAATTGAATTTCTATCTCGGTTTTCATTGCAGTTCTTCTCTTAACAAGAGTAGAAAGAAAATGAAAATATTTCTCTATTCCCGTTTGTCAGTTTTATCAAACTTAAACAGACGATATACTCGACTTCGACTCTTCCTTCTAGTCTTGCTTTAAAGCTTAATCATGTTCAAGCACACTCAGTAGAAATTCTTTGATGAAGAGTTTAACTTCAGAAGATATGAACAAAATAGAAATCACTTGAAAGTTTTTTCTATTTATTTCAGCTTTAGCTCATTTTCAAAATAAATTTCCAATTAAAGTTTATCAAGTTCAAGTTATTCGAGAAAAACACAAGAAAGCTTTAATGAAATTTAAATTGAAAGACTCTCAAATGAAATTAAATCAGAGAATGAAGGTTTGTGTTTGTGTTGATTAATCAGCTGGCTTGAATTCGTTTTAAACATTTACGATACCTTCGAATTAGCTTTAAAGCGAATAAAAATAAAAATAGAATTTGTCTCAATAAAATTTTGTATGCCACTTAAAGATCAAATCAATAAAAATGCAACTTTTCCATTACAAACTGGAAACGTTCTAAGATTAAAATATGAGAAACTTTCGAACGTCCTTTCTTTATAAAAAAGTAATTCACCGACATAAAACTTTTAGTTTTTACAAGCAACCGTAAATCTTTCTCTTTCAACAAGTTTTATTCAATTACAGAGCTTCACGATGCAAACGTTCAAAGAATTTTGCAACTCGAAAGTTTCCAAATAATTTTTATTACTTCTTCATGACAAATTGGTACGAGAAGAAGCTTTTGATAAATTTTTGTCATTTTCTTTTCACTTAACTTTTCTTTTCTCTCTTTAAAAACTTTCAAAAAAGCCGCACGTCATTCAAATTGTTGATTTTCAAGGAATTGTAAAATTTTCCTTTATCTTGAACTATAAAGTTAAAGTCGTTAGAGTTGTTTTATTCTTCTTGGAGATAAAACTTCATAAAAAAGTTACAAACTCTCTGTTGATTGAAAACCATACTGAACTTTTACAATGCAAAAGATAAGAACAAAATTTAATCTGTGCATTTTTAACCCATTTAAGAAGTTTATGAGAATTTCCTCAACACGAATATTTTGTAAAAGTTTATTGATCTATAAGAATATGAATTAACTGATAAGATACAAAGAATTAATACGAATTAAAAGTCCAGACGATAATTAAATTCACTTACATTGTGACAATATTCCGATTATTTTAATAACTTTTCTGTATAAAAAGGAAGAACAAATTTCTTGTCGATTATTTTCGTTTCGAGTTTAGTTGCGGTAAGTTAAACAAAAGTTTTAGCAAGCTAAAGTTTTAAATTACTTTCAATTCCAACAGTTTCAAAATGAAAATCTTCGCGTTGCTTCTGGTTGTTATCGCAACTGCTAATTGTGCTGAGCTTCGTTGCACATACAAAACTCTTGACTTTGTCAGACCTTATTATGAATGCGATGGCAGAGTGACAACTTCAGCGAGTGATTTCGAAGTGTCAACTGTTCAAGGCGATCATGAAGAGGGCAAGGGAATGAACGATATTATTGGTGTCGTTATAAGAGACTGTTCGTTAGAGAAGATGCCAAGAAAGTTGGGAGTTTGGTTCAGAAATTTCAGAGAGTTCGGACTCTTTGACATCCAAAACTTCCCCAACTTCCAACGCGTTGATTTCAGTGAATACCGTCAATTACGAGTTTTCCGTGCTAAAAACTTACGCCAAGTCACTCGAGTTCCAAAGGATACTTTCTTCGACTTAACAGCATTGGAAGAACTTTATCTTGACAATATGGTTAATATGGAAAACTTGGACGGAGATTTATTGATGAACTTGAGAGGTTTGCGAGTTTTCTCAGCTCAGGGACCTAACAAAATCAAGCAAATCAGTCGAGGATTCTTCGATAATCAATCTCGTACATTGAGTGAAATCAATTTTCAACGAACAAACTTGAAAAGAATTACGTACACAATTTTCAATTTACGTGATTTGACATCAGCAAACTTCGTCGGTGCTGGTTGTCTCGATAAATGGTATCAAACACCAAACATGCCTGAAACCCTATTCGACGACATTCGTAATAAATGTCAAGACACAACAAACACCAGAGCCTTGACCAGAGCAAATTATATCGTCATGAACGAATCATCTTCGTCAGAATCTTCATCAGATTAAAACAATTTAATTGATTGTAATTGTCGATGTTCAAAAACATTGAATTGGAATTGCAATAAAAATAAATTGTCTCAATTCAAGCGACAACAAAAAGCTACATTTTAATTGATATGAGATTTCAGTGAGAGTCATAAAAGAAAGATTAAAGGCACTTATTTTCAGCACTAACGTTGATCAAGCAAACCAAGTTATGGTTCTCATTTCATTCCATTTCATTCAGTCATAAAAGATGTCAAAAATGTTACTGAACCTTGTAGCATTTGTCTCAATTTCCCATGACACGATGTATGAAAATACGGGATTGCGAATCGCTTGTTATGCAACCGACAGTTCATGCTTAAAATGACTCACTCAGCATTCAGCCCATTTTGCTGCTGTTGCAGCTGTTTAAATACTGAATCATATGAAACATTGTCACTTTTGCTTTATGATGAATTTCTGTGCATCAGGCTGAAATGAAAGAAAATTCTGTTCAAAGCATTTATTTCTTTTTTAATTTTTCGTAATTCTTTTTTAACTGCTAAATTTAGATTCGACTTTGACTAGAGAGAACAAAACTACAAGACGGAAGATAAACGATAATTGGAAGTGATTCACTTTTTGAACATGAAATGGAAACGATACATCAAGTCATTTTGTAAAAGAGGAAGGAAAAAAACTGATTGTATCAGCGGAAAATCGCTTTTCCCACTAGGCTTTATATGCAGTTAATGTGAAAAGGGCTGAGGTGCTGAAAGAATTTTCTTTTCTTCATTTTACAACAAAAAACACATCCATAAGATCTCTTAAATGAACATGTTAGATTTTCATCACATCAATAACTCTTTCCAGTGACCTAACGACCGAACGAATCTGTTAATTTTCTTTTATGTTTTCTCTAATTTTTGTTTTTCATGTTTAAAGATTTTCAATTTTAGAATGAAGACACTCGGAGCGCGACGGTGTGCGCCTACAAAGAAGAATGAAAAAAGGTAAATCAACCTTATGTAGATTCATTAAAGATAATTTGTTTTCTTGTTTTGGGAAGTGTCTGGATGAATAGAAAATGTGTTTTTTCAGTTTATTTTTTTCGTCTTAATGAGTTCAGAGTTGATTGAGTTTCGAGCGAGTCTCATGTTCTTGCAATGTTTTTTGATGTTTTCATTGTTTTAATCATTTTCAATGTTTCATTCTAATTCAGAAGGTTTCAAGAAAACAATCAACATTGGATGAAAACATTGAGAAAGCATGAAACATTGTGCTTAGTTTTCTGGGGAACTAAAAAAATCAGAAGAATTGCCAGTAATGAAATGAAACTAAACCTAAATCTAAAGCACTCAATACGGTATCACAGGAGTTAATGGAGACTATAAGGAACAGAACACTCATAAAGTTCATATCTTTAAGGTCGCAATAAAATCCTTAATTTTACGATTAAAATTTGCGACCTAAATACTATCCATGCAGCAGATATCTATTTTGGGGAAAACCTTGATAATCTTACAAAAAGATTTACCCTTCTCATCATGAAAAGCAAATTATAAGTATTAAAAAAGTTAATTGCATCATCAGACGATTGCTTGAGCTTCGCTTTTCGCTTTTTTCAGCGTTTCATACAATTTTAAATTGAATTATAAAGTCGTGTCAGCAATTCATCGAGATTTACATCAATTTAAGATCTTCATCGTAGAATAATAATAAAAAAGAAAGTATTTTAAGCCATTTAAATTGATCATAATGCTTTATATTCTGAAGATTTTATCAACAAGCCAATGACATTAGCATAATCTTGATTCAAACAGTGGAAGAATAACACACAATTTTATTCGAACGGTTTGATGAATAAATTACCATGCGGCTTATATGGGTGACGAGTCCCAAGCTTTTCCACAACAAGGCTTTTCGTGTTAACAAGACCTGAGACATACATTAAATTATTTGACCTTTTTCACTAAGGGGTAGAGATGAGGATTAATTTTTCTTTCTTTTTTATTTCTTCTCTCTAAACCACGCTACCTTATTTCACTGTCTACAGACTCCCATCTCGCAAACCTACCTTGAACCAGACGTGGTGTAAAATATTAAAAATATTCTGCACGGAAATTTCTGTTGTTTCAGTAAACTTGAAATAAAAGTTTTAGACATATCAAATATTCATGAATAGCTGAAAATCTGTACAAAATGTTTGGATATGGAAAGTTACAAAATTCAACAATGATTTCCAGATATCCAAACGAAACTTGATGAGTTTACACGAAATTCTGAAACTCTCTCCAGGTATGAAACTTTTTGAATAAAAACTGACAATATAAAGTTAAACGTTCACAATATAAATTAATTGAAAAATTTTAGTTCTTTTAATTTGAGAAGCATGATAAGCAAACCAACGTTAAGTAGAATTCAGACAACGTTTTCTATTTTACTCTATTTTTCCCTTTTTTAAACAAACAACTCCAATCTAAAGCTACACGTTTTGCTTTCAATAATTAAGATAAATACAAAAGTTTTATCAATTTGCATTCTATTTCTAATGATTGGCATTTACATGATTAATAATAATTGAATATTCATGTGCCAATGAATTCTTTTCCTTTTCACTGCATTGACGGAAGTTTGTAACATTTCTAAGAACGAATAAACACAATGAACTGCCTTTTGCTATCAATTAATCCAACAGAGTGCAATGAATTGTGAAAGAGATAGTTAAATGAAATTAATTAATTCAGCAGATGTCGTCCATTAATTATGCTTCAATTTTAATTAATTTATTTGTCTTTCTTCGAAAGGCATTTGCGAATATGCGGGAGTTGTAAGAATGAACGGTAGACAGCAGTCGTGGTTTTCATTCAGCTTTTTTTTTATTCGAGGGCCTCCAATTAGCATCACCATCAATAAAATGACGACGTCAATTAAGATTCGTTTTAATCGAAGCATTCATTTCGATCCCTGATTTAATTGATTTAATTATTCAGGAACGCCAAAGAATTCAATTAATCGATCAGTATCAGAATAATATTCAATTAAATCATAATCCATGGGACCAACAAGATTAGGTTCATTTCTGCTTTTTTATTTCTTTTCCCCCTTCTTGTCCGAGACAGAAAAGTGGCGAACACCAGCAACGTGATTACATCACTAATCGAAGAAAATGAAAACGCAAACAGATCGTAAATTTCACTCTTGTCACGTACAATATTGAGCTTCATTCACCGGAAATATCGGGTGAGCCATTAAAGCGTGATGTGTGTGCATGTGTCACTTTTGGCTTGCGTTGTCGCGTCTTTTTAATTTATACGACTGAGTGACTTCTTTTGAAATTCTTAATTCATTTGCTGTTGCGTTTAGAAGTGATGAGATTTCGATGTTATTTTTAAGTTGTGAGTTTGTGCAGCATGAATGAATGAATAAATTCAAGTGTTGATCTGCCATCGATAACTTGAAAAATAAAATTCCCTTTAAGCATAATCTTGCCAAACTATGATAACAATCTTGTTGGTTTTTTGACCTTTTTCTAACATCTCAAAACAACATTTAAAATTGGTTTGATATTGGACATCCTATTTGTGTATGTAAAATGACAAAGGCGTGGGTGTTGGAATAAACAAGATATGGAAGAAAATCTTTTAAATTCTGGTAACTTTTCATCAAGTTGTTCCAACAACTGTGGAAAATTTTCTACTAAGCAACACAATCATACACCGTCATTGTTGACCTCAAGTTGTGGAGTCATGATTGAAATACTTAATGATGTGAGAAAATTCAATAAAACCTTTCAGTTTGTTTGTGTTTCGTCCCTTTTCATAACTTTCTTCCATTGATATTTATTAAGAGCTTTCGGAAAAAAATATCAATAAAAATGTGCACAATTTGTAGTTTTATTTTTAAATTGAGAATTGCAGAAAGTTGCAGAGGGTAAAAGCTTGCATAATCTGATTTGGCTTTTGATTAAGCAAAGTATGATGTTTGGTTCAGTCGAATCTAGATGTGAATGACAGAGTGGAACATTCTTTGACATTATTTATCATAAAGTAACGCCAGTAATTGTATACAAAAAAGATTCTAAATCAAACAATTTGACAAAGTTTAAATCATCAAACATCTTCACTGTTCGTAAATTGCGATAAGACTTAGAGTGTTTGATTTTAATCTTGATTTCAATACAAAGTAAGTGAATGATAAACAGTCTTTCGAGATTTTGATAAGAAAGGACGTGAAGCACAAAAGCCGTCAGAATCCTCACTAAGATAATTTCCACAAAATGAAATATTTTCTAGAAAAATGTCAGAAACTTACTCGACATTTAAGAAAATGTTGCAAATTTGTTTGTTCCCTGTTTGCAGTTATAAATTGGAAATTTTTCCAAGAAAGATTTGTAGACAAACAAAAAATTCAAAGAAACTGAAGAGATTCAGAAAATTTTAAAACTTTAAAATAAAATCCTTGTAAATGTTGATTTGTTAGAAATATTCAGGAATAAAATTTGTTTTTTTATTTAGAATATACAATTTTAACAGGGACTGTTAATTGATTATAATTAAGTAAAATATTGCGAGACAGTCAAAGAATTCGGAAAAATTCTGATACAATTTTATACATCTTTGGATATCTGAAAATAAATTTTATTTCCTGATACTTACCTAGAAAATTCTATCAATTGAACTTGAAATTTATGTTCATTTAAAGAATTCAAGAAGATTCTAGCAAAAAGCAATGCTTTCTTGTTAGATATTGAATCCCATTCAAGTGACTTGCTAACGTAAAATGTAAATTTATTCTCGCTAAAAGATTTGTTGCTGCCTTTTTTTTGCTTTGTGCTTTAAGTACGTTTGAAGATTATTGACTCGTGTGGTGTGATTCACAAAGGCACAATTTACTGTTATTGTTATGTGTTCAAATTAACATTCTAAGACATTTTGGGATGTCAACAATATCGTTTATTGTTTGAATTTTTGGAATATTTATGAGTATTTTATTCAGTCACGGATTTACGGTTTAGTTGAATGAAAGTTTGATTTGAATAACAGCCACGTAATTAAAGTAATCAAATTTCTAATTTGTTTTGTTTTATACAAGAAAATTGAGAGACGACCGAAGCCAAATTCCCAAAGGATTACTGGATTTAATCCTTAAGGATTAATGTTAATTGAAGCAGACATAAAGATGGAAACTTGGCAAGGGTTAAACATTCACAATAAAATTTCAGAATTATTTTCGTTGTTTCATTCTTTTTTATTTGCGTCACTTTTTAACATCGAAATAAATTTTTCTAACCGAGAATAAAATTTTGCAATTTAATGCAAAATATTGCATCGTAATTGAACAGCAACTGTTCGTCTATGAAAGCAGGGGATAAAAAATTCAAAGTTTAATTTATTTCTATGAATAATTCACAGGTAATCAGCTACGAGAAAAAATTATAATGAAACAAAATTTAACTGCAGGAAAAAAAGGAATAAAAAGTTAGCCTCATTAACAAAACTCTGCAACGCTTTCGCTGAAGCTTTGAATGAAATTATAATTGTTTTTTCCCTTCTTAGTTGTCTGTTTAGTTTATGGCTTCAACATGTACATATTAACTGTGGATTATTTTAAAGTAACGTTCCGAGAAATATTTTATTATGTTAACAAATCTACAGCGAAATGAACATAAATAAACAGAAAATAATCCCTAGGTTTATTAACATTCTACAAAGAATGGAAGCGTTGGTGGATAATTGAATTCAGAAGAATGCATGTGCTTTATGTTTCCTTCGTACATAGGTAAATGTACATATGAAGCAATCATTGAGAAGAATAAACATCAACTTTTTAACGCTAACAATGAAAAGTCTGTTCATCCTGCAGCAAAGTAGAAAATTATTATTAAAAATATATAAAATATAATTGACTTTGCATAACAATTCTCAACACACATAATTATTTTCTGAGAATAACTTCTGCTGTGTTCTTTGAGCTTGCTAGCAGCGTTGGTGATGTCACTTACTGTTTGATATATCAAAATTCTTCATCGACATCAATTCCTTAAGGATGTTTCTCTTAAAAGACAAAAGCATTAAGATTATTTTTAAATATACATACATATATTCAATTTTTAACAAGAGATGTTGACATGTCATGCGTGGGTGTGTTTTTGAATTTTCTGAGTAATTTCCCTAAGCTTCACTTTAAGCAAAACCTTTACGAAATCAATTTTATGTTTGCTTTATTTTTTCTCATTGCGTTGGGATTTTCAGCTTAGGCAATTTTGAAAACGACGATAATGGTTAATCAATTTAGAGCAAAAGGCAACAACGAAACTGCTTGTAAATTAAAGGATCAAAGAGAATCATTTTTGATGCTGCAATGCAGGGAATTATGAATAAAAATAAGATTTCATGGAATGAAAATTTTCCACGCTATGAAAGTTAATTCACGCCACAAATGTATGGACAATTAAGCCGCTTTTAAAACGCTCCAATTTTCAATTCGTCCGGAAAAGAGCTGCAAATTGCCTTTCATAGCTTAACGATTATGTACACAGCGAGAATTAAGGAGAATTCTATTCATCACTGTTGTAAACTCAAAGTAATAGACTTTATTTGGGTTTACTTAAAGAATAGAAATAATATTTTATTACAATGTTATTTGTTTCGTGGTTCTAATTGAACTCTCACCTTAAAGAATAGAAATAATATTTTATTACAATGTTATTTGTTTCGTGGTTCTAATTGAACTGAAGAGTAAAATGGAGAAAGAACCACAGGTGAGAGTGAGATAAAATAAAGAGAGGAAATAGAGAGAGCATAGATGATATGAATGATATATGATTATGTGTTCACAACACTTCTCCCCCTTTAAAATCTTTGATAATCCTGATAGCGAGAAGGAGAGATTCGTTTGGTTGATTCGTTCTGAACGGCGTAAGTTAATCTCGTCAGGATTGGCAGTTGTATCTTTGCTGTCATGATTTTCCCGGATATCATGAGTTGCTTCGGAATCGTAAGAATTTGTTTCATTTGTATCATAAAACTCATTTGAATCTTCAAAATAATTTCCTCGTGGGATGGTTACAGGTTCGATAGCATCAGGCCATTCCGGAACTTTGAATAAATCATCTAATTTATTTTGAAAATAACGTTGCTTAAGCTGATTTGTGTGGGCTTTTACTACGTGCTGATTATTTGGAGATTCAATTGTGAATTCGTAGTTTACTTTTCCAATTTTCTTCGAGATTGTAGCTGGTACCCATTCCCAACTTCCGTTACTAGAGTGAAGCTTGAAGAAAATTTGTTCGTTCGGTTGAAATTTTCTCCAGTTGGCATCGTGATGTTTATCGAATTGTTCAGTCATTTCCGGTTTTAACTCTTGTTTATTCCGAGATTTTTGTTTAACGTAGTCGAACCGAGTTTTCGTTAATCGATTATTGAGAAGCTCTGACGGCGTCTTCATTCCTGAATTGAAGGAAGGCATGAATCTGTAACAAGTGAGAAATTCGTTGAGCTTTTTGTCTATGTTTCCCTCGCACTTTTTTAATCCGATTTTTAACAAGTTGACAAATCGTTCTGCCCGACCGTTTGACTGTAGATTATACGGTGTTGTTGTGACGTGCTCAATGCCTTGTGACTCGCAAACATTTTCGAACTCTTTGGAGACAAATTGAGGGCCATTATCGATCGCCATTACATCGCATAATCCATGCTGAGTAAAAGCTTTTCGTATCAATTCCATTGTTCTGGCGAATGTGGAGCTTGATATTTTAATAACTTCAGGCCATTTGCTATAGGCGTCAATGATCACGAGAAAATATGTTCCATCAACGAGACCTGCATAGTCGATATGAAGTCTTGACCACGGAGCTGAAGGTATTGGCCAAGGTTGAAGGGAACATTTGATAGGTGATTTTGACGTGATGGTACAAATTTCGCAAACTCGTACATGACGTTCGATGTCCTTTGTGATGTGCGGCCAGAAAACTTTTTCTCTTGCTAAAAGTTTCATGCGAGCTTCGCCTGGTTGATGCAAATCTTGCAGGATTTGTTCTCGAAATTTCTCCGGTATAAAAATTTGTTCACGATAGAGAACTACTTGATTTTGTGCCGATAGTTCACTTTGACATTGGAAATATTGAATTTCCTGAAGCGTTGAACAATTTTTCGTTCCTTGTTGAATGTCTTTGAAATTCACTGATTTGATATCGCTTGAACTTAAAGACATTATGATCGTGTCAAGAGTTTCGTCATCGTCGTGTCTACTCTCTCCGAAGTCAATGTGAGCAAAAATCGCATTTTCGTGTCGTTTTGTATCGTTGAAGATTAAACAAGAACCAACGTCGGCATAACTAAGACTCTCGGTGTCCACATATTTGATTTCGACGTCATATGTAAGCACAACCAAGGCATATCGTTGAAGGCGGTTATGGATGTGAATCTGAGTTCCTGATTTTGAATCGAAAATCTCCAGCAATGGTTTGTGATCAATTTGAATATTGAATTTCCTTCCATATGCTGATGCATCAGTAGCGAGAACAGCTTCCTTTTCTGGATCGGAATGCGTTAACATGAGGTCAGAAGCTGAGACTTGTTTGATTTGATTAAAAGCTGTTTCTTGAACTTGTGTCCAAAAGAACTTTGTGATTTTTTTCAGTAATTCGCGTTTATCCGCTCGAAGTTTGAAACCGTAGTCCTGTAGTCGGTCAAATAGTTTATAGAGTTCAATTTGGTAATTTTTCCCGTCGCTTCCCGTACATGTGATGTCATCGAGCTTGATTTGAAGGAAGGCCTTAGAAAGGTCGATTTTGCTAAATATTTTGCTGAATATTTTTCTTGCAGCTAGCTTTGAGAAAATGCTTTCAGACGTTGGCAAAGGATATTCGCTGGATTGTATCTTGTTGTTTGATTCCGTGGAATAATTGGCACATATGCGGATATTGCCATTTTTTTCCTTTGCAGCAACACCGGGGGCAGCTGATTCAGAATATGTAATCGGAGTAATGATGCCGTGATGTTGAAGTCGTCTCAACTCTTCTGCTACTGTTGCTTCAGAAGCTTGCGGCACTAGATGAGCATTTCGGAATGCAGTAGTGGCACTCGGTTTGAGAATCAATGAGGCTTTGGCTTTTGTAAGGTTATTGTCCTCATTGACTTTGATACCGTTGCTGGCGTATTGCGAAACATGATTTGCATTCACTTGTGTGACATCAGTGTTTCGCTTTTTGTGCGTATCCCTTGCCTTGGGATGTTTGAAGAATTCCGTGCTGTTGCATTGCAAAACATGATTTGCATTCACTTGTGTGACATCAGTGTTTTGCTTCTTGTGCGTATCCCTTGCCTTGGGACGTTCGTGGAATTCCGTGCTGTCGTTTTGCAAAACATGATTTGCATTCACTTGTGTGACATCAGTGTTTTGCTTCTTGTGTGTATCCCTTGCGTTGGGACGTTCGTGGAATGCTCGAGCCGAGTCACAAAATCCAGCCTTGTGGCCTGTTTGATTACAATTGTGACCTTGTTTTGTTCTGAAGGGACAATCTCTATGCCAGTGACGCTCACCGCAAAACAAGCAGTTGCTTGGTGGATCAATATTCTTGATTGAATATACTTCTGACTTCGTTGATGTTTCCCCGACTATGCCTTTGTCATGTTTCAGACATATAATTCGTTCAGCTTCATTGACCAGATCTTGAAGCGTAAGTTTGGTGAAAGATTCGATTTCTTCCGGATTCGTAAGTGATTCCAATTTGACATATTGTGAATCGACTTTGGTTAGCAGTTTTTTGTCTGGAGAGCAGTTTGTTACATCGAGTTTCTCTGCGTTTTTGTTTATTCGAGCAGCAATTTGAGAAAAATCTCCGGCGTCTGATTTTTCTATTGCAAAACATTTGTGACGCAGAGCAGACTTTGTTTTCTTTTGTCCGAAAAGCCGCTTCAACTTCGTGATTACTTCGTCCCATGACAGCTCATGAGGTTTCTTTGGTAAGAGAGAATCGGCAAATTTTTGGTAATCAGCGAGTGAAAATTTTTGGAGAAGTAAACGAATTTTCATCGGCACTGGAAAATCTTTTGCTTCTGATGTAAAGACAGTTTCGTATCGATTGAAATAAGCTTCAAAGGTTGAATTATTTTCTGGATCATACACAAAATCAACCATGGAGTCAGCGAGGTCTTTAATCATTCTGCTTGAAGGTTTGACGTTACCTCGTGGCATTTGGTCGTTAACATTTTGCGTTGAAAATGTGGTTTGCGCTAATTGATTTGTTATCAATCGTTCAATAAGCTCTTCTTGTCGTTGAATAGCTTCTTGTTGTTGTATTTGTAGCTGCAGTATGAAGGATTTCACGAGTTCTTCCATGTCACACTTTAAGGTTATGTAACACGTTGAACTTCGCTTTTATCCTCGTCGCCACTGTTGTAAACTCAAAGTAATAGACTTTATTTGGGTTTACTTAAAGAATAGAAATAATATTTTATTACAATGTTATTTGTTTCGTGGTTCTAATCGAACTCTCACCTTAAAGAATAGAAATAATATTTTATTACAATGTTATTTNTTTTAAACACTCCAATTTTCAATTCGTCCGGAAAAGAGCTGCAAATTGCCTTTCATAGCTTAACGATTATGTACACAGCGAGAATTAAGGAGAATTCTATTCATCACATTATTCAATCATCATACAAATTGCTCGTAGATTTAAAACGTTTCTTTTATTGAAACAAGGATTCAATTAAATTATCTTGAAAGCTTTAAAGACACTTAAAGCTTTTTAACAATCTTGAAAGTCAATAAAGAAATATTTATTCGTTTAATTTATATCTACAAATAATTTTTTATCCAATGCTCATTCATTCTTATGAAAAGCTTTTAAATGAGCAAATAAAAAATTTTCATCATCTTATCAGTCAATTATTTTAATGTGGAAAAACTTTCCATTCAATTATTTCAACAAGTTTCATCGTGGGTGGATGTTAATTCTGCAAATATTTAATTTAATTACTTAAACAAACAAAGAAACATTTAAATTTTATTACTTCAATGTTTATTAATAATAATGTTCTTAAATTGCATAACGAAGATGCTTATACATTAAACTAAAATAATATTTATAATTTTTCAATTGATCGGTGATAAGTTTCTCAGTTAATTTTCGATTTCTTACGAGCAATCGCATCTTCAACAGCTTTTAATTGTTTCAAAAGTTCTTCACGACGTGTCGATTTAATCTTTGCAGCTGCAGCAGCTTTCTCTGATGATAATTTATCCTTTTTATCGTCTTTAACTGGCGTTACTCGCTTTTTATTGATTTCAACTGATGGAGAAAAATATTTATAAGTTAAAAGCTTTTAAAATTTCTTTTTTATTTCACCTTTTGACGTTGGTTGTTTACGTTCCACCACAATTTTCTCGCGCTTCTTCTTCCCTTTTGAATCGCTAGTACTTGAAGAGTATGACGTGTCAGATTCACTTCCACTTGACGAACCAGATCCTGATGAGCTATCACGCTTCTTCTTACTATGCGAAGTTCGAATTCGTTCTTGACGAATAAGTGGAGGAGAAATTGGCTTTTTACGTTTCAATGATGGAATGGGCGATGCCAATTTCTTCTCAATTGTTCTTGGTCGAACTGTTGAATTAAATTAAATTGTTTAATGATTTAATAATGAATTTGAACGATGTAAATACCTGGAGGGGAATGTCGTCGTTTCACTGATGAACTTCGACTTTTTGCCCGAATTATTTGCTTTCTTTGTGTTGCTATAATGCGATCCTTTGATCTTTGACTTTCAAACCGTCCACGACGTGGAGCTGAAGGCGAACCTGATGATTCAGATGATGAACGCGATCGACTTGTTCCACTGGATGTGCTATAACTTGAATTGCTACTATAACTACGCTCCTTTCCTCGAGCTCTATCGCGTCCTGAACTTCCACGTCGTGTAGTTTTCCTTGCCCACGGATCACTCCATTCATCAGCCTTTTCAACAATTACTTCTCTCGTTGAACGAACCATTCGTCGTTTATTCAAATCATCATCTTCATAATGCGGCATTCGATGTGCTGGCAGTTCGCGATATCGTGGAACACGCCCAAATGCATCTTCTTCGAAATGTCCTGCTCCTCCACGTGCATATTTTGAGGGTGGGCTGTAATCATATCGTGGTCGTTCACGTATTGGTGCTCGCTCAAATGGTGGCGTAGCCTGAAAATTAAAAAGAAATCATTAAGTAAAAAACTTTTATCATGAATTTTCTTTTTCTCACTTTAACCGAAAGTATTGGAACAGGCTTAAATATAAATGAATGTTAGAATAAGTTAAGAAGAAAATAACAAGAAGACAACTCACCTCAGGTGAACCACGAACATAATAAGGATCCTTTTCGATTTCATCAACCGGCCCAGATAAATTCATTTTCTTTTCATCAAAATCAATGTCTTGTTCCTTTCGTTTCTTGGCTTTACGAATCATTTCTTTAGCTGTTCTTACGCCACGATCCCAAGCTGATTCAGAGTCAGCAACAGGTGGAATTCGTGGATGATCAAAAGGGGCATGAGGTGGGATATGATGGATTGGTGGACGGTCATGTCGATAATCATAAGCAATTGGTATGATTCGTGGAACAGCTTGAGGAACGGGAATTGGACGAACCATGTCAAACATTGTGTAGTTTCCTTTATCAGTCGTCCCAGGATGAAGAAAGCGACAACTCATGCCCCAAGTGCATTGGCCACGTGTAAAGAATCGACAAACTGCTTTCGGTTCAGATTCTTCTGGTCTTTTATCATCGCCATCAGTAACTTCTCCGTCTTCCAATTCTTCTCCACTTTCAATTTCATCATCAGACTTGGTTTCACCTTCTTCTTTTGGCGGCTTCTCAACTGCTTCTTCAACTTCCGTCAATTTTTTGTTGTTTTCTGATACTTCGCGCACCTCATCAGCTTCGAAATCTAATTCGTCTTCATCATTAGTTTTTTCTTGTCCTTCCTTATTGCCCGATCCATTAAGTCGTTGCTTGTCTAACTTTTGACGGAGGTCAGTGAAGTTTGGTGGTGGAGAATTGCTTTCCAAATCGCTGATATCACTCAAATCCTCATGACTAATATCAGCTTTTTTCGGTTTGCTCGAATCATCCTCGATATCCGATAATTCTAATTCTTCTTCTTCTTCATCGTCTTTTAAATGATTCTCATTTGAAACGTTTTGCTCACGAATCGGAGACATTGATTGATTCGTGATTTCTTGTTTCTCTTGAAAAGAATTTGAATCTGGCGATGATGAACGCGATTGATGTTCATTGTTGGCTGTTTCGTGCTGATCGTTCGACTCATTTTCTTGTTCTTGTGGTGGACTTGTTGGTCCATTTGAACTTGAGTTTGATGAGCCAGAACTGTTTGAAGATGAACGTGAATCGTCTTCACTTTCCATATTGATAAATTTATCTAAAAATGATTCAAAATGAGAAATTATAAAAATGAAAACATTGCGAGAAGTCAAAACCCGGCAAATTTTTTTTTCTTTTTATAATAAGAAGCTCTAAGCTTAATTTATTACGTTGATGAATGATGCTTCAGTTAAATATTATAAGATTCCCAAGAACAACAACAGCAACATAAACAACAGTAAATAGGTAACTGTTTTTAAAAGTGATTATCGCTATTTTTTGTAATGATGAAAGTTGTTGATTATTTTTCATCCTTCTTACCTCTTTGGATTCAGGTAACATTTTTTTTTCTTATAACTTATAGACTTTATACTTGAATCAACGAACAGAAGTTTGATATACAAATCAAACTTAACAACTTTGTATGGAATTTTCAGAAATGTTCGAACTTTTCCATTTTATAATAGTTTTTTGTACATTTTCACTTAACTTTTAACAAGATACTTTTAGGGGTGGGGAAGAGATTTGATAAACTAATCAAATTTCAATTGTTTCACTACAACCCGACTTTTTCCGACATTTTATTTTTTTATACTTCTCATCTACCAATATTTTTCACTCACAAAATAAAGCGTTAAATCAGATGACTTTGAATAAAACTTTTATCACATTCTTTTCTTACCTCCTTTGTTTGAGAATTGCTGCTGTTCAAATGAAGGTTTGAAGTGTATTTAAGCAATTTCTCGTAAAAAGTTTTTAATTTTAAATGCGCTCGATATAGATGGGCTAAAGAATAAATTTCGCTGATGGGCTAAAGAATTTCGAAATGAGACGACGGGTTAAAATCGAAGTCACATTTTCAACTTCCCTTCTCGACGATTTGCTTTGTTTACTTTTTTAAGACCTTAATTTTTAACTATGAAAGCAGTGATTCAAAGGGTAACTTGTGCCAAAGTTACTGTAGATGAACAATTAATATCAGAGATTGGAAGAGGTTTATGTGTTCTTGTAGGAATTTGTAATACTGACACAGCAAAAGATGTTGAGTATATGTAGGCGATTTCAATACTGCTTAGAAGACTTTAACTTATTTAAGATGTTTATACAGATGCCGAAAGATTCTTAATACAAGACTTTTTGAGCAAGAAGGGAAAAGATGGATGCGGAGTGTCAAAGAGGAAAAACTTGAAATTCTTTGCATTTCTCAGTTTACACTTTATCATAGATTGAAAGGAAATAAACCAGATTTTCATACAGCTATGGCAGGGGAACCAGCAAAGAATATGTACGATTCAGTGTTATCAAAGCTTGGAAAAGATTACGACTCTTCAAAAATCAAGGATGGAGTATTTGGTGCAATGATGGAAGTTCATATTCAAAATTCAGGTCCTGTAACTATTGAAATCGAAAGTCCTAAAACAGAAATCCCTCCGACAAAAGAATCTGAAAACTCACAAGACTTATGAATTTTAACGTATTTATAAATTCGTATAAAATTTAAAAATCATGCTAAATTTAGTGCTAAATTAGCATTGAAAACAATCGAAAAATAAAGTTCTTTGATGAAAGACACAAAAGTTTAACAAAAGATTCTTTTTTACTGTGGCTTGTAAGATGAGCGTTATTCAAAAGCAAATTAATGTGTCGGATGAAATTGATAGTGTTTGTGAGGATTTTGATCTAAAATTAAAGCATACAATAACACCTGAAGATGTATTAAAGCTGACAAAAATAACTGATGGATTTTTATGTTCCAATTCGAACGAATATCAAATCGAATTCACTCGCTTTAAAATAAGAGATCTTGAGACAGATACAGTGTTGTTTGATATCAGCAAAGATCCAAATCTTCCAGATGGAACAGAAAGTACTGATGAGAAACAAGAGTCGGACGATTCAGGTAGATTTGTTCGTTATCTCTTCAGTCCATCGTTTCTCAAACTGAAACACATTGGAGCTACGTAAGTTAATTATTTTCAAATCATCATGCTAGCTTTCGTGCGTTTTTCTGTCAAAGTTTTATACGAAGAAAAAAAATCGATATAAATTCTAAATTACTATCCCTGAGTCAACATATAAAGTGTTTGAAGTAGTTTGCCATTGTATTTGAGGGTTTTACGTGGGAAGTTGGTGGAAAGAGTTCCTTTTTTCTTTATAAAAAGTCAGCTGTTTTACAGGACGATATAAGTTGAATGATTTATGAAGGAACATAACTAAAGCTATCACAAAGCTTTGCTAAAATGTTAACAGTCCAATCCGATAAGTGTCGTCCACACGAAATTTAATTCCACCCACAAACAACGTTAGGGGGAAAACTTATTTGCTGCGCCTTAGGAATGTTGATGGCATGGCATTACCATAATCCTAATATTTTGCTTCTATTTTCCAGTGTTGAATTTCAAGTCGGCAATAAAGACGTGAAAAACTTTCGTATGATTGAACGACATTTCTACAAAGATCGACTGCTGAAAACATTTGATTTCAACTTTGGTTATTGCATTCCAAACTCAAAGAACACTTGCGAGCATATCTATGAATTTCCAACGCTACCAGCTGATCTCATCAACGAAATGGTTGCCCATCCATTTGAAACGCGGTCTGACTCGTTTTATTTTGTTGATAACAAACTCGTCTTGCACAATAAAGCTGATTATTCGTATGACGGTTAAACTGCTCATACATGAATGTTCCTTTCAGCTCTGCTGACCTCTTGTCACAATTCACCTTACATTTCAACTTTTTTCTTTCTTTCCTGTCTCATTCACAAAATTATGTGACAAAGCCTTAAGTGTCGTTAAGTGTAATCGTTTTTCATATATGGAAATTTTCTGAGTCAAAACTTTTTTCATGCAAGATTGGCTATCACAATGTTGTTTACTTTAACGTTTTTTGGCACTTTTCTCACACACCAAAGAATTTTTTTTATTTAAGTAATGAATGATTAAAGTTATTGTTAGGATTACAGACCAATTTATTTTTAAAAAACAATTTCAGAAAACATAAAGTAACGAGAAAAAGTAGCTTAAAGCTGAGATACTCAAAACATGAATAGGATTATTGATAACAAAAACTTACAGGCTTTTAAAAGAATTAAAAAAATGATGCAATAAATAATAAAAATAGATCAAACTGCTGTTAATTAAAATAAATAAATCATGTGTTCAAGTCCTATTCGGAGTAACATAAAAATGAATTAACGAATCATATTGCAAAAGAGTTTTTGAAGATGAATAAAAGCATGTTACCTAATCGATTTCATAAATTTAACAAAATATTGCAAATTCTTAGAACTCCGCCTGAAACATGATGGAAAATAAAAAATGTTCATAAATTAAGTTAAACATTCTTCAGGTGCATTTGCAAAGATGCCGTAGGGAGAAGGTAAAAACTTTTTTCAATCATCTGATACGATGAAATCTAAATTTAACTCTATAGAATGTTGAGTAAACATAACTTAGTTTATGAACATTTCTTAGAGCATGTCTCGTTGTTTTCATTTAATTACATTAAACTGAAGCTTTTTTATTTTCCTAAATAATTGCATCATGAAAAGTAATCATCTGATCTCTTAAACAAAATAATAAACTAATAAATTATGACTTCGTGATGGAGCTTTTGAACAAAGCCTTTTAAATACAATAGAAAGATATTTTCTGTTGATATGGAAATATTGAAGGATGAAATTACAGCACTAAAGAATAATTTATAATAGAAATAACAAAAGCCACCCCCAAAGACAAAAATTATTTTGAGTTCATTGATGTAATATGCAATTAATTTATTTTTGATTAAGATCTCACTTCCTTTCTTTTGCATGCTTTTGACAAGCCAATTTTTGATGATAAAAAAAGGAAAAAATTTAATAAATGTTTCTGTGGAAAATGAATGTGTTGGATTTGTTTCATTATGAAGTTCCTTTACCTTTTCAGGCTTTCATTTCCAGAAATTATACTCGAAGGAATTTGTGACATGATTATGTCCACTTACTGAATCGATAATCGCACGCGATGCGATGGCTTCATTAGTTAAATTATCGCTTTCGTGTGTTCTTTAAAAAGTTATTAATTTCTAAATTTATTTTACTATCTGTTAAGAGGATCGTTAAAAACCAGTGAAGTATCATAGCTCTTGTGTTAAATTAACCACAACAACCGGAATGAAATCTGTTTTAATAGCATCATTACATTAAATATTTATGTAGAATAATGAACAAGTATCACGTTTATGTGTGCTGATGAATGTAATTTAACGAAAACATATCAATTTTCAAGTTCAATTTAGATTACAAGAAATTCACCCTTCACAGATAATTATTTAAGGTAAACGTTTAGATTCATTGCTACAGTTATAATTTAATTTCGATATGAAATTATTCAAAGCTTTCCTTCTTATTATCATATTCACAAACGTGAATGGATTTTTTAACAGATGGTGTCGATATCGATTCAGAAGAACGACTTCAACCACAGTAACTACATCAACTTCGACTACTAATGCTTTCCAATTAGATCCCAGACGAAGAAGACCTAAAAATAATCCCAACACACAACTAAGATTTGCATCAACCAACTAAATTTAAATGTCCAAATCGATGTCATGAATCGTTGACTTGGTCAACAAGCGTTAACAAAGACACAAATTAAATCTATTTTAAGAGAAAATTGATTTAGTTTTGAAACAACCTTTTAATGTGCTTTCAGAACTGTGTCAAAAGCTGTGAATTCAATTGGAAAGTTTTGCTTCAGTTACAGAAGATTTCATTGTCAAGGATTTAAATACTGAATCACTATTGTGATTTTATTGCTTTTCAGCTCATTGAATCTTCTGCATTTAACGATGCAAAAAATTTCTTATTGATGTTTAATTAAATATAACTTCATGACATTCAGATAACTTTCATATGAACTTAGAAACTTTGAGGTATGTAGGAAACTTGATATGACAACAGAGTTTTTGTCACGATTAATAACAATTTAACATTACATTCAAAAATAAAAAAATTGACAATCTCTCAAACATAGCATGAATTTTTTTTAAAAAATATTTACAAAATTTCGTTTACTTTATAAGCGAATGGATTTTGATTGATTCTCTTATTCGAATTTGAACTTATCAACAAGACATAATGAAGATCCTTCAATTTATATTTTTGATCATTTTGTTTATTACTGCTGTAACTTCAATTCCATGCCGAACTCGAGCTCCTGTAGTTGAAGAAGTTGAACCGGTGCTTTAATTTATTTGATTAATTTTTCCAAGAAAAATTTTAATTTTTTGTTTTCACAATACAGCAACCTGAAAGACATCGCAGGGAAGCGAGTAATAACGATGGTGGCCCCCGACGTGGTGGATATTAAATCTATCTGAGATGGATGATGAAACTATTCAAATCTAATCATTGTCAGTCAACTTATTTTATTAATTGAAATCTTCAATTTTAAATAAATAAAAAAAGACAAAGAAAGAATTTTTATGACATTTTTATCACTTCAAATATTTGTTTTTTAATATTTGTGTTCACTCCTTTTAAATCTTTTTTTTGATCCCTTAATAGCAATAAATCAATAAATGCAAATGAAAAGAAACAAAGCAATATCAAAAGACTTTTCATCCTCGCATCCGGCTTGGGTTTCATTATACAAGATTTTTAAAATAAGAAAATTCAAATTAATTTACGTGATTGCATGTTTTATTATTATAAATAAATATACAAAAAGTTACGCATTAATATTTTCATCTTTTCAATATTGTCTGGTGAATTAATTTTATATTTAAGGATATTAAAACTATTTTTTATTCAGATTTTGTACAAATGTTAAAACGATATGAACACCAATCAGTACAATCAGAACATACATTCACTCTTGCATTCACTAATAAATTTGTATAGTTAAAAAAATTAAAATGACAAGGAAATGTAGAGGAAAACACGTAAAGGAAACGTCTTAAAATAAACACAGGTTTTGCTTTCTGAAAAAGCTTTAAAATCTAAATTTTGGTATGAATTTTTAACATTTCATGTCAAATATTCAAGAATGAAGTTTCTCGTGATTTTATTGACTGTTTTGATTGTCATAGCTGGAATCTCTGCTCAAGGATGTCGTGATCGAAATAATAACGTCAATGACAATGACAATCCCAATCGAGATAATCCTGGCCAGGTAAAAATTGATATTTAATGATTGTTCAAGACTTTTTTTTATTAGTCCTTCTATTTTATTTTAATTTTAAGCTTGATATTAGAAATGCAGGCGATAATCAAGGCAGCAGTAGAGGCAAAAGTCGAAGTAGAAGCAGAAGCAATAGGAGAAGTAGAGGCAATGGCAATGGTAGAAGTGGAAGCAATAGTGGAAGTAGAGGCGTAGGCAGTAGAGGCGTAGGCAGTAGAGGTGTAGGCAATAGTGGGAGTCAACAGAAAAAGAGATTTGGTAGTGTAAACTAACATTTCACGAGATGTTGATAAGAAAACTCCAGTAAGACTTTATTGATGAATAAAGCGAATAAAAATTGAAAAATTATTTCGCAATGAATTTTAATGAGATTTTTCATTTAATTTTTTTCATTGATTTTCAGAATTTTAAAATGATAATTTATTATCTACATATTAAGCATTAATAAGGATGATGACATAATTTCTATAGGAAATTTCATGATATTTATGGATTAACATAACTTCATAAAAACTTAAAATTGCAAATCTAAATTTTTTTCATTTTGTTATGCTTTTTGAAAAAAATATTTTCCAAAATAATCCTAAGTGGATTTAGCTTAAAATATTTTTGACAAGTGGAATTATTAAAGTTTACGTTGTTTTATTAATATCCCACGATTAAAACTTTGAGCTTATGAATCACGCAACTAACTTTAAGCGTCCTAAAGCTATCAGGATTTACAAATATGAACATTTAAGTGGTGAATGTCATGGAAAGATCAAAAAGACAAAGTTATAAAAACTGAAATGAACATGTTCAAATCTGTTGTTTGGTAAATAAAAAATTAGGACATGTAAACGAAACATTCAAAAAACAGATTTTTTATTTCACCAAAAAGCTTTAAAAGCGAAATATTTTCAGTTATCATCACTAAAGTGTCTTTAAACGTACAAGAATGAAGATTTTTGTGTTCTTATTGACGATTCTGTTTGTTGCTGTTGCTATTTTAGCATCACAACCTAACAATGCAAACAATGATGCTTCTTATCAACTACCTCGTCGAATGGTAAATAAAAATAAGAATAACAAGTTAAATGAAGCTTTCATTGTTTTTAATTTCTATTAATGATGTTAGAGTGGTTTACTTAATCGACTAAGAAGCAGAAGGATAGAAGTGATGGACAAAATGGGACGACCTTAAAAGTTTCATTGTAACATTTTTCCAATCATGTTCAATTGAAGAAGCTCAATGAATAAAAATTGGATTACGATCTATAAAGCAATTAAATCTGATTTTATATCATGCAATTTTGGGAATATCTTTGATGGTCAATCAATATCTGACATTTCATAACTAAATGATTTGCATATTTGCAAACAAATATAATGACTCTAGTAGACTCGAATTGACAACAAAAACTATAAGTCAGTTATGATCAATAATGAATTATTAATAAATGCAATTATCAGTACTTTCATAACTAATAACAGTCAACTGAGCCAATTTTGTTTGCTAATTCTCGCCTATGTAGTCTGAATTAATCAATCAATCAATTTGAAAGTTGAAATGTTCATTCAATTCGTAACTTTTAAAGTGAAAAGTTTTATTATCCAATTGAAATCATGAAAATTGTGAAGTTTTATATTTCATTTATTCTCATTTGTTACCATTATAAAAATTCTGCTGCTAATATTTTGCTGCAATCTTCATCGAATTCGTCAATTCCCAATTTTATAAGCTGGTTAATCAATGAGAATAATAAGAGGGAACCGCAGAGAAATCATAACGTGGTTTTAATCGATCTTGAATTAACTTATAAAACTGAAATATTCAACAATACTTTGGAGGAAATATTACGCAGTAATCCTGACAACGCCGTAATGACCAGCAAACGTACAAAGAGAATTCCACCATATCGAATCCACACAGCATCCTTTATTATCATCATTTCCGATTTAGATGACTCTGTGAGTAAATAATTTCTTAAGTTAGCATAGAAATCTTTTTATAAATTTATTGGTTCTACTCAGATTAAGATCGCTGCATGTATCCATAACATTTTCCTGTTTAACAAATGGCAAGATTCTACAAAATTCATTTTTGTGTCTACACTTCAAGAATCAGTACATCGCAAAATCTTTTTCATTGCATTTGATTCAATTGGAGTGTTGAATAAAATTTTACTTCGCGTTAATCAAGGATTATTGGAAGTTTTTTCCGCAAAATATTTCCTAAGAAAAATTTATTCACATGGAGTTAAATCTCAAATGAACTTAGATCAACTTTTTCCGGATCAATTAAAAAATCTTCATGGATACACATTTCAAATATTACATATTCAACAATATCCTCGTTTTATGAAAGTTGCATATAGAGACTTTAGAGGAATAGATGTATGGATGATGCAAATAATAACATTGAAATATAACAGCAGAATGAATTTTCCCATATCAATTCCATGGACTGGTTACAAGAACATTTCAAAATTTATTATAGAAATGATTAATATTCGAACACAGAAGTCTTTGGATTTAACACTCTCAACAATAGTCACGTTATCTGATCTATCTACAAAATATATAAACACTTATGATGAGAATGGGTATTGTGCTTTAATTCCGTTGCCACCACGACTCACGTTTTTACATTTCATCTTGACTCCTTATGACACATTATCTTGGATGTTTATGATCGGTCTGGTTATAATTTGCAGTATTTTATGGAAGTTGAGTTCGAGAAATAACCAGCGAAAAGATTCAGCGTTTTATTTCTTTTTAATTCAAGTGGCAAATTTTTTGGGTCAATCGATTCCTTTTAGAAATTCTCGACGCATTCAACTTTTACTGCTTCAATTATGCATTATGATGACATTCATCATGGGAAATGCTTATCAATCTTTAATAATTCCTTCAATGTCAAGATCTCGGGAAGGCTTAAGAATTAAAACGTTTGATGAATTGATTAAAAGTAATATTTCGATAGCTGTTACTACAGGTTTTTATCATATTTTAAATCAATCGAATGAATTTCCAACATTAATAGAACGGAGCAAAGTGATACCTAATCATATAAAATTTACAGAATTTGGACAAAATCGAACTGCTCTAGTTATGCGTTGCGACTTAATAGAGTCCGCTTTTTTTCATGAAAGGCACGGACAAGTTACAACCAATCTTTATTACATTTTACCAGACAAAATAATGAAATTTTATGAAAAATTTCTTATAAATTCTTATAGTCCATTCTATGAAATGCTTCAAATGAATTACAATAAGTTGTTTGAGTCAGGGATAAAACAAAAATATGAAAATAAATTTAATATTAATGTCAAGAAAATTATGGAGAAAAGGGAACAAAATTTTATTGCAAATGAAAATTATCTTTTGAGAATGCAAGACATTTATGGAATTTTCTTCATTCTTCTTTTTGGATATGGAGTAAGTTTTCTTACATTCATTTTCGAACTGATCTCTCGACACAAGTTTGAACAGATCATAAATAAATTAATTGGTTCACGAAATTGATCACACCAATTGTAAGATTCATTCAAAAAATGAAAATGTATTCAAAACTTGCAACAGAAAATTAATTTAACATATAAAAACTTTAAACTAGTTTATTATTTGAAATATCTTGGGAAATGCTACAGAATTGCGTAGATGCAAAAAAATGTATGCCAAACTTTTTTCCCTCTAAATTTAATTGATTTGATTGTTTTGACCAAGTTTCATTACATGGAAATTCCAAATGTGTTAAAAATTACTGAAAGAAATTTTACTGTTCACTTTTTTAAATACTTAATATTTATTATCTAATAGTTCATTAATATAAAAAAGAAAATCAATGAAAGGGGAAAAACTTTTTTCATTGTCAAGTTTTTCCCCTTCCCTTATCATCAAATTAAAAACAAACGTATTTTAAATTAATTTGTTTTGATGAACGAGTTCAATGGTAGCAGTTTTTATTAAGAGAAAAAAGTTAAGCTAATTTAAATTGATATGAAAATTCATATAAAATTCACGAGTTTTGTGATTAAATCAACAGTAACATTTTAAACTTCAATCTAATTTCACTGGTTAGAATAATGAAAATTTTCCAAGCTTTGTTTTTCTTTTTCATCGTCATTGCAATGATTGATGCTGGAAGACATCGTGGATGGCGTCGTTGGAGAAACTATGTGGATTGTGATGACGAAACAACGACCACTGAAACGTAAAAAGAGAATTAACAATATCAATCAATTCAATCTTAATTCTTTGATTTTTTATTTTTCCCAGGCCGGATTGTGAATAATATGGAAAACAAAAGCATCACCGAGTTTGATCGTGCACGTGTGTTTGTTCAAAGTTTGAAGATTTAAAGTTTTGAATTAAATACAAGTTTCTTTATGAGAAAAGTAGAAATAAACAGAATTTCTTGGATTAAATGAAATCAAATGATTTTTATTCAGAAAAGGCAATAATAATGTCTAAAGCTTTCAGCGAAGCTTTCGCTTTTCAAAGCTTTTTAACGGCCGTATTTATTTTAAATTATTATTTGTAAACATATTTTGAGTCACCCTGTTTGAAGCGTTTTCGACCAATCCAGTTACCCTGTTTGTATTCCTTAAAAAATTCTAACATTAATTTGAAACTTGTTGAATTTATTTATTTAAAAGAAAAATATGCTCCTACGACTAGTGACACATAACTTAACATTCCATAGTTTAAAAAATGCAAGTATTCTTCGTAATCCTTCAGTCCTTCGCAATAATTTTCGTTATTTGGTTCGTGAAAAATCAACACAAGTCAGGAAAAGTGAAAAATTATTTTTAAATATCCCGCTAACCTTGGCCTTCGGACTTGGCTCTTCCGTTATTCTGAGGAAACATTTAAATACAGTTAAATGTGATATCAATCGAACGAACGATTTCGAAGTAATTTCTAATCCAGAATTGAAATTCGACTGGAAAAGATTCTGGAAATATTTAAAAGGTCATATTTGGAAGTTATTGGGAGCGATTGCAGCAGCCCTTGCTGTTGCTTATTTCAACATAAACATCCCTTCATTATTAGGACAACTTGTTAATGCTCTTTCGAAATATGCTGGCACTGATCATGGAACTGCAACAGATTTCCTTCAAGTAATTTTTTCTTCATTCCAATAAGAATGAACTTTGACTTTTGTTTATATTTTCAGGATGTGAAAGAACCAGCAACAAATCTTTTACTCTCATACTTAGCACAATCAGCTTTTACATTCATCTACATCTTCCTGTTAAGTCGCGTCGGAGAACAAATTGCATGTGAAATTCGTCGTGATCTTTTTGAAAAAATTCTCATTCAAGACATTGAATTCTTTGACGCGAATAGAACAGGCGAACTTGTTAATCGATTAACATCTGATGTTCAAGACTTCAAATCATCATTTAAGCAGACAATTTCACAAGGTTTAAGATCAATCGCACAACTCATTGGCGGTTCAATTTCTCTCTTCATCATCTCACCACAGCTTGCGACAATTGCTCTCGTTTCTGTGCCAACTGCAGTGTTCTTTGGATCATTTCTGGGACGTTCATTACGTGACTTGAGTCGTAAATCTCAAGCGCAAAATGAAAGGGCAACAAGTGTTTGTCAAGAAGCTCTTGGGAATATCAGAACAGTTCGAAGTTGTGCTGCTGAACATATCGAATTAATGTTCTTTGAGAAGGAAATTTATGAGTCAGCGAAATTGTCACAAGAGCTTGGAACTGGCATTGCTCTCTTTCAAGCTCTTACCAACATGTTTCTCAACTGTATGGTGCTTGGAACTTTGTATCTTGGTGGACATTTGATGTCGAATAATTCAATCACTGCTGGGCAATTGATGGCTTTCCTAGTTGCATCACAAGGTGTTCAAAGATCTCTCGCTCAAGGCTCAATCTTAATGGGAAACGTCATTAGAGGACTCACAGCTGGTTCTCGTGTATTCGAATATTTAGCTGTCGAACCAAAAGTTGATCTCGTTGCTGGTTCGACGATTCCCGATGAAAAGCTTAAAGGTGAAATTCGTTTTGAAGGGATTTCTTTCGCATATCCGTCACGTCCTGATCAAATTGTGTTGAAAGATTTTAACTTGACTCTTAAACAAGGCCAAACTGTGGCGCTTGTTGGTAGTAGTGGATCTGGGAAATCAACTGTTGCTGCTCTCCTTGAAAGGTTTTACGAGCCATCGAGTGGCGCAATATTTATCGATGGAATTAATTTGAAGGAAATCTCACCGATTTGGTTGCGCAATGAAGTTATTGGATATATTGATCAACAACCGATATTGTTCGGCTGTTCGATAAGAGAAAACATTAAATATGGTCGACAAAATGCAACAAATGATGAGATTATCGAAGCTTCAAAGCATTCACAGTCGCATGAATTTATTGAAGCACTTCCTGAGAAATATCAAACGAATGTTGGTGAACGAGGCGCTCAACTTTCAGGTGGACAAAGACAAAGAATCGCAATCGCTCGAGCTTTAATTAAAGAGCCAGTAATTTTAATTCTTGATGAAGCAACGTCAGCACTCGATGCAAGTAGCGAAGCGGAAGTTCAGAAAGCTTTAGATTCTGCCATTATTAATAGGACAACACTTGTGATAGCTCATCGTTTATCAACAATTCGCAATGCTGATCTCATTGTTGTGATCGATAATGGAAGAATTAAGGAACAAGGATCACATGATAATCTCATGAAGAGAAAAGGTTTATATTATGATCTTGTTAAACAACAAGAAAAGAAAAGCGAAGAAGATCGATCAAGAGCTTAAAGTGAAAGTCATTTACATATCACTTTGATGTGATGTCTTTAAGTTATTTTGAAATTCAATAACAAAATGTTTTAGGTAGATAAATGAGAGGAAAAGATAATATTTAATAGACAAATATATTAAAACACGACAGAAACAAATTTCACACGCCTTAAAATTATTAATACTAAATTCCACCTTTCTGAAGTCCATAACTACAAATTGCTGAATTTATTGCTTCGCTTTCCAAGGTCGTGTCTATTGATGATACTGAATTATTTGAATTTTGTCTTGAGGATGACTGTGATGATGTTGATGGTTGATCGGAGTCGTCTGATGAATCTTCATATAAATCAAATTCCGGTTTTTTTAAACCAAAAGTGTTTATTGCTGTTCGCACAGCTTCATTTTCTACCCCACGTAATTCTGTTGTTGACACTAATTCGAGGACACTTCTTGTTGATTCCAATAATCTATTGATATTTGCAATTTTAACTTGTTTTTAATTCCACTTAGGTTATTCACAATTAGCCCTTACCTGTTGATGTAATTATCGTCATAACATTTGGATAATTGAAGATTCTGCCATATTTTAAGTTCCAGCTTTTCATTATGATTAGAATTGTGAGATGAATTAAACCTCATTCGTTTTGCTTCCATCGTAAGAAAAATTTATGTTTACTTGATATCAAGTAGATTTATAAAAAAAGAGCTTTAATTTCTTAAATTATAAATTTATTCACAATTGGTGATGAATTTTAGAAAAATTTCTCTTTTCGAACATAAGTTTATGGATGTGTTCGATATTCGAAATCTCACTTCGAAATTCGAAATTGAAATTGTAAACAAACAAACGTTTCGAGAAATTTTTGTATCGTTCAGATTATAAATAAAATAAAAAGTTAAAAATGGCTCGAAATGCTGAAAAAGCTATGACAACCTTAGCTCGTTGGCGTGCTGCAAAGGAAGCAGAGACCGGTAAAAACGAAAGGCGGCCGTATCTTGCTAGCGAATGTCACGATGTTTCAAAATGTGAAAAATGGAGAATTGAAATTATCAGAGAAATTGCTAAGAAAGTAGCTCAAATTCAGAATGCTGGTTTAGGAGAGTTCCGAATACGTGATCTAAATGATGAAATTAACAAACTTTTAAGAGAAAAGCGTCATTGGGAGAATCAAATTTCAAATCTCGGTGGTCCGCATTATCGTCGATATGGACCGAAAACATTTGACGCAGAAGGACGAGAAGTCCCAGGAAACAGAGGGTAAGTTTAAAATTTTCATGATTTATTCCCTTTCTATATTAAGAACTATTCCTTAGATACAAGTATTTCGGTGCAGCTAAAGATCTTCCTGGTGTTCGTGAGCTTTTTGAACAAGAACCGCCACCACCGCCACGTAAAACGAGAGGAGAGTTAATGCGTGAAGTTGATGCAACATATTATGGATATCTTGATGATGACGACGGTGTTCTCATTCCATTAGAAGAGAAAGCATCAAAAGAAGCTCTTAAAAAGTCAGTCGAAGAATGGAAAGAAAAATTAAAGAAAGGCGAACTCAAGACTGGCGGTGAAGATGACGAAGAAAAGGACACAACATACACTGAAAGCGTCAATGATGAACTTTTAGCTCCCCGGTTTGTTTCTCATGTTGCTGTTCCCACACAAAAAGATATCGAAGAAGCTTTGCTCCGTAAAAAGAAAAAAGAACTAATGCAACAGTTTGGTATTGAATAAAGTTAAACAATTTTTAGCTTCATCATTGTAAGTGAAGCAATAAAAAGATAAGAAATTTATCAAGCACTTGAATATCTTTTTTTAACTTTTAATAAACAAAAATGAATGTTTTTATAGCTTTAATGATTAGATAAACTTTTCATTTTAGTTGCTCCCCGCAAATTTATTTTTTTTTCATAAATTTTATAAAAATTCATAAAAATTTAAAGTTTATTTTTTGGCTTTCTTGATTCTTGGAATTTCAAGATTGCCATTAAAGCTTCTTCACTTGTCTGACGAACTTCTAATTCTTTAATCTCTCTGTCATTAGCTTCTTCAAGTTCTTCAATTTTGAATCTCCTTGTAAGTTTTTTGTTCGACATAATTGATCCGATTGGTAAATCTCCAATTTTTTGGATCTTATTCCAAATCTCTTTTTCATCGTTGTAAACACTGGCAACAAATCCAAATGCATGAGCTTCTTGTGCAGACATTTTATGATTCAAAGAAAGCAATTCAATAGCTTTGCTGGTTCCAAGAATTTGTGGGAATGTTAAACTTGAGCATCCTTCAGCACCTGTGATGAAGTGGAATTTGATAAAATGTTTCAGTTCAAAATAACAGAAATACTTACACAGCCCAAGATTTGTAAATGGAGTATAAAAGTAAGCGCTATCGTGAGCGTAAATAATATCGCAAAGAGCGACAGTTGTTGCGGCAATTCCTATTGCTGGTCCATTAACAACTGCGATGAGAAGCTTTGGGAATCTAACGTAAGCTTTCACCTTTTAACATTTTTTTAAAAGTTAATAAAAATCGTAAAATAGTATTAAACATTTATTTACCATGTCATCAAGTGGCTTGTAAAGAGAACTTCCATCAGCTGGCAATTCATAGCTTTGCGTGATGTCATTACCAGAACTGAAATCAATCCAATTTTAAGTAAAATTGGGCATCCGATCAAAGTCCAAATGCCTACCTATAAAAATCTCCCTCTCCAGTGATAACAACACATTTAATGTTGTCGTCTTTCGCAGCTGTATTCAAAACATCAGCAAATGCATTGTAAATAATTCTACTGAGTGCATTTTTCTTTTTAGGATTGCTGATTGTCACAACTCTAAGTCCATTCTTGTCTTTTATTTTAAGGAATTCCATAGTCCACTCACTTCTTATTGCATTTTCTTTCTGAATGTTTTGAACTAAAAATCTTATACAAGATCAAGATTCAAGATTGTGACGTCATTTTCTTCGAAATTTGTAATTTAAGTTATTTCTTAATCTGCTTTCGAAAGATGAAATAAGTCAAATCATGTCAAATAATAATAAAGGTTTTTGTTTATAATGTCATTACATTAAATCTTATTTAATTAATGATTGAAAATCTTAATTTTCGTTAAAAATTTGAAATTACAAATAATGTTTACAAGGAAGTGTATTCAGTAAAAGTTAAAATTTTGTTTGTTCAGTGAAGATGGCTGCAACTCGAAGATTACAAAAGGTAATAATTAAAATATCTACCTATTAATGAGTGCCTGATGTTGAATCTGTACTCAGTTTCTTAAAGTTCACTGACAATAAAATCATAACAATTTTTTGGAATATCAACGTTGACATTTATTCAATGAAAATTTTTAATTTTGTATTTTGCGAAAAAAAATTTAAATTTTTACAATTTTATTTTCTATTTCTTAGGAATTAGCTGATATCAAAGCATCCGGACTGAAGTCTTTCAGAGACATAGAAGTTGATGATCGTAACATTCTAATCTGGTCAGGCTTAGTATGTCCTGTAAGTAAATTATGAATGAAGGAAAGATCCAGCAATGATGAAATCCTTCTCCATGACTCATTCAGCTGTTAAACTATAATGATTCATTCTCTTCTTCTTTTTAGGATAACGCTCCGTATAATAAAGGCGCTTTTCGAATTGAAATCACATTCCCAGCTGAATATCCTTTCAAACCACCGAAAATTTGCTTCAAAACCAAAATTTATCATCCTAATATTGATGAGAAGGGTCAAGTTTGTTTGCCCATTATATCAGCTGAAAACTGGAAACCAGCTACAAAAACAGATCAAGGTGAGTGAACAAAAAATTATCAATAGAAAGTTGCAAATAATATTATTTAAATTTTTAGTTATTCTTGAATAATGTGTTTATTATTGGGATTAAAATCTGTTCATTTTTTTTAATTTTGTTAATTAATTTTAGTACTAGCTTCACTTGTGGCACTAGTGAATGATCCTGAGCCTGAACATCCATTGCGCGCTGAACTTGCAGAAGAATTCCTGAAAGATCGCAAGAAGTTTATGAAGAATGCCGAAGAGTTTACTCGGAAACATAGTGAAAAACGACACGATTAGATCATTTCCCAACCTGCCTAAGCTTCAACTCTCCTAAAAGTTTCCTTAAGAACCAACGAGACTCAACAAGTCCTGAATTTACTTCTTTTTGTTTTAAATGTTAAGCGCTTAACTAAATTCTTCAACGCGCTACGTACGAGTGAATTAAAACTTATTATATAAATTATAAACTTCATCGATGTCTGAATATTGTGATGTGCTGAGACTTTGGAAATTGTTATCAACTCTCTATTTTTTCTTCAAATTCATTTAATAAAAAAAAACATCTTCAGACATCTTAAAAGTTAAACGAAATGTGATGTCATGCTCGTTATCATCGAAAATTTCTTCTTCTGTCTAAAGTGGAGTGAATTGGATTGTGTGAAAATGAAAATCAATCTTTAAAGTTTAAAGAATGAATTTCAAATATTTTAAAATGAAATCAAAACCAATCCAGACCAACATCTTTTCATGGACAAAATCATTTCTTCCTTTTTCATTTATAATGCGACGCGAATACTTAGTCTTCATCTGCCCGTTCTACTCTCCCATTTAAATCCTTAATTAAAGAGAAAGAAAAAATGTTGTCGATCAAAGATTTTTTGTTTTCTTAGAGAATAAAATGAATTTTAAAATATAAAACACAAAAATTGTTTTGAATTGAAATTTTCTTTTATTGTTTTCAGCTAAAGTTTGATCCTTAAGAATCGGCAATTTTCATAAGTCAATTGTGTATACTTATAAGCGAATTAATACTTTGTTTAATAAGATTTCCATTAATTGAGCTTGGTTACATGTGAAAGTCTGTTTAAAGACTCATAGCTACATTTTAGATGAAGAGAGCAATAAGTTAGGCTTGAGAATTTATAATTTTTTCGAGTATATGGTGCGCAGTTCATAAATAACGTCAAATTATTAATTTTTTTCATACAAAGAAACAGAAAATCCTTTTCAAAGCTTTTCATTCATTTAAAATGTCTCAATGCATTCTACTTTAGCTTGAATTTTGATTCAAATGATTTTATAATCTTTTCTTCTTCCCTGTACTCTAATTTGCCATAACTAAGCACATTAAAATCTTCCAATCATTTCTAAATTGTCATCAATTTGACTTCCTGCAACAATCGACGTCATTTACATGCAACTTAAGTTTTCCAATAAAGCAATAAAGTTGGGTTCGACCTTCGTTCAGGAATATTTTCCGTCCAAACCCTAATTTTACAATAAAATATTAAAATTAATTTCATTCACATCCAAAATGAGTTTTTCGATTTCAAAGCCAAAATATAAAAGTTTTAAGTGGAATGCAAAAATATTCGAAGAAAAACGCTGCGATTATTCATATTGTGGATAGATTTGAAAGTTAATCAAAATAGTTTTTCTTTTCTCACATGTTCGTTATAATAAACACAAAAAATAAAAATAAAAAGAAGATAAAATTATTAAAAGTATCACAGATTAACATTTCCGCCTTCTCACTCAACGTCACAACACATTCACGTGTTATTGACACTCGCTGGCTTCTTGTGAACGTCTGACGGTGGAATATCCAAAGTTTTCTTCACACGCTGACGATTCTCGCGAATCTTTTGTTTTCGTTTTGCACGCCAACTGTCGCGAATTCGATCACCATTTGGAGTGAAGTCTTTGGCAAGATGTGGTGACATTGTTCGCGTTATTATTTCAGGCACTTTCTCTTTCTCAGGAGATGGTGATGAATCAGTTTCATCATTCGATGGTACAATCGTGAAGCTTGGTTGTGCAACTGAACTTTTCTCACTCACTTCCGGTGTGTTGCAACTTGAACTTGCTTCACCATGGAAATTCTTAATTTCCCACATGAGATCAGATGGTGGCTGATGATGACTTCCAAGTATGGCACCATGGATTGCAAGACGATCAAACCATTCAGCAAGTGCTTTAAATGATGGCCTTCGATCCGGGTTAAGATCACAACAATGAAAAGCAATCTGATAGAAAAGTTCCGGACACGGATCGTCTTGCTTGCAAAAAACTTCCGTAAATTTCATTTGATTCAAACCAAAGTCATCAGTTCGTGGCATATAGTCGGGATCGGCTTGAACACGTCCAATAATCTCACACATAATAATTCCAAATGAAAACACGTCAACTTTCTCATCATATTTGTTTCCTTTCAGCATTTCCGGTGCCATCCACCATGGCGAACCAACGACAGTGTAACGTTTTCGTCTTTCTTTCTGACTCTTTCGATTTATGACTGTTCCATTCGCTCCCTCGCTCGGATTATGACGACAAAGTCTTGCTAATCCAAAGTCAGCAACGATAACAGTTTTATCATTTCCATCGCGCACCAAACAATTGTGAGAGTTCAAATCACGATGAATAATGTTCATTGAGTGTAAGTAACTCATACCCATACTTATATCACGTGCAAAATGAATTCTCTCCGTCCACGTCAAAGGAACTTCAGGCTTCGTTTCATTATGAAGTAAATCAGCTAAAGTACCTCCACTGATGAATTCTGTTATCAAATGAAGTTTCTTTTCTTTGTACAAAACTCCAATGAAACGAAGAACATTTTTGTGATGTAATGAACGTAGGACGGCAACTTCTTTTAAAAAGTTTCTTTGTGCATCGTCATCAACCCATCGATACAATTCTTTCAGAACCATAACTTCCTTTGTTTCTTTATGTGTGACTTTGTAAACTTGACCGAAGAATCCACGACCCAACATCTCCCCAATAACCAAGTCGCTTGCACGAAAGATTCTCTGATTGTGCGTGCCATTCGGTGGCTCAACGCGAAAACTTTTCGTTCTTGAGAGATCATACATTTGATGTGTTTCAGGTGCTGCATTTTGTCCCAACAGCAACTTCGACATACTTGAGCTTCTTTCTTTTCCATCACGTAAAGAATTCGACGACTGTTGACAATTGAACTTTCTTTGATGTTTTTGTGTTGGCTTTTGAGCGCGTTGAAGTTTATTGAACTTCTTTGGTGTTCCACTCATGTATCCTTCATCCATTCTCATTGCTATTCTTGCTTTATCAAGTTTAGGTGGTGGTGGTGGCATCAAGCATTCTGATGGATTAATTGACGACGACGAAGCATTTCTACTCACCGCTTGAGTCGTTAGAAACTCAAGTTCACCTGAAATTGGATTCCTTCTTGTCACAGTATTTGGTTCGTGTTCGATTGTGAGTTGTAAAATTCGATCTGTGTCGTCAATGATTTTTTGAATGTCTTTGACTGATGATGATCCACTAACTGAATGCCCATTAACATCAATAACACGGTCACCAACATGAAGCGCCATCAAGTCTGGGTTTTCATCCAATCTTTACATAATAAAGAAAACAAACATAATAGAAATCAATAAAATGATGTCTGAAGTTCATCACTAAATTTACCTCGAATTTCCACCACCCCCACCAGCACAACATAAGTCAGCAAATGTTGGCTCTACCATGGAACAAAAATATTTTCCCCATCGCCCATAAATTGAGCAAAACAAACTAAACCATTCCATTTATAATTTTTTTGTGTTAGCAGAGAAGAAATTGTTCCAATAATGTTAGCTGAGTTAAATTTTCTACATAAAAAAGGAAATTTAACTTACTCAGAAATTCTTACACCTCTGCATCTTGTGCCACTTGAAGTACCCGACGAATCATCATCAACTGATAATCGAATTGAATTTTTATTCTCACTTCGCCATGGAATTTCAACGAGTCGAATTGAATGTGGTGGTTTTTTAATGATGGTAACGGTGGTTGACCTCAGCTCGGGATGTACTTGATGTTGGACTTGACTAGGTGGAATTTGTCTTTTATAACAAGATCCACAATATAATTGTGAACGTTCAATGAGTGCATAGGAATCGCCATCACCAATCACAGATCCACACACTTTACAACAGAAGCACTCAGGATGGAATCGATGATCACCAGCTATCATTATCGGCCCCGACACCAACTGCCCACACTCCTGACAACATTCACCAAACTTCCGCCAATAATCATCTTTACAAAATAATAATCCATCTTTCTCGAAGTAGAAATTGGAATAGTACATTAAACAATCACATGCTGAGCACCTGCAACAAACGACATTGAATTGTTGAAAACAAAAAACAAACAAAAAAAGAAACAAAACAAAAACGAAAACTCACCTAAAGCAGTCGATGTGGTAATTTTGACCGAGTGCTGTAATAAATTCCTCATTTTCCAAACCGTTTAAACATGATGCGCAGCTGATTTCGTCTTCTTTTAAATCATCTGAAAGAAGAATTTGTTTTTTTTCTATAAAATCAATTATGGCAATTTCCAGTGAGTTGATTTCCGTGTAGGCGGAAGAGTAAAATAATAAAAAGAAATTAACAATTTCACTACAGTAGTTTCCCTTTGTTTTATTGCGATATTTGCCCTTCGCTTATGAACTTCGATTGCATCAACATGAAAATCAATGAGAAATGCACCACTTTGGGGGCTTATTAGCCATGTTTGTCCATTTCCCACTTTCACACTATTTTCCAATAAGAAATTTTCGAGTTAAAGTGTTACGATGAACATGCACAAAAATAATCTTTGTTTTATTTGTTTTAATGCCATTATTTACGAATTTTTCCCTTCTCGAAACAACAAAAATCAATTTTCTTTCACATCGCAAAAAAAACATGTTTCGTATATCACAATTTATGACAAATATATACTTCAAACTGGCCTAAATTAATAACACCATTACTTTAACTTATTTAAAGTTTTCGATAAAACTAAAAAAGCTTAATAAATGTAGTAAATTACCGATTTTTTCGTTTAACATCTTAATGAAAACATGTTTTCGTCTGATTCAGTGTACAATGTTGCAATGATGTCGATGACGGACAATGTTTCCCGTGCTTGTCCGGGATACCTTACTGCTGTTATTTTCGAAACTTGTTCAATTTAATTATTTTAATTGGATTGGGATAAATGTTGTCGAAATTGGTGATATTCCAACATTATTGAATTTCAGAAATAAAACATTATTCTAAAATATTTGATTATTCTATTCCAAGTTAGATGATATAAAATAAACTAAGTTGTTTCAAACTTTTTAACGAAATAAAATATTTCAAAATATTTTCGAAAATAGTATACTTGGTGATGAGTCAAAGTATACTTCCAGAATGTGTTTTTCCTTCGAAATTTCAGTCTAAAAAAATTGTAAACAAGAGATTTAGAAAAAGTAAGAATCATATTGAAAGAAGTGAATGTCGAGTAATTGAGTGCAAAATGTGTGTATAAAGTGCTTCTTATAATGTTTGGTAGTAATTCATATCAACCAATGAAAGGAAGTTATGCTAGGAACCGCTGCTTTCGTCTTTTATTTATTCCGATAGTGATTTTGCTATTTTACTTTGTGATACATCATTTTTTATCAAACGTAATGATTAATGAAATCTTCTTATAACTATAAAAATTACACTAATGGTACTTCAATTACAGGTTGATACAAATGTCCAAAATGTTGATTTTTACAAATCTCGTTATCAGCAGTCTATCGATTCTTATGAAGATTTTAATTCAATGAAAGCCAGCGATCTCAAGCAGAGAATCGCTGAAATGCTTAAGATAAAGAGCACTGTATCATCAGAACTTCGTGAACTTGAATCAAAACGTCAGAAACTTCAATCAGACATTTCAAGTTACAATTCGAAAATCGACGAGCTCAAGCAAGAATTGTCAAGACAGCAAACAGAACTTAACCGACTGAAAATTTCAGTAGAACAGGCACAAGTAGCACAAAGAGAAGCTGTTCTAAGGAACACACCTGAATTAGCTCTCCCGAATGCGTTGTACCCAAACTCACTACCGAAAATTTATAAACCTCCAAGTTCAAAAGATTTTCTACGATGCAAACTTTCAACTTGTTTTGATCACAGTCGTTGCTCGATCACTTCAAGCTTCCCTGTCTATCTCTACGATCCTGACACTACTTTTGTTAATAATAATGGATATGAAATTGATGGATTTCTTAAAACAACAATAAAACAAACTCTCGGTTACAACGCTCATCTAACAAAAGATCCTAAAATCGCTTGCGTTTTTCTTGTGCTTGTTGGTGAAGCACTTTCAGAGCAAGAAGTACTTAGGAATAATCGCTATGCAAATACAGTTGATATTAAAGTTACTTCAAATGAAGTTCTTAACATAACAGCATTACAACGATTGAAATATTGGGGAGGTGATGGTCGAAATCATGTTCTGATGAACCTTGCACGACGTGATTTAAGCACAGCATCGAAGAATGTTTTCTCGAATTTGAACACTGGAAGAGCTATGCTTGTACAATCGACATTCAGTGAAGCTCAATATCGACATGGCTTCGATCTTATCGTGGCACCAATTTTGGGAAGACCTGGCGGTGATGTATGGCAAGAATGCTCTCCAATGCTACCAGCAAGAAGAAAATATTTGCTTAGTTTTCAAGGTGAAATGGTTGTCATTAATCGAACATTAAACAATGTTGAAGATTCAGAAGAACAAGCGATTGACGAATTCATCATTGATCATCTGAAAGAAATCTCAGACAGTGTTCATTCCGACAACTTTTATCTTCAATTCGAATGCATTCCTGCAACAGAACAGACGAACATTGCTGCTTCTAAAGATTGGTATTTATGTGGAACAGACAATTCACGTCGAACAATTCTCCGTGATTCTACATTCGCATTACTCTTAGTGCCAGAACGTTCTATGATAACATCAACGTTACTTCAAGCGCGTGTTTATGAAGCTTTACGAGCTGGTGCAATTCCGGTTATCCTTGGTGGCGATCAAATTGAACTTCCATTCTCAGAAATGATTGAGTGGCAACGAGTTGCTTTATTCCTACCAAAAGCTCGTGTCACTGAACTTCATTTCTTGCTAAGATCTGTTCCCGATGCTGATCTTTTACTAATGCGACGTCAAGGAAGAATGATTTGGGAAAGATATTTAAGTTCAGTTCAAGCAACTGTTGACACAATCATAGCGAATTTGAGAGATCGATTAGGAATTCCACCAAAGCCTGTTCCATCTGTTAAAGCTGTGAGTGTCTTCAATTCATCGTTTATTCCTTTAAAATCAGATCCACCAGTGATGGATGTCGAGCCTGAAGAGTCTTTAGGGCCTATTGAGCCACCTTACCCATCACCACAATTCAGAAGAAATTACACAGTTTTTCTTACACAACGACGAGAGGCTTGGAACGATTGGGGCGATCCTTTCTATTTATACCCACAATTACCATTTGATCCCGTTTTACCTTCGGATGCCAAATTCATTGGATCGAATCTTGGATTTCGACCGATTGGAAAAGGAATTGGTGGGACTGGGAAGGAATTTGGTGAATCTTTAGGTGGGAATTATCCGCGTGAACAATTCACAATTGTCATTCTTACTTATGAACGTGAACAAGTGTTGATGGATTCATTGGGAAGACTTTATGGTCTTCCTTATCTTCATAAAGTCATCGTTGTTTGGAATTCACCCAAACCACCGCTTGAGGATCTTCGATGGCCGGAAATTGGAGTCACAGTTGAAGTTGTAAGAGCCACAAGAAATTCTCTTAACAATAGATTTTTACCGTACGATTCTATCGAAACTGAAGCTGTTTTATCAGTTGATGATGACGCGCATTTACGACACGATGAAATTCTTTTTGGATTTCGTGTTTGGAGGGAGCATCGTGATCAGATTGTAGGATTTCCTGGACGTTATCATGCGTGGGATGTGAATGGGGCGTGGAATTATAATTCAAATTATAGTTGCGAGCTTAGTATGGTGTTGACTGGTGCAGCATTCTTTCACAAATATTACACTTACCTTTACACTCATTGGCTGCCTCAAGCTATACGTGATAAAGTTGATGAATACATGAATTGCGAGGATATTGCAATGAATTTTTTAGTGTCACATATGACACGACAACCACCAGTGAAGGTGACATCTAGATGGACATTTAGATGCCCCGTTTGTCCTATTTCATTATCAGAAGACGATACACATTTCCAGGAACGACATAAATGCATCAACTTTTTCACTCAGGTAAAAAATTTTTAACTTTATGAAATTTGTTAAGTGAATTAACGTTTGAATAACTTTAAACTTTGTCTCTACAGGTGTTTGGATACACTCCACTGCTGAATACACAATATCGAGCCGACTCAATTCTCTTCAAGACAAGAATCCCTCATGATAAACAGAAATGTTTTAAGTTCATCTAAGTTCTCTTTTTCTTTAATAGACACACCAAATCACAGTTTGACATTCATTAATTGTTGCGCTCGATAGTGCCATTGAAGCCAGCCACATATTGTGGCTTTGTAACTATTCTAGTTAATCAAACTCGACTTGAATACTTATTTAATGTTAAGATTTTTTTTTATTTATCAACTGTAATTGTGGTAAAAATTGTGAGACATCATATGGAAGTTAGAGAAAGAATCGAATTAGGGTTCGTTGAAACGTTCGTCGTTCATCGATCCCTAAAGTAAATAAAAATTAAATCAATCCAAAATATTGCAATTTTATTGAGTTTATACATTTTCTGTGTTGAATGTGTTGATTTTTAGAGAATCAGAAAAGAATAATTTATTGATTCCAAACATAAAAGTTGTTTTTCCGAAATTGTTAAACTGTTTAAGATGTGACAGAATGCAAATATAAAAACGTGAAAACAAATATTTAAACATTTGTTTCAGACCTTTTCAACGTTTTCTCTCCAAATTGAACTTCGTTATTGAATTTAAATTTGGACACATTTGAAAACTTTTGAAGATGGAGTTGTTGCTGTACAATCATAATCACAACGACATTCATTATAATTATAAATAGTTTTGCAACCATCTTTGTCTGGGCACCAGAGAGTACATTGCGGTGGAGGTTCTGTCGTGGTGTAGGGTGGTGTAGTGATATCTGGATTGCACCGACAGTTCGAACACGAATCACAAACTTCAAATCCATTAGGACAATATGGAGGTGAACAGCACACAAATGGTTCACATTCACATGTCTCAGAATTTATTCTATATTCGCAAAATCGATCCGAACCTTGACATTCGACAGGTTCACAAGTTGTAGGTCCTGGAGTAGTATCAGTGCATTCATAATCACAACGGCATTCATCATAATTATAAATAGTTCTGCAGCCATCTTTGTCTGGGCACCAGAGAGTACATTGCGGTGGAGGTTCTGTCGTAGTGATCTCAGGTGGTGTGGTATTGTCTGGATTACAGCGACAGTTGGAACAAGAATCACAAACTTCATAACCGTTAGGACAGCTTATTACGGTGCAACAATATTGGACTTCACATTCACAAGTTTCGGGATTTCTCATATAAGTACAAAATCGATCTGGGCCAGAACATTCGCCAGGGTCACAAGTTGTTGGTTCAGGTGTTGTTGTGCACTGATAAACACATTCACAAACGTCATAATTGACATATACATTGCAGTGCTCTCTACTTTCACAAGTAATCTGACATATCGGGGGTGGAGGTTCAGTCGTACTTTGAGTAGACAACGAGACAAATTGAATAATTAAGAGACAAAAAATTAATTTTAAGTTCTCCATCACTTTTAATCTGCTGTTCAAGGAAAACTGACAAGTCATGGAAAAAAAATTATCACATTTATTAAAAAATAATAAGTTCAAGTTGTTGTTGGTTTCGTGAAGAACAGTTTTTGAAATGAAACGTGGAAAAAAATTTCTTCATAAGTTTTGTAAACTTTACACCATCAAATATATGTTCGATTATTCGGTTGGAAACAGATCTGCGTAGTTTTAAAACTAAACATCATTAGTTGTTTCGATACAGCAAATAAAATATTGAGTCAATTAGGTACACAGACAGATCATGAAACACCTTTTAAAATATTCAACAACTGATGACTAGAATGAATAATTTCTAGTGTATGTTTTTATTCAATGAATTTTCATTAACAATGCTTCCAAATTTCAAAATAAATTCCGTCGATACTTTACAACATTTATAATCAAATATTCAATTAAAATTATTAAAAATTATTAAAATCATTTTACTGTTCTTTGAACATGCAATTGTCGATTCAAGAATCTTACCTTTCAATCATTTCTTGGTCTAAATTTAACCCAAATTCCATTTTCCGGTTTAATATTGAAAGGAATTTTAGCAAACTTCAAAGGTATTTCAGTTTTTTCAGCAGTCACAAAGCTAAAGTTCAGCAAGAGATAATAAAAGAACGTTTTAAGTTCCATGAGAGCAAATCGACTTCCAATGCAATTTCTGGGTCCAATTCCGAAAGGAAGATAAGTGTCGGGATCAATGTTTTTACGATTTTCCTCATTGAATCGTTCGGGATCGAATTTGTCAGGATTCGGAAAATATTTCGGATCTCTGTGGAAGTTCCAAATTGGTATGAAGCAACTTGATGTTGTATCGAAATGTAATCTTTTGTTATCAAATATCAAATCGTAATCTTTAACGCATTTACGATCAGTTACCTAGAAATATTAAAAATTATTTTCTCACAAAACTCTTCATAAACATTTCAAAACCTACTGGAGCTGGAGGCCACTTTCGAAGAGCTTCCGATACAGTTTGATCTAAATATTTCATTGATTGAATCTTTTCGTACGTAATTTTTTTGCCATCAAGTTCTTGATTCATTTCGTAAATTTCTTGGTAAAGTTTTTGTTGAACGTCACGATTGCAGACAAGTTCGTATGCCATGAAACTCATTGCAGTTGCAATCTAAGTGGTTAATCATGAAATTTATTAGTTTGTGAATAGTTTGTGAATTCAATTTGCTTACCGTATCAAAACCTGCTAAAAAGAAGATAAATGCTTGAGCTGCCAAGTCCAAATCTTCCCATTTCCTGGTAACTTCAGATTTACCAACACTCGATTCTTCAACAGTTGCAAAACCGTCAGATGATTTGTCATTAGCATTACTCTCTTGATTATTTTGATGAGTTAATTGCCCTTTTCTAGCTTGAATTAACAAGTGAATCATATCGTGTCGAATAATTCCTTTTTCTTCTCGAATTCTCATCGTCTCTATAATTGCTTCTTCAAAGAAGTCACAACTTTCCTTGTCAAGAATCTTAATGTTTGTCAGTTTCATAAGCGCAGGGAACAGCATGTACCCAACAAACACTAAAATTGTTCTTGTTGAAGTAAAGTTTGTTAATTTTTTTGCAATCTTATGGAAATCATTGTCAGGTGTTGTAAAAGAGTTGACTTCAATTCCAAAAGCACACGAAGCGATGACATCAACCGCAAATTTTATTGAAAGTTCTTTAAACTCAAATGAATCTTCATTTCCATTTTTGATTTCTTCTTTCATACTCAAAGCCGTTTGATGTCCAACTGTACTCACAAAGTCAAACATTTGTCGCATTTTACTTCCTGTAAATGCTGGGCTGAGAGTCGCACGCATGTCTAAAAGAAATTTATGAAAATTTTATTTCTATGATCAGAAATCATAATAAAATTGAAAATAATTTACCTTTCCATTTTTGCCCTCTTAGCGACACCAAAGCTTTACCAAATAAGGGATCAATGTCTTCAGTTATCACTGAACGATGATCCATGAAGTAATCGAAATCTTTCACTGCGATTAGTTTTGCAATTTTTGGATCTTTAATAAGAACTAAAGGCTTACGAAACTCAAAAAGTCCAGTAACTCTGTAATTTATTATATTAAGTTAATTAATTAAATATATTTCAATAACTTACTTTTCATTTGGAAATTCATTGTACCATTCATCAAGTGTGTCCATGAAATTCTTTTTCCTTGTGATAAGATTGATATTAGTTCCGAACAAAGGTACTGGCTTTCTAAATGGAATCTCTTGTCGTTCAAAGTATTTATAAGTAAGAATTGACCATTTATAAAATAAATAAGCAGCAATGGCTATTAAGAAAATAATATAAGCCATGGTTATGATGCAACACGTTAATATTTGATGTTAGCAGAATGTCAATTAACTTCTTATCTTTCAATGAAAATGTTATCGATGTTTGAATGAAGCCACAAGTTCTACACCCGAAGCAACTTTTCACACTAAAATGCGAATATTCTCTCAACACTTTTTTATACCAAAATCATTTTCAAACATCAACAAGAGATTCCAGAGAGAAGAATTTCGCAATAACACGAAAATATGTAAGAGTATCACGTAAATATATTTAATCAAGTTTTACTCTCTCGATAAGATAATTTTGTATTGAATAATTTTGCTTGTAGATATTTCAATGTCATGAACGAAACTAAAATTAGATTAGAAGATATCTGCTCGTAATTTGATGTTATAAACAGAATAAAATATTTTTTACTCTGCAATTTTCTTTCAGTATTAAATTATATAATTCATTCCCTTGGTTTTAAAGCATTCCAATATCCATTGATGAGTTTCACTGCAAAGGAAACTTTTTTATATTCAAAAGGAATTGTCGTTCTTTGAAGTGACTTCAATGGAAAAGTTTAAAAGAAAGATGTAAAAAATTGTTTCATTTCTTTTAAAGCTAATCGAATTCAAATACAATTTCTGGGATCAACACCAAAAGCATGACTGGTTCTGGAAAAAAATATTCAGGGTCATGATGAAAGCAATAGATCGGGACTACAATAATTGTATGTTTAAGGAAGGGTTTTCCATTATATCTCTGGAATTGTAAAACTCATTTCATCAGAAGAAAAGATTGTTAGAAATTGCATGAAATGAGAAACTTAAATTGTTCTGAACTTAATGAAATATCACACAAGACTGATTAAAATCTTTCAGATGTTCACGCTTTTAGAGAGCATGAAATCTCGAAACATTTAATTTATTTTTGTTGAGATTCATATCAAACTCGCGAGTCAGTTTTTCTCAGTTTTTCTCTTTAAAAATCTCTCAAAAATATTGTTTTGATGTGGGAGTTGAATGCAAATATTTATTTTTTATTATACTTAATGAGTAAAATTTAGCGTTAAATAAAAAGTTTAGGGCACTGAAAAATTGTTTCAATTTTTGTATAATTACATTCATATATAAAACGCTATGTATAATTAAGAATAATAAATATAGTTACAGTCTGTAAATAATTTAAATAAATTATCTCACGCATGTAAACAAAACATATTGAGAGTTCTCAAATGTAACCTTGACATTTAATACCATTATTTTTTTGAAAATGTAGAAGAATAAAGTTTATTCAATAAACCTTTTCAATCACTGAAGTATGATCGCTTAAAAGCTTTCATTCGACAAAAAGCTTTTTATTAAAAGCTCAAAGGCTTTTAAAGCACGAGAAAATCATAACTGTTGTATGGTTTCATGAAATGTCATTAATAACTCCGTTATTAAAAGAAATTCTTTACTACCATAATCAGGTTTTAAAAAGAAAATAATAACTCGTTAATTAGGTAGACATTAAAAATTAATTAAAACATTTTACAAGTGTGAAAGTTCAATTCGTAGAATAAATGTTTTTAAATTCTTCTTTTTTGCTTTTGTAACTTTATTACAAACTCGTCACGAGACCTTGAATAGAAATGAAATTAAAAAGTTTTTTTGAGGGATTAGAAATTTTCTTTCTCAAATTACTTTTTCAGCCACAAATGACACTAAAATAAATTGAAATTTGTCATAATTGATGATTCAAATCGATCTGTTAAAAAGAAAGGTGAAAGGTTTATTGCAATTGCAATTCTCTTTTTAGTGTACACAAATTCAAACATTTTAATTTTCTCACCAATCATCATACAGGTGCAAATGATTTGCATACTCTTGTAGTTTCGCACGAACACCGGCCTCAGAAAGAATTAATTCAAGACTCTTATTTATTATAAACATATGTTCAAAGTTTTAACAGAAATTTTTCTTTGAGATGAAACCATATGAGATTGTTTGAGAATCTAAAGCTGCTTCTTTTTTGTGAAAGATTTGCAAAATCGAGACGACTGATCATATAACTTTTTAAATGAATGGAAAATTTATGTTAAAAATTAAAAACTTGAATCGAGATCTTCTTATTATTAGTCGGATTTTTTAACATTTCGATGACTAAACTTACTCGTTTCTATGGCGAATGTTTCGATTTCATTTAAATGAGATTATTCGAGCAATCAATTAATCAATTATATCTCAAAGTTATCAGAACTTATTATTATTATTGGTTTCCTAAGGAAGGTATTTTAGTCTCAACCAGCTATAAATAAAATCGTATTTTGGAAAAAATTTTAATTGATCAATGGTATTTGTATTAGTGCAGGTGTTTTTAATTTTATCAGATAACCGGTTCATATCTTATTAGTTATTAAGTCTAGCAATTCAGTGATTTGACAGAATCCTGAATATTCAGAAAACTGAAGTCTGTCTCTAAAACACACGAAATGATTGAACGAAGGATTGACGCACGACGAAAGTGTATCAAACTTATTCCCAACTGACGTAATCAAAGTTTCGAATATGAAATCATTTAACAATTAGTTTACCAACGAAAGTGTTAATATTTGACAAATAAAGATTTAAAGTGGTTCTTCATTTCATTTATCATAAACCTATAGACAATACTTAACCAAAGTTTTAAAGGAAAACAATAACTAATAAAACTCTTTTTTTATGAAAAGTTTGTATGGCTCAAAGCATCTAATTTTTAAACCAACATTTAATTATGATAATGTTCGAAATTAAATGTCTGTGAATTCGATGAATTGCAAACAATCATTAAAAGTAAATTAATAATACCTACTTCACATATTTCTGTCATCGGTAACTGCTGCGTTGCTTTATGAAGAATTCTTTGACTTTCAAAAAAGGGGCAAAATCAAAATTTGAAACTAAAGCTTTTCTCAAACCTTCTTCTGGGTCAACAACATGTTTGTTTTCATGATTTATAGCACGTCGTTAAATTTCTTGAAATATCGGATCTTTAGCTTTCTGAATAATTTTTTTATCAGTTTAGATGATTCCAAAAGCAAAATCAGATTTTATAAAAGATCTTCAGCTGTGAATATTCTTGCAACTGATTCGAAAGCTTTGACGTCAATGATTATAAATAAATATTGTAATTAAAGACAGAGAAGAGAAATGAAATGATGATGATGGTTGTTGCAGTTGTAAATGAGTTTGGGTTCATCGAAGGACTTTGTAAATTTTTAAAATGATGCGACACAAGAAAACAAAAAACAAAACAGAAGTCGGAACATTTCGCCTTTCACTATAATGAATTGCAATTTTGAGTGTTATTGCAATTACTATCGATGTTTAAGTTAAAGTTAATCCACAAAATGATGGAACGGATAACGTGCGCAAAAACATATCATATACAAGTTTAGTAATAGGACGACGAACGTAAAAGTTGCTCCTACATGAGGGTCAAAAAGTGAAACAAGTAAAGAAAGATTTTAAATATTCAGATCATGGTCCAAAATAACAAACTTGTTGATCAAATGATCATTCAATCAATTCTGGAATATTTTATTTTAGTGAAATGACCTTCAACTTACATTGAATGTACATAAAGTGGGAAAAGTAAATGTTAAGTTGTTTGAAAGAATTTCATCATAATTCTGTCTGACTAGAAAGATGAATAAATATTTGAAAAATAAATACGAAGATATTTACACGATATTAAAGTAACATTTTAAAAATCAATAGCTATGATGAAATGACATGTGGCTTTAATAGAATTAAGTTCACGAAATTGTTGGTTTGACAATGACGACAACTTATCAAAGCATAACAATTTAATAAGATAGTTGTCATACCTTAGCAACTGATCCAACAAGGTCATTTCTTTTATCGTTGTTGACGAAGTAGAAATATGAAACTTTTTGCTATGAAACAAGTGAATTAAATAAAATCTAACCAATTGAATATCAATTTATGCTTTGCATGGTTTTAGAATATGTTGAATGCGTCAAGATTTCTTCCTTCATCTTTTCATCTTTTGTCAGAAATTCATCATTGATCCGTGGATAAAATTTTATTTAATCCCACACTTTCTGAAAAGGATTCAACTTGAAAAAACAAAATTTTATTGAAATATGACATGGTTAACCGATAAGGACTACAATTAATCTTTCAGGAACTTCCAATCTTATTTTGTAGACTTGTAGAACGATAAACAGAATATTTCTGATCTCTGGTCTTCTAAAATTAACTTTTTTCCAATGACTTCTCTTCATTGAGAATTGTTGCAAGTTGCAGCCTTCAACATAAGAAACATTATGTTTAGTTTAATTCTTGAAATGACGTCGAAGATTGTCAATTTTGTGTCATTAAATTATTAATTTCACGCATTAGCAGAAGCATTTAAAATTTGAATGGAAAGCAACTTATTTCAGATGATAAAATTACATTTTTATGTTTCGGAATTGGCAGAAATTCAAGTTGAAATGAAGACTTCGTTAATGCATTCAAGAAGGTATCAATCGAGATTGTTTGACTCCTGAAAGAGATAATTTAATGATCGATAAGTGTTAAGAAGCATATGTACATGAATATGTTTACGTCTTACAGATAATTGTGCAACTTTCTTTGTTGATAAATCGAAATGAAGAAATCTGAATTGAAGTTCAAACAACTTTCAGAAAGATGTTGTATAACCATCGACTTATGACATCAATGATGATATTAATAACCTTTTAAACTGAAAGTCAAAGTTCTGGTTGTATTTAACTATAAATAAAGATTCAAATTTCATCAAGTTAATTAATTAAATCATATTATAATTAGCGCTGTTAAAGACATCCTTGATTGATTTATTGTCTCTGATACGTATAAAGAATTTATTTAAAGTCACAGAAATACATTTTTTTAAACAGTGAAAAAGCAACGAACCGGTTCGTTTTCATGCTTTTAAAGGAATTTTCATTTTTGATTTAGCAATTTCCATCTTTATCAAATATTGACTCAAAAATATTTGAAGCTTTACAGTTATAAAATTTGCCAATGAACAATATGAAAAAAAAAATTCATTTGAATGCCTAATGTTTGTAATGAAACGATTCGCCTACTCTCCATGACTCCAAAGAAGTCAAAAGTGACCAAATGACTTAATTTTTGGTAAAGGGTGAAAGATTGGACCATCTCTATGATAGTCATGGCTTCTAACTGATTAGGATATGGCATTGAATCGAAGATCTGCCTATGATATTGACTTCCAATCGTTAAACTTTAACCGTAAGAAGACTGACCAAAAGCTTCAAAAATTCATCCTAAAAGAGAAAATGTCGACCAATCAATAAATGAACTGTTGAAACGTTTGTCATTTGAATTGAAAGATGAGAATGACCCTCAATCAGGGGTGACATTAAGTCAAGGTATCTCCCACTCATTACTCTAAAGCGTGATGATCAAAGCTAATGTTCTTTCTATGTCGTCGTTCATACATTTCATGTTAAGTTTTTGTTGTGCTAATAAAAACATTAAAGAAACTAAAAGGTGTTTTACTTGAATCAGCAGTTTATCCATTCAGTTTGCTCCATATTTGCATAATAAGCGCAATTTTGGTTTTTGTTTATTTTGAGGCTGACACCGATATTTATGCTGACTTCCCGCTCTGTCATATTATTGACTCTTTTAGTTAGCTGGTAAATTTAAAAGCGAAAATATCGAAAAATATAAAGCATCGTTAATTAGAATCGATATATTCTGTCAACGTGTTAGTTTCATTCAATTATTGGTGAAGTTAATAACAATTTGTATTCTGCGTGTAAAGTGAGTCTCAAGGAAAGTTTTGTAAGGAATTGATAATATTTTGTTGTTTGTCTGTTTCAATTTGATTGTTTAATAACTATAAGAGACTTAAATAGTTTAACTTGATGTGAATAAAATTATGAGTCTGTAAGTGAAAAAACGGAATACCAACACGACTGACGCATTCAAATCACTTCAAAAAAAATTTCATTCATGAGATGTTGGAGATTGTGAAAATCACAAATATTTAAATAAAATAATTTTCCCAAAACTCATTTCTTAATAAAACTCAAAATTAATTTCCTTTAATTAATTTGAAAAAGCTCAAAAAGAAACATAAGGAAAACTTTAAAATATTTCATCACGCACAGCTTTCGAATATTCAAAATTTCAATCTGTTCGATGATGAACCATTTTTGATACGAAAACTTTTTAATAAAGACGAGATGAGCCGAGTTAGATTTCTTAAAAAAGTGCCTGCCGAGGCCTGAAGCTTCTTTAAAGTTTAAAATCGTTTGAAGCATACATATCTGACCAAAATGCGAAGGCTGAGTAAGACAGATAATAAACAAATAAATTTAAACTAAATTTATAACTTTTCAAGTTTGCGTCTTTTCATTGATAAACATATTGTTGAATGATTGAAAAGATTGGTGACCAGTTTTTGATGATTTTGTTTGGGAAATTTCAGTCATAAAAGCATTCAAGATTAGAATAATTAGAAGTAAATTGAATGGAATATTTGCGTTACTCAAAGATCTGGTCAACTTGCAATTTCATTGTTTTTAACACTGTCGTCACACAAAAGTGTTTCTTTTTTTTCGGGCACATTTTTACCTTTTCTCCTTCCACTTAATTTATTTTTGTTCATGTTATTTTTTTCCATTTCACGACATGCCAAAAGTTTCAACGTAGCATCTTATGGCACAGTTGGCCACAGAGAGTCGTCGTGAAAAGACCAAAAATTAAAATCGGCTGCAAATGCTTGATTATTAAAATAATTTTAATTTCGTAAGCCAAACGGAATGAAACTTAAGTTTCATTTGTTTGTTCGTCGTACTTAACACGGAAAAGTTCGAGAGTGTTTTTAGACTTTCTTTTTTTTTTGTTGAGCTGTAGCTCTTTTTTTTTGTTGTGTCTCGAAAAGTTTTCAATTTCGTTGTGATTTGAAAGCACATCAGTTTGAGAAAAAGTTTACAACAGTGCCAACGAGAAGAAATTCCACCATACAGAACAAAATATATCAGTTACCATGAATCACATGCAAGCGGTGACTGTGCTGGAAGCCACGCTTCCAGACAAAAGTAATACAAATGGTGATAGTAAAAATAGTGCTACAATTAAGCGTCATGTATATAAAGATAAAGATAACAATAATAACGTACAACCGATCACAAAAGAGTCATTAAACGCAACTGCAACAAAACCAGCACCGTCAGTTGATGAACCCGAAGAATACACACTTTTGGGTATTTTTAAGTTCAAATCGCCGATTAAATGGCTCAACACTATCTCAATCGTCCTAATTCACCTGATATTTATTTATGGTTTTATAACATATCCTTTGAAGTCGCAACTTAAAACAACATTATGGGGTGAGTAAATATAATTAAGGAAACAAAGTTTTTTGTGTTTAAAATTCTTGAGTTTCTGCATATTCATCGACAAAGAAACCAGTTTTGAATTTGCGGACATTTTTAAGAGAGAAAAGTTGTTCTTTTACCTTAAGAAAATGCTCGTGGGACGAAAATTGCTTTTGATTTATTGGTATGACGTACAAAAAACTGTTTTTTGTCAAACTGATTCATACAATGAATAAAAAAATTAGAAAGCTTTTTTTCTTTCTTTTTTATCAGTTTTGAGGTAAAAGATTTCTACGTTTTTTTAAACAAAGTTTGTTTCTCCCTTCACCTCAAGAAGAAAAAGAGAAAAAAAGTGCAACATTTGCAAAATACAATCAGAGCTGCTTAACTGCACGTAAGCGCCAAACGAAGCAAGGAGCAGAATTGAAAGTCTGGATTATTGATTTAAACTTAAAATTGTATTGTTGGCTTTGATAATTTACTTTCATTTTCTGTACTTTCAACTTATTTACAAAGTAGCTACGAACCATAATTAGCCACATGTCATCCGATATAAACTTTCGGTTTTAAGCATTAAGACAAAAGTTCATTAAGCATCTTCACTGCATAACTTCATAACTAATGATCATTACATGACTATGTATTGTAAATGCACTGAATTTTCATACAAAAGAAAAAGAGAAAAGTGTTAAAAGAAACTTCAAGCCAAACATGAAACTCAACTCAAATATTACTTCAGAAATCTTCAGAGTTGTATGGTCAGACGATCCAATTGTTACGTCACATTTTCAATATTTAAATTTTTAGTTTTATTCATATCAACAGGTTTATTCAGAGTTAATCAGGCGAAATTAAATTCAAAGCTCAGGGACATTTAATACAGAGTTGTATTAATACATTTAAATACGTGAATTTAGTAAGAAAAATATTTTTCTTTTATTTTTCCAACTTGTCTTGGGAATTTTTCAAAATGATTTGAGAAACGGATGTTTGAACTGAATTTATTCAAAGGTCTTAAGTTCTTTAACAGTCGAACATATCAGAAACTTTTATCGCTGTCTGGATGTCTGTGAAGAAAATGAGAATCTTCAGATGATCCATAAAAAGTTCCAGTTTTTAATTTTATTAGAAAAGTTTTGTGAAAACATTTTGGAATGGAAAAAACCATTAAGTTTGGTTAAATCCGGAATCCAGGAAACTCATTAAGCATTTTTTTCGTTTAAAAAGAAAGAACTCTCAATCCTCACCAGACCTTGAAATTTGACATTTAATAATCATTTAAAAATAACAGTTGCGAAAGCATTAAATATGCAACATTGTTTCAAACTGGTTGTCTTCTTATCAATGCCATTCCAATCGATAAAATTTAGCTAACACAGAAATTTCTAAAAAGAAACTTTCTAATTTGACTATTCATAATATGAATCGATTTGATAAAAAACAATTTTTAGGGTTTTACCTTTTCTTTAATTTGATTGCTCATTTTTAATTAATTTAATTAGAACCCAAACTGGGGTTTGAAATATCATAAGTTATTCTGCTACCTATGTTTGGACCCACAGCCATATCTTACGTCATAATTTAGCGGATTGGCTACAAAAAAGAAGATTTTTGTCATGATTTAATATATTAAGTTTGATAAGGTTGCTAGTTTTATTACATAGTTTAAGTAAAGTTTTATACAATTTCACCCATGGAAATTGCTATGAGTCTACTTAAAATTAAAAGTACATTTTCTATATGTTTAGAGGACTTCCATAACATGGCTTGAGGGCCTTAAGTTAAGGCAACATGGCTTTATTGTTTTAAGTTTTACAAAAAGATTTTTAAGCCAGCTCTGATTGTATTTTGCAAATGTTGCACTTTTCTTCTCTTTTATCTTCTTTTTTTGAGGTGAAGGGAAACAAACTTTGATTTAAAAAACGTAAAAACTTTCTTTATGAATATCATGAAATGAATTAAATTGAGAAACAGAACTCGATAAACTTGAAGATCTTTCACGGTCAAACGATGTACATTCACATCATGTTTGATTATCTTCCCAGAATGCAAATGCATTAGCAACATTATAAATTTATTTTATTTTTCATGCTAAGTTCCAAACAAAAACGAATGACGTGTCTCCTATTCCATCAATATTCTACTTAATTGCCTAAATCGCTCAGCCTTAACCGAAAAATGACCATAAATTCAACAATCAAAGCCTTTATATGTTGGTTACAGGCCATGACCACTGAAGGAAAATTTATAGCTGACAGTTTGACGTTTGTGGTGGTTGATGTAATCTTTTAGCTCAAAACTGATTCACAATTACAAATTCAACAAAAAGATTTTTTCTCACAAAAGATTTGTTGTATTGGATGAGTTTTTAAATCTGGGACATGACTAGCTAAAGTCAGCTAATATTAATTTTTCATAAATATGCAGAAACAGATAAGACAAGTTTTCCAACAGTAAAATTTCGGTTTTTTTGTCCTTGATCATGTCAATGACATCAATTCGCATTAGTTAATGTTGAAGAGTCGAAGGTTTTTTTTATAAATTCACAACTCAATAGCGACTGCGGTCGTTGAACGAAAACGAAAGTTTTTCTTTAACTATCGTTAAATATTTGATCTCTGACGCTCAACATACAAAATCGATGAAGAAATCGTCAGTTGCCAAAAAAAATAAAATAAAGAAGCACGATTCAAGACAGAGAGAAAGAAATGAATGGAAAAAATTGTGAAAATCAAAATTATGATAATTTCTGTGACCGGAGATGGATTTCTCTTTAGCTTTGCTTTGCAACTCTCTTCTTTCTTTCGATCACCAGTTGCATGCATAACATTTCCCCTCTCATTAGAAAGCTGACGTAATTTTATAGGTACTTAACTTAGAAACACATAAACTACAGCAACAACAATCGCAATACGTCAATTCATTGAGTAATATTTGGAGAAAATTCAATGAGAGAATTTAAGTTGCTGTTGAGTCATCACCGTAAACAATTTTACGCGTAGATATAAAAAAAACTTTCTTTATGCTTACTGTAAGTTAACTACCTAGGTGGTTCATTTGATTACATGACAACTTCGACTACCGCGGTTGGACATTTTAAAACTTGGTTTTACATCAACGAATTTAATTTATTTCATAGCCTTGGTCTTGGTTTTAATGGTTGTCTTTTATTTGTTTTCAATGTTTTAATATTGAAATAGGAAATAAGAAAATTGTTCCAGAAAGATTTTATATTTTTCTTGAATATAAAACAAAGTTATGAAGAAACGTCAATCTAAGCGAACAAAACATGATCGTAAGCTAAACAAAGTTTAAACTTTCAAAATCTTTTATGCAAATTAAATGATTTTGACTACATAATTAAAAATGTCAGTTATTAATGTCGGAAAACGTACGTAAATATTATGATGAGACTGATCGTAATCGAGCAAGGTCTTAAAATTTTTGAAGTAGAATTGTAGCACTTCCGCTAGCTAAGAAAATATTAAATCTTTTCTCGTGCGTTAGATGAATATAAATTAGAAATAAATTTTAATTTTTGTCTTCATTCCGAGGTTTTTCTTTTTGCTTATCAAATATTTGTTAAAAACTGGTTTCTAGAGACAGATGTTCGGTGAACAACTTTTAAAGTTTCGATTTTACTTTTTTCTTTAATAGGATTCCTAGTAGGAGGAATATCTGGATTTGGTGTAACCGCTGGTGCACATCGATTTTGGTGTCACCGAGCATACAAAGCCAAATTACCGTTGAGAATAATGCTCATGCTTGCTTATTGTGTTGCTGGCCAGGTTTGAATCAAATGTAATTTGTATTATTATCGCGATAAATTTACCAAATATTATTATAGAACACACTTTATGACTGGGTAAGAGATCATCGAGTGCATCACAAATATTCAGAAACGGATGCCGATCCACATAATTCGAATCGTGGTTTCTTCTTTGCCCATGTTGGATGGCTTATGCTTCAGAAGCACCCAGAAGTGATAAAGAAAGGACGAGCCATTGACATGAGCGATGTTCTTGCTGATCCCGTCATTCAATTTCATCAGAAGTAAGTTTTTCTAAGAAATTTTGCAATTGACGTACATTTTCTTCTTACAATTGTGAATTGTGATAAACAAATAAATTTACACAAGAACTTAAGACTGAATTACTCATGAAAACAGTTTCTAATTTTAGGAAATGTTCATGTAATAAAGCACAAAACTTAGTAAATTAAGCAAGCTTGACAGACAAATAATTATTTAATATTACTACGTACACTTTTTCATGATGACGTTGTTCGAATATTTTCCTGCTTTCAATAACTTTTTGCTGATCAAATAAAAATTAACAGCAACAGAAATGCTATAAAATGATTTATTTCACAATTGAATATTAAACTCCATTTGTCAGCGAATTAATGAAATTGATGCTTAACAAATTTTTGTTAACTATCCCTTGAAAGTGTATTTAATTAAAGTTTTCTTTACTGATATGTTTCTTCCTTTTCTCTTTTTTTAGATATTTCATTCCTTTGAAAATTCTTCTCTGTTTCATCGTTCCAACGGTTGTCCCCGTTTATTTCTGGGGAGAAACCTGGTATTTAGCATTCTTGTCACAAGCAGTTCTGCGCTACTTGTTCGGGTTGAATTTTACTTGGTTGGTGAATTCAGCAGCTCATATGTGGGGATATCGTCCATACGATAAGTAAGTGCTTTAATTAAAACTTCCATCAACCCTTTTATAATCAATTTAATTAATTTCTTAGGAAAATCAATCCTGTAGAAAATATTGCTGTCGCAGTTGTTGCTATGGGTGAAGGTTGGCATAATTATCACGTAAGAATAAACATTTCTACAAATACCAAAAATATTTTAAATCTTTCATAATACTTTTGCAGCATGTCTTCCCATGGGATTACAAAGCGGCTGAATTAGGAAATTACAAATTAAATATCACAACTTTCTGGATAGATTTATTTGCAAAGATGGGATTGGCTTACGATTTAAAAGAACCGTCTAAAGAGTTAGTTCGTAAAACAATAGAAAAACATGGTAAGAATTTCAAATTATTGCGGAAGTAAATTTATTTAATCATAAATATAAATTTCAGGTGACGGAAGTCATTTAGTTTATGGTCATGCAGGAAAATCTCATCATGCACATGAGGATGGACCGGTGGAATCAATTGCAGCACCAGGAGAACCAAACCTTGGATATTGAAAAAACATAATCATAACCAGAGCATATGACCTATAACAACGATTCTTGATTTCATATAAAATTTATGCCTTCAAATTTTCAGCTTGTTTAAGTTAAATTGAAGTTTAATCAAGCGGGTTCAAGGGAAACTTTTTTTGTAGATTTTTTGAGGCTAAACACTGCATAGAATATTCTGATACACAGTTTAGTTTTCATTTATCATTATTTTATTACAATTTTCAGTAACAAATATATTAATAATTAACTTAAACATTGTGTATTGAAGCAGCCTTTTTTATTTAACAAATTTTAAAAATTAATTTCAAGTTTCCCTTAAAACTTAATTAAAGATAAAGATATCAATTCATTTGAGAAAATTAGATTTTTTAGTTTTAAGTAGATATCAACTACTTAGGTATGACGTGGATGTCTCTTATGCTTAATCAATTTGCTTTAGGAAATTTCTATTAGTGGATAAATCATTAAAAATAAAGCTCTCAAAAACCGCATTTTTTTTTTTCAATATCTTCTTAATTTTAAGAAAGATGGACGTTTTTATATGTTACAGGTTCTCAAACAAAATTATAAATCATTCTGGTTTCTCATGAAAATCTGATCAGTTAGGTATGTATTAAGCTAATTTTAACTTCGAAATGTTTTTGTTAAAAATAACGACATTTGTGAGTTTAAATTATGACCGCAAAGGACGACGTTCAGAAATGTAATGTTGTCGTTCGAACTCAAACACAAAAAAGTAAAAAAGTAATCTCGCGAGTTTTCCGCAAACCTATTCAGTATAGAGGCGAGTTTGCATCTAAGCTATCGCCAATTATTTCATAAAGATTCCATTTTTTCTAATTTTTAAGAAAAAGAAGTTAAAAATTCAAAATTTAATAAAAGAAGTCTGCAATTAAGTAGGTAATCCAACAGTAGACTGAAAAATATTTCGAAGTGAGTTTCTAATATTCTTTCGTGAAGGTCAATTATATTTATTTCATCAGAATTTCGCGCATATGCCAACTCCCGCACATAAAAAAGAAAGAAGAAGAATTGAATGAAAAGTGTTGCAAAAATAAACATCGCATTTTTTCAATTGATTTTGGAATCGGAATCTAAATTAATCAATGGTGTTATGAATTTTGAGCCTGGGCTTAAGATTGGTAATCAATAATAAAATTGATACTTAATATCAGTAAAAGTTGAAATGAAAGGTGTTGCTACGTGAATTTCGTGCCAATTGAACCTGAAATTGTAGTTTGACAGAACAAGACGTCTGACGAAAAAATTAGATCACATACATACATTGCTTTGTTGGTCTCAAGTAAGAGCAGACAAACATCGAACGATTTTCTTTCTTCTTTCCCTTCTTATTGCGTTCTTATTAGTTTCTCTTCGTTTTCTCTTCCAGACATGAATTTTTGTTTACTCGCTCTAGATTTGGTAATTTAGGTAGTTACTTAGTTGGAAAGAAGAAAAAAATGTTAAGTGACCAGCTCGAAAATAATTTTTTCTTGCCTAAAATTGTATTTTTTTTTTGGGGTATTTAGATAACGTGTCAATGAGAAAAAGTCTCTTGTTAGTTGTGCAAAAGAAAATTATTTCTTATGTAATTTATACGATGCTATTTATTTCTGCATCAAACTCGTTCTCTAAACAAGTTTGCTTTCCCACAGAAGCTACTCATTATTGAACGTGCTTCGGTTACTTTTTCTTTAGAATCAATTGCTACTGAATGATTACAAAGCTAACATGCTAATTATGCAATAAATATAAAATTTTCATTGCTTTGTTTACATCATCGTTGGTGATTATTTACTGAATCACAAATTCATTTTGATAACTTAGAATTTAACTTAATAATTTCACAAATTAACATTTATTTAAATTTCTTGACACGTTTGGAAACGTATAAGGAAAACGAATTGTGAATTAAATTACCACCAATTTCATCCATCAATCGTTCTTTCTGAAGGTCACGAACTTAACAAGTATTTGCGTGATTCTAGATAATCATTACGAAATTTATGTGAATATAATGAAAGAAAATTTCGTGAATGAACTTAAATGCTTACATAGTATTCAATACCACACGCGACACGTACTCGCAGAATGTTTATCATGACGTATTGTTAACCCATAAGACCGATAAATAAGCGTCATTTTCTTGCTTAATAAATCGAATTTGTCTTCCGTAGGCGGAAGATGAGTGAACATTTTGCAAAAAATATTTTATTTCATAATAGCAAACGAGAACATTCTCTCATTATTTTTGTTCACGGACTTGTTAGACTTAAAAACTTCCAGTAATTTCTTATAGAAACTTTAGTGGACAAAGTTCAATCGTGATTCCTGTCGTTAATTTATAATCACATCAATTTTAAAGCTCAATCACCTAACAGACGCGTGTTCAGTTGATAAAAGAAACGAAAGACTTTATTCAGTATGAATTTTAATTCTCATTTCACTAAATATAAGCGACTAGAGTGCTGAGAAGACTTATCAGTAATAGATAATATTCTCACAATAAAACACTCGTATTAAACGTGAATTAATTTTCTTGTTGACATTTTCGTTCACACACACGTGAGTCAATCTTGTTTATAAAAAAATCAGTATCCAGGGCAAAGTTTATGATAAATAGTTGCTTCACTAAAGGGTTTCTGATCTACATTATTCATTGTTTAAAACAGAAAAAAAACAATAGTGAAATATGTAAATCTGTATATTGAAGTCTGCTTTATTCTCTACAAAAATTGTTATTAAAATGTCTGACTTCAAACGGTAATTTAGTGAATTTCTCTAAAACTCTTCTTATGGTTCACTGTAGTATGTCAGACAACCGTTAGCATTACATAAACTTGAAGATCTTCGTTCTTATTCATGTTTTTTTTATTTTCTTTGTCATTACGAAATATTTCATTACTTTCCATAAAATGACAACATAAATATATTTAGAAAATACTTAATTGCGTTGTTGAGCATCTTGAGAATGTTTAATTATTAGAATGGAGAAAAACTTGACATTATTAAATAAATTTTATTGCACCAGCAGCAAGAATCAGCAGTAATATAAAATGAATGTTCAGAATCAGAAAAAATTGAGATTAGATTGCAAGTTTATAGACAGTTGACTTGTTTATCACTTTATAGAACGAAAAAGTTTCAACAAAGAACATTTTACTGAATTTCGAAATACTTTTTGGTTTAAAAAATTTAAATACATTTCATAGAGGGTTACGAGAAACCTTAAGTTACTTACTTTCCCGATAATTTACAATCTGAATAATTCATTTTCGTAGTAATATTCTTTGTTATTCAAGCGAAGTAAAAAGTTGCTTTAAACTTGAAGCTAGTTGGTGTAACTAACAGAAGAAAGTGACAGTTTAACTTTTAAATTCTTTTCATTTTTAAAACCATTGATGAATTACCTAATTGCCATTGAAAGTTCACATTGATTCTGAACAAAGTAAGTTGAAAACAGCTGATAAGAACTAGAACTTGAAAAATAATTACACAAAGCGAAGTCGTCATTAAAACTGACGCAGTTAATCAATTACATGCGTTTCATATAACCTCATATCCGATTATGTTCTTGAAAGCAACAGCTGACCTAAGTTGCGCAATCTCAGTCTGATGTTTTCTTATCTTTTAAAATAATTTCTTCTTGCTTGTTGCAATTTTATTCGAATATTCTTTTTGCCGGTTTGAGATTACTTAAATCTAATATATTTTGCTTTTTTAAGAAAATATTCTCTGGCCTTGGTGATTGTACAAAAAGGTGATAGAATTTATTACTATTGTGAAATTCTATTAATAAAGTGAGAAACAGGTTTTCACTAAAGCTTCCATATACGCACTGTGCAAGAATCTTTGTCAAATTTATGACTTTTTTCATTCTATTTTGATGAATGATGTAAGTTGTAATAAAAAAGAAGCTTAAAGCATTCAATGTTGTTAATGGCAAATCATACGATGAAAGTTTTTAATACACAAGATTAATGAAATTTCTTCTTCATAAAAATGAAGAAAGTAAAAACATTCGAGTGAAAAAAAATCGATAAAATTAGATTCTAGCTTGGCTTTCAGTAGAAAGAATTTCTTTCTTTCGACAAATCAAACAGAGAAGACATTAAAAGTAACTTTCGTTTTATCTTTCAGTCTTCCAGTGTGATTGGATTGATCTAGAAATCGTTTGATAATTATTTTTACTACAAGTTAATTCTTAAATAAAATGCCACCTCGAGCAGTAGTAAAAGACTGTAATGTCACCGCCAGTGGAGTTTTAAACGAACATGATGCTGAGACAATTGATGGTGGATTAGCGAAACGTCAAGAAGGATATGCAGGACGTCGTAAGATCAGACTTGTTTGGCGCAACATTCTTTTGTTCACATATTTACATGTTGCTGCTGTTTATGGATTGTGGTTGATGTTGGTCTCAGCACAATGGAAAACATGTATCTTTGGTGAGTAAATAATAAAATCATTTAAAGAAAAAATTAAATTAATCACAAATATTTTCAGCATTCTTCATGTATTCAATCAGTGGTCTTGGAATCACGGCTGGGGCTCACAGATTATGGGCACATCGTTCCTATAAAGCCAGATTTTCACTACGTGTCATGTTAATGATTTTCAACACGATTGCTTTTCAAGATGCTGCCATGCATTGGGCTCGAGATCACCGTGTTCATCACAAGTATTCCGAAACAGATGCTGATCCTCATAATGCTACACGCGGCTTTTTCTTTTCGCATATTGGATGGCTGTTGTGTCGCAAACATCCAGCTGTTAAAGAAGCTGGTTCTAAACTTGATATTTCGGATTTAAAAGCTGATCCGGTCCTTAGATTCCAACAGAAATATTACTTGATTCTCATGCCTATTTTATGCTTTGTCATTCCTACAATGATTCCAATTTATTGTTGGGGGGAATCATTCAAAAACGCTTTCTTCGTTGCTACAATGTTCCGTTATACTTTCATCTTAAACGTTACATGGCTGGTCAACTCAGCAGCACACAAATGGGGTGATAAACCTTACGATAAAGAAATCAATCCATCACAAAATCCTTCAGTTGCTATACTTGCTTTGGGCGAAGGATGGCACAATTATCATGTAAGATTTATGAACGAAACCCGAATTCGAAACGGTCATTGACTTCTAACCTTTTTCTTTTCTTTCTCAGCATGTCTTTCCATGGGATTACAAAACAGCTGAATTAGGGAATTATCGAATGAATTTGACAACAGCATTCATCGATTTCTTCGCAAAAGTTGGTTGGGCTTATGATTTGAAAACGGTCTCAAAGGACATCATTGAAAAGCGAGTTGAACGAACTGGCGATGGCACTCATGAACACTCACGAAAAAATACTTGGGGATGGGGAGATTCAGATCAAAGTCAAGATGAAAGAGAATTAGCGAAAATCATCAACAAGAAAGAAGATTAAGTTACATTTAAAAGCCATCATGAAACTCATAAACCACCCATCGTCATTTAAATACCTGAGCTTTTTATCATCGTCGTCATCATTCTAATTGTTTGAACTTTACTTGACGGCAATTATAACGATATTTTATATGCACTTACACAAGTAGATGCTAGAATCATATTAAATGATTTCGTAATGATTTTCGTCAACCATCGTTCAAGCAACCAACCAACCAACCATCACTTTAATAAATGGGAAATAAATGAGAAAGCAGAAATTGCAATTAAAGTTTGCCGGCAAAGTAAACAAAGGAGGTAGTAATGTTATGCACAAATGATTGGAAGGGGTCAAACGATCGCAAACGTAAATTGCTGCAAAAAATTCTTCCTCATAAATAAACAAAACAACAGAAATAATAAACAAAACTATTTTGTCTACTTGATTTGTATGAAAATTCAACTTAAATGGAACAAAATTAAATTCCTTCGACCTCGGTGTTATGATATCATCGATAATTTATGAAAATCAAATATATTTATAAATCGTAAAAATTGCTTGATAATCTTGTAATAATTTTCTATGAATATTAAATTAAAAAAAGCACTAAAATTCCTTAATGAAACAAGCATTTTAGATGATTGGCTAAGTCTGTAAGATTTCAATGAACATATAGACGTTCATTTCAAATAATATAGAAATTTGCACCCTTATACTTACATGTAAAGTTTATTTTTGTCACAATGAAAAAGAATAATCGAACAACAATGCTAAAGTTCAGATCTAATGACTGCTTTTATTTTTACTGATAAAATAAGCTCATTGGCTTTTGCTTCAAACTCAACAAAGATCAATGTTAGGTGAATCCTAGAAAGAGCATAAATAAATGGAATTTAAAAAATAAAACAAACACAAACAGCAAAATATTTTCATTTTGTTAATTAAATATTAATAAAGAAGCTCGGAACGCTCGGCATTCTTCTTTTTAAGTACATTTGCTTCAACTTTTCTCATCGTAAAAGTAATCAACACCTTCAACTCTCATTGGGATGATTGTTGTTCTTCCAGCAGTTGCCGATGACTCTGATGGTGAAATCGATTGTTGTGATTGCTTTGTATCATTAAAGAAAGTTGACTTGCTCAAATAAAGCGTCTTGTCAAGTTCATTAAGTTTCTTAACGCTCGGCAAACGTTTCACAACATTGTGACTTTTGGTGTCAGATTGCGTGTAAAATTTGGAATTTCCTGTGCTGTATCTTGGTGGTTGATATGAATAATCATAATCGACTTGAAATATTTCCTGCTCTTTTTGTTTCTCATAACATCCCAAACACATCCAACTTGTCTTTTCTGTTCCAAAATTATCACATCCTGAATTGATGCAATGCACAACACGTCCCACGTCAACACTGTCGACTTCATCTCTGACTTTATTTTTCATTTCTAAGATGAATCTTTCATATGCACAATCGAGATAATTTTTTATCATTTCATCTTGATAATTATGACGTTTCGCTCTCAATTGGGCACATAACATTCGATATTTTCCATTATAGTAACCACCAGCTAGAGTGGGAATTGTTGTATTGCCAACAGAGCTTGGAAGCTTCATTCCACCATTGCCGAGAGAATTCTTTCCAAACTTTGTTATCGAGCCGATATTCTTCTTAATTTTCTTACTCATACTTTTTCCTATACTTCCAAATTGCTTAGCGACATTCTGAAGTTTCGCGGATTTACTTTTCTGTGACTTCACTGAACCTTCAAGCTCTGGTGAACTCGACGAACCTCCAGTTAAATTATTTTCTTCATTATTAAGATTTATTGCCAGATCCAAGATTTTCTTGTCATATTCTTCGTCACTCTGATAATCTTCATAAATCTCATCTTCAGGACTTGCGTCTGGTGTTGCATAAATTATTTCAAGGTACTCTTTCAATAGCGTAATATGTTCAACTTCTGTTAAAGCCCAATTTCCTTCTCGACCGTCATAATCCCGCCAATTGAATTTCTCCCCGGGATCAATGCTGAATTGAAGTGGCAAAAGAATATTTTCGAAATCAATCAATGGTATTAATGCTGGTGGGAAATCAGAACTGGCTTCCATTGTCACCAATGCTGAGAAATGCGCCATGTCGTAAGCTAAAAGTAAAGGAACTTTATGACATTCTACTTGTGGAATATCAAGTGGTAAGTAAACTCCGCCAAATGTTATTGGTGCCAATGCATCTCCATTAATATCTCTCAACACTACATCGGAAAGTATAATAATCGGTCGTCGAAGAACATAAGCAAGTGCTAAGACATGAATTTCTTCAAGTGAATCGTATGTTGCATTGCCATCAATTGATTCAGCATGAGATAATGAAGATTGTCGTTCTAGAACCATTGAACGTCTTCGAACACTAATTTTATCTTTGCGAGATTCAGGACTAGCTATGGATACAATTTCATCCCATTCTTTGGCCCATTCGGTCTCACTGAACACTAAACCAGCTTCTTTATTAATTCTTGTTTGCTGGAACCTCCAACGACGATACAAAGCATTCCGCAAATCACCTTCCGAGAGAATATTGTAAAGAGCTTTTCTCAAGGTCAAACGACGATCATGAAATCCCCACATCGCCAGTGATGCTGCGTGTAACAAACAGTTGCCTATAAACGTTTATTTCAATCATTTAACTTATAAATAAAAAAGAATTTCTCGTTTTTACCATCTCCTGATGTTGACAATGGCCACACTTTACGTCCAACGCCACTTTCAACCCACCAATTTAAGCGTTGACTGCTTTCAAGACTGTTAAGTGTTGAACATTCAATTAAATCCTTTTCAAGAAATTTACGAAAATCTTCGTCGTGTACTGTAAGGTCGGGAAGTGTGAACGTGTAGTCGGGAGTGTCAACAAAGGTTGATGGCTGTTCAAGCTTTGAATGAAAATCCATAGCAAATTCTTTTCTAACTTTTGTAACTAAATTCACATTTTCATCATTGGCACGCGAGATTCCGCGTCCTAATTTTTTATCTTGAGAAAATGAGAAGAGAAAGAAAATAAAGAATGTTAAGCGTTTGTTATACTTTATGAGCGATTATTCATTTAACTTACAGTCTAAATTAATCGAATCAGATTTCTCGAGAAGCGGTCGATAGCTTGTTAATACACAAGTGTCATGATTTTTATCGTATTCATGAGAATTAAGTTTGTCGTGGTGAGATGCAATCGATGATGATGTTCTCGTCGTGGGTTGATGTATGTCCATTGAATTATTTAAGCGTAGCTTAAATTCATCATCATTGTGTATCGTTTTCGTTTTGCTTTTAAAATAATTTTGGGTGGAAGTATCTGGAATGCGAAATACTTTTTTATTTATTTTATTCTCATTCGCATTTAATGAATGTTAAGATTTCATTACCATTATAATCTATCAGAGCTTTCTTTAAATCATATCTCCATGCTCTTAAGCAACTTATTGCATCCTCTCGATTACATTTTGAGATTCGCATAAATTCGTTTATTAGTTCATTTTCATCCATTGCAATCAAATAATTCAAAAAAGGAAATGTGAACTTCACTTCTTGAATTGTTTTGTTAGTTTCAATCAAGTTACGTGTTAGAAGCCTAATTCGGTTAAAGTAAAGAATAAGTTATTAGTTAAGGAGATTAGTGACATAACACCATTCATGCTAGATTTAATTTCAATTTTTATGACTTCCTATCATTTCAAATTAGCGAAAAGCTTTCAATTCTAGTCACATCGCAATGATTTTACATTTCTGTTTAACCTTGACACCAAAAACACAATGAAAATCTAATAATATGCTTCCAATACTCTTCATATGTTCCATCGATTAAATATGTGTGTTGCAATTGTCATTTATATGAGACACTTCTTAACTTTCTATTTTTGATAGATGTAGTAAAGAATAATTGACAACACAACAAGTGGAATGACTCATATTTATTTATAAGACGCAAAAATATTAATTTGCAGCTATCAAAATAAATTAATTTCAATTAAGTGATTGTTCATAATTATTTGCATTAGTTCTATGTTTGTTTTTTGACTACAGAAAAGATTTTCCACTTTAATTTGATTAATGCACCAATTAGAATTTTTTCACAGCCTAATTTAATAAATTTATTAATTTACCAGCTTTTTAAAACCTGCACTTCGTTTTCACAATAATTTCCAAAATATATTCATCACAACCTTTATATTGGCAGGCGATTTTCTTTTCAATCTCTTGTTATTTTGTATTTTATTTCACACCAAAGAGAAGGTATTCCTACCACACAATTAGGATTTGCCACAAAGGGAATGGAAACTTTTGAAAACACAGAAATTGACTGAAAATCTTGAAAATTCTGTTTTTGTTATTAATGTCAGCTAATTGATGATAGCTATTAACTATCTATAAGCTATAATGATTCATCCTGCATCGAAAACTTTCTTGATTGCTACTTCTCTACTCCTTTATTCATTAAAAAGAACTTTTCAAGTGTTATTTGACTGACTGACAAATATTGACATGATATTGTGCAAACACAATAAAAGTTAGCATTTAGGTTTGTAACGGGTTGTTTCATTCAAACTTATGCAGGGTTGTCATTGAACAGATGAAAAGTTTTGTTGTTGTTTTTTGTATCATTCCACCTACGAACAGCTCATTTTTAGAGAAAAACGTAAGTCTTACATTCGCGGATGAATTAAAAAGACTTTGTAATCATTTCCTTATTCTTTGCTAATCTCTTAATCAAACTAAAGGAAGAAATTAGACAGGTAAAGCTGTTTTACATCAAAAATACGATTGACAAATGTTTTATCAAAAAAATCGCAAACTCAAGATAAGAAAAGTTTAATATTAGATAAAACTTCCAAATATGAGTCAGTCGATGAATTGTTTTTCACCTTTCGATCATGTCAAGGTGTAAAAACGGATTGATTTTACTTAGAAGATCTCACAAAGTCTTTTTATTCCATTGCAGAGATTACCTTCTTCAATTTTCATCATCAGAGACGAAAAATAAAATTAGAGCCATAGGTAAAAATGACGAAAAAACGCCTGAGAAGTCTGAAAAGAAGGAAAAGAAAATCAAAGAAATGTCAGCCTCAAGAGTGAAAAAGTTCCGGAAACTTTTTGGACAGCAAATACCAGCTGAAGAAACTTTAATTAACTACTTCTCTTGTGCAATTGTCGCTGAAATTCTTCTACAAGGACACCTTTATGTTTCGGAGAACTACTTTTCATTCTACTCAAATGTCTTTGGATACATCACAAAGATTGTTTTTCCAGTCGGGACAGTCATCTCGATTACAAAAGAGAAAACAGCAAAATTCTTTCCAAACGCTATCGCTTTGCAATTGAGTGATGGAACTCGACACATATTTGGTAGTTTCTTATCAAGAGAAGAAGCATATCAGCTAATGCAAATGATTCATCGTAAAACAGAAGCAAGTATAGAGGCTCCTGATGTATTTGAAGCTGTGAGTGACGAAGTTGATGAGGCAAACGTTCAAGAAGTGTCTTCAATCGATGACACAAGTTCTGTAAGTGGCAGTGAGAGTTCAGCTCAGATAAAAATAACTTCAGTTCAAGGTGAAAGTGATGCTGTGCAAGTTCCGGTTGTTGACATAAATTTGCCTGTTCCTACCAGCAAATACACAGAAACCTCACCTGAAATATCTCAAGGTGAACACGTTGGATCTGTTGGCAAATATGATGTCAAACTTATGAGTGAATACAACGTTTTGTTCGTTGGAATTTGCTTAACAATTCTTTTAGCATTTTTTTCTGCATTTTTACTTATGAAGATTAATGGAATTGAACAGAGCAGTTTACCAAGTGACAACATTCTCGATTTCAGCTCACATAAGTTGAGCATTGATGATGCCGAAAAGATTTTAAACAGAAACGTATTAATTGTAAGAAACGTACGAAAAAAGTTAGAAGACTTACATGAAATGTTGAGCAGCTCTTTTAATCAAATTCCCGCCGCTATGAATGATAAGCAAGAATTGTAACTAAAGACTTGTAATCGAGCTTCTTTTAAATTGTGATTTAATTTCAAATTGTTCTTTTTTGTTGGTTGTTGAAATATTATATTACAAATTTTCAATCATTTGTCAATATTTTATCGTTAAAATTCATTGCTTGCAATAATTTCAAAGAATTTTCTTTCGAATTTGTTGCTTTTTCCTATTGCTGTTTTCCATTCATCTTCCAATTGTTTGTTAATAAATGAATAAATAAAGGAGCGAAAAAGTTTCTTAATTGATTTAGTTAAATGAAACTTTGTTTTAACTTTTAAATATTTTCCTTCATCATTTTTCAGGTTCTTCATCATTTTTCAGAATTTCAGCTGCAACCTGCAATTTTTTTATGTAAGTAAGAAAATTAAATGTTTACGACCCCAACTCACTGGATATCCCATAATGTTACAGAAGGTGTCGCCTTTCTCTATTAACTATCATGAAAAGGTAGATAAACAGAAGATTTTGTGTCTATGATGTAAATTATTCTAAAAGGATTAAGATCATAAAATTTTATTGTCCAGGTAGCATAATCTGATCTTAATTAATAAAATAATTAACAAGTTAATATTCTGAAAAATAAATCTACGATAATGAAGAAAGAGAATGTCAAACACAAATGATAAATCCCATCAGCAACCAAAGTTACGCAAAGCAAATCGCACACTTAAGTGTAGCATTTTTATTTATTGCTTAATTTAATTAACAAAACATTCAAAGGAAGAAGACGTGTTAAAAAGGTGCGAAATTGTTCGTAGAAGATTAATATGTGACATTAAAATTATATGAAGGAAATATAAAGAAATTGAAGAAATATTTCAAGAAGATACATTAAATAACTATAAAGAAGTTTCAAGTGAAAATTTAATTGAAAAACTATTAAAAAAGTGTTAAAGAATGACGTGCCTTTCTTCAGGTTTTAATTCATTCAACGAAGATCGCAGTGAGATTTTCCTTGGTTTGGATGAGTGTAAATCGCAATCTGATGGTGATGCCAAATGTGATTGGAGTCATTGCCGTCTTTTTGCAAAGAAATATAAATGTGATTATTATGTGACATTTAAAATATTTGAAGGAAATTGAAATGACGGAACATCAAACAAATTCCAGAACACCTTTCGTCATCAAAATTGCCAAATCTGATTTCAACTCAAAAGTAACTCTGGAGATAATTAAATATTTTTTGTTTGGTGAAGTTGACAAAGATATCCTTGACGATCATGAAATGTTTCAAGCGGCGAGAGTAAATAGATTGAAGGAATATATTAGCATCCATTTGTGCTCATAAAATTATATCACAACTGACAGCTTTCGACATTTTCGAAGCTTTTATGAAAGCACCAGATCCCAAATAAATAAAATTACGACCTAGAACAAAAATGTTTTGAATTAATTATCTATTGAGTAAGTTTAATTAAAGGAATTTTGATGAATTGAAGTACAATGAATTGAAACACAAAAGTTTAAAGACTCCACCAGGTTTCTGATAGGAAATTGAAAATACCGACGTCAACATCAGGAAGTTTGGATGATCGAAATCTCCCAACTCTCGTGAAGTATGTTTCTGTTATCTTTGCAGATTAAAATGATTCTTAATTTAAAAACGTTTTTCATTTCTTACAGAAATTTGAATAAATTTATGACAGTGGCGAATGGATCATGCTTAATGAAAATAACCAAAACATTATGTATCAGCAATGTTCAATAGAAGAATCCAAAAGTGCTTTTAAATTTAATATCAAAATATGTTTGGGTTTTTACTTGATAAATTACAAAAAATTTAACTAAATTTAATCATAAAAGACCAAAAAAGTAAGAAATTTTGAATGTTTTGAAGGATCATCCGCAATATTTTTTTATGTTCTTTCATTAATTGATTTCAAAGGATTTTCTCTTATTAACTTATTCTATTTGCATTCATAATAATGAAATTGTTACGGTACAAATAAAAGATTAAAAGGAAAATATTTCAGTATTTGTCACTTCATTTTCAGATTTTCTTTCAACATTTTCGTATACATATTTAATTACAGCATGTTTTAGAATGTTTTCTTCTTCAACGAGAGATTTATAAAATCACGCAATCACATCGAAGTGCATTGATTGAGACCATAATCGTCACCACGTTGTGTTCGTCAGAATAAAAACCCAAAGTAATTCTTCTTATCATCATGAACAAAATAAAATTATTTTAGCTAAAAAAGGGTTTTTAAATTTTATGTGGGTGTTAACTTTTAACATTGATTTTATGATCTTCTATAGGATTATAGGAAGGAAAAGAAAATATCATAAAACTTTTTACCTAATCTAAGTCATTAAATCAGAGCAGGCAAATACAAGAACAATTAGGATGTCACTTTATTAATTTCTTACAAGTACATAATAAAATTTGAAGGATATCGAGATCATTTAAATTATGATATCCTTTACCAAGACTTCAGTTTGATTTGATATCTCATAAAGTAAAGTTAGGAAAAAAGTTTAAGTGAAAAAAAGATGTATTCGTTATATAACGACATAATTTTCAGTGAAAATAGATCAAATGTCATATTCAAAGTTAACAACTGTGGAATTGACTGCTTAAATAAACACTTCAAACTTTTGGCAAAAGCAGAATGTGACAGTGGATACTTAACATTTAATGTGTGTGAAAATTTCATAGAAAGATTCACTCAAAAGTTCAGAAATTTGTTTAAAGACAGTGACGTTGTCGTATCAAAATATCGTGCTGCGACTATAATGCAAATTTTTATATTTGAACTGTTCTTCGAAATAACAAAGGATGCTGATCGTGAGGTGTTTCTGGCAGCAGAAGAATACGAAGCGAACGTATTAATGCGAATATGTGCTGTTCAAATTATTCTAAATTTAACACCTTACAACGTTTTTGAAAGCACCAAATTGATACGAGATCGCTTCATCACTTACGATCTGGAAAGGAAATGTTTTGAAATGATAATCGAGTAAGTTGAAAAGAAAATTTAATTAAATTTTTAAATATCTAATGATCTTCTTATTGTTTCAGAAATTACGATTTGATCAAGAACACAAAACACTTTAAGGATTATTTTAATCGTCTGCTTGAAAAAATGAATTTGCCTGCTACAGGAAGCCTTTTTAACATAACTTTGGCTGCTCTCTTCAAGTAATTATTCAATTTATTTCATATTTTCATTCACTATATTCATAACTTTTCTTTTTTTTCTCAGAAATCACGAAATCATTTTTAAAACCGAAGATTGGAATTTGTTGCCTGAACACTACAAAAATAGTTTGATAAAATTGGCATTGATCAAGAATCAAGAGGAAATAGCGAAGACATCATCAAACGCAAAGGAACAACGCTTGTTACTCCAAGATTTCATTCAAAACAAGCAATTTAAAATATTTTCATTCTTTCCTTAAGCTCAGTCTGCATTTGACAAAATATCGAAAATTTAAAATGTTGTCAGAATATCAGAATTTGATCTCAATTAATTTTTAATAAAATCTTTTCAATTTAATATTTTACTCTTAAGAGTCATTAGAATACTTTCGAATGGACAATTTAAAGAAGAAATAAATAAAAATGTCTCTAAGTTTATCTAGCTTGTAATGGTTATTAACATTTTTAATATTTCTGAGCAGAGTAGAAAATATTTTTAAAAGCTGTTCAGCATAATTTAAGACTGACATTTTAATAATATGTTAAGATATAAACTAAAGTTAAATAAAAAAATATAAAACAAAAATCACAGTTTAATTCTTTTCGAGAGTTTGCATGACAACTTCAATAAGATCTTTTCAGAATCACAGATGAATATTTAAATTGTGACAAATTAAAAAGTTTCGAATGAGTATTTTAGATGTTCAAGAACTTTTGTGGCAAAAATACTAAAAGAATTCATACGACTCAAAGATAATCCTAACGAACACGAATTTAGTTAAATATTTGAGAGACATTAAACATTTACATAAATAACAAACGAAATGAGACTTAGCCACACATGCAACGAAATCACAAGAAGTATGCAATGAGAATAATTTCCAATGTTTTGATTGATTTTAAAGTTCTAAGAATTTTTTACTTATCCACAACCTTTCGAGAGATCCTCAACCTGTATCAACCTATGAAATTATTTCTGAATAAAATTATCTAAAATTCAATTTTTTGTTTTATTTTCTCTTAAAATTAAATTTCAGAACAACGTTTACAACGAATGGAAAAGGAATTTTTATTTTCTTAGAAAACACGATTTACTTACTTTTGTTCATCAGACTTTTCATTTTCTTTCTCAAACTGAATTTCTTCTTTCTCCCAGTCTGGTCTGTCTCTTTCAATGATAGCAGCGAAAGATCCATGTTTTCCAATACCCTCGTTAATGAACTTGCAAGCACCAGCTTTCGCTTCTTCAATTATGTTAGGGCCACTCGACATAAGCTCATAGTCTAAAGCTTCATCTTTGTTGTTAGAATTGTAGGTGGCATTGTAGAGACTATCACGATCATGATTAACACAAGCTTGAGGAAATTTAGCTATCGACTGTGCAAGACTAAGAGCTTGCCCTAATGATGTGCCAGTTGCCACTACACGATTAGCAAGTCCAATTTCAAAAGCTTCTTTTGATAGAATTTGACGACCTGTCAAGATGAGATCAAGAGCTCTTGACAGTCCAATCATTGGACCTAATCTCACAGTTCCACCGTCAACTAAAGGAACTCCAAAACGACGATTATAAAATCCCATAATAGCATCACTTTCCATAACTCTTAAATCACAAAGGAGTGCTAATTCAAGACCCCCAGCCACACAGTAACCACTTATTGCTCCGATCAGTGGTTTCTTAATAATCCTTCTTGTTGGACCCTAAGTTAGAATTAAAATATGTTTGTGAGCTTTTACTCCTTATTATCAAGGCTATCATTACTGACCATTGCACCCTCCGATCTAAGAAGCATGGCTGCTGAAGCTTCCTGGTTGTCCGCTAACTCTTTTAAATCATATCCGGCGCAAAAGTTTCCCCCAGCGCCATAAAGAACAGCAACAGGCGAATCTGGATCATTCTCAAATACTTCAATAGCATTTGAAAGTTGTTGAGCTGTTTCTAAGTTCACACAATTACGAACATGAGGACGATTTATTCCGATGAGTGTTACATTCCCTGTTTTCTCACTTTTGACCAGCTCAATAGGTTTTGTTTCTTCTTTTTTTGATTCTTGAGAAAAAGCATGACTTTATTGTGAAATAAATACAAAATGCATGTACTTTCAAACTTACCTTCGCCTTTATTTGAACAGTAGTTTCTGCCAGTAGACAAAAACCCTGTCAGAACCTTTAATCCAGGTGAATTTCTTAAATAAATTGTGTAAATCGATTTCAACATTGTTATCGAATTTGTAAACAAATTTGTGAACGTACGGAATCAGAGTAACTTTGATTGATCTTTTGTCCGAGAACGTTTCAGTGGCGGGGCTACGATCGAAATGTTTACACGGAGAAATTGTTTACACGGACACATTTCTCATGTACGTTTTAAGTATGGAAGGTCAAATCCGCGCGAACCGTCGGGGTACGAGGCAATTTTCCCGAGACATCATAAACAAAAACCCTTGCACACTTTGTATGGTTTTATTCATCGGAAAGGACGGGGTATTATGGTTTCAGTTTAATCCCTTAGAGATTTGAAAATTTTAAATATTCTGACCGTTGAAAATAACCCTTCAGAATTTTTATTTCAGAATTAAATTCGAGAACAAATGAACTTAAATTCTGTGATTGAACACCTTAAGAAAAAGGTAGGTAAAGACAACTAAGATTAAGAATGCAATTGAATTCTTTTGAATAAAAGTTTTTAATGGCGATAAATTATTCAATAACAATTAGGATTTAAACTTTTGTCTCTTTCCACCACTGCCGTTTTTATTTCCATTAAATCTTTTTCTTGCACCGCTAAATTGTTCAGTATCATCATCATCCATGTTTCTTATTCTTGTTTTCGAACCTCTCTTGTCTTCAATATCTTTCAATTCTAATCGAGCTGTTCGCTGTGCTTCCCCAACACGTTCCTGCAAAGCCATCACTTCGTCTTCCTCTGTTTTATATAATGGAAGCTGTTTTCCCAGTAAATTTTCTATTCTCTGATATAATTCAACATCTGGAATAATGATGAATAAATGTAATGATGATTTCCTGGCTTAATTTTAAGTAAACTCACCATATTGTGTTACCATTGTTATGGCTTTACCAGATCTTCCTGCTCTTGCTGTTCTACCAACTCTATGAATATAATCTTTGCTGTGCGTAGGAATATCATAGTTGAGGACAACATCTACATGGGGAATGTCCAAACCTCTAAAATAAAAGTTTTTATTATTATTTAAGAAAATGTTTTCAAACTCATAATCAAGTTATTTTAATTATTTTAAATCAGTGGTAGTGACGAAACTAATACCTAATTGCTCTACATTGAAAACTTTTTTTCTTATAAAGTTTCAGGTAACATCATTTCAATGAGTATATTTAATTTAATTATAAATAAGAATTTACCTTGATGCAACATCAGTTGATATGAGGATTGATCTTGCTTTCGCTTTGAATTTATTTAATGCTGCCATTCGTTTGTTTTGTGACATTTGGCCGTGCAATGGAACCGCTGCAAGTCCTAAAGCTCGAAGCATTAATGCAACACGAACTGTTGAATGACACGTAGAGCAGAATATGATAAAACTGTTTCCAGCGAGTTCATTTAGAATGTGGACCAGATAAAGATCCTTGTATTTTGTTGGAATAAATACGTAATGTTGCTGAAGTTTGTCGACTGTTTGATATTTGTTCGAGACTTCGACTTTTACAGGATTCTTCAATGAAGCTCTCTCCAGTTTTTTAACTTTTTTTGTCATTGTAGCACTGAACAAAAAGGTTCGTCGTTCTCTTGGAATCACTTTAAGAATCTTATCCAGCTCAACTTCGAAATCCATGTTAAGAATGCGGTCAGCTTCATCCATCACAAGATACTTTAATGATTTAAGATTAAAACCTTTTGTGTGAGTAAGGTGATCAACTAATCTTCCAGGAGTAGCAATTATTATATGAGGTTTTTTTGCAAGTTGTAATGCTTGAGATACCATATCCATTCCTCCAACTATGACAGCACATTTTATTCCCACAGATGATCCAAGAGCTTCAAATTGTTCAGAAATCTGAAATGCTAACTCTCTAGTAGGAGTCATTATGAGAGCGTAAAATCTTTGTGGATTATCAAGTAAAGTTTGTATGATGGGAAGTGCAAATGCTCCAGTTTTTCCAGAACCAGTCTCTGCCAAACCAATGATATCATTTCCTTTCAAAGCTAAAGGAATGGATTCTCGTTGAATTTTTGACGGTGCTTTCCATTTCAAATCTTCACATGCTTCACATAAGACATCAATAAGTCCCTTTATGAAAATAAAAAATGTAAACAAATAAAGCACGTGCATAAATGATATTTACCAAATCTTTCCAGGTCACGGCTGTTTCTTCCACATCATCCAATATACCCTTCAATTCATGTTTTTCTTTTTCTTTGTCATCATCTTCAATTTGAAGACATTCATCTTCGGAATTACTTAAATTATCTTCACTTGACGACATCGTATCGAAATCACTTTAAAGTGATCGAAAAATATTTTTGTTATAATCAGAATATTTTAAATAATTTTCAACCGTTAAATTTTATATCTATAAGGAAATTTCAAAAAATTCTTACCGTTAAAAATAACCCTTGAATTTTTCTCTGTAAAAATCAAAATTAAAGAAAAACAAACTTGCTTTTTAAATAGCGGTTGTATGATTTATTACATTTATGTCATTTGAATCATTGGAAATAGCTACATTCAATAAATATTACCAAAAGATGTAAATAGCCTGCAGTAATTGTCTTTCTCATCAACGAAAAAGACTTGAGTTTCATTTTTAATATTTTTCTTTGGATGGAATTATATTTCACGTCACAATTCTCATTTGAAACTCTACGACATCAACTAACATAAAAAAACATATTTTCATGTGCAATAAAAGCTAATAAGCTCTATACATATCAGTAATTCATAGCGTTAATTCAATACAGATCTCAGCTTGAGTATTCTCTGTTCAAATTCATATCTAAGCGCGAAACAAATAATTAAAAGGTACCTAGGTAGGAGTAGGAGTAATATTATAAGTAGAACAAGGAAAATATGGAAATTTAATAAATAGTCAATAAGTACATATATGATGACCAATAAATAAGTAACAATAGAAACAACGCTTGTAAGGCTTTTCCACAATTTACAGAAACAACAGAAAATGCGCAGTTCTTTTTGCAAAACATATAAAATTATCTATGTAAGTTGATAGATAGAAGGTAAGGTATGAAGAAACCTTAAATAAATGGAAGAATCTTAATAAGCATATAAGCGAACTGACTTATAATATGAATTAATGACGACTCTTATTTACAACAATTCATAATATCATCAAAATTATTTTCTTTTCTCTCTCACGATAAAAAAAATATATAATGGAGAATAAGAAAAAAGCACATAAATATTGCACATTGAATTTCAATTATTTATCTATGATTGTGAAGCTTAACATTGCAACAAGCCAATTGTTGCGATATTAAAAACACGCGAAAATGTCTTTGCTTCGAAACATCGCGGAGAATTACAAAACTCGTTTTAATTTCGTGTCGCATTCACAACAAAAGCAATGTGAAGCACCACTTCCAAAGTTTTCTTAATTATTTAATATCATTTCAAAAAATGCATAAGATGTTTGATTAAACATTTTGTTTTCTTGTTTTGTCGTTTTTCTAAATATAACCGAAAGAATATCCTCGCACAAGTATAAAAAGTTAATAATTTCACTGTGCTAATTTGTTTTATCTCTTAACTGTTTAATGACTTTAATTTGTTCTTATAACAAAGAAAATGAGTTCTTGTACTTGGAGCAATTTTTTTATGATTTATGTTAATATTCTTAACTATTAATGATATGAATTGATTTTAAAATGAATTTAATGAATGCGTCAGCCATAAAAAGATTTCTTTTGCTTTGCTCAATGGCGTTTGAATAATATATTGCAGCCTATGTGAAGCTGATTATTCTTCACCTACACTAACTTGTTGCGATCGAAAGATTATCCAATTAAAAATTGATTTTTTTCACAATTCTTATTTTCTCGATTTTACATTTTGTTTGCACGATGATTTCTTAATAACTAAACAATAATAATGATTTTGTTTGGTTTAATTATCGCAATTTTTAATGGACACAAAGCACAGCATAACATAACAGCGTGCTTTAAGGAAAATTTATTTAAGTCTTTGTGTAACATTCGCTAAAGCGACGCTGAAAGCTTGTAATGCTGAGAACGGATATTGAAAGTCCAAAGTATAAGCATTGCCATCGATTCGGCCAAATTGCATAACCTGCGAAGAAAGAAGGTAAAAATAAAAGGCTCGACATGAAAAAGGTTGTTTATATGTTTCTCACTTGTTTTCCACGAAATTCTATTTGGAAATTTTTCGCTGATTCTTGTGTCACGCGCCCACCGAAATCAAGCTGATAAACTTGGCTATTCTCATTCCACATTGGAGCTAGTGAAGAAAGGTTTTGACGATAAAAAATTGAATGATTTACTGTTCATGAAGTTCTTTCGCATATTTACCTTTGTTGTACATAACAAATTCACGACGTACTGGCACGCTATGTGTTGAGGCTTGTGACGTTCCATTGGGCTCAATTTTCCCACGCTTCAACTGAAAATAAATTGAAACAATTATCGTTCAAGCTCAACACATTATTAATTAATCAACAGCCTTGCCTTCTGCCTCAATTGTGCTTTTTGGAATGTTTCCAAGTCATGATAACTACTTTTAACGCCTGACGATGTTCCGTTGTCGTCTTCATTTCCGTCTTCGTCAGAGCTCTCAAGTGGTGGCTTTTTACACTTCCGTCTATTAAGAAGTGGCGAGTTTAAGATATGGCGTATAGGTGAAGAGCTTTGCTGTCGTTTGTTCTTTTTGTTAGGTCCCGGAGATGAAGGTGAACTTCTTGGATGACGACTTGGTGAACTAGGAGTTGTTTGAGTATTTGGTTTCTCATCGTCTAAATCTCTTAAGCGGCTTATGATGTTTTCAAGTGTTGTTAAAGCCTTGAAAAAGAAATTACTATGAAAGGAATTAAATATTCATAAAATTGATCTTACCTGAGTGTGAAGTGAGACGGAAGTCTTTGATTCAATTGGAGTCACCTCTACTGGTTGCCCACTGTCACTTGAGCTGCTTCTGTTGTCACTTCTTCTACTCAATATTGGCGTGTTGTGTTCACTTTGTAATTGTGGTCGAGTGTTAGAAGCGAATTCATTTTTAGCTGCACGATATTTTCTTGAAAACAACGGACTGTCAGTGAAACTTGTAATAATTTCCAAGTTTTTATTTCGCTTGTGTTCACGTGGACTTTTACTGCATTCACCAAATTCATTTTGATTCTTTTTCGACAATTTTGGAATAGGCGGAGGTTTTGCAGTCACAGCATGACCTTCACTACTTGACGGTTTCACGCTTTCATCACTTTTCGAACATTTTAAGCATGTTGAAATGGAACAATTACACTGATTGGAATTTTTAAACTTTCGTCCTAAAATCGGTGTACCCGAACGTGAACTAAAGAAACTGCAAATCTTTTCCTTTGGACTTCGCTTTGGTGTCGATGTTAACTTGTTCTTCTTTGTGTTATTTGATGGCAATTCAGTCGATGAGAATTCAGTGTCTTCTGTGTTCTCCGATGACTCTATAAGCTTTGGCATTTGCTTGAATAAGTTATTAAGATCTTTATTAAGATTCGGAATATCTTGCAGCACATCACACGAGTCAAGACTTATCGATTTTTTAAAGCTTTTATACTTCGACTGTTGAATATTTCGACGATGTTGATTCGTAATCTTTCGATATTTCCGATGCTGTTGAATTTTTCTATCTACTAATACGAGGCGCTTCGGTGTTTCCTTTCGAAGTTGGGAGAGTGTCACATCACCAGGTATAAGTTCCATGTTATCCAAATATCCAACACTACAGCTTCGAGTTATTATGTCAGGTATTGATGGGCAAATAGAGACAACAGTTTGTGCACGATTCATACCGGAATTTGATGGAATAACATCAGGTTGTGGATTTAAAATCATCACTTGCGATGATGTTGATGGCGTAGGCTCATCATCAATATATTGAATATCTTTCTTCTTGATTGCACCTTTTGACTTTCCATCGATAATTCTTTCAAGATTTAAATTGAGATTTAGCGGCACGGGATTTACGTGGGAGTTTTGCCGAGCGTGCTCGTTTAATAAAGCGTTTTTCACTTGAACAACATTATTCGAGTAATCTGTGCTGCTTGAGTAGCTCATTAATGTTGTTTGACCTGCTGGTGGACGTTCAAAAATGATATCACTCGGTGCAACAGCATTTTTTGGTGATTGAAGTGTTGGCACTGATTGCTCGCAATAAAGCGGAGAAATCGCAACACGTGACTGATTGTTTGACGATGATGATGATGATGAACGTCCGTAAGAACTTATAAGGTTTGAATAGCTTATACCTTGCTTTGTTGGAGCAACAGGTGTCTCGAGAATGTCATCGTCATAGCTTTCCGCTTTTGCGAGAGGCCCGAGAGACTTCGGTGGATTTTGTGTGCTGTTTGAAGTTGATGGCGCATTTGACGATGACGATGACGACGATGAATTTGTATTGGCTAATGGCGATGGTCGTCTTGTATGTCGAATTGATGGAAAACGATTTGGTCTTGGTGACATTGGAGCGATAGGCGGATGTGAAGATGAAGAGGCTGATGCTGAATGATGAGGGATTTCCTTCATACGTCGATGGGTTTTTGGACTCTGAAAAGCATAAATAAGAATAACGAAAGGATACAACAGTTTGATAAATCGTAACGATAAACGACTTTAAGATGATGATTAATGTCTGCAGTTGTACTCACCCTCGAATGATATTCATCTTCGTCTTCCGAGAAGATGTTTGGATTAAAGCTTGGATCGGGACCGACTGGAAAATCGTCTCGTAATTCTGTTATTACCAAAGTCATCTGTCGTGGTTGCAAGTGAAGCAGTGAAGTTTTGTAAGTAACTTGACCTAAATTTGCTGGGAGCGATGATTTAGCTAAACCATGAATTTTGAATTTTGTGCCCCAAATATTTGATGTAACTTCAACGAGCTTCATATGTTCGGGTAGCGTGTCTAAATATGTCAAATCATCAGAAGTTGCATTTTCATTTGATTCAAGTGTTGAAAGTTTTTCCGATGAACGTTTTTTAGTTCGAGTTTTTCGCTTCCTTTGCATTCGAGGTGATCCTATGTTAATATTTTAAGTGAAAAAAGATTGAAAAGATATGAAATGAAGGATTTTGTTTGAATAACTTACGACACAAGTCATCCGATTCACTTTCTGACGTGTCGGTATTTCCATTACGACCACTACCGCTTGTTGTCGAATGACTTGATAAACTTTTATTTGTGTTTGAATCAGATGAACATGTGGATAGGAAATTAGCAACATCTTCAACTTGCGGATCGAAAATCACAAACTCGGGTCGAATTTTTGATGTTCGTTTGCCTTTAAGGAGAGGCACAAGACCTCCCATAAATTCCAGATAAAGTGTATAGCATGTTCCTGAGCTTTGATTAGCATCGTCATCATGTCGAATCATAGTACAATGTAATCGAGTGGAACATGCAGGCGGACGGGATACAAAATCACGCAACGACTTCATATTCGGCACGCAACATCGAATTGTTTGAGCAAAAAGATTCCCAATGAGTGATTTGATTCGAGAGGGCAATGGAAGTTTCGGTAACATGACTTCAGATGCTAAACATTGTTGAATTTTCAAACGACATATTAATTGGAGTGAGGCAACTCGTCTCGACACCCACGCAATGTGTACTTGATTTCCCGTAGCTATGAATATACGACGATCGTTATGGCCCCAGGTGAGGGCAGTTACAGGGGACTGAAATTGAAAATAATAATCAAATTTAAAGAGATAAGTCTTGAGATAAGTAATACGATATAAATTGTTATTGTTATTGCTATGATATCCTATCAAGCAAAAGAAAAACTTGAGAAATTTATTCTGTCAAAATTGAAACAAGAAGCGAATTGGTTTTATGATAAATTTTCAAAGTTAAATTGAATGAAATGGGAAAAGGTTTGAGAATCTTTGGAAAAACTTTATAAAGATTTTAATAGTTCAACATGTGAAGTTCTTATCAATCTTTGATCTAACCCAGTTTTGACTTAACTTCAATAAAAAGTCATAAGAAATAAATTCTATACAATTACTTACCATTGAATTTGGAATTTTTGCTGTATACAAAATTTGTCCACTTTCCGTATAAAATTTCAGAAAATTATTGTAACTTGAGCCCGATTCTTTCTTCAAGCCTTTTCCATCATTTTCGGCTCCGGCAACAGCTAAAAGCTCTCGAGAGTTACTCCATTCCATACAAAAACCTTCACAAAGGTCTGTGTTGATGTACGATGGAGATAAGTCGTCGAAGGATTTCAATAAATATATCGACCCGTTTTGAAAGCTTACAGCAAGGACAAAAGAACGACTTGCAGCATTTTTAACGCCAGGTTCGCTGTCACCTTCTTCCATTTTAAATTTCTCGCATGACCAGGCCATCGATGTTATGCCATGTTCGGATGATAATTGTACTTGAGAAACCATCGCACCATGCACATCCATTACAATAATTTGACCTTGAGTCGTTCCAAAGTACACTTGTTGATCGTCAGGCGTCCAAATGCCACATGTAATAGTCGCATCTAAGTTCAACATTGACGACCAATAACGTTGGCCAGCAACAGATCCAACAAGGACAAAACCATCTTGATAAGTGATCAATGCCATTCGTCCGTCGTGTGACCATGAGAAATGTGTCACTGGAGTATTGCGATCGTTAATAAGTTCAACACTCCACCGTCCCTCATATTTAATCCAAACAAAAATTATTCCAGAACTATCACAAGATGCAAGCTTCTGATAAGGTTCGTTCCATTTGACTAGTATCACCTGGGAAGTAACAGCAATTTTAATTAACATTTAATTATTTATATTGTTGACAACTTACATCAGAACGATGACCGCGTAAGTTATAATTAGTCCTTTGAGGATACTCAACATTCTTCTTGCAATGTGATGTTGAAAACGTGACGCCGACGATACCGCGCGTGTTTCCGGTCGCAAGCCACCCTTCTTGATAATAATTTGTTCGGTTTAACTTCCATCCTTCTTCCTACAATGAGAAATAAAGTTTCATAATGATGAATGAATTGGCAAGATGTGGAACATACATTGGGGGAAGTGATTAAGGAATTTATTTATGAATGGATCTTAAGAATCATTTTTCTTGTTATGTCAATGAATAAATGTTACATGAACGGTTGATAAGATTAATATAATGGTTAGCGAGTAATCTAAGGCTTATCGAAAGCTTATCTTGAGTCTTGACGTATATGAGTTAAATTCATCACAGTTTTCATGTTCATTTTGTTGGAAATATTCGAGGTTTAAACTTCAAAACAAAATCAATTAAGAATAAGAAATGGAGAAGTCTTTGATTATTTTCTTATTCGTTTGTGTTGCAACATCATTTGCAAGCTTTGAACTTCCAATGATTCTGGATATTGGTTACATCCCACCAGGTGCACCAAGAATTGATCATCAAGTTCAAGCTTTCGGACCTTTTGTGACACCAAGAAACTTAACATTCCATTTTGAATGGTCAACTGAAAGTCACGTAATCGGTGGTGTAAGACTTCGTGGATCAGAGCCACGTTACGATAGAATTTCAGTGACTCTTAATCGATTACAAACAAATTCTTATTCAATCGATATTTCGGTCATCGACACAACCTTTTCATTGTTTTGGGCTGAACCGCACGGATTTCCAATCACTCCAACTGACTCAGCTAAGGAAGTGAATAATTAAAAGCAAAGTTTTTCTTCTACTTAAAAAACTATTGAAAGTTTCGTAATATCAATAAAAACTTTTTTTATAAGTATTTAAATAAAAAATGAACAAAAATTTAATGCCAACTTTTCAACTTATAAAAAGTTTTATTACGAAGTTCGTAAATACCTACTTGTGTTGTGTTATCATATGATAAAGAAATAAAAGATACGAAATAAAGAAGCGGAAATAGAATCAACTTTTGATTGCCTCGTTCACCAATCTCTCAGTGATAATCTTAGCAAATTTAGTGTATAAGACCTGATTAAGGATGATTAAGAAAACAAAAAGAAGCAAACGATAAAAGCGAGATTTTATCGTTACAATCATCAATGGACAGAGTAATAAATTCTCTGCTTCAACATGAAATGTGACCAAGTCGTTTGTCTGCTCGATTTGTTCATTGTTTGCTGTTTTCGAAACTTGTTGTCATCGCTTTTTGCAAGGTTCTTTGGTTTTCCAAGTATCCCCAATACATTATTCAGTATAAATGGAACATTGAAAGTATTTAAGAAAACTTTGCAACCTTAAATCACTGTCAACATATTTTATTTCTTTAAAAAGTTTTTCATGTTTTGAGTTATGTGATAACTTTAAAAATTTCCCTTTGCTACCATCAAAAAGATTTGACATTAAAACTGTTTAAAAATAAATATTTTCGGATGGTTTTTTGATCTTCCAGGAAAGCTTTCAATCGACCTTAAAATATTTTTTATTCTTGTTTTTCTATTTGATCGAAGTGCCTACAAAGTGCTGAGCTTTTACACCTGAAACCTTCTTTGTATCGAAAATTGCTTTATCAATAAACGATACAAATTTTACCTTCGACTGAATCTTAACAAGATTATTTTTAACATCGTTATAATCTACGTTCCTTTTTCAATAACATACATCGAGACAAAGTGAAAGCAGGAGATAAAAAATCAATACAAATTTTTTGAAGCGTTTTTCTCCTGAAAGCTGACAAATAAAATCGAGAAGTTGCTTGCCTTATTCAATGGCTTTTGGCAACCATTAATGTTTTCATGTCTGCATTTCAAAGTGTCATGACATCTTAGAAAAGTTTTTCTAATGCATAAAAAGTTTGAAAACTTTTTGAAACACGTGAGAACTTTAAAAATAATATCCGAGTTAATATTTATTAGTGTTAACCACGAGTTTCATTTCCAAGTCACGAATAAGTTGCTTCAATCGCTGTAAAGCTTTGTGATAGTACTTTAGTCTGTAATTTATGATTGTACTACATTCATTCAGGATTATTAACATACATGGTGTGTTTATTATTTCTAACATATTTTGAGTAAATATTTTATGTAGCAAAGTTATATTTATCTATTTCATCAAATTTATGTTCCTAAGTGTTGCCTCAAACATTTTTTGTTTGTTTTATTGTTAATTTATTTCGTTTTTCAAAAGATTCAATTGATTTGAAACATGTTAAGTGTTGACGTAAAGTTCGACACGATTCAATTATATTCGAATAAAAATATTGAAAACTAAATTGTCGAGTGATTCTGAAACATATTCACTAATAAATTTTTATTTTCATGGTGAATTTATATTGAATAATGAAATTCAATGTCATATAACGTTAGACTGACTAATAAAATTAGGTTTGATTGGAAATCTGTTCAACATATTGCTTGCACCATGTAAATTCACAATTTTGCATATTTACAAACGAATTAATGTTTCAATTATTTTGTTTTAATTTCTCACTAAAATATTTCGGTTTTTCCTTCACGATCGGATGTGGGAAGTTCTTTTCAATTTAAAACAAAAAACATTCTCGTTTCAATGGCGAATCCAATTCAGACAACATTTCCGAAATATTCTTTTATTGATTGCATGTTGATGGAAATGGAATTCAGAATTATTTTTTTTAATATCTGTCCTTCTCGTTATGATAATGTAAGTAACAAATTGTTTGAATGAAAAACAACGAATTTATGTTGGAATGTCTGATGGGAAATCTTTCAGTTTGATGAGAAGAATAATCTTATAAATTCTGACGAAATAAGCGATTTTAAATCAGTTAAAAAGCTAAATTGGAAAAATGAAGTTTACAATCTGTTTCATTTCTTTTTTTATCGTAGTTTCAGGGTGGAAACATAAATATCAAAGTGGTTTTGTAACATATTCCATTGGAGCACGTTATGAAAAAGGTGAAATAAATTTCCATATATCTTTAATAAAACAATTTTCATATTTTCAGAACATTTTTCCGCTTTTTAATTCACTTATATTTAATATTTTCAGGCGACTTTTTAATAAAAAATATAACGATTGAATCAAAAATCGTAACGCATCGTTGGCCTCAAATTCATCGACTTCAATATAAAATACAAAATCATAATGATTTGATAAGTTTCGCTCAAATTGATATTATAGACAGTGATGTAGGTTGAACATATCATAGAAAGTTTAACTCCCTAAATAATTTCTTTTTTGTTTTAAGGATCCCCATGAAGTACACATCAACACCCACTCTGATTGTTATGATCTTTCAATCGAAAGCCCAAAAAGAATTCGAGGATTCTTGACAATCTACCACAAAGCTCGAGAGAATTACCACCACTTAGCACGACGTTTTCCACCATATTTACCAAGCTTTTTCCATTCAAATCACCACGAACAGAAAATATAATATTCGTTTCCATGAATCCAATTAAACAACTTGAAGACATTTAAAATTTAATTGTTGTTATAAAGTTTAATCAATTTCCTTTTTCATGTTTTAATTTCACCTGCTTTCAATTGAATTAGAGGTTTATATAAGAATTGTGAATAATAAGAAAACTTTCTTCATTACAAATTCGCAGACGCTTTGCTAAAAATAGACCCTTGAGCTTTCTGTGTTTGAATGGGGGATTTGAATAATGAAAAAAGTATGCGAAATTTCTTTTGGCTTTGCTTTCATGTTTTACAAAACTGCTTTGAAGCAGATAGTTTTTTTAATAACCTTCCGGAAACATTGTCGAACTTTCAGCAGTTAGGGTTTCTAATGTTAAAATATTGCCTCAGACTTTTTACTATGCTATTTGAAATAGAAACAGTTTAGTAGCTTATGTCGTTGTAAAAACTCTTTGATTGACTTGAAACTTTCTTGGATATTCTTCTTGTTTCTGTGGGTTTGTTCAAGTTGTAGAACACGAAAAAACTCATAATAACTTGAAGGATATTAAATTGAAAAACGATCGATATTCAGCTACAAAAGCTCATCAAACATCATGTAGCAATATGAATAAACATGAAAAGAATTTCCTTCCTATTTATTTTGATAGGCTGCATGTAAATATTGAACCAGGTTAAAATGTTAGAAAACACGGAGGTGAAAATGAAAATTTCTTTTCAATCCTGAAGGGTTTGTTTGTTCTAACGAATAAATCGAACAGTTTGCTTGTTACAAATATGATGGAAATTCAAACCATACTGAAGGTTTAGTTTTATGACCATTGTGAGAATGCGTTGAAAATAATTGCAGTTAGAAATCGTTACGTTATGCTTTTAATACAAATAGTTAATGTGATGCGTGTCTCCAATGAATAAAGAAAAAGCCTTTGAAATCAACAATATCAATCAAAATCGTTTTGATTCTCTATCCTTATTAATGCAACGACAATTGATTGGTACCTAGCTAGTCATTTTAAATTAGATGGCATCGTATTTTATTTATTCACGTTGACATAATGTTTCGAATTATGTGGATTGTAGGTGGAGAAATAAAAAAGGGAAGGCTTTGAAAAAATGTTCAAGAAGAGTTTGTATAATCAATGTAACCATTTTAAAACCAGAGATTTTGAATATCATCAAGTCACATGACATGGCTTGTCTAGTCAGTTGTTACATTTTATCCCAAATAATCCTATATATACTTACTTCTGGAATATCTTCAGGGACCTGAAAGAATGAAAACGAGAATCATGTTAGCGAAATCACGTCTTAGAAAATTTATGAGAAATTTCATTTCAAAAAGAAATAAACCTAAAAGGCGCTCAAGGAATTTGAAAAATTCCAAGGAGAATGAATTTCTCGCATTTTTCTTTTTATCTTTGAATAAAAGTATTATTGGAATATATATTGTGATATTCTTACCTTCCCCATCCACGACAGCGACAATATCGTGCAATCACATTTTGTATTTGAATTTTTCTCAAAGTGTAAATGCATCTTTGATCACCTTCCCACTTTCACAATTAAGTTATTTTAATAGAAATGATTATCTGCACTTTATTTTGCACTAGTAAATTTATCATTTTTATTGTTTCACATTTGCTGATTCCATTCCATTGTGAATTAATGTTCAACTTCTGTTCGCGTGGGAACGAATTTTGTTTTACTAAGCTTCTAAAAATAATTTACAACCTTTACGCTTAAATACGATTTTTGTTGCATTACACTAAGAATGGTGAAAAAAGAATGAAAACAAATAATCAAAAATTCACAAAGCTTATTCCGAGTTGTAATGAGATTATATTTGAGACAACTAGAATCGCTTCCAAAATGTTTTAGCGGAGATATAGGAAAATGAATGTTAACCGGTCGAATTGAATGAGAAGTTTGACAATCAAGAAATGAAAGAAAAATATTTCCACACCAACCAACGTGCATTCTCGCAGTGATGAGAATAATAACATTCTCTCTATTGTGTTCCACCCACACGCGAGTTTCTCTCACGTTTAATAAGTTTCATTTTCTCTCTCGCAATTTTCCCATTTTCCACATATTTTTGCGATACATATAATTTTTTTCTTATAACCTTTGGACATAAAAGAAGGAAAAGAAATTAAAATTCAATGCCATTTCAATAAAATTTCTTTCTACTTTATCGCTGTTTCATGTAGAAATAATCTTAATTGCGTTTGAAATATTATGATGAACTTCATCAAACATTTTGTCACACTAATTTTCAGTTTTTTCTTCACTTCTAAGTTAATTAAATAGTTTTTCTGCAAACTTCGTAAGTTAACTGCAAGTTCTATCGTTTCTAAATTGATAATATAAAATTCAATCTCCTTGCCAAAAAATGCAAATTGAGGGACTAAACTTCAAGGAAGTTTTTATTGTTTTTATAATGATGCATTTCAAATGAATTATTTTGAAAGCGACTTAAAATCTCAAGGATTATGAAAATATTAAACTTTAATAACTTTTACATTAACTATTTTTACACTTTATATAAATCCAAGTGATTGAGTTTAGTATGTTCATATGTTGATATATAAACTAAATTTGAAGTCTGTTAAATATCTATAATTTTTGAACTTTGAGTTTCTAAGCTTTTGATTCTACGACTCGCTCAAAGAACTTTTCTCGACTAACTAAAACCATCCCTTTTTCCATGGCTTATCGATTTTTTATGTTCAGCTTTGTTCCTTTCTCTAAATTCTCATACATATTTTAGAATATGACATTGTGAGTGAAGTGAAAACTGAAAATATACGAAAAGCTGTGAGAGAAAATGAAAAATTTTCTCGTTCAAGATTCATTCAAGTGGAAAAACTTGGAACATCCTTGAAAATGAAATTTCAACAACCTGTCAGCGGTGTTATGAAAATATAAGGGAAATAACATCTTATGTAGGTGTTATGAACAAATTTTTCATATTGAAATATGTCATTTTTAATGATGAAGCAAATATTGGATAACTTCTTAAAGTTTTCTAAAAATTATGAAAGAAGTTAAATTCCCGATATAAAAATTTTTGAATTTAACGTGACATTCACTATTTGAACTTGTGACACTCGTCAATTGAACAAGTTTTGGAACTTCTCCACTCAAAGAAGGTTATCGCAGGAAGACAAATTTTGTGTTTTCATATTTGTGACTTAAAATTCGAATAAAAATTCTATTTAAGCAATAAACTAATTACTTTTTCCTTAGAAAACTCTTGTTTCATAATATTTTGCTGCTTTCAATTGATAAATTTTCAAATATTCTATTTTATTTGTTATCATTAGGCAAGTGTAGTGAAGAACTCCTCAATTCCCAATTCAAGCTTCTCTTTGTTTTTGTTTTCTTATCATCAATATCGTCGCATAAAAAAATACTTCAAAGTAATTTTCACACGAAAGTAGGTGGTATAAAGAAACCAGATATATCTCTTTCTTATATAATAAATTTATTATTCTAGATTTTAACAATTCCGTTGTCAGTTGTTAATTGGATAAGCGAAAGGAAGTGTTGGTTTTATTCGCTTGAATTTCAAAGCCACGGATTAAAATTAAGTTACGAAAGCCGCTGATTAGAAGAGAGCAAAGGTTATAGATTATTTACATCATGGATACAGCAAGAAATCAAGTAAATAGTTTGTTTGCTAAGAAGGAACCATGGCAAATTGCTGCTATTTCAACAGCATCTACGCTTTTCGCTGTTTGGTTCTTCCAGTTTCTAATAAAAGAAGAAAGTAAGCTTTGAAATTAATAGTCAAGTTGAAAAATATTTTTATATCCATAAATATTTCTAGGCTGGACAACACGAGCAAAAAAAACCTTTTTCAGAGTGGCACGCAAAATTCCTTCAATTAAGAAGAAAATTGATACTGAATTGGATGGTCTACAGAAAAATTTTGAAGAGACAATGACCAAACAAGGTGATAAAATTGGTTATATCGTCAAGTTACCGGAAGATGGATGGCACAGGAAGGATATTCTTAAGAAGATCGACGAATATCTTGAGCTTGGAAATATCAAGTGGCAGGAAGGTTACGTCTCAGGTGCTGTTTATCATTTCGATAGCAAGATCATTGATTTGATGACCAAAGTTTATGGCAAAACATCATACACAAATCCTCTTCATGCCGATATTTTCCCTGGAATATGTAAAATGGAAGCTGAAGTTCTCCGAATGACTGCAAATCTTTTTAATGGAAGTTCAAGCACCTGTGGATCAATCACGACAGGTGGAACCGAATCAATTCTCCTTGCTTGCAAATCTTACCGGGATTACGGTCGAGATGTAAATGGAATTAAATATCCCAATATGGTTGTTCCTACAACAGCTCATTCTGCATTTGATAAAGCCGCTCAATATCTTGGCATAACAGTCAAAACTGTTAAACTTGAAGCTAATACATATAAAGTCGACATCAAGGCCATGGAACGAGCTATCAATGGAAACACAATTATGGTGATAAACTTCTTTTTTAAGTCATTCAGTTTTTATTACAATTGAGAATATTTTCAGCTAGTTGGATCAGCGCCCAATTACCCTTACGGTACAATGGATGACATCGAAAAAATTGCCAAATTGGCACGAAAGTACAAAATTCCTTTACACGTTGATTGTTGTTTAGGTGGATTCTTGACAGTGTTCATGGAACGTGCTGGTTATTCGCTTCCTAAATTTGACTTCTCTGTCAAAGGCGTTACAAGTATCTCAGCAGGTAAAATAACTTAAAAATGTTTCGAATTTCAAAATATTTGGCTTTTTCATGTTTTTTCTGTTTTATCGTAAAGATTGAAAAGAAAATTCCTTTAAGTAAAAGATAAACGATTAATTGATACGAAGTTAAAAACTGTTTGATGAAATATTGAAAACAAATGTTCAAAATTCCTCAAATATTTTGTCTCATGCTTCGATTGTTGTTATTTTGTCTATTTCTATAAAATTTTATTCATTTTTTATGACTTCATTTAGATGAAATATTTTTAAGATGAAACAGAAAAATATTTAATTAAGCAAGATCCCAATTTATTACAATGCCAAATTAATACTAATTGAAATTTCTAAATAGATACGCACAAATACGGATTCACACCTAAAGGTAAGCGCAAAAATTTCTACTTTTAATGATTTTATAAAGTTTGATTAAAGGCTCTTCATAAAAGCTTCTTGGCATAGAATTATTCTCAATTATTTATGTCTTGTATTCAAACACAAGACGGTTCACACGATATTCAACACGATGGTTAATCATTCTGATTCTAATTATTGATATAAGTTTATGTAACAAGAAAATTTTGTATTCAATTATCATAATTAGTTTTTGAGTGCTTGACGATGACTTTCGATTTGTTTTCATTTTCTTCTTTCAGGAAGTTCCGTCATCTTATATTCAGATAAGAAATACCGTCATCACCAATATACTGTAACTACTAATTGGCCAGGCGGTATTTATGGGTAAAGAAACGCTTGACATTGTGGTTCTTAAAATAAATTATTTAATAACGAATTTATTCTCAGGAGCCCAACAGTTAGTGGAAGTCGAGCAGGAGCGACAGTTGCGTGTACATGGGCTTGTCTACTTTTCCATGGTCTTGATGGATATGTTGAAAGTACAAAGGCAATTATTGATACATCACGTTACATCGAAGATAAGCTTCGAAAGATTTATGGAATTTTCATTTTTGGAACGCCAGCAACATCTGTTATTGCAATCGGCTCAGACGTTTTCGATATTTTCAGATTGTCTGATGGAATGCATCAGAAAGGTTGGAATCTTAACATTCTTCAATTTCCAAGCGGGTAACTACAGAAAAAAATATTTTTTAATGATTCTGATTTTAATGTTTAATTAACATGCACAGAATTCATATTTGTGTCACAAATATGCACACGCGACCTGGAGTTGCTGACAATTTTATCAACGATGTCGAATCAATCGTCGCAGCGCTTGTATTAGATCCCCAAGCTCCTGTTGAGGGAAAAATGGCGCTTTATGGTGTGGCACAGGAAATTCCAGATCGTTCGATTGTTGGTGACTTCACGAAGCTTTTCCTCGACTCATTAACATTCACTCCAAAGAGACCAAAGAAGTTTAAAAAAAGTGATCGCTCTGAAAAAATAAAAGACAATCAAACAGAGTCGAACGACGTCACATTGATAGACGAGTGAATTACATCATGTAATGTCGACATTGATCGCTCATTCCAATTATATTTCTTTTATATCTATAGGGTTGTCGAATGCCATTTGAAATTGTCCAATGAATGTTTTTAGCAATCAGTATTGTGGTTTGCAACTAGTTGTTGATTTTGTTTTTCGAATAAAGCTTCTTTGCATACATTTTAAATAATATTTCAGACCAAATAAGAAAATGTTCAATCAGAGTCTTCATAAATTAATTATAACGAATTGTCAATTTATATGTCAAAGTATAGAATTATCTAATCGACAACCCTCTCTTCGTGGAGCAAACCTTTCTTTTGATAATTCAAGTATAATTCGTTGTAATATTTTAAGAACAGAAAATAAATAATTTTTATATCGCATATTATAATAAATAATAAATTCATCAATCCCTTTTTTGAATCACAAAACTTTGTATTTTTTATTTAAATATCTTATTAAAATGTTAAATTGCAATAACGTTACAAAAGTAAATCAAATTTCAGCGATAATTCAGAGGTTTGAATTTATATTTTTTTTTCAAGGTGCCATTGGGATTATGATTGGATGTTGGAAGTTTGGGACTTGAGGGATCTGATTGTTCCAATTATTTGGAGGATTATTCCAGGTAGGTGGGCTGCTGTCCCAGCTAGGTGGGTTACTGTCCCAAGTTGGTGGTCTATTATTTGATGGATTGTTCCAGCTTGGTGGATTCTGCCAGTTGTTATTTGGTGGACTCCAGTTCCAATTGTTCTGATCGCAATTAGCCAGATTAGGGAAATCGCAATAGTTTCTTCGTGCGTTCCAGTGTTGACCAACTGGACATTGATATTCAAATGCCATGCCATGATCACATTTGAAGAATCGTTCGCAGTTTGATTGATGTGGTAAATGCACAGGATTCCTTGGATTTTGATTAGCTGGACAACGTGAATCTGGAACACCAACCACGCTTATGCGAGGAGGTCGGGTAGTCGTACGTTGTGGAACTGAGGCTGTTGGTATTTCAATGCCATCAGGGTTATTTGGATTCACATCAGGAGCCCATGTTGGTATTGGTGGTTGAATTGGTTGAGCTGTTGGCATTGGTGGTTGGCCTGGTGGAGGCCTTGTTGGTACTGGTGGTTGGCCTGGTGGAGCTCTTGTTGGTACTGGAGGTTGACCTGGTGGAGCCCTTGTTGGTACTGGTGGTTGGCCTGGTGGAGCCCTTGTTGGTACAGGTGGTTGACCTGGTTGAGCTGGTGGAGCTCGTGTAGGAATTGGTGGCTGACCAGGAGCTGCTTGTCTCGTTGGACTTCCATTTCCAGGAGCTCGTGTAGGAATAGGCCTCACAGGCACACCCTGGTAATGAATGATCATTTAATATCTTTTGTATAAATATCTCGGGAATAAAATTTTACCTGTTGACGAGTGGGACCTCTACCAGCTGTTGTTCTTCGTGTAGGCGCTGGAGCTCTTGTGGCTCGACTCGTTTGACCAAAACCACTTTCAACAGCAATTGCTATTATTAGCATAAACGCTAACGAATACTTCATGTTTAAATCTCGAGTCACTCTTTTGTCTTCTTACTACTCTCTGTCCGCAATTAAAATTTACTGACTGCTTCAAAGCATAGTTAGTTCTCCTTTTATACAGAAAACACTTAAAAGAGACAAACTGATATGATACTAGTGGTGTCATCCCAAAGATAGACAACACGCGGCCGAATTAAAAATCAAGAAGAAGATGTCGGAACTACTATGACACTTTTCCTATCAGCGGAAATAAATAGTTTTTGTGGAAAAATTCCTTAATTTTAATGATACATCAAAGAGCTGCGGCGATAAATTGGCGAAATGAACGCTAATTTACAATGTTTTCAATTAGTGTCAATTACCGATAACTGTAAAAAGAAGGAAGAAGATTTTAATCTGCAATCATTATCAGCATTAAACATAAAAATTCGATTTATTTATTTGTTTTCCGAAAAAGCTTTTTTTGTTTAGATAAACTTAGAAAAAAATTGATTCATTGTTGCAATTTGATATGACAACGAAAATCATTCTCAAAGTATGAATGCAATGAAATTATGGCGAAATGAATCACAAATTTAGTACTCAGAATTTTCACATCAATTTCATGATAATCTGAAGCATTAAATTAAAACATAAGAAATTAGATTTTAAATGTTTTTCTCTTTTATTGAATTTTGCAAATTTTCCAAAAATATTCGAATTTTATGTAAATATTAAGCTTAAAATATGTAGAACAATAAAATGTTTTTAATTCAAAGGTCGTCTGGGGGTGGCACAGATAACATTTTCAGCTCTTGTGCAATGATTGTAGCGAAGATCCCAAGCATGGTCCATCGGACATCGAAGTCTGATGATGAAATAAATTGTATTAAAAAGAAACATTAAATAAAATTTTAAACTTACAAAACAGCGCGACCATTGACGCACTGATAAAATTGTTGACAATTAAGGTGATAAGGAAAGTAGACAATTTTTCCAGGAGTGTCAACGAAAGGGCAATTCAAGAAATCTGGATGTTCAATTTCAGGTCTTGGATTAGGAATGCTGGGTCTTTGTGGTGGACGTGGTGCTGGTCGTTGTGGCGTTTGTGGGACGCATCGTGCGGTCCAAGGAGAGTCGCAATAATTTTTTTCTCTATTCCAATGTTGACCGTTTGGACATCTGACCTCAAAAGAATTTCCTCGGTTACATTTGAAGAATGATTCACAATCATATGGATTCGGAAATTGTGTCGGATTCCTAGGATCTTCATTCCTTGGACATCGACTGTCAGGTACGCCTCCTAATGGCGCTTGAGCAAAAGTCAAGGCGATTAATGAAGCAAAAACAAAAACTTTCATTTTTGATGTCTCTCTTTTCGATTTTCAATTTTTTTCTTACAAGTCAGCACTAAAATATAACTGAAATCTTACGAAAAGTTCCTCCGATATTTATTGAGAAGTTGAGCTAATGATAAAATATTTTATCAGAGAAGATAGAAGCACATTGACTATTTGTTGTCAATTTTCGATGATAGCACAATCAATCACGTATGAGTAAAGTCAGCGATACTTTTCGGGTGTTTATTAAGTCGACAAATGGCTTTTTTTTATGAGGAATTTTCACAATCATTCAGGGGAAGTTCTCGTCTGTACAATACCAAGAAATATGTACACTCACAGGAACTGATTTATTGTAACATTATCATTGCCAATTGTCATGTTCTCATGTCACGATATAACAAAAATCAATGTTATCAATGTAACCTCAATTTATTGACAATTGGATAAATTTATCGATATCAACGATGTGTAAACTTACAAGCGTCAAGTGAATTATGTGGAATTATTTATAATACAAGATGAAGAAGATTAAATGTCTGTTGATGTTTTGAAAATTTTTTATGATACTTATGACAAGTAATTAATTTCTTTTATGATTTTATAGGCAGAATTTGATGACATAAAAGCTTAACATTGATTAATATTTAGTGACAGCGAAGAAGATTCTTTGAAGAAATGTTGACGAATGAAAAACTGTTTCGGATCTGCAGTTTATTGAATAGATTTTGTTGCATTCTTCTCCAGTAATAAGATTACAGCTCAGCAAAGATTAATCGAAAATCTTCGCTTATTGAAACAAGAACGTAGAAAATTACTTTTATGAAAGAATTTATTATGAACATTTTTGGGATGTCAAAGTCTGCAAGTCACTCAACTTTTCTAGTTGATAAAACTTGATTTTCACTTCTTCTATTCATGAAAGTTATTCTAATAATATTTTATCAGTTGGATGTAGGTAAATGGAATTTCAAAATCGTTTCAATTTTACTTGCTCAGTAACCGAAAGAAGTCAATTAAATCCTTGAAATATCCTTAAGCTAATTAAATAAAAACTATCTCAGAAGTTTTGAAATTTAAAATATATTTAACTCGCTTAGTATCCATTTAATCTAACGAGAATCACATAATTGCTTATTAATAATTTTAATGACCTTATCGAACCTCAATAACCATCAACATTACTCATCCATGATTTAGCAAAAATTTAAAATTCTTTCTGAACTTCATTCTTTGTACGAGGGATTCTTTAAATTTATTTAAATTTATTCATGAATATTTGACTTGACTCTTAACTTTATTCCCGATTTTAATATTCATTCTCTCTCACGCTTCAGTCTCTCGGTGATTTTCAACAGCGGTAGAAGTTTCTTTCGTAAAGCTCCCTTCATAAATAATAAACAGTTGGTCGTGAACCTCATCATCATGATAAGATTTTTTATAGGCGTAGCATTGCTTAACAGTTGTGTCGTTTTGGGTCAGCGTGGTTCATTTGCAGGGACCACAAAAAGACCGCTTTGTGTTGCTGTTGGCGATTATGTAGTTATCATTGACATTGACTTCAATTTCCAGTTTATTTCTTGATAAATATTTATGACTTGGAAATTCCAAAAGGTCACCGACCTGATTGTTTTTATTTTCTGTTTTTGCTTCTCTCATTTTATTCAATCTTAAGTGTTTCGAGAATCGCGATTGCTGCAGCAAGTTCTGTCTTGGACAAACACAAAGATGCATCGTTGGAACGACACCGGAAGTAATCGATCCAAATTCAAGACCAGCATCAACAACCAACCTTGATAACCGCTTTGATGACACTCAAAGAATTTGTCAACAATTGAATGGCTTTGTAGGTTGAACAATTAAACTTCTTATTCTCTTCTCGCTCATTCTCAAATATTTAATCTTATAACATTCAAACACTCATAGTGTCAGATAGGTCGGGATTGTTGTTCTGGGATTTGCTCTACAGCTACACAAAAGTGTTTATATAATAATGAAATACCAAATCGCGCACCGACAACAACAAATGCAGTGATTGGTTCAAGTGGACTTCAAGGTCAGCATGGAATTGAATCGTCAGGTATTAACGATGACAGAACTTGCAGTCGAGTGAATCAACAGGTATGATGTTCGATGATTAGGTTTTTGTTATGATATCCTTCAGCACGTTTGAACTGTTATTCAGACAAGAAGAAGAAGGAAAATCCGGTAGCTTCGCTTTCAAAATTAAATTAAATCACAACCAACTCGACTGAACGTGCCATCTCGAAAGCTATTTTCTCGAAAGCTATTTTCTCAAAATCAATTTTCATCTCATAACATTCTATCCAATTGAACAAATCAATCTCTCTTTCTTTTATGCTTTTGGAATCTTAAATTGCTTTGTCCGGCTTGCATGACATAAAGGAGAAGAAAACTCTTTGAGTAGACAGAAAAGAATTTTTCTGATTACGACATGAAATTTTCTTCGACGTCATCATTGGCACTTGACAAATGAAGTGAAACATACATCCGAGGCTCATGTGAAGAAAGAAATTTATTGACATTTATATAATCACAACGATTACAATCTGTTTCTTGTTTTTCATGTTTGTCTATTGATCAATTTTATTTAAGTGTTCGAAATCTAGAAATTGCTGTGCTTTTCTCAGTTGCGAAAAGAGTGTTTGTCGTGATGTAGCAGTTGTGGTTGAAGGGACTGAAACTTTTGGTTATAATCCAAACAACACACTCGATAATCGTTTTGGTGAAGATGAAGCTGAAATTACAAACACTCCGTCAAACACTCCATGCGCTCAAATTGGACAAAAAGTAAGAACTTCGTTTGCCTTCTTTTTACGCTTTTTGATTTCTGAACTTTTCTTATTTTTTTATTCCCTTGAAGTGCTTTAAAGAAACTGATTGCTGTACTGGCTTAAGATGTCATGGTTTCCTTCATAAATGTGTCACATAAGTGCCGACAGCATAAATTCTGTAAAAGGTTCTTGATACTTCAATAATCCTAGTGTCGTTAGTAAATCTTGTTGGAAATTTCTGTTCATCCCTAGGATATTCAAGATGTCTCAGCATTACTTATTTTTATGTCACTAAGAATTTTAGATATTTAATTTCAATTAAATTCTTCACATTTCTTACAAGGTTAAAAAATTGTAAATCAAAAGAATAAATTTATTAATTAATTTCAAAGGGTGTTTACTGCAACATAACGTTGCATGTTTGTACTTGATATTTACTTTCATCAAACTCAGTGAACTTTGGAAATATCTACAAAGTTTCTACCTTCAAATCTTAATGAAATTTTGTTCAAACATTAAACTTTTCCAGTTTTCCTATAACATCGAGTAAACAACATTAAAAAAATATAAACATGGTATGCCACAACATTTCAACCTTTAAGCTAGATCTGTTGAAGAGTTGTGTGACAAACTTTACTCGTCTGTAAATCATCGGACCAACATTTTATTTACAATATTACATTTAAGATAGAAATTTATGTTTTCAAAATCCAATGGGAAATTACTTTCCAAAATCATTCTTCTCAACATTTCCCTGAGCGAGTGAAAACATGATCAAGATTTGGTTTATTTCGCGATAAATTATAAAACCTTTCTAAACACGTGTTGTGCTTGAAAAATTATTTTTAAGGATGAAATTTTATGCTTTCCCAATAAATCATTTTGACTCTCATTTTTCAGCTTCATTTGCAGTTAAATATAAAATTTAGTTTTCCTCTATTAATAAAATAAAATTTATGGTTGGACATTTCATGATAATCGATAAATGCTTAAATTTCAACATCACATCGAGATGAATAAATTAAATAGCAAATCCATAGTTCACAACATTTATTAGCAACACCAACATGTGCTATTCAAACAAAGTGTTAAAGTTGAAAGTTTCCTCGTTGTTTTTGTGTTCATATCTTTATTACACTCTCGTTGCTTCATCCCAAACCTTCTAAACATTTTCAGATGCTTTCAAAGCAAAGCAAATTATATTTTATTTAGCTCATTGCAGTCAAAAAAAGTTCTGATTATTATACTGCGGCTTTTTACCACGTTTGACACCATTTACATTAACCCACATTCATGTTGTGGTTAGCGGTAAGATGTGAGAAAATAGGCTACCAGGGACGAAAGTGTAAAACTAATGAATTTAACGCGAAATCCACTACAGTCGAGCGTTATCTGGTTATCATTCTTCATTCCCATGAGACAGATTTCACCGGACATCCTCTTTCCGTAAGTAAAACCATATTAAATATACAAAACTGTAGCATGAATAAGCTCTTATCCGGAAACTCTTTCTAGTGTTTCACTCTATCTTCATGTTTCAAAGATACATGGCAGCCCTTTAAAACCGAATGTAACATTTATATGTACTCGAAAAAAGCACAAAAACATGATTAAATATGAAATCGAGTTGTGAGCTGACGAAGGTTTTTAGCCGCAAGAAAAATGTTTCTTCAAATATCCGATTCGAGAATTTGATATCATCAAAATTCATAAAAAGATCTGAGAAACTTTCTTTTCCCTTTCGTAATATAAAATTGTATAAAATTGTGAAAGGTGTCATGAACTTTGTAAATATTTTCTGCAATTTGATTTTACCGTCTGGATGTTCAGTAAAACCTGCATTGGAGTATTGAAGCATATCTTAAATTCATAAAAGATTCAAAGCTTTAAACTAACAAATTTATGAGGTTTACATGAATAGCAAAGTCCATTGACCAAAGTAAATTTCAACCTTAGTTGACGGGAAAAGTGTTTGTTGAAATGTTGCATAAAATTTAAATGATTTTAGGAGAAGAAAAATTAGACTTGCTTTGTTGTTTCATTAGACATTACTTATTTACGGTAGGATGGAAAAAGATATCTTGACTCTTAAATTCAACAAGCAGAAAAATTTTAAAAAGTATCAAAAACTCATCGTCTAAATTTTTTTTCTGTTAGCAAAACAAACTCAATTTCAATCCTTTTTTGCTCTTTTTTTTCTCATAGGCTTGATAGGGATATTCAAATACGAGACCCGAACATTGGTAATTTTATTTCGTTTCAAACATGATATCAATGTTGACTTTATTACATTTCACTTCAATGTCATTAGCTGAGCATTGTTTGTTACAATATTTACAATTTGCTTGTAAATTTCAATAAGGAAAGATACGTAATCAAATTTTCCTTGGTATAATATCGTCGATATTGCCATGAAAAATCCCACATGAGGAAAAATGTTTCTCTGGATATTTTAAAAGAAGGAAAATGAAATTGTGCAAGACAAAGACGAAAGGGTTCTTCCATAAATAAATATTAATTTACTTTCATTGATTTTAAATGTTCTTTTGAATGCTGAGGAATTGTTTCATATTTCTAACTCATTGTTTGAAATGCATTTGCGAAATCTTTTCCATTTTTTAAGAAGTTTCTTTCTTCGTGTGTTCTTTGTTTGAATTTAGCAAACTCTAGCAAAAAGTTTCAGTCCTTTGATCGGATTTCTGCATCAGACAAAAGGAAAATGTGAAAAAGTTTTAAATAGCATTTGGTAACACGATTTGATGCTTGACAAAAATTGCTTCGAAAATATATTTGTGAGATCAAGAATTTGTGTTACAAAGTGTCTCAAATTTTGTTTGTTTCATACAAGAGAAAACTTTTCAACGTCTTTATAATTAGATTTATCTAAACAGAAGATTCAAACCAGAAAATCTTCACTTCATTGATTAAGCAGACACAGAAAAGTTTCAAAATTGTCTGTCGTCGTACCATGATATTCAGAAGAAAGGAAAACATGTCAAGGATGCGAAGTAATCATTTGCAAGTTGCAACAACTTAAATAGAAAGCTTTTAACAAGATCAACAGATGTGTAATTAACCAATTTAAAGTTGGTTGAAATTTATCTACCAAGAACATAAAGAATTAATTACTTTAGAAATTATGTTAAGATCTTATCTATATAGTTTGAAAGTTTATTCCTTTTACATTACAACATAATAATTTACCATCTACATGTCCTTGTTTCATACACTTTGGAACAGTAATTTTTCCACTCAATTTCACCTTCTAAAACTTAAACATTAAACAACAATTGTGAAGGAATTTGAAAATGTAAGAAAGCCTTAATTAAAGCTTTTATAACAATTAAAAAAGTTTTTTCAACATGCATTTTAGCTTCTTGAAACTTTCTTCCACTGATAGCTGGTCGACATGCAAAAGTCTCTTGTGTTGTTGCAAGAAGCTTTCGGAAACTTCATCATGCGCATGTCACAACATAGTTCATTCCAGTAAAGAAATTTCCTTCGTCTAGTTCTGATCATTCACAGAAGAAGAATATTCAACAAATCAGTTTGAAACTTTTCAGTTAGTCGTTGAACTTCATCGTGTTAAGTCGGTTATTGAAAAGCGGCTAGCAAAAGACTGGATTTTCCTTGAATTGAAAAAATACTAAAAAAATATAATTAAAACTGCTTCCCAAGTGATTTTTTAAAAGAATTAAAATATTTTATTATTCTCTGATAATTTATTTAATATTTCAAAAATAAATTTTTCGTTCATAGCATAAAGTTTCAAGTTGCATTTGTGAAGCCAACAAAATTTCTCTAGCATAAGTATGTAGAAAAAACATTAATTCAACCACGTTAACTTCTATTCCATTCATTGTCAATTTGTGTATAAACGAACAAAACCAGTGTTGACCTATTCAAATATTACAATATTCTAGACTTTTTCTGTCAAGAAGTGTTGAAACTTTTTCATTGTTTTCTCTAAAACTATGACAAACTCATAAGAACAAAAAGCTTAAAAGACAAGAAAGATCATTTGTGCTTAAAAATAAAATGTAGAAAATATTCTGTAACTTAAGGACAAGAATATGAGTAGTGACATTAAAGAAATATTATAAATAGTGTTGAAAAATGAAAAACCAAATTAATGGTTCTACAAATTCTTGTAGTGTAAGGACAAATTTATTAGAAATATGAGTGAATAACTACTTAAAGTAAACATAAAACTTCATAATAAATATGATGGAAAAACTGAGATAAACTTTGAAAACATAAAAGTAAAGCTAACGAAGTTTTTTTGAAACTATTCTAATATAAGTTTCCAGAGCTGTTTGAGATGTGAGGATAATAGAAGAAAAAAGGTACATAATAATAAAATGATGCTGTTTACTATTGTAATAACTTTCCATGCAAAGCACAATTGCAATCTTCATAAAAGCAACGAGAAATTTCCAAAGAAAATTTAAATTTTCTACACTTTCTTGTTAATTTTATTTCCTCATCATGATCAGCTATGACTGAGAGAATTATTTAAAAATAATTACCCAGTTTAATTGGTTCTATAATAAACAAGAAAAAATAATATTTGTATGAAATTTCAATGAATATAATTATATTAAGTAGGCTAAATGGAATTGAAAACATTCATCAGGAAAAACCTTGGGGGGATCTAATTAAAAATTTAAATTGTCTTATTGTTTGATTTTCCAAGTAGAGAATTCATAATTTATTCTCAATTGCTTTTCCAGAGTCTTGAAAGCATCTTAACATAATTCAGAAGCTTTTCTCATTCTTAACGCGTATTTTCACAGACTGACCAAACTTCAATGGTCGCAATGCAAATTTTTATGTGAATTTAAATGAATTTATTGATTCTGTATTTAAAACTGAAAAGTTTCACTAAAAATATGTTGCAAATTGCACATAAATATGAAAATTTTTCATGCATAAATCGTAAACATGTTTTCAAGTTGCGTTCATAAAGCATTAAAAACTAGAATAAACTTTTTGGAAATATTTTCGCATTACTTAATGGCAGCCATGAAAAATTGCAATAAATAAGATTAGATCTATCTGAAGCGTGTTAAATAAAGAGAAAATCATACAAAATTCCTTCAGCAGTCACGAAATGATTTCAACTCTTTGATCTTTTTTCTTTCCATACTTTTAATAACTCAAGTAAGAAATCAAGGAATGACAAACATTCCTCCCTAGTCAGAGGGTTGAATTTTTAAATTTCTATCTCGTTTCTTTTTATATTGACAAAAACTTTTTTTTATTTTTTCTCCAGAGTTTTAATTCTCTGACGTTGATAACAAAATTCTGAGAACGTAATAAGCAGCAAGCAAATAAAATAATAAAGCAACACCAAAGTCAAAAAATAAAAATGCAAATTAGGTGCTTTGGATGAGATTGTCGTGATTGTTATGGGAACTAGCGACATTTTTCGAAGGTTGTTTTCATTGCCATCAAAGAAGATGCTTTAGCCTCAATCAAGAGCTGCTTTCATGCGAAGATAATTATTAATTAAATTTATTTCTTGTCCCTTCAAAATTAGAAATAATGATGAAAAATCTTCTAAAGTTTAATTAGAAAGCATTTGGTTGCTTCTGAATATTTTTCACATTTCAGCAAGATTTTGTAATGTTTAGGTACCTAGATAATTATAATTCCAAGGGTTAACCAATATTATTCAGCTTGTTTATGGTAACATGTAATATACAGCGGCAATTCTAGTTCATGCTTACTTCTCATTAGGTTCTCTTATCCGCATTTCTACGGAAGTATCTACTGCATAATTAGCCAGCAACAGTGAATTGTATTCCATATTTAGCATATTTTATTCCGAATAAGCTTTCATATTGAATACAGAGTAAAAATCTGTTATGGAATTCAATATGATTCAATATCTACAGGCATCATATTTGTCCTAGATATTCAATTTATTACGGCAAAAAATAAATAAACAAAAAAAATATTATCGGGAAAAATCAATGGCGAATCCAAAAATAAAACAAATTTTCCACCCCCACCTCCTTCGAAATTCAAACATCTGAAACAAATATGTACAATCAGTTCTTACCTTTTTTTCTTAACTTCGTTTCCTTTCTTAGCACCACATTGGATAAATCAATAAATCCATTAACCTCATAATTGCTTTTATATGAAAATGAGATTGTTCCGCTTCCAACTAATATGTGGAAACTCGCGACAAGCGAACTGAATGAAGAAAAAAGAGGAACTTTATTTAACCCGACTATGATAGAAAGCGAAGCGAAAGGAGGAAATTGAAACCGCAATTTAATAGTGACAAAATTCAATTATTTTACTGAGGCAAATTGAAAAATCAATTTTGATTATTTTCGCTTCCTATGGTGAAGGAATAGAGAGAGAAAATTTGTGTTTTCCTTATTATCATTGAAGTGTAAAATTATTGGAAATTGTTCGTCATCAGATTTACTCCGATCAACGTTACACTTAAGGCTTAAGAGAACAGCATTTGATTTGATGAAAAAATTCGATATCCGTCAAAGCTTTGAAGAGGAAAGTTTTCCTCGATCTAATGAAATTTTCTTTGCAGAGTTTCAATAGATTATTGGAGACATTTTTATTTTTATTCTTGTACCAGTCGCGTAATAATCTGTTGAATCAAAAGACGTTTGGGAAATTTTTAATTTATTTTCGTTTTCTTTGAACAATTTTCTAAAAAGAAACTTTCACTTAAAAGCCAAAATATGACCAAGTCGTGAACGTCAAAATTCACATCATCAAGACGAGTTGACAAGAGACAAGAAGTCAAAATAGAATTTGTCAGATTTCGAATTAATTTCCTTTACAATTTTCATTTTAATACCTGTAGAAAATTGAATTGAATATTTCGTTTTTGTCTTTCCCTAACCACAATTCTTAATAATTAATGAGAAATTATATTTTAATTAAAATTTCGTGATGAGAAAGTTTCTAAATAAGCAAAGGAATGAAAAGTTGATGAAGTTTTCCCATCTTATCTTTACACTCCTTGTTTATAGAAATGTAAGTAAGAAGCGTTAATTGATGTTGAGAGATGATTGTTTACTTTCCACTCAAACAAGCAGTTTTCTCCGTTTCCCATTGTGTTTTAATTCTTGCAATGATAGTTGTTGTGCGTGATTGTTTCCTAAACATAGACAGTTTTCCGAAATCTCGAGGGAATTTACGGTTGAGAAGGTTACGAGATTTTTCCTTCTACTTCTACTTCTGCTTCTGCTTCATCATGTAAAGAGTCTATCGATCTTTATTTCCTATGCTTCATCTCATCTAACAACCAGGATACGAGGGCTTTTTCTTCATTCGGATATTTTATGAACTGATTATCTTTCTTGAACGTGTTTCCGTGCTGCGAAACTTCTCACATTAAAACTCGCATGCTTTTGAATTGTTCAACATACTTCCAAAACCTTCTGAACATCAAAGACATCAGATGAAACTGTAACAATAGCGCTTAAGACGTAATATATTTAACGTTCGCATGCAAATATAAAACATTGTGTAAGAAATTTCGCACAAAGTCTCTGCGTGAATTTCAAATTTAGCTGTCGGTGGTAAAGCTCGTTAAAGGTGGTTTTTCACCACCGAAAAGATGAAAAGAAATAAATTTTCTCTAAACTCCTTGGAAACCTCATGACAAGACTCATTAATGAGCTTCCAAACTTCTACTTCATGAGCTGCGCACATCGCATCGTTCCTTAAATCCCTCCTCTCGGCAAAAGCCTTAACCGTAATGAGAGCGATGTAATTCACACTTTTCCATCGTAATTTATGCTTAGTGGATTAGATTACAAATTTAAACAAAAGATTCGCTAAAACTGACTTGGAGACGGAGTTCGAGCAAAGAAGCATATCGAGGATATTTAAAATTAAGATTTACTTTCACATGTTTCTCGTTTCTTAATAAGATGAAATGATAAGAAGCTTCGAGAGTTAGATCCATTTTTTTTATCATTCTTATGTAAAATTTTGAAAGATGGGATGACAATGATAAGAAGAAAGTTAATTTTTTCTCTCGTTTGCTTCACAGCGAAGTTATTTTTATCAATAAATTTCGATCTGGTCTTGGGGTATAAAAATTTGTTGGATTTAGTTTTGACTTTGTAACAAAAATTTCAACATCTTCAAGCTTTATTTTAAAAGCTTTCATTATTTGCTTTGTTTTTGAAAGATCTTCAGGCAGATGCGATATAAATAAACGTCAGTAACAAGATACTGAATAGAGTATTTACCTGCCACATCTCGTCATGACCACAAGACCACTTTAGCATCAACTTGAATTTTACGTTCACGTCTCTGAAAGATTTTTTCCTATTCTTGATTTCAAGTTTTTCTCCACGGTTTCAGGTTCAGATTTAGATTCTCCAATTTCATTTTGGTATCTTCAGTAAGTCTTCTTGGAAAACAAAAAAAAAAGAAATAAAAATTAGAACAGAAATCAGAAAGTCAAACGTCTCACTTCACAAATTACAAGTATAAAAACATAATACGAAATGTAATGATGACTTTCACAAGCGATGGAAAGAAAAAGCGTTTCAATTTTGATTAGATTGGGCGGACAAAGTCGGTGTGTGTACATTGAAGATGATGAAAAATCGATTGTTGATGAACACACTTGAAAACCAAAACCAAAGCTAAATGCTGTGCCATTAATTCACCTTAAATCGAAAAACCAGAAAATATGAAAAAGAAAGCGTAAATACAATGAGAAAAAAATTATCAGATTTTGTTTTATTTTCGGCTTTCATTTCCCTCATTCAATTGCTTTTGATGACTTTCCAAAAGTGGTGTGGGTAGTGAATGAATGAATGAAATACAATTTGGAAAATTCTTTCATAAATTATTATAATGAAAACCGTAAATAAACTGTTTGCTTCGGTAAACTTCTTGAGAAGGAACTGAATTTTAAATGATATTGAATATTTACATTACATTAAAAGCTCGTCTCAGTCGTTTATTCCCGTGCTGGTTAAGGATATTGAGACATCCAGCAAACAAATGTAGATTGCTTTACAACGTTCTCGTATTTAAAATGTAGTAAATTGTAGACTTCGACGAAGTTAATTCATATTTTGCACTGCTACAGAAAACTCCTTTATAATCTTGATTAAACATTTCAAAAGCTATCGATTTTAATCGCGTGACAAGCACTCAAGTGAATATATCATAAATAATCTCACGAAACATTGTTTTCACCTGACTTTCAGAACTATATGACCAACCAGCTCAGTTGATTGCTATATTAGTGAGCTTGATATACATGTAAGAGTTATAACGCTTCAAAAGTATTATAAGATATAGACATTGGGTAAGGCTACTCGAGTCCACTCATTGAATTTTATTTCACGCAATTAAAACTTTTCGTTTTGCTTTATCGTTGCTTTTGAAACTTTTTTATTATATCAAGGGAGGGAAAAAATGCTCAAATCAGGGATTTTCTTCTATGTTAAACAATTCACAGTGATTTAAGAATCAAATTACAGTTTCAGTTTTAATCTTCTCCTTCTATCTGCTTCCATCATAAACATAATAATGAAGTGTCAGTGTTTTAGAAGCACAAACAATTCTCAAAGGGATGATTCTGCAAATTTATCTTTGAACTTGTCTTTGAATCAAAATTAATAACCAAAGTCGTCCCTTATAATGTTAATGTTTGTCATAACAAGACCTTTCAAAGGATCGAAACATGATCTAAAGCTTGGAGATATCAGCAAGCAAGAGTCTTGATATCTTTTTAATATAAAAGTAATTTTCAAAATATTCACCTCGAAGCGTGTCTGTGCTTAAATATAAAATTTACTTGCATTTTCTTGAAGCATTTAAAAACTTAGTTTATACGAGTCTGGTATTATTCACTTCACTTCTATTCTTATAACTATGTAACTATATTTAGGGGAAAAATGCTTCGTAATGTAACGTGGGAAAATTTTTCGAACCGAAATATTTTCTTCACTTTATCCTTTCATTCAAAAAGGAAAGAAATAAAACTCCGAATGTTATCTAATTCCATGTGGAATGTTTCATTTGAGGTATGCTGGGAATTCTATTTATGCTTGTAGATGAAAAGTAAAGTAATAAGTTTGGTGAATCTGAAGGAAAAATATGATTCTGCAAAAATAGCATTTTTACTGTTCCCTTGATTGAAATTTTATTCTGAATCCCGTTGCATTACTTTGCGTTGATGTGTAAAAGCTTGAAGGGATTTTAATTCTATATTTACAATTTTTTAGCTTTTCACTCAACTTTTTACTAAACAAAACTGCTGGGGAAAGTTTTCCCTTCCTTTCTTCTCGTATAAAATGACTTATCTTGCATTTTAAATTGTAAAAGGTCTTTCGAGTTCTCCATTTAAACTCTATTAACAATCTTATTTCCCTACAATTATGTATGTATACAATTCCATCTCAATTTCTTCTTTCTTAAATTCTACGACATCTCTGCATGCATCTTTGTGAACATAAATTGATTGAATTTCAATTTAAACGAGATCAGTGTTCGTGCAAACAATTTTTACGCAAGACATGAAAATTTAATTCTCAATTTCCTTTCAATTTTCTTTTTTTTTCTTTATCGATCAGCATCTGTTGAAAAAAGAAAACTTTTATGAGCTCACTTCACTGCTCGATTATCAATCTTTGTCAATAGATTCTATTTAAAGTCTCGAACGATTTGACTTTTGTTGGCTTCATTTTTATAATAAATGACATAATCCGATGAATGTTTGTGGCATAATAGTAAAAAATATGTTTTACGAAGGCTCCACCCTGGGATGACGGGCCATCGTATTCAATTCATACCAAAAATTCACAACATTTTCTTTGGTTAATTATACCAAAAAAGAAAACAATTTGAAAGCTTTTCACTATCGTGTAAAGCCCGATATTTAAAACTCCGGCATCAGTAGAACTTCAAGAACAGCAGCATTAGTAGAAATTTTTACTCGCTTTCTATTTCTCTTTTCTTCTAATAAGGGGCTACTTTGTATCGCCAGCAAAGCCAAAACAAAGTGACTCCTGATTGAAACAAGGGAGAAAGAGAAAGTGAGTGAAAAATTTCTACGAATGCTGTTGTTCTTGAAGTTCTATTAATGCCGGTGTTTTAAGTATAGAGCTTTGCACGATATTTGACTTTAGAATTGTAATTTTAGATTTTCTTTGTAATAATAATGAATTCTATGTAAAGTCTCTAATGATTTGACTTTTGTTGCCTTTATTTTTATAACAAATGGCACGCTCGGATGAATATTTGTGGCATAACATTAATGAATATGTTTTTAACTTTAGAGTTGTTATTTTAGAGCTTTGTAGTAATAAAAATAAATTTAGAAGCTTCAAATGTTTCTCAATATTTCACAAAATAGTAATAAATGTTTTTAAATTTCCAAGATAATTTTAGATTTTCTTATTGATAAAAATAAATTTAAAAGAAGTTTAAAATGCTTCTAGACTACAACTTCTTTTTCTGAAATGAACAATGACAAAATCTGATTGCATCAATTCCCAAGAATGAAGGATTAAACTTATGAGCTTTTTCACTTTTTCCTTCATCAAAAGATTGAATAATCGATACAATTTGAATATCATCTGCTAGTGACTTTCACTTTGAACAGATAACATTCACATCGATTCACATCTAATTTCGTATTCAATTTAAATCGTTTTCATAACGTTCTAAAACGTGATAAGAACGATTTTGCGTGAGGGTAGCAAGAAGATTATTTCGTGAATATTTTGTTCTGAAAACGTAAATTTGTTTGGCATTGAAGTTGACTACCAAGGTAGATTAGATCGTTTGAAACAGAAAGTGAATTAAATTTCGTTCGCGTTTGCTAGTTCAAGAGGCAAATTGATTTTCAATTTCATTTTACTTCAGGGTAAAACATTTCTGTGTCTCTTTTAAGCGTGTTCTGTTAACGCGTTAAAAAGTGTCGACGATACGAGTAATTTGGGTTTTACATCGCAAAGAAGCATTGAGAAGCTTCCATATTTTTGTAATTAATCAAAGTCTACTTGAATCAAATACTTATAGAGTACTGCTTACAACTACGAAGCTCGAATGACGTCATAAGCTGCTCTACATCCTCGATTTAAATGGAAAATATTTAAAAAATAGAGAAAATCCTAGAAATTCTTTAATTGTTTTTCATTTAATATTACAAACCACAAACTAACTCAATTGTAATTGCAATTTTCCACATATTTTCACTAAAGCCAGAGCATAAAAAATATTTAAAATGCTTTTAGAGCATAACTTGCAGTTTATTATTCTAGAATCTCGTGAACTTTGCATCTCATTGTTTTCATTTGAAAAGGATTTTCTTTAATTTTGATAACAATTCTAAGACAGAACTCTTGATTAAATAAATCATAAATCAAGAATCTCGTCCTCCGAAGTCACAACTCATAACTACGTGTGAGAGTCAAGGGTAAAACTAAAACTATAAAAATCACCTGAAATTAAAACTTTATCTTGTGACTTTCATAACAAATCTTTTCTAACTTCAAGAACATTCCTTCCCTAACTGAGATTCATTAACTTTTTCTTTCATGATTTATATTTAAAAGCACTTATTGTTTAACAATAAAGTGTCCATTTATATTCCTTAAACGCCACGCTCCATCTGAATTACTGTGCATAAATTACAAACACTTCTTTTTAACTTCCTTGGCATGTCCGATCTGATAATAATTCAATTAAAAAAGCTTGGAAAGGTGAAGGAAAAATAGAAATTTCCTTAATTTTTTAATCTTACTTGAAGACTTTTTCCAGTTTCTTCCTCGTTTACGTGTTCTGTCTGGCACTGACACTTGTACAAGGTTAGGAAAAATGGATGTTATCAAATTACCTTTTTATATTTGATTATAAAATTAGAAAAGTTTAGAAAGCTACAAGCTTCCGATATTGAGGTGAAGTGAATAATAGAGACAATGGAAATTCCACCCATGTTACTTTTTCAAACTGACTTAATTGTAGTTCTTTATCTTTTGTTCGAGAGACATCTTATAAAGATTTAATTAAAATACTTTCCTCGGCCTTTCTCTTAGGAATCGGTTCGTTGTATTCTTTGCTGAAGCTCATTAAACATGCCAGAAAGTATTTAAAAGGTCTTTTGTCTACAGGGACGCTCATAAGAATTTCAGCAAATAAACTTAAACTGTTGATTCGTTGGAAGAAATGAAAGGTAGAGAAACAAATGAATGAATCCCTTTTGGGGCGTTTAATTTTTGCTTTGTTTTCTGAATGAAGAGAATGCAAGAAAATTCTTTTAATATTTTATTTTGTTGCAAGTAAAAAATATTTTCCTTCTTCATTTGTTCAAATCTTTTTATATTCTTGTTGAAATCTTAGCTACGCTGATGCTGTTCATTTATAATAAAAAGAAATTCTCAAGTATCTTAGTATGAAACATAAGATTAATATGGATAAAAGAACTTGAAAATAATATCAAAAACTTCATGCGGTTTCTACTGTTTCATTTTATTCCCATCGTAAAAGGAAAGAAACTTTTTAAACCCTTTCAGCATTTTTAACAATTTTTCCTTCCTATTCATCTTTTAGCTTTTCTTTTTTTTTCTTTTCTTCATTACGATTTGCTTTAGATTCATCTATCATCTTATAGAATATCAAAATATTCTGTGGTTTGTGTAACGTTTCAGAATGTAAAGAATTTAATATTTTAATCTTTGTTGCGAGGACTTAACAAGGGAGGTGGTAGGATGAAGAAAGAGTTAAGACCTTTCAAGATGTTTGACAAAAAGGATTAAGACTTAAAGTTTGTCTTTATCTTTGCATTTTTTCCTTCCTTGTTGTTCTTTATGTTTTATTTAATTTTTCTTCTTTACATTTTGAAGGACATCTCGTCGTTTCCAAGGCGGAAAAAAGACAAGGGTTGAGAAGTGTGCGGTGGTGGTGAAGAAGGAAAGGAAATCGATAAAGTTTTATTTATAAAGATAGCAAAGTAAAGCGCCTTGAGACGTGTGTCTTGACATGTTGTGTGAAAAACCCATTTTTCTTCGATTCTTGAGGGCATAACAGTGATGCATTGTAGACAGTGAGAACTTTCTTCTTTTTCCTGTCAAGAAGTGAAAGCCGAAAGGTTCGGTTCGGTTTGGTTTCCTCATTCCCTTTCAAATGAAAAAGAATTGTTATATGAACAACCTTAGCGAACTGTGAAGCATCCGAAGTTACGTTGAAGTGTTTATTGGAGGTGTCTGTCGTGTTCTCGTTTGAAGCTTTAAGTCAGTAAAAATAAAATTTTCGGGGAAATAAGAAAAAAATAAATTCGTATTTCAAATCTTCTTTGTTTTGACTATCTTCAATGGCGTTGAAGCACGAATAAATGTCTGTGCCCAAGGCTTTAAAAGTAACTTAATTAGATTATTCAAATTTTTTAGTATCTCGGTCTGAACTTTTGTTCTTGAAGAACTTCTTATAAAATTTTATACAACAAAGAGAAAAGAAACTTTTTGAATATTTTCTCATCACATTTTCATCACTTTTCTCTTTTATTTTTTTGCAGGTCTATTAAAGTTTATTCTCATAAAGTTTGGTGAGAAGGGAGGAAGATTACTGCTGCGTAACGATTCAACGTAGGTAGTCGGATAGTAGCACAGCGACACAAAGTGAAACTTTTCATCCCTATCACATCAAAAGTGTCCTTTAAACATCCTAAAAACAAGCTAGAGACGAGTGGAAGATATGAAAAAATTCCATTTAAGAACAATAGAAGAATTTCCATTTTAATATTTAAACATCATCAAAAAATTTCATATTTCTGAGTACGACGTCATGCAAAAAGTTAAGTGATCACTTTCAAAACGACTGGATTCGGATAAACAGACGCTTGAAATAGGAAAAAAAAGTTGGATAAATAGCTTAATAATGGAGGGAAATTTAGATTTTCATGGAGCGAGTAATGATTCGGACTTTGGAAAGCCTATTTTCACATTAAACTCGGGAAACTTGACGCACTGGTAAGCATTTAAAATATATTTTAAGTTCATTCTAATTCGCTGATAATTTAAAAAAAATAATTAGCAAAGTGCTTGGATAAATTTAGAATTTGTGAAATCATTTCACTTAAATTTTTAATGAAAGCTTTAAAAGGAAAATTCAGGAAATGAAATTGAATATTTTTATTTTTATAAAAATCTCCAACCGAACGACATTTGATTTCCTTGCAGATTAATTGGAAATAAATGAATTAAATTACATTTTTAGTAAGAAGGTTTTTCGTCGTTCAAATGACTAATAGAAATAACGAAAATGATGTTCGTTAAGAAGCTTGTTTCGTTTTAAAATAATATTAAATTTAATGTTTAGTCATAATTCATTTGAGTGATTTTCTCGTTTAATTTCCTGAAAAGCTTTTCGAAGAATCTTCAAATATATCTTAATATGAAATGAACATAAATAATATCATTGACCTGTCGAGAGACATCTTAGGTCTGTTTTCACTTTGACAGACATGAAATTGTGAAATCATACGACAATGGAAACATTTCCCTCAGACATTTCAATCGCTTTGTTCGCTATCCCAGACTTTCTTTGATGATAAATGTGAATTAGTTGAGGATTTCCATTATTATCTTCTTTGTTTTTCTGGAGTGAAAATGAAAAGCATTTGACGGTTACTGCTTTTGATATTTTCCGAATAATTAATTTTCCAAAAACCCTTTTAAAGTGTCGGTGAAAAAGCTCAAGAAATTATAATTAAGTGGAAATGTTTTGTGATTAAATTCTTGAATCACGTGATTCCGATTTAAAGTAAGAGTTATGCAACAAATTACACTAAATTATATAAAAGCTGTTGATAATTCATGATAATTAAAGATAATTGAATGAAACTGTTCGTTTTGATAGCTTAAAAATAGAAACTTTTGAGCTTTTATTGCCACACAAGTTTAATGAACACGAATTGACTTTAGCGACAGGTAAAAACCTGTCAGTTCAATTTTCGTGTATTAATTTCACTTTGGAATTAATTACATTTATTATAAATTAAAATTTTCAATAAATTAGTCAATAATTAAGTAATCGAAGAAATTCGCAGTTAATTGGAAATCAAAGTTAATATTTTTAAGGGAAAGGGAATTTCTGCGGCAAATTTTATCTAAAATATTTAATGAAGATAATTTTAGAAAAGTGAAAATAATCGATAAAAATTTTCTTTAATGATCATCCACGTAGACGGATAAGTTTTGGTATTTTAATCAAAGACTTATGAGAATAATTTATTTCAATTTATACATTTTAGTTGCATAATAAATCACAGCGATCCAACCCTCTTTAGCCACATAAAATATTTACGAAATGAAAATAAAAAACAATCTGAAATCGTATTATGAAATTACTATGTCGACAAAAAGGCATAAAGACAAATGTTTTCACAGCTGAACATTGCGTACAATTTGCGGTTATGAATTTTCATTTATGATCACAGCTTGGATCACAAAGATACTGCGACACATTTAAAAATCTCTGTTTTTCCTTTTTATCTTTCATTTATTCTTTTAGGATAAATCGTTTCCATTTAACCATCACGTTTAGTCACTAATCCACTCGAGAGATGATAAAGAAGAAGAATTTTCAAACGACGTAAAAAAAACATGAAAAATTTAAAATTTCAACCACTTGTCTAATGACACAGTTCATTTGCAATGGAAGGAGATGGTTTAAAAAATAAAATTTAATCCAATTATTTTAGCAGCATCACGAATTTGCAATTCCACTCTCTTAGACATCATCATTGTTAAGTCAAGCCGGGAGTGTTGCCAATTTTCTGACTTTATCGTTCATTAGATTTTTTCGCTTCATTACGTTTATGAAGGTAGCAGATAGTTTAATGTTGCAGTGTTTTCGTTGTTGTCACGTGCGAAAAAACCAGAAAGTTCTGAATGAATTATGAAGTTTCCGTGTTTCGACAGCTTTCAGTTAACAGTGGGAAAAAATATGTTTACATGATTATATGATGACAACAACCAGTGAAGTTACGCTCATGTTAAGTTGCTTTATCGATGAAAATTTTGCGGAAGAGTGACATTAACGATGAATTTTAAGGGGAAAATAACGACACGATGTTCAGATGAAAGGAAATGTTTGCTGTTAGTTTTTACGAGAACAAAATCGACTTTAAAATCACGAATGCCATTTAACCATCATCATTGTGATGAAATATCGATTTTTTTTCCTACTTTCTACTTTCGTGTCAAGCGCAAAAATCTCATGTTTCATTAAATATTTACCCGTAATTGCGTTCACCGCGATATTTTATTATTATTAATATTTTTTTCGTTTATCAGACTTCTGATAATTTACAGCCTACTGCATGAGGGAAATTAAGGAGAAGCAGTAGACTGTCGTGTCGGGACAATATTAACAAATTATTTTCTGTTCCTGAATTATAAAAGCTTTTCCACTGCACATCGAAGTTTTGTTCCGGAATATTTTATCACGACAACCTTGAAATGGTTAAACATCAAGAACCATAAATAAAATTAATCAGAAGATAGCGACCCTTGAAATTACTTTATAGATATTTTTATGTTCAAAATAGCTTGATTTACAACACAGACAGCTAACAATTGTGATCATTAAGAATAAATACACTCAAGCGACTCGTTTATTCTAGGAAATTGTTTAGTTCTGTCATAAAACAAAGCTCACCTAAACAGATTTTGAATTATAATTTGTGAATATTTAATATTTTAAACCTTAGATTTTTATTAGGTATGAATAAGCAGCGATAATGTCTTCGTACAAACGATGATAAATCATGAACATTTATTTTATTTGACTTTTACTAACAAATACCTTTCGTGAAAGATTTTTAACACGTTTGTAAGTTGATGTCGACGACATTTTCTTAAATAAAAGTTTCGTTTTTTCTCTCCATTGTGGGGCTTAGGCTAAGTAATTGACATTTAAATTAATGACTGTTTCATAACTTTTCTATTTCTTCCTTATCGCTTTCACTCTTCGTCACTTCATAGGGACTTGCTTTAAGTTTGTACTTAAGTTAAATACAAAAGATTTTCTCTTGGAATTGCTAACTTCATAGACAGCAGGGAATGGCCTAATGGGACCAATTATGAAATATTTGTACCCTGACAATTCATTGCTGTTGAATAAATCCCTAAGATAAATCAAAAGTGAATTGGTTTATAGTAAAAGGAAGCTTAATAGATGACGAAGGATTTGCTAGGAAAATTTTAAAGATCAAAGATCAATTAGACCTAATCTAGATAGAAGCAAACAACCGTTTAGCTTTATCCTTACGCTTCCCGTCAAAGTTTAGCATACAATCAATTTATTTTTGAAGCTTTTTTGTTATTAACTTCTTTTCAACTTTATAAAAGATTTTGTTGGTGCCTTGCTTGAGGGAATTTTGTAGATTCAATTTGAAGAATAAAGTTGAAAAGTGCTTTTAAAAGAAAAGTTTTCATATGAAATTTATCATCATCAATTGAAGATATGAAAGTCATTACATAAATCAAACTGGTTGAAAACGCAACAGCGTGCTTCCAATTTAAAGTTGGCTGCCTGCCAAATCATCAATTGCATGTTAATTTAACATCGATTTAACTCTTTCAACAATCCTGAAAGCACGAGTAACACAAGCTGAATGTCTGAGCTTCAATTAATTTTAAAGTTTACTTAGTTTGTTCTCTACCACATTAATAATGCTCAGGAAATGTTTCAAAGAATCCAATTGCATTAAATTACTGCTTCAGTCATGGCATTGTTTGTACGCAATTATCCTAAGTTGATTGCAAGTTGCAACATAAATTCCAAGGCTAATGTAAGTTCACTAAATTAACAATTACATCCCACATCTGTTTAAACTATTCATATTCATGTAGGAGAAAATATTTTATAGGGATTAGGTTACAGCATGTTATATAACGAATATTTACCTTTAAAACTGTTGATGTTGTTCTCATAATGAAATGGGAAACATGAAAATTTGTTTACATATATGATGATGTAGTGTTGATGTACTAAATCATTTGTTTCCTTTGAGTTTTAGTGCTAAGAGGTTTAAAATTTATGCATTGGAAGCACGAACTTGCTTATATTTTCCATTGTTTCTAAGATTAATATTTACTTTCAAGCACAGACTTGTTTGATTGAATGTAGATAATTGAAAAACTTAATCTCTTAGACTGCAACTGTCTGTCAGTGATTAAATAAATTTTTAATTAAATATCTCGTTGTTTACTTTAATTTTGAACACAAGAACAGTTCAGAGTAGTCAGATTTTCTAATTGAGGAATATTTCAACTGATTAACAAGATGTCATTGCAAACTTTCACATTTTTTTCATGACAATTGCTAAAACATAAATTTATGCCCCCAGAAAGAAACTTTTCTTAGCCACAAAAGTTAATTTCTTAACCCAGAAGTTTGATTTTAGTCAACAGCTGCTAACGCAAATAATTCCCTTATTATATCATATTTAATACTCAAACCTCAAACCATTTACTTAACTTTGTTTTTAAGTGAATTAATTTTTAATTAATTATTGAAGCCAGACAAATTTCCTGGTTTTAAAAGGGCACAAGAAACATTTCGTTTATCATAAGATATTTCTGCTTCTTGTTATCATAAAAGCAGCTTGAAAAATGAGAAGTTGGCAGATTCGTGTTTTAGAAAATTAATAAAATTATTGCGTTAATAGAACCGAAAGCTTAAGGCCTTTCCTAATTTCCATAAAATTATTTCTCTTGCTCAACATTTAATATGACTTGTACTCAACTGAATCAGAAGCCACTTTACCCTTAAATCTTTTTACAAATAACCTTTTGATTAAAGCAATTTGTATTACTGAATCTTTATTGTTTTCAAAACAAACAAATGAACAGTCCCTTGTCGAAAACCATTTCTACCGTCAGGTGCAAACAAATTGTCAATTAATGTCTGTTTTATCCAATGATTACGATTATTATGAATTCATAAATTGAAAATCAATAGAAGCGTTCAAATGCCCTTTTTATACCTTCACGCACTTATTCATATCATAAATATGTTTACTCGACTTCAACTTCGTAATGGTTCAACTTCCAATCTTTTCAATCCTTTCGAGTGGCTACTTTTAGTAAAATATTAGACGGCGCTTGGAAAAGCAGTCGGAAATGAGAAGGCAATTGGGATGAACGTGTAAGGGATTGTGTACACTTTATCCGGATTTCCGATCTCTACTTTATAAATAAATGTTTACACGGAAAATATGTTTGTACAAGCGTCATTCTGCGTCGTAAACATTTTTTATTGCTGAAGGAAAGAAGGAAACTTTCACATCTTTGACGTTTCACATTTAAATCACCTTTCGCTTACCCAGGAAGAAAAAAAGATTATTTCATCCCTTCTTTCAATAAATTCAATCAGAAGGGAAAAATCCGCATAACAATTTATGACTTTTCAAAAGAAAATTGATAAAAAAGCTCGTTTCACGTTCGGTTATTTTTTGAGGGTTTATAGCGAATTTAAATTTAACACAACAAAACACCTGAACAATAAATTCAGTGAGTATCCTCCTTGATATGCTTAAAAGTAAAAAATGAACTCAAGGGAAAACATTTAGACGAAATCATTGTAAAAATATCATCAAAAAAGTTATCTCAGAAATTTATGAAGTCGTCAAGATTGTGGGCAAATTCTGAAATGACTAATTAAAACTGAAACCTTAATAATCGTTGTGAACTTTCAAACAATATTATGTGCTTCGTTACGCATATTGTAAGCATTCCCTGAGAAAACAAATTAAACTGAGAATGAGAAAGGAAGAGCAGTAATGTGAATTCAGAGCTTTAAACTGATTTTGAATCTGAGGAAAAAGAAAATTTTCATGAATGTGAATATGAAGAAATTGACAAACGAAAACAGAAATTAGAAGAATTAAATTGAAGACGAATTCCAAGCCCTGATCCACAGCCTTAGTGCCAGCTCACTACTTAACCTTTCACAAGTTTATGTCTCAAACCTCACCTTGTCTTTCCATCTACTTATTCGATTACTCTGAAACGACACGGTAGCTCATAAATTTCTTGATAAAGTTACAAAACTTTGTTCAGGGCAATAGGAGCGGGAAGATTCCTTTCCTTTGTCATTTCGCTTCCTTCTTGTTGCGAATATTTCATGTTCTGCTTTAACTTCAGGTGTGCCGACAGAAATATAAAGATAAAAAAAATGTATAATTGTAATAAATCTTGCCGCATACTCATCGTGACTCATGACTTGCTTCTCCATGTCTAATTTGATTTCTTTTTTATCTTTCTTGTGCTTACACTCTCGTAATGTACTAATGAATAGAAAACTTGATATAAATATCTTTCGGAAGTTTTCACAACAAAATAGTTTTGCAATTGTCTTCATACTTCCGAACGTAATCTTGTGTTTATGTCTGATTATTTATAATCATTTTAGCTTTCTTATGTCGGCTTCTTGATGATTTATTAGACATTAGTTTGTTATGACATTGTATGATAAAAAAGAATTCTCATTCGCTACTAATTGGAAATAAATCTGATCATGAAAGATGAAGTAAGTTGAGAATAACATGAGAAGAGCTTTATCTGCTTATTTATTAATAAGAATTCAAGAAAAAAGAAGATTAAAATTCATCATGCTGAAATATTTGAAATTTTGTTATAAAAAATTTCTTATGGTAAAGTTTTAAGATGGATGTAGAAAAGAGTTTGGAATTATGCTTATAACCACGAAGATAATGGTTTTATTTATTGAAGGCTTTGTTGGTGTGAAGAACATTAGAAATTTAAGGTAGCTTTGTGGGTTAAAAATAAGTTGAACGTTTAAGGTCGATATCCATCGTTTATTTGACATTTTTTTCTTTCTGCCCACTCACACTGCTGTCAATGCTTTTGACTGGCTTTGATATAAAAAATTCATTTATATTGAAAATCGATATTGTTGTAAATCTGCGGTGGATAATAAGGTGCGGTGCCATTTTTATATCCTCGCTTTAATAAATTTATAAAGTCTATTTGAATTGAGAACCTTGCAACGTGCTGGTCTAAACTTTCCCGTCAATATAACACAAAGCACATTTAAGCTTTTTTTCTTTAGTATTTCTTATAGCTTATACGCAATTTCTGACTCAAAGCGACGCTTAAAACTTTTAAGTGAACATAAATGTTTCACACCGAGAGAAAATCTTTGTCGCTTTATCGCAACTTTTAAGTGGAAAAGAATTGATGTTAGGAAATTGAAAAGCAATAAATAATATAAAGCGATAGGAGCAACATAAATATTGTGTTAGAAAACGGAGACCCGTTGAATGTCTTCCGATTATGTTAAAGATTGAAACATTATGAAACTTCTTTTTGTATTGATAGCGACTTGTAATCGATTTTTGATCACTTTATGCAGACATTTCAATGATGTTTTTTCCTTTCTACGGTCGGTATCGCCCATATTAGTGAAATGACTGTTATTACTAACAATGTTAATGCAAGTTCAGTCTTGAGAATGTATTTAAGTCATGACTTGGAGATTTCGATTCTGAACTCATGACTTAAACTTAAGATTTGTTCGAAGACAACCTCAGGATTTTAAATGTTTCTTGAACTAAAACCATCGAGAGACTTTAAATCATTTACTTGAAACAACTTGTTCAGGAAAGTTTTTCTTGTTTTGATTTCCCACATCTTTTATTGTTCAAATCTTTGTAATAAAGTTTAGAAAGAAGATTTCATTCTCACATTAAACTTTCGATAACATTTCTTTAATCTATGACACCATCTTTCAGTTATCTTTCTGACATTGGAGCACATTTCAATAAAATTCCACCGGAAATTAATTCTGAAAATCAATTGAATTTCTTTTTCTTTCACGCCGTGGGCATTCTTTAAGATATTTCACGAGAAAGAACCTCTTTCGACTGCTTTGAAGCTGTTTCAGTGATTATCTTGTTTATGTCAAGATTTGACAACGAATGACAAATCAAACGTGAAAGGATTTTATAAATACTTAACAATGACTCGATGCTTAAAGCTTAAACTTAATAAGTAGTTAAACTGATGCCTTCTTTCCTTGTTTCAGTTAAGTGGCTTTTATTGTAAAATCCAATAACGTTCTAACAAAAGTTTAACATCAATAAAATATTCTTTTTCCTTCTGAACGTGGAAACCTTTGAGATGAAACTTGGACATGAAATGTGCCAGACCAGACGTTATCAATGTTTTTATATCTCATTTATTTTGTTCTTTGTCATCTAAAAATAAAAAGAAACGAGAACTTTTATTGCCAGATCGCAAGTATGTAGTTTCGAGATGTTTTAGGCATCTGACTTTGGTAATTGATGTATAAGAAGAATATTCTTTTCAAATCGAAAAGAAGCTGTCACGAACATAGTTGAGAGCTTAGATCTCAACAAAACTTTCAATGCATGGAATGAAAATAAATAAAGCTCGATGTTTATTTGGTTTGCTTTGATAAAATCCTAAACATCACGTGCTGTTCGTTCTATGTCGTCTTACTTCTCCAATCTTCCATTAAAATAAAATCTACGGAAAAACTTTCTCAACAAATCAGATTCTTGCTTATCAACGATTTTTTCCTCCTTATTGTTTTTCGTTTCGACAGCTCGTGTGCTTAACAACCTTTTCACGTAATTCAATCGACTTTTGGAGAACTTTTCTACTATTGCCATACATAATTTCACATTCACTGAGCTTTTTATCTTTATAAATCAATAATTTTCAATACATTGAAGATGTCTAAGAATAAACTAGGAACAAAAATTTTGGGTGAGAAGTTTTAACAAGATATGCCATCGTGTGCACGAGTTACATATCCAGGTTGATATTTGTTGCTTTACTTACATAACTATGTAGATAAAATATGAATGACAACAAAATGAAAGGAAGCGTGAAGTATATAAATGTATAATGAATTTATTCCATTGACTTTTGCCGTCAACATATCACTTGTAACTGACGTAACATCGTTTCAGAATATCGAGAAGTAAAGTGAAAGCGAGCTAAGTATCAGAAGTTGGAGAAATGTCAGTTCAGTTGGCTGGGGAAATTTGTAGCAACTAAATCAATAATTGCTCTTAATTCTCTTTTTTTCCTTCAATTTATTCTTCATAATAATATCAAAACTTTAGTATTAATTTACCTTTAAGAGTTTTATTATTTATTATAAACGTTTGAATATTAAATGACATCAAAAAGCTCAAGTTTAATTGAAGTGAAATCGATAATTTATCTTCTCTCTCTTATAACAAGAAGAAAGTTCCGAAAACTTTCTATTTATTTGTAGGAATTTTCATTGTTAATATAACTGGAAAGGTGGAAACTTTCATCTTACATTTCCACAGAAACAAGAAAACTTTCTACGAATGAATAAATTTCCGTTTACACTTTCCATTTCCGCTTGGGAAACATTTGCTCTGGAACTTTCTTTTCCTTTCTTTTTAACAAATTACAATGTGAAACTTTTTTTCTTAACTTTCCGAACTTTCGAGTGTTTCGTGGCTTTGATTTTCTGGAGAGTTGAGGAGAAGTTTCAGAGCCACAAAATGTTTTATTGCACTACGAGCTTTAATTGTGAAAGAAATGTAATCGATTTGCTAATTGCTTGAACACCAATTCACATGTCTCACTCATTGAATTATTCAAACGTGACTTGAACCTAAACCTGAGCAATAAATAACAAGCTGCTGTGCTTATTGATAGAACGTTTCTGATATTTCTCTGTCGACAAAGCTTCCATCGATACCAACAAGAATTAAGTCAAACTTTATGTAATTAATTAGCATTTCCCAGATAATCCGCTTTTTTATTTTATTTTAAGTTTCATTCACAGGTTTATCAACAATAAGTGTCATCCAATCAATAAACCATCACAAAGGATTTTATGTTAATTAAAATATAACAAACTTGTGAGAACCATTCAGTCACTCTCTCAACATTTCCAATCAAATTAACTTTCGTAAAAGTTTATCAACGCATGAATTTAACAACATTTTCGTTGTAAAAAGTTAACATAATTAGATATTCATAGATTTACCTTTGACTTTATATAAATGTTTATAGAAAAACATACACGGCTTAACTGTTTGATGGTAAAAGGTTCCAACAAAACGGTAGCAATTTGATTATGTTGAGAACAATATTGTGAATAATGTAAAACTTCATTTAAAATACAATAAATAAAATAACAAACTTAATATGATCCAGTTTATCAAACAAAACATGATCTATTGCTGAAAAAGCAGCCCATAATTTACATATTTTACATATTATTTGATCCCCATCGCTTCTTCAGGTTCTACCTCGGTGTGCAACCATTTTTCCCTTTTTTGCGTGCCTTTGATTCCCAAAAATTTATTTTGAGAACGTGGCACCCTTTCTGCTTTCAGAAGTCAATAACAAACATGCTCCGGTGACATTCACACACAAGAAAATCCTTTTCTCTTCTTATGCCATAATAAAAGTTTTACGGAAGGATTTATGGTGTCGAAGAGTAAATATTTGAAGCAAACGAATATACCGATCTATATTCCGAAAAAAAGCAGGAGGTACACTCATTGTAAGAGATTCAAAAAAGCTTTTCGTCTAACACGAGAAAAGAAGACGAGAAACATGAATTACAGTTCATCTAAAGCTTTGATATTCTTGGAAATCTCTTCACATGTCGTTCAACAAAGTGATGTACTTAGCTTCGTTTTCTCTTTTTTCCACTGGAGTTATTTAGTGAAAATGACTTTGGCACATTTCATGATAATTTTCTAAATTTGAGAGGATGTTGTAAAGCTCTTTTCTTTACTGTTTGTAGACATTGCTGTGTAAATAAATGCAAGAAATTATTTGTTGCTTAGAGAATAGCAAAAGAATAAAACCATAAAGTGAAGTAAATACATCAAGATGTTTACAAGCTCTTTTAAAGGAAAATGCTTAAGTAGGAGATGAAGAATGATATGGAATTTTATTTCATTTTCTTCTTCTGTTTGTTTTTAACCTCTTAACTTTCTTGTACGACTTTCAAGATCGCAACAAGTGCCCCCAACATACAAATATGAACCATTTCAAGTTTTCTTTTTTTTCCTCTTTTTTAATTCAAAAATTTTTATTTAATGTAGACAAAGTTTAAAGCTTTTTAAGAAGAATATTTTTCTTGTTGATGTTTCGACATTTCATTTCTTCATTTTCCCTTACGAAGTTAAATAAATTTATTAATTAGAAGAATTCCAAATAAAGACTAACATTTTGTCCCTTAGGACAATCCTAAATCCGACAGCAAAGCAAACCGCAAAATAAAAAAAGTGAAAAAGCTAACGTAAATAGAGTTCTGACATTTCTTTACACTGTTGTTAATGGCTGGTTGGTCCTTTCGGTTGTCAAAACGGGTGGCGTTTATAACACCAAAAGCTACAACTTGAGGCTTTCTATTCGCCGTTTCAAAAGACATTAACATAACAACCAAAAGGCTTTATTTATTTACTCGAATCATATTCTTCTCACAGTACATGTCGTGCGTTTCTCTCGTGTCGATGGGGAATTTTGAGTAAGGATTTATGAAAAAGCTTTTCTTACTCTTTGTAATCGAAAAAAAAGTTTAAATTTATGTCCCTCAAAGACATTTTTATGTTTTCTTTCTTTGTATCATTTACAGAATTTATATCACACACAAACTATCTTTCACTTTCTCGCATTTATAAATTGTCACAACTTGAAAAGAAAAGAAGGCAAAAATGTATTCTAATCACAACATTAACGTTCGTTCACAGTAAAAAACTCTTTTTTTCGTTTTCTTCTTCTATGAATATTTTTATGAGTTATGTAAGGAAAATGTAAACATTCATGATGAATTAAACTCTCTCTAAGGCTTACATTTATGGGAATCTCATTCATGTACACATCATAAATATTCAGCTATAAAAAGTACGCCGAACATGAAAGCGGCCTTTTTATGTTGTCGCAAGAAAAAAAAGTAATGTCGCCTTGAAATAATTGAAGTTCCTTTCAAGGAAGAAAGTTTTATAAATTATTTACGTGCGATATTCAAGTCATTACTTGCTAGACATTCATTGATGTTACAAAAGCTCTCTTGATGAATAGAATTCTTCATTTTTCTGATGGCTCGTCTCATCTTAATGCATCATTTATTTTAAGTGTGCCATGAATGACGAGCAAAAAAAACATTTTGTCATTTAAAGTGCATAAATATCCTGTCAATTCTCTTGTTGAAAGCTTATTTTTAGATTTCTCTATTCATCTTCTGAACTATAAAGGTTTAACGATCTCAAAATAGCTTCGAATTATTCCAAGAGCGTCATAAAGAACAATTACCAGCTCACGGGATCAACTTGAAGCTTAATGGATTTTTATTTTTGGTGCTTTGTTTTATGATATGTTCATTAAAACTAATTGTTATTGTAGCGATTGTGATGATAGCATTTCACATCATATCGACTACAATGCAAAGCTCAAGAGAAGAATGAAAAACAAAACTGAAATAAATCTGTTGAATGTGGCAAAGAAAATTCATGACCTAGCGGAAAATCGATTTGAGAGGAAAACAAGTTGGCGAATGTTTCATGATCTGCTATGGTTTCGAAATTTATATTGAATATTTCGGGATAAAATCGGATTGTTTAATAACCAACTTGGTGTCATTGGTTTTGTATAATCAGAAACTTTTATGGGATGTTTAATCAAACTTTTATTTAATCATGACGATTAAATATTCTTTTTAATACTTAAATTCTCATTTGCAATAAAAGTTCCATTTGTGAGTTGGATTTAATGTGATCTATGAATGAATTATCTAACCAAAAGTATTTCATCATAACAAAATGCTCGCAACATAAAAATGAATGCATTTAAAGAGAAATTTCTGTCCATTAAAACTTTGCATTATGAACATTAATTGAAATAAATTAAAACTAAATTTTTTTTGGTTTTTCTATTTCCAGGAAAATAAAGAAAAAACATGAACGATTGGAGAAACTTTGCAGAACTGTTTTGAAGCACATTCTAAACTATCAGCAATGCTCTCAAATGATTGACTATCGACAACCTCATTTAAGTGAAGAAAAAATTACTCAATGGATGCAGAACAACAATAATAGTTTAATTGGTTTTCCATATTTCAATGGATCACTTGAATTCTTCCATGACCTCAACGATACTCGCTTCGCAAGCGACTTTCCGACGTCAACGAACGGCCCAACTCCTGTCCTACCGCCATTCACATTGTGGCAGACAATATTTATAGCAATATGCTTAGCAGCATGCATTTTATTAACTGTAGGTGGCAACACGCTCGTACTTTTAGCGTTCATTGTCGATAGGAATATTCGACAGCCTAGTAACTATTTCATAGCTTCCCTCGCTGCCACGGATATGTTAATTGGAACAGTTTCAATGCCATTCTACACTGTTTACGTTTTAATGGGCTACTGGGATCTTGGTCCGCTGCTATGTGATCTTTGGTAAGTCAAATTATAAACCGATGGCAATATTTCTCTCAACTGAATGTATTAATCTTGTTTGTGTTTTTTTCCCTGTTCCCTTTTGTCGTTTACATTGGACAAAACGTTTTCAGGCTTTCAGTGGATTATACCGTTTGTCTCGTATCTCAATATACCGTTTTATTAATCACAATTGATCGCTTTTGTTCGGTGAAAATTGCTGCCAAGTATCGAGCATGGCGAACAAAAGATAAAGTACTATGGATGGTGACAATCACGTGGATAATTCCAGCGCTTCTCTTCTTTATATCAATTTTCGGATGGGAGCATTTTGTTGGTAAGCAATGAAAGCAAAGAATCTGTCAAGTATCTACCGTTTCATAGTAGATATGCTTGTTCAGGTGGATAAATTCAATTAGAATTGAATGTTTCGTAAACACACACAAATCAATATTTATTATCTAAAAAATTCTTTTTTCTTTTTAATTTTGTGACATGTCTCAACAGGTTATCGAGACCTCGCTCCTGGTCAATGTGCTGTACAATTTTTAAAAGATCCTGTTTTTAATACTGCCTTAATTATTGGATACTATTGGACAACATTAATTGTTTTATTTGTTTTATATGGTGGGATTTATAAAACAGCTTATGACATGCAAAAGAAAAGCGAAGCGAAACAAAGGAAAATGCAAAGTATGGTGGCTTTAAGTGCTGGATTTACTGGAATGGCGGTGAGTTGTAAAATATTTAAGAAGCTTTGGAATGTCGGCATGTGCGTCTGTTATATTCACAAGTAGGGAAATAAAAATATTTCTTCTCGAATTTTTTTTTTTTTTTGCTGTAATTTTCGTCAACAAATTAATGACTTAAATTTTCCAAATTAAAAAAAAATGAAAATTGAATTTCTTTGAACTTTAAATCTCCAACAGGGACGTGCTGCTGGTATTGGACTCTCGTCAAAAGCAGAATCAAGTATTGGTGGTGACAAACTCATAGTAACACCATCAACAGCACAAGAAATTAATGACAAATCAGATTCCAGTAAAAGTGGACCTGATGGTTCTTCCGATGAAAGGCCTAAAAAAGTAGAAATAAAGAAAAGCTCATCGATTGGTGTGGGAAATAAGAAATCGTTGAACGATCATAGTAAATCAATGGATGAAAAGAAGAAAAATAAATCAAAAGAAGAGAATGTGACTGGTGATAAAAGTGAGAGGTCGAGCAGCCCTGCTTTTGATTCTGATGAAGAAAGTTCTGGTAATACGAATCAACAAGAGCAAGTCATGTCTTCAGAGATTGAAGGAAAGAAACGTGCACCATCGATTGTTGGTCTTCTAGTAAGTTAAATTAAAAATATTTCTTAATAATTTATTTAAAATTGAATTCTCGTCATTTAGGAAAATCTTTTGCCTCTCACAAAATCAACTTCCGAACACTTGAATCATGACAAGCTTCAACTTCACATCAGCCTTCTTGATCAAGACATGAAATTAGAAACGAAAGAAGTGAAAAGTTTATCACAACCAATTTCTCCTGAGACTATTGAGCCGATAAGAGTGAAGAAGGAGGATCGGATTAAGAGTTTGACTAAGACAATACTTCCCCCACCAAGTGATTTTAAGACAAGTCCCATTGTCAATCGAAGTCGTCCACAAAGTGTGATAAGCGATGGCGAGGGAATGAAAGACTTATCTGATGATGTGGTCTGTCGAATGGATGGTGCTGATCTTCGTTTCATGGATGAAAGTTCTGTTATGCTTCCATCACCGTCAAATGAAAGTCCACCAACAAATTTCCCTATTCATCGACCTCACGGGAACACCAATAGTCAAAACAATAATATCGCAACGAATCCATCGCTGCTTCGTTCAGCTTTAATTCAAGCGACAGCACAGTCGCAACACCCTTCACCAAAGGTTCTTATAAAGCCAATGGATATGCAATCAAGTCAATCACCAATCAATAGAGATTCGAATCATCATTCACCACCTGCTGAGACACAAATCAATAAGTTTAGCACAGAAGTATCAGTGACAAATCATAACGATAATAAGCCAGTAACGACAATAATAAATAAGGCAAGTAACTTGGATGGTAATGAAAGCCGTGATGAGATTGAAAAGGTGTCAAATGATTTCGGCAACTTGAACGCACCACCTTCAACGCATAAAAATGATGAGTCAAATAAAAATAAGACGAAGGTTGAATTGAAAGGCAATAAAAGTAACAAGAACAGAAGAACTTTTCTTCAAAATATTCGTAAGCGTTTGCGTTTGGATGGAAAGAAGAAAGCCGGGCCCTTGTTGGGATTTGTAAGCAATCGTCAGAAGTCAAAATCGGAGAATCGAGCACGCAAAGCTTTTCGCACAATATCATTTATCCTTGGTGCTTTCGTCATTTGTTGGACACCATATCACATATTAGCATTGGTTGAAGGCTTCTGCAGGAATCCACCATGCACCAATGAACATTTGTATATGTTTACATACTTCCTTTGCTATGCCAACTCGCCATTGAATCCATTCTGTTACGCTTTGGCAAATCAACAATTTAAAAAAGTCTTTACAAGACTTCTGAAGCTTGACTTCCAAATGAGATAAGCGCGCAAAAATAATTTATGAAGAATTCTTTTTATCTTAATCAGTAATCAGCCGCAGTCAATCATATTCAACAACTGATAAAGGTAAAGAAGAATCTTTTAGTAAAATTTTTTCTGCAATCTTTGCACAACTTACGAACATCACTTGAATCTCCCATTCATTAAATAGAAAGCAGAGAGAACAAGTTGATGAAAGGAAGCAAATAATTTATTTTTTACTATCTAAGATGAAGAAATAAATTGAAGGTGACAGAATAAGGAAAAGCAAGAGAGACAAGGTGTCAACGGCAATAAATAAATGAATACTTAGAACAGAACATGCTTTCTTAATCCACACAAAAGCACACCCAAACTTACTTAAATAATATAAAAATAAAATTTATCACAAAGGAAAAACTGTTGCGTAGATAATTTCGTTTTTACTTTTCTTTTTCTTTCTCTTATCATATGACAATTACTGTAACATTTTACGCTTAACAAACCATTTTAGACATTTGTAGACGCGGTAAATTTCTCCTTGATACGAACGAGGGTCTAATGGTAGTGGAGGGTTGAGTTCTGTTTAATATTTATGGAGATTTCCTTTCTAACTCCTTTTACTTCTTCCTTGATTTATAGCAAAAGGAAATAACTCTAGTTATGTAGCTAGTCGTCGCATTTGTAATAAGATGGAATGAAAATGAAAATATCTCAACTGAAAATGTGTGTGTATGTGTGTATACTTGTGGAGAAAATGAAATAAGTTTTCATGTAATAGACAATAAAATAAATTGGTCATTAGAATAATGTTTAACTCATCATATGAATAGTTTCTGTAAGGTAAAAATGAGTAAAAATGTAAAGAGTAGTATCTATAATTAGTAAAGTAATAACACGTATTAATTAACATGCTACAGAATTATAAATTAAGCGAAATCACAATAATTACATTAATTTAGTTATACGACAACATATGATGAAAATTATGTCTATCACCTTCTGACAAATAGCAATGGATGAGCGCCTCCCTCAAGCTTTGCTTTCCTTTTCTTACACCGTTCATCGCATCCACATCCGACACAAGGGAATGAAGTTGATATTCACAATAAATATGTTTTAATCATTTAGCCTTCATGTCATATGATGTGTGTATAACAGAGAATGTATGTAAATCATGGAACGATAAATAATCAATTTAAAATTATATTTGTGCTTATACGCCTATGTAATCAATTTAAGCTTCATTTAAAGACGCAAAAAAGGGAAGAAAATAATCGAAAACTGAAGGAAATGAAAATGAAGCAAACTCAGCTTTTATTTTCCTTCTTTTTTTCCTATAAGAAAATAACGAATGTGTGTAAATAGAAAATCGTGAAAGCATAAAAGCAGAAGAGAATTGAATAACGAATGAACTTAAAAGCGAATTCAAATCATGTTTCTAAAAAGAAATTTTTTCCTGAGCCTCAGAACAATTGAGGAGAACATCTGTCATTATATTTATTTCAATGATTGACGAACATAATCGGCTAACGTTCTCAGAATCATCGAATGTCACGTCAATCAATTTTATGCTTTTAGTATTCGAGCATTTTATAAAGGTAATGATTTCATTTCTTTTTATATTTTTGGTTGATAGCTAATTGGATTTCTGATTATATCATTTCACTTTCCTTCAAATTTTGAATAGAGAGAATGAATTTATTTATTTTTTTTTGCATTTATTAACAAGAAGAAAATTTCTGATCAGATTTTTATAATTTTCTTTTTAAAAACATTCCTGAAGTTTATTTCCCAGTTGCTTTAGAAATTGTATCAGCAACATGTGCGGATTTTCTTTGAAAATTTGAAGCTTTTAATAAACGCTTAGAAATTCTTTTTCATGTTTTAAAACCAACATTTTTGAATAAATTTTTGCCTCTAAGGAATAATTTCTTAAGTAGGACTATTAATAATGTCAATTTGTTATTCAATTCTCTTCGCAAATTGTCAAACTTTGAAGAAATTCCAAGTACAAGAATAGCTTGGAGATTGTGACAAGTGATTGGCGTAAAGTCACAGTAAAGATTTTTCCTAAATATGTGGAATATATTTATCGCCCTTATTTTTCAAACAGTAAACTTACCTTTAATGAAATTCCTAGAGAATAAGAAATTTCCATCTTCAAATGAAGCCAAGGAGCGCGTACAAACATCATTAATTCATACAAGAATATTCTTTTTTAAATCAATTGGAATTCATTGATATTTTCTGTGCGTCTAAATGAGAGACAAACATTGTGTGTGGAATTTTGAGCCCCGAAATTTGCCCCAAACCAAAAAGGTTTGTTTTCTCTTTAGAATCACACAAAAATGTCATTTAGAAATTTTCCGAATGTCTTAAGGGAAATTAGAAAACTGATGAAATTAATTAAATATATTTAAATGAAAAGAATATTAAAGATTTTGCTAATGTTAAGCATCAATTCAAAAAAGTTTTGCTGAAAATCGAAAGAAAACTCAAGTTCTTGATAAACTTTCTCTTATGCAACTGCAAATTAAAACTTTGTTTAAAATTCAAATGCATCAGAAAATAACAAAATAATAAAAAAAAAAGACTTTTCAAAAGATTTTTCCTTTTAATATGTAAAAGTTTTCAAGTTTCTTACAAAGATTTTCTAATTCACTTTCAGCTTCAAAGTGCATTGAAATAAACTTTTTAAAACAGAAGCTTGAAAACTTTGTCAACGCTTAAATTGTGAAATGAAAAAAAATTAAATTTATCATGAAATATTGTTAGTTTTAGAATCAAAATTAAATGAAGGAATAAAGAAAAATGGAGACAATATATTATGATTTAGAGAAAACAAATCAGTAAGTTTTTAATGAAACTTTTGATCGTTTCAGATATCAGAATACCTAAAATGCTTGCAGACTTGACTTTAATTAAAGATTAATTTAAACAACGATGACATGGAAACTTTAGAAACTAATTAAATTCCATCATGCTTCATTTCCTTTAGTATTCATTCTTTATTTACTTAATTATTCATATCATTTTATGTTTCCATAAATTTCCTTTCATTATACAAGAAAAAATTTCTTTTGTCTACACTTTGATTATAATAAAATTTCAAAATCTTATCCAACTATGCTATAATTATTTCTTTATTTGATGTTGCTTGTCTTGATAAAAATCCTCCTAAATGTAAGTAGAAAGACTTTAACATGTTTGTTACGCATCTATGTAAATAAGTAATTGATTGTTTAAAATTACGAGTAGAGAAAGTTTTTCATTCTATGAAAATGGAATTAATTGATGCTCGAAAGTAAAAGACGATAAAGATTACGAAATACTTTTATCGGTAGGAAAATATCTAAAGCAATCAAAATGTTGTAAAAAGATTTATTTTCTTAAATTATTTAATGAATTTTCTTGTGCTGTGATATTTATTTAGAGGGGAAAATAACGACTTAGAGAATGTAAACTTTTGTTTCGGGAAAATCGACTTTAAACGTTTAATCTTTAAAGACGAAATTGAAAAATTTTACATTTCCAAAGCAATTGAAGAAAAAGTTTTTCTTAATTATATCTCTAAATACTTTTCTATTATAATTTACTTAACTTCTAGGCCATGAAAGGATGAAATTTAAGTTGTGATTTAAACTTACGTAATTTTATTTTAAACTGTATCGTTTACACTTGTGAATTCAGATAAAACATGTGCTGGATTTTGAGTTTTCTTTTGTGATGCACGACGAACTTTAGCACGAACTTCTTCAGGTTTTTCTGGTCTTACGAGTGGTTTCTTTTCAGGTGCTTTCATCTTCCAGACCACGATTGGTGACTGTTTGTAAAGGAGAATTAGTTGAGAAGTGTTTTATAATTTAAGAAACTTACCGATACGGTTCCTTGTCTTGTATACTTCGTTGAAGCGACATACGAATACTTGACAGTATAAACCACAGCATTCATAAGATTCTTAGCAGCTTGAATCAAAGATGTTGCGCTGTCAAGCTATTTATGAAAGAGAAAATTTTAAATTCCAATGCTTTAGAAATTATTTTTTCAAAACTCACGCCCGATACAATCAATTCTCCAGAAATATTTTGAACATCAGCTTTGACCTTTGATGTGATTTGAATTTGATGGCAATACAAAGCAATTCGTTGTAAATATGCTAACAAATCTTTTTTCGTTGAACTTTCCGGGCATTGATCAGCAATTTCCCTTGTCAACTTGTCTAATTTTGTTCCAGCTTCGGAAATTTTCTTAGCAGCATTGATGACATCCATTGTTGTCTTCAACGGTCCACGACCACGCGTAAAGTCTGTCATTTCCATCATAATCATACACATATGCTTCGCCAAGTAAATGATGTCATTACCAGTGTCATCCCACTTAGCAACTTCCGAATCAAAAGTCAGTTTTTCACGACGGAAAAGTTCAACTTGTTGCATAATTTTTTGTTTATCTTCTTCATTCATCTTTCGCATCGCTTCCTAAATAAATTAATGTTGGTAATTAGAAATGAATTCTAGAACAATGATTCTGTCACTTACTCTGGCTGTGGTGATTCCACTAATGTCAGGATATTCATCAATTGCTGTATCGCCAGTATGTGCACTCGCTGTTATTAATAAAATTAGAAAATATTTTAGAAATTTTCTTTATCATCATGAAACTCACACAAGCCCTCAAAACATGCAGAAATCATAAAAATAAAAATAATTCTTACATCTACTTCGTGTTTCGTGTGTCATATCTTCAACTGGTTCAAATTCTGTATCTGTGTCAAGTTCTTCAGAACTCTTTTTATTTTTTTTATTCCCCCCGGTAAGCAATAAGTCAAAACAAGACGTAACAAGGCAACAAACGACAACAAAAACATGAAAATATAAAGCAGAACAAATCAAAATTAATGCGAGACATATCAAAATCAACAAGTTATTGAGGGGCGTAAAGAAACAAACAAAAAAATTACGAAACATTGAAACGCACATAAACACTAATTAAATGTCATCATCTTACACTTGCTCCTTGTTTCCAAGGTATTTTGTTCATCTTCGATATCTTCTGGATCCAAATCCTCTTCTTTCTTTTATTTTAAAGAATTTAATGATATGCGTGGGTGTTTCAAAATATTTTTTTATAAATTTCATAAATTGTTGGAATAATTAAAATTTGTAATTCGAATGAATTCTTAACAAATCAAGAAGAAACTTCTAAAATATAAAAACAAGGATAAAAAACTTACGCGATTCATTAAAACAGCGCGACGAATCTCACGAACGCCATCATAAACCAAACGCGATGCATCAATGAAATCATTTTCGTCGACTTCCTTTGCAGAATTGCTTGATAAAGCATTGACAGCAACATCAACACGTTGAGCAAATTTAGACATGACTTGATCGCGTAAAACTTTTACAGCTTCCATGACACGTTTTGTGTAAATGCACGGCTCGTAATTGTCCATTTCAGCTTCAACGACATGACAAACACGTGCAGAACGTCCTTGAATTGCACCAGCAGTGTTACGCAAATCTGAAGCATCGCCTTCTTGCAATGCCAGCACACATTTGTTGACATCTTCCAAGATGTGATTCTCAGAAACTGCCAGGAAATCGTCAATTGTTGTGATATCATCGACAGCTTCTGTTAAGATGCGAACTTGATTCTCCCATGCTTGTCGATACGAATCCATGTTTTCTTGTGCGACTTTCGAGTTTGGTCGTGCGGCTAAGATCAAAGCAGCATTGATAACTTGTGGACAAAGAGTCTCAATTTGCGCTGCTGCGTAACGAACCATTTTAACTCCATCTTCATTGTTTGACATACTGCACACCAAGTTAGCAACTTCCACCAACTTTTCAGCATGTTTTGTGAAGATTTCAGCACGTTCATGAACTTTCTTCTCATTACCAGAACGTGCAGCTTCAATCAGATCTAACAACGGCATATTTGTTTCAAGGAATGAGTCGGAAACATGATCAACAACAGCTTTACGTAATTGACGACGAAGATCTTTTGTTTTACGATACATTTGACCGATAGCTCGTTCTAATTCCGGGCCACGATCTTTTGTACCCATCTAAAAATTGTAATTATTTGAAAAGTTATCAGAAATTGTGAATAAAAAAAGAAAGTTACATTCGACATGTATTCAGATAACAAATCTTGAAGAGCTTGACGAACAGCATTGCATTCAGCAACAATTCGTTCACGTCGCTCATCTCGAGTGCAGTCAGCGTCAGCCATTAATGCAGCAGCGCTGATGATGCTTTCCAAACGTTCTTCTAGCAATTGTCGTGAGCGCATTTCATTATAAGCTGATGGATCCATAATGATTCCCTCATCGAAGTCATCAAGAGCAGCAGCAAGTTCACCAGCACCTGCAAAGGAATCTTGAGGTGCTGAAGCTTTTCCTTGTGCAACATCGCTGATTGTATTGACAGCTTCGCAAACTTGTTTTAAAACGTAATCACGATTGATCTTTGCAAGATCCAATTCAGGATGACGAACGTAGACTTTTGAAGCTGTGAGCAACATTGTTGAATGTTTCTTGAGAATAGCACGAGCAGCTGCTAAGTCATCTCTTAATTGTGGATCTTTCAACTCTTGTTGACGTTTTGCTGCTTGTTTTATTAATTCATTAGCATTACGACCGAATTGACGCATATTACTCATCAACTCATCTTGACTTGATGCGTCACGCAACTTATCTAAATCATCTTCAACAACATGAAGAGATTTGAGTAAAAGATGCACGTCAACCATGTCTGCGAGAATCAACAAGCGAGTAACTGCAGAAAGAAGATTTCTAGCTGCACGAACCATGTTTCCGCGCTTTAATGAGCTGCAAGGATCTTCGCTGAATTCACGAGCTGCTACACTCATTGCCAGTCCAGTTTTTCGCACTTCATCAACAGCAGCTAACATTTCCTGAGTGATGTCTGGATTTTCGTATGCAATTTGTTCTCCACGTTCAATGAAGTTTTCAGTTGCTTTCTCAACAGCAGCAACAAGAGCCGATGCACGCTTTGATTTACCTTGAAAAATAAAATAAGATTATATCTCATTGTAACGTCACGTAATTCAAGCTGTGAAAGTCGGCAATTTACAAATTCTTCTTTTTCTGTCACTTCGTGTTTTAAATGAAAATTGTTTACATGTTGATGACTCATCGACCATACATTCGGCCATTGGAATAAAATTCCTGAGGTTTCTTATTGGAATTTACTTTGTAATTCTGTTTTTTTTACTGGGCAGATTTTTATTGATAACGAAGGAATTTATGGTATGCTTACCTTTCTTCTTTTTGCTTGTTGATTTGCTGTTCACAAGAGTTGTAACTTGAAGCACCAAAGGCTCGAGAGTTTTTTCAACACTCATTGTACGGATTTCTAGATTTTTAGGATCCCTAAATTGGATTTTATGAGATTAGTTTTTTTCACAACAAGTTGCATGATGATTTCTAGTCAATCACTTACCATCGAGCAGCGATGGATCCAACAATGTCTGCCATAGTCATCTTGGATTGTTAATTGGGGCGTTTCTAATTATTCAATTAATCACTCAAATAGAACTTTTATAAAACTGCATTCAAGTTAAATATCTTATCAAGTTATTGATAAAGTGGAATTAAATGTCTTAAACACTTTTTTTAAAAGTTTTCTTACTAAATTTTTAAAAACAAAATAAAATTTCAGGAAGGAAATTTTTTTGTTGATTTGCTTTCGAAAATCAATTTCGAAATATTCGTTTGAATTACGAAACTGTTCGTTTACTCACATCTTTTATGCTGTCAGTTTGAAAAAAGTTTTCTTTCTTTTTAAGAATATTTTCAACATAATGATGATCGATGTAAGCAGCTTGTGAACATTCATTGTTTATTTTTTGTTGGTTAAAGCTTATTTTAAAACTCATCTTGATGTGAATGTATTTACATGTATGTACATATATAAATTCTTATTACATATGCCAACATAAATGAATATATAAAATTTAACGGTCGAAATATTTTCAAATATTTGTCGAAAAACAATTCGACCCGCTGTCATTTTTAAAAACAACAAAAAAAAATCGGGAGAAGACGATTATAAGTTTCATACTATTTGTGCAATCCTGAGGTTCAGTAAACAGTCAGTCGTTATCAAGAAATATAGTTTACTCGACTCCGTGTTTAGTGGACATAAATTTGTGATAACATTTAACTATAAAAAACGCAATAATTGCTAAAAACAAATCATTTTTGAAGTAAACAAAGAAAGAAATAAAGGAAATATTTCCAGACAAAAATGTCGTACTCACAACCTCATACGCCACCTTTAATTAAATCGTATGACTCATTGGGATTGCTGGGAGGTAATTGAACTGTTTCCAAGGATATTTCCAGTGTTATTTGTATCCCTAGTTGTTTACTTTCACACAATGTAGTTAAAGTAATCTAAAGTAGTTGCACAGAACATTTTTTCAACAACTAAAATCGGCGCAAAAATGCGACGCAATAAACATTTTTGCATATTTTAACTTCGTAAATATTTGTTTACATTAGATTTTTTTTATGCGTACGTGATTTGTCAGATGGTGTAGGTCGTCACCACTTCTGGTGTCATTTTTTTATTTATTTTTAACTTGGAAATTTTCTGGAAAGTAATCAATCTTTTTGCGACGATACATACACACAACAAACTCGCCTGAAGGCGAAAATAAAAAATTCTCCAAGTATCATGGAGAACAAAGAAAGATTTTCTTACGATTGCATTATAGAGCCTACACAAAGAGTGCACATTTATTGTGTTTACTCTCTTTTGCAATGTTATTTTATTTACTGTTTACTTGTGTGGATGGCGTGATGGTGTAAAAAGGTTAACCAGAAACTTCAAACACCCTACATATCTTTTGATTTTATAACAGAATATAAAACGATTAACTATGATGAATTGAATAATATTTCGGAAAGTTAAGCTTGTTATCAGTAAGACATGATGTTAGTCACGCCAGACAAATTTTATGTTGATAAAAAAGGGGGAAATGTTTCTTTTTTTTCCACAAAAAAACTAAATCAAGCTGATAATGTTCAAATCTTTTTTTTATACTTTCACAGAATCCTGGATTGAATTGACCAACAATCTTATTCAGAGCTGTCCTGATCGTGTTACACCACCACTTCCTTTCTCATCCGGTGAAGAGTACTTAAGACTGTTGAAAGAAGCTCAAAAAGAATCAAATCCTTCCAGTCTCATAAGTTCGCGGCGCGATTCACCAAAAATGGGAAGTCCAAAATCGCCACCAAACTCACCAAATCCTGAGCCATTGACGAGCTCAGAAGAGCTCAAAGGAGTGTTCATTAACTATTATGCAGCCAAGGTTAGTTTCATGTAAAAAAAAATTTAAAATTTAATGTCGTTGAACTTTGTGTCATTTTATAAAAAAGAAGAAGAACGAAAGAAATTTTCGGGCATGCCCAAGATGAATTATCAAATTATAAATTTTATGGCAGAAACGTTCGTAAACTTCCTCAATCGAGCTTGATATTTATTTGCAAACGTTCACACGTCTGACGTTATTATTCTGGTTTTTTTTTGTAAATATTTTTCTTTTTCTTCGTTTTTTCTTAGAATCGCGTAAATTTTCATTATTTCGCTTTTTTTGCGTATTTTCTTTGTCGTTAAACTTGAAAACATTTTCGTGTTTCTTCTTCTTTTCGTTTTGCTAATTTAATCTGTTTTAAAAAGATTTTTTATCTTTTGTGTACGTAAGCTTTCCATATTTTCTTAAAGTTTCACTTACATCTTTTGTCTGGCTAGGTCAAGTGACGCAAAGTAATATGTGCAATGACAATGACTTTGACTGCATTGTTATTGTTTTGAATTAAATTTACACTGTGCAAAACATTGAAATTTCTTTCTTGATGTTTTTCAGAATGATAAAGACGATAAAGATAGTGACAAAGAATGGATGTGGCAGTGGAGTTCACGACCAGATCAGTTGCCTCCAAAGTACGTTAACATTTTCATTTGTCATAAATTAGCGCAATGTAAATTGGTTATCGGCGCATTTATTTATATAATTGATTCTCCAGACGTGAAAGACACGCGACGAATCAATTTATGTGAATCAATTTATGAATCAATAATTTTGTCATCTTTCAGAGACTGGAAATTTGAACATCCCGAACATGGACACTCGAATGGATCATCGCCAGTTCCCGTGAAATTGGCACCACATTCGATGTCTTATTCAATGCGTTTGGCACGCGTTGGTGAGCGGTCTTTGTTTTCAAAGGAAGTTTTGTATTCTCTTGTCATTACAAATGTTCTGTCCATTCTTCTTGGTGCTGGAATTGGGTGAGTTCCATTAAATTCATTTAAAAATAGATTCGTTTTGTCATTTTCACCATCAAATTCAAATTTGAAGAAATAATAAGAAAAATTATCTATTTCTCATCTTTTTTCTTCTTCTGCTTTTCTATTTTTAGAGTTTGGTTGTCAAAACGTGGCTTCATTTTTACTCGTTTGTCAATTGAGTAAATACGCAACATCGCTCGTCTCCCTCTTTGCACTTTGCGTATATTTCTATGAAAAGTGTGAATTTAATTTAATTAAATCCCCATTCTTTTCCTTCGTCGATTATCGAATAGTGTGCCGAGAATTGAGCGCAGGATGGTGAATATTTTTTGTTATATTTTTTAATCAACAAGTTTGAAACAAGCAAACGAAGAAAATGATGTCGCATGATAATTTTTTAATCCATTTTCCTCATTTCGAAAGGAAAACTAAAACCTGAAGCTTATATTTTTATCATTTGATGAAATTAATTTAAAATAAATTAAATTAACTAGTGAAGAATTTTCTTACTGTCAAACAAATAAGGAAAGAAAAATAAATTGAGATTTAATGGTTCGTACCAGGGACTGAAAGTGGAAAAACTTAAATCCACAACTGCAATTGATTGAATATTTTATACTAGCTGAGAAATTGAGTAAATTTATGTCCCTGGAAAATTATTGCAAATGTGCAGATGAAATGCTTTGTTCAGAACTTTTAATCAGATTAAATTTACAATAATTAACGAGAGCAGTCTGGAAAAAACTTAATTGGAAAATTTATTTCCACTCTTTTGAAAGAAAGACTTAAAATGTGAAATATTCAAAATTATTAAAACATTTAATTCAACATATTCAGTGTTATTGAATAAATTCATAAAATTCTTTTGAAGATTGACATGCAAAGTGCTCAGCTGTTTAAAACTTTTTATTCATTTCAATCAAAATTTGTCAACTTTCTTCATGTCCCATATGAAATTTTGCTTTTTAAATGAAAGATGAAAGCAGGAGTTTAAGTTTCAAGTTATCTACTTGACCATAAATATAATTAAATAAATCTGATCAGATAACTCTGATCGAAGTGTAAAAGAAATATCGAAAAATTATCATTAGATTTGACCTGATTTTACTCAAATCTAAACTTCAATGCTTTTGAACTTTCACCAATTTATTTTCTTATTATCGAATGCAAAAACACAAATGAGAATAAGAATGAATCAATCAGCGGAACCAATCAACTTGATGAATGTGATATTTTATGTAGCCAGGCATATTTTTATATAATTTTATTTGTGTTTTTTTTTATATCAGCAAATATTTTCTTCTCCAATCATTTTTTATTGATTGACTTTCATTTATGATTGAAATATTCAACAATTTATACATTTTTTAACTACATATTCAAAATAATTTAATCAGATTTTCATATTTATAAATGAGTTGTGTATGAATCAGTGATTCTCAAATTGTGTGCAGCTAAAAATGTGCAAAAGTCGTGAAAAATTTGCATCCAGAATTGATCGTGCCACAATTCAGAAAAGTTTGAGAAACGCTGATTTAGTAGATAAATGCAAAGAAAAGTGTTTGAATGATAAGACGGCTAGTTTTTTTAATTAATTTAACTTGTAACTTGTAATTTGTAGTAGCAACAGCACTACAATAATGACTTTGCAAGTCTCATATTTATTCCATCACTTAGAACCTCCCAATCTTCCACTTAGAAAAGTGGCAGTGATTTTAACAACCTCTGTAGCTCTTAGATTTGCCTTTTTTATGGAAAAATAAATGAAATAGAATCGGAAATTCTTTGAATTCCTAACATTTATTCTGTGAACTTCACAGAACATCTTAAATATTCACAAATTTCAAATAAAAAGAAAATTAGAATTTTAAGAAGCTTCAAAATTTTTTAATTTTCTAACATTTTACAAATTTTTTATACATTTATTCATTTTCAACTGTTTAACTTCATTGCATGATATTCGCTCTTAAATATTATAAAAACGACTAACATAAACTTATTTCTGTGAATGGGAAATAGAATTGAGAAAAACTTTTGTACTGTATTTTGCATCATGTAATCAATCAAACGGGTGGAGAATTCAATTTGAAGCCGTTTTTTATTGAAAAATAAAATTTAGCTTAAATATAAAAAAAAAATTTGTTTAAGTTTCATTTTCAGATGTCAGGGAAAGATTTTAGTTGAATACTTTGTATGTTTTTAATGTCATTAATAAGTCGGTATCGTTCCACCAATTAGCGGATATTAATATGCAGTTTTGATGATTATGAGAGCAGAAGTTCAATTAATTTATTGCTAGCAATTTAATTAATTTAATCAACAAAGATCTTCTACAAACTAAGTTCCTGTGTTAGCGCCTAAGTTATTAAAATCATTTCGGCTTATCAACAAACGCAAATAAATCCAATAACCATTTCATTTTTAATCTAACTTTTTTCATGTGGTTTATTGTCCCTAGTTAAGAGTTTAAATGTATTTAGCCTTTTAATGTTTTGATATCAGGCAATAAAAATCTCATTTGTAACTTTTTCTTTCTTTTGATCTTTGATTTGATTTTTTATTTTGATTCTTCACTCTCGTCGGAATCAATTAGAAGATTTGATGTTAGAAAAGGAAGGAGATGAAGGAAGAAGTGAAGTGGCTGTTTACCTGAGCTTGAATTAATTCACTCTACCTAAATAATCATTAATCTTCCAAATATTATCTGTCGTTTCATAAATCTGAGATACGCAAGATTGAATAATTTTTACAAATTTAGAAAGTTTTTTTTTTCTTTCGGATGGTCAAATCCCAAATATAATTGGTGAATTTATGTTTTTAATCTTTCTTCTTTCAGTTAATTGATTCTAAAATGTCTGTTTATTTTCATCCAACATTTGTGAATCTTCTAATCAAACTTCAATGATCGTAAAACTACATATCAACACAGAAAAATTTCTGGAAAGAAAGGTGCCAAAAGAAGAACCGAAAGAGGCACGAAATAAAGGAAAAGATCGTTCAACAAAGAAATATAAAATAAAAACACGAGAAAAGAAACAGAACGAATCAACGATACAAGCGAGAAGCATCAGACGAAGTAAAAAAATCGACTGTGTATGCTTTGGCCTGCGTTTCTTCTCTTTCTCGAAAGTGATTTTTTAACGAGCTGTTATTATACACCACAGAAATATTTTATAAAAGAACAGAAGAAGGAAAGAAGACTTTTTCAGACCACACAAGAAATTTTCACACGGAATATTCTTCTCGACTCGTGAGACCATTTAAAAGTTTTGTGACTTTCGGTGTTTCTGTATTTATTTAACATTCGTTTTTGTATTTTTAAAACTCTCACATATTTTGAAAATATCTGTTAAAGATGTTATTAATGAACGATTCCTAAACCGAATCCCCTTTGTTTTCGTTTTTCAATTTTACGAAATTCTCGCTGTCTTCGCCTCTTATTTAACAGTTGGAATTAAACGCTAATGTGATTTTATTAATCAGGATGAGATGCAGTTTTATTTGATTCTTTATTTTGGGTGCGCATCAGAATGACGAAGGGGTTTATGTCATCCAAATATTAATAAAAAGAATTTATCAAATCGACTGAAGTGGTCGATGATGTTTCTGATTTTATTCTTTCTTGAAACTTTCTTGTATAAACTCCAAAAGTTAGTTTAGCAGGTAGTTTAAGATCTTTGATATTTGAAATATCTTTGCTATTAATTAAAACAAGCCATTAATTACTTAATGTTGCTTAACTTTCGAGGTTTTTATATTTATGCAATTGTTGGGTTTCTCTCATTGATTTGCGAACATTCGTAAAATAATTGTTTCACGTTTTATAAAGTTATTCTTATTTCATAATTCGATAACATAAAAAATGACTTCATAATTGATTACGTGAGATTATTTTTATACACGACTAAATAGGATGGTAGTTAAGTATAGGGAAAGACACAAAAGACTTGAGTGTCTGAAACAGTCAGAAACCTGAATTTTAATTCCATTCTTAAGTTGCAAAAGGAAGCCAAGACACTCGACATTTAAAACTTCTTCAATCGCCTCTCACATTTCTTCACACGTATTTTACAACTCTTATTGATTTTAATTAATTGAGCGTTAAGCTTGAATTGGTGTTGGAATAAATCGAATATTTTCTGTAGGGCTTGTGAAAACATGTCAATGATTTAATAATAATAAATTGTCTCTCATTATTTAAATAAATTTGAGATAAATGTCTGCAGCTTAAAGTTTCATCATCAAAATTAAATCAACTTAAAATAAGTTCAATAATATGAACTTTCACCCTATGTTCGTGCCCAAACTCAAAGCTTGAAAACAAAACCAAAAACCGAATCAAAAATGTCTCCTTAAGCATTTTTTTTTATTTTTCTCCGTTTATTTTTTTATTTTATTTAATTTTTATTCATCATTCGCTTGTGTATCTAAATGTATGGCTAAGCACCATTTATTTAAACACATTAATGGATCATTATACGGCATTATGTGTTTGGATAATATTGCTGTAGAGTCGTTGAGAAGAAAACATTTCAAGGGAGAGAAAAAGAATCGATATAAAATTAACATTTAGGTATCTCCTTTCCTTTGAGTTTGATGTTAAAACAACATCAGATGAAAACAAGTTTCCAGTTTCCACTCAGAAGTCGCATTCCGATAAATTAAACAACGTTACTAAATTGTTTTTTGTTCGCTTTTGCTTTTTTTGTTGTCTTTTCATCCTTTTCGATTTTTCATTCAAGTATTTTTATTGCCATTTAAAATTTGATGGAATCTCTAAATAGTGAATTAAATTAAATGTACATAAGTGCTCTAAGTTATTCGCAAATTTCAAAATTCTTCCGCTCAAAAGTATCGATGATACCACAAATTCCTGTTGTGCAATGCATTATCTCAATCACAGACAACCATAAAAATGCCAAACATTAATCCAGGGCTTGAGAGTGCAATCCACAAAAGATTGTTAAAGAAAGAAATTTTTGGAGTAAAGTTCACTTCTATAAGAATTCGTTTTCTCAAATTATATCAAAGATTCAATTGAAGAATTGTATTCAGATGAATTTTAACAACAAGCCCTGTAATAAACACATTTATTTGTCCAGATCAAACTGTTCGTTTCTTATTTTACCATCGTTGAACGAAGAGTATTATTTTTCACAAGTAAGTAAAGTTTTTTTTGTTGAGTATCTAAATCAACAGTTGAAGTTTGTTCCACGCTTAACTGATTACATCAAACAAATCGGACTACAATCATTACGAGAAAGAGAAGACGGTTCACCAAAAATTTAAGAAGGTAAATAAGTGATGGTGCTATTGTAATGACTGCGGTTCACTCTCAGACTTCCAGACAAATGAGTACCGCCGCTGACAAAGTGAAACATTTAATCAAATATTGGTCAACTAATGTTGTTAACAACAAATTCTTACAATGCAAATATTAAATGTGTTAAAATTTTCTTTTAAATACCCCATTTGTTCGGGCATGAGAAAAAGAAATGGAATTGGAATTGGCTTGAGAATTTTAATGTTTTGATGTTTGCGATAACGGATTGATTTCGTGTTGAAGAGATTAGTGAGAGCCAAACAAAATGCCACTCAAATTCTATCAATGAACTTTAATGAAAAATGTTAACAATCGCTTTCGTTTTCGTAATTGGATTCGAGTAAAATTATTTCTAATGGATTTTTAAATAAATCTTTCTTTCATGAAAACACAATTTGTTGAACATATTTAAAGCTTTAAAGATTAAGTCAATGAACAAAATTGACTTCTGATTGCAGTTAAGTAAATGATTTATTATCTGCTTTATATGTTTAAACGAAGTTTGAACAAATCCTTCGTAGTAACATTAAATTAATGCTTTATGGAACGTCAATTATGCTTTTATGTTCCACGTCCTTGTAAAATTTTTGCTTCCTTTGACACCAGAAAGAAATAAATTTCAATAATAAAAAAAGAAGTTTATTGGTACAATAGAACTTCTTCAGTCACTTCGTGAATAGACGAGGAATAGTTGCATAGATATGGCAATAAAATCTTTATTTCTTTACCCTCACAAATCGTAATGTTAACGGTAGCCCTGGCAGAAACAATTGCAACAAGAATAAGCAACAACGTACAAATAATGTAAAGGAAGACTCTGCGGGAAATGTAAATAAACATTTTGACATTTTGCTCTTCAATCGACATTGAATATTCTTCGCCTTTTGCCATTACATTTTTTTTCTTTCTTTTATGATGCATTGCAATTTGCACTACCCATTAGCCTTGTTACACTCGGTTGGAGATGCCTTTGTAAGATCGTGAATTTTACGTTCGGAAAGTTAAAGTGTGAAGTGTAAAAGTGCATTAGGAAAGTCATAAAATATTTTTCTTTCCTTCTATTTCTTGTGGTTTCTTGATGATTGAGTTTGTTTAAAACACTTTTATTTAGTTAGTTTCTCTAGAAATGAAATGTATGATTAATTTATGACAAAATTTAATAGTGTTTGATTTATTTTTGTAACAAAGATAAGCATTGCAATGTGGTTTGTTTTCTAGGTAAGACAATTAAACTTGCCATTCAGGTTTGTTCGCATTGTCAACTTGAAAGTCGGCAAATTATGTTTTGATCCTTTTGTGTAGTATCTAGATATCTGGGCTTGTTTCAACATGAACATTTTTTTGCGCAAAAGATGAAAAACTTTCAGAATGAAAAGATAAACAATTGAATGCATTTTCTTAAAGAGATTTTGAATAAATATCAGACTGAAGAGCTTCAGAGAATGAAAACATCACACAAACCGTATCGGTGATGTTAAGGAGATTCAGATGACTCCAAGGATGTTTTTATTTGTTTTTATCAACACACACACACAAAAGCTCATTTAAGGTTCTTATGCTTGATGTGTCATGCTTGAAGTCGGGCACTCTTATAATTTTTCTTACCTCTTAGTCGTCTTCCCTTCACAATGATGTATACACCAATATTTGGGAAAACATAAAATTATTTACGCTTAATTAAAATACTTGAAAAATTTTTGCAGTCATTCTTAAAGCCATTTATTGTCATGACTTTTTTTTTCAAGAATTTCCTTTCAATTTGGCAAGATGAGTCTATTTCTAAGAAATATTTTCTGTTTCGCACTCTGCCTGTTGCAACAGTTTGTGGAAGGCGTGAAAAATAATTTATTTATGCTTATTAAGGCTTCACATAGACGAGCGTTTCCTGTTTAAGCTTTCAGTTTCTTTTTTCTGTTTACATCTGCAGTTGATGTTTGAAATCGGAAAGGATTTTTATGTTTGTTAAATTTAGGAAGAATTTGTTATTGTGAAATGTGAATGGAAATTAAAAAATGAATATAAATGAAGCTTTGTAGATTGTTAGAGTTATTTTAATCAAGAACCAAACTCGTTTTTATATTATTCCATCCATATGGCGCCGAATCTCATTGAAATGTATTTAATTCAATGCTGAAAAGAATTGTCAAGAAATTCCAACATCGAGAATTGAATAATGAAATTTATCTCGTTTTTGATTTGTGTCTCGTTTTGTTCAGCATAAAAGGAAGGCTGTCTGGAGACAAAGTTAAACATATTAGATCGATGTTTGTTCGATCCACCGTTTCTCCTAACAAGAAGACGAAAGCTGAATGATGAAGAATGAAAGGATCGGATCCAATAAATTTCCTTAAACTGCCATTAATGAAAAAAAGATCAAGAGAAAGAGAGAAAAAAGTCGTTTGAATCAATTACGAAAGAAGAAGACAATTGACATGCGGAGGAAGAAAAAAGGACATTTGAGGGCGATCACAAAAGGTATAAACATCAAAAGAAGTCAAAATATTTTGGGCAATCATCGTGTGTGGTGGTGGTGATGATCATTTGTTCAATTGCCCTCTCAAATAACATTTTTTTTTTTCGTTTCCTTTGATTGTCCGCAAAGTAAAAGAAAGAAGAGAGTCCAGAATACACAAGAAGCGAAGTATTTAGTTGCTGTTCAAACATTTATGGAACCAAAATGTTGAGCCCGAAAGATACAAAACTGTTTGAAGGCGAAAAAAGATGAAAGGTGACAATGGAGCACAAAAGGAACAACATAACAAAGATAAAAGGAGAAGAATAAATAAAACTGTATCGAACACCGAATCACATTGTGGTTGTATATCAAGTAAAACTCTATGCATGCATCCTGTGGACATCTCCAAGCAACAACACAGAAGTAAAAGATAAAATGTGACACCGAAAGCCGTCATCATAAATTTTTGGTGGGCTTGGAAATTTTGTCTTGTGGAATTTTCATTGAACGACATTCTTGGATGGAAATAAATACTTGGAAGAAGGTAGCATATGCGACATGCAGGTGCTGATATTTTCAGTTTCTGTTCATTCGTGCTGCGATTTCTCAATGAAAAATTTTACTTTTGAGTGGCTTTCAATGGAAGAACGAATTTCAAAATCAAGAAATATCCCAAGTGACTTAAAAGTGGCGAGTGGTCAATGATGATAAATGTGAAGCAATGAGTGGCATGAGTTTGAGAATGTTTTCACGATGAGATCGTCTGAGTATCAACCGTAAAATGATTGTTAAAACTCTTTCAAGATCGACGTTGTTATTTATCTTATAATTAAATATTTCTAATACTTTAATCGATGGAAACAAGTGAAGTGTCTTGAATAACGAAATAAAGAAAGAGAGTCAGAACCCTTTAAAAAGATCTACAATCATCATTGCCTTTTTGATTCACTTTATTATTCTTCTTCTCATTTTCACTTCACTCACTTCTCTCTCTCAGCCTTTCAATGACATGATGGATTTGTTGAAACTTCATTTGACGTTAAAGTGGCGCTTATTTATGTTAATTTATGAGTTTATGTTCTCCTTTATGTCTGCAGTCAATCGTTTGTGCTTTTTGTACAATTTCTTTCGAGTCTATGTAAGTATTTTCAACCTCAGTGATTATTATTATTATTGCTATCACGTTCTTAAGATTCGTTTTTAACATGAAATCAAAACATTCTCCGCTTTTCATTTCATTGACGTTAATTTGTTTTCTTACATCAACATGTTGATGATTTCGTGACATTTAATTCACACAATTTCTGGTTTTTCTTCTCATCTCGAAGAGAGAAAGTCACAGTGATGATCACCATATGCTAAGCTCAGAAACACCTCATAAACTCAAACATTCTCCATTCAGAGAGAAGAAGAAAAGAAATGAAATGAAAACAAAAAAGTTTTCATCAACTCATAAAATGGATTATTTATGTAAATGTGCGTTTTATCATTCGATATTTATTGCCTACCGCGTTTGGTCTACGGGCTAGAAAGAAAATGTCTTCTCAGTTTTTATTGCAGTTCATAAATTAGTGAAGCAACCGTTGAACTGATCAGGTGAATCAACCTTCATAGCTTTGTGAATTCATGCACGAAATGATATCATTCAAGATAAAAACTGCCATCAAAATAAGAAAATTCATTCATGAAACTGAAAACGAGTTGAAATCAAAAAATATGTTGAAGACAGAGCGAGATTTCTGATTCAACTTTAAAGATGAAGCACATAAGTAAGCGACCGAGAAATGGTTTCAATAATCCCCGAAACTGATCGATGGATAATGCCCTTGCTCCCATCTTCTATGTATATAAAAAGACGGTCTCGAAATGCTGAAAACCACATAAAAAGTTATAACAGAAACCATTTGGCCCCGAAGACGAGGTTCCATGATGCTTTTCATCGGCGATTTCTTTCCTTTTCGTGTGTTGCTTTTATGTAATCAGCAATCAGCCGGTTGTGTGAGTTTTCTTAGGAATTTCTTCTAATGCGATCATTGCTGCATAAAGTAAAACAAGTTTGGCAAGAACACAAAATCCGGATCATGTTCAATATCAATGTTAAAGTTCATTTATTATATTTTCATAAGAAGAATCTTTTTGTTTTCTGTTATTATTCAATAAACGACTCATTGTTGTTCAACACAACAATCGAAAACAAATCGAAATCTTCTTAAAGCGGCATCATGAACATCTTCGTTGTGAACGCCCATCTTATGGTAGGGGAAACATTTCTTTCGTTTGCTCTTTCATCCGTTCTTTCTGAAATTTGACTTCTTATATACCTCAACATGCTTTTAGCTGTGTGAGTAGCGAGTAACGATCGGCTTTTTTTTTTGCATTTATCTCAATATGAATTTGCTGTGGCAAAAATTTATTTCTCTCGTTTTATAAATTCATTGATTCATTCAAAATTTATAACAAAAGCAAAAAGGCAATAACTATGAGTTTCTTTTGTATGAAGTCCTTGTTAAAAACCTTTTCAGTAGAAGATTATGATGAAGCTAATCTTTTGAATGTTATTAGATCAAAGATTCCTTTATGAATGCGACTTTTTAACTTTAGCCGACAAATTGTTTACATAACAAACAGCAAACATTGCATAAAACTTTGAGTACCATCAAAAGCTTCGAACATTTCAGTGAACTCAGAAATTAAAAATAAATTTTGAATGAAATTTCAATAAAAATTTCTTCATGTCAAAAAACTTGTTTTTAATCTGACAAAACAAAACAAAAATATCTATCACAATATTCATTCAGAAAATCATGATTTCATTAAAATAATATTATATAAAGAATCTTGAAAGCTTCGAAAGCTTCAAGATATTTATGCTTGTCGGACCTTACCGACGACAAGATATATGAGAGACTTTGTCATTGTGTTCGTTCAACTCCACACATAAAGAAACGTAAAGCGGAGAAATTCAGAAAAAAACTTCTTCTTTTTATGTGCCACACAATTCTCCGGGCACGGCGAAAATTGCTTCCCCCATTTTAGTTTCATTTGGTTGTTAGACAAAAACTGATCTACACGTAAAAGGTGCACGAAGGAAGTGAAGAAATACGAATGTGAGGGAATAATTCTAAGCTTAATTAAAGGAATAGAAATTCGTTGTGCATTTCGGATAATTACCATAAAAAATAGAAAAAATCAAGTGAATTATTAGATTGTGAAAACAAAAAGAAAAGAAAATAAATAAATAAATGAAACTTGAATAATCCTTTAAAGCGATTTAAAAAATGTTCATGAGCATGACAACTAAGCGAGATTTTAACCGTCATGGGATTCAACCTGAACAATTTTTGGAGTTAGTTAGCGACACCGTTTAAAAGGATTAACAACCTACGAAAGCAATTTGTATCTCACTCATCTAAACGGAATATTTTTGTTTATAAATTATAATAAAATACTGAAGTTTGTAAAATCATTTTCCAAATCACCAAAAAAGTGAAGAAAAAAAATTGAGTAAAAAATGTGTAAATTAACAGCAAAAATTTTTAAATCCGTGAAGCTTCAAGTAATGAAGTCAAGTTTTATTATTATTTTACTATTGATAAATGCGGTTCAGTGTTGCGGTCCAGCTCGTGGCATTGGTGGATCGCGTCGAAGTCGCAAACTCACACCACTCGTATTTAAACAACATGTGCCAAATGTTCTTGAGAATACGTTGGGTGCGTCGGGATTGCACGAAGGAAAGATTTCACGTGAAGATCCGAGATTCAGAGATCTTATACCAAATTACAATAAGGATATAATATTCAAAGACGAAGAAGGCACGGGTGCTGATCGTTTGATGACACAGGTAAGTGAAGTGAAATTTACGACTTAAATATTTAAACGTTGATAAGATTGGCCAAAACAAAAACAAATCAAGAATATCTCCAAGTGATAAAAATTGTGCGCTTTCTGTATTCTCAAAAGTCATTTTTTTGTGTTGACTTATCAGTGATTTATTCAATGTCTCCATCACTCAATGGAATGTTGTGTTTAACTCGGCGACTCATTAATTTACACAATCATCGATGCGTAGAAAATTCACGAGTAAACGAACTTGCAATTAGCTTGAGGCACAATTAGCATGTCTTTTGGGTGAAACCATTTGAGATTCTTCGAAAATATGAATAAAAAAAATCATTTTTCCTATTGAGTCATATGTTAGTTGATGGTCAAAATGATGATGAGTCGAGAAATATGAAAAGTTCAAGTTCATTCTATTTAGATGTGATTTTTGTTTTAAATTCAATATTCTTATGAAAGTAAATAAGTTAATAAATATTAAGCAAGACGAAAGGAAACGATTCCTGCTAATCATCTACAAAATTAATATTCAATTTCAAAATGGAGAAACTTTAAGACTTGCTTCTTCACGTGGCAGGTGATGATGCCTTTGGTATAATTAACAGAACATATGAGCCAGATAATATCATGTCCCAACTCCAGTAACACCATCTCAAGGTTCATTTAATTGCAGAGTCTTCAAAGACAAATAAAATATCAAATTTCATAAATTGAAACTTAAACACATCAAAATATTTTGGCAGTCAAGCTGACAACATTCTCAGGTCATGGATTGTTTCTTGCAAATTGTTTTTTATATATTTTAAAGGTATCTGTTCAATTAATTTAATTTTATGATGAAATGACAAAATTTGCATTTCAAGATTTTCTTCTTCTTTGTGTTGAAGATTCAAAATTTATGATTTTTATTTATGGCCAATAAGAATTTTCATTTCGACGATGGTTTTTGTTGAGTTTTAATCTCAACTAATATAATTTCTTACTGGGATGAATAAATTTTAACATTCAATCAAAAATTCATTGATCAGCCGCAACATTTCTTCAAACATTTAATTAGCCGTCAATTATCAATGTCTGTTGCAATCGTTGCTACTTTGTTAGGTCGTGAAACTGATGGCATTATAAAGCAAAGTCAAATGTTTAATGATCATCAAAGCTTATTGCATAAACATCTAATCAAATTTAAAGATGTTTTATTATACGACAGTGTCGTCAACAACAAAACAAAATAAACCTCTAATTACTCTGCTTTAAACTGAGAGACGAAAGAAACAAATCAAAACAGACAATATAAAAGCTGTAAAAGTGAATTATGACTTTAATAGCTTTTGCAGCGGTTCCAAACTAGGCATTAAGATTCAATTAGATTAAATTTTGTCTTCGTTTCTCCTTCTGCGGTGTCGCTGGTGAAATCTTATTACCCAATAAAATATCTACTTTGTGCCAAAATCACATTCGCCATCATCATCATTTGTTATTCGGTGAGCAAAAGCGCGCGCGGTGTTGTCCGTAAAACGAATTCCTTGAGTGAACATTTTGACTAATGAGATGACGTGTTTTTAAATGAGAATTTTTCTTCGTTGATTCGAGAAAAACTATCAAAGCTTAACTGGTTCGAGATCGGTTTGCTTTCAACTTATGATATCTATTATTAGATTACCAAATGGAGAATTCATTTGAAGGAGATTGTCCACTTTAAATACCATAATGTTCATCAGCATCACGGATTAAATCAAGAATTTTAAACTTCCAAGCCGCTCTTTGCGTGAGTGTGATGAATGTCTATTCTCAGTCCATTAAACAGTGGTTCAACACACATTAAATATCTTTTATCTCCTATTCAAATTAGCCACAATTAATCACGACAATTTTAAAGATATTTTCATTCCTTATAAAGCGCAGATTGTCTTTCTCCACACATCTCGTATTGGTTGATCTTTAAGAAGCATATTTTCAAATATCTGGTGAAAGATATTAATTATTTACACAAAATTTTGTTTATTGTCTCAGAAACAAAACAAGGAAACATTGCGTGGGTGTAGCATAAATCGTTTGTACACAGAAAGTCATTTGTAAACGTAAAACGAGTTTTTTTCACTCCGCTTTTAAATTGCAATTTATGATATTTGAAAGAAGAGATAATTCATCGTTGTGATTTATCATAAATTCCACTTGCACACTTTAATCCTTAACGAAAGAATGAGAGAAAGGAAAAAAGTGAAAAGATCGAAAGAGTGGCGGTAAGAGCAACACAAGACATTCATAATATTTAATCTTCCAATAATCGAGTGAGTTAAAATGAGCTAGAAGGAGGGAGAAATTCTTTTCATATTATAATAAGATAAATACACACAGCTCGAGTTCTAAACAGGCAACAAAAAGGAATTTTATTTACTCGACTTATGAGCGAAGAAGTTTATTGAAGAAATTTCAATTTTTCTTCTCTTTTCTTTCTTAATGTGCTTCCATGTTTATTAGCTTGGCCTTAACAAAAAACGAAAATGATAGCGATTATTACCTTTCCATTCTTTTCTTAAATAATTTCATTAGAAGGCACGGTTTTCTATCATTTTGTTTTCATTTTCTATTTACACTTGTACGACTGAAATTTCTGTTGATAATTGTGTCAGATACTTTCAGGAGTTTCTCAAATTTCCAAGAAACTCTCTTCAAACTTACTATAAAAGAAAATATTCTTGAAGATTCCCACCAAAAGATTATATTGAGGAAATGGATGCTGATGGGACGTTTAATTCCTTTTTTTGTTTTTGCTGTTTACCTAGGTCTCGTGTTTATACAACTTTTATTTTTAAGGAAATGATTTTCTTATTCTTTTATTGCTTAAAACAATTTTTTATTTTGGCAAACAAGGAAAGATTTTAAGAAGGAAATAAGAAGAATGAAAGGTGCCAAAAATTACGTGTGTTCGAAAAGATCTCTCGGACATATTATAGATGGATTGAAAGCAGTGTCTTCAACTGTCTAAATATAAATTTTAATAATTTGACACTTGATCAAATATGATGAATAAGAAACAAATTAACAAGATAAAATATTAATTTCACATTCAATTATGAGTTGGCACAAAAAAGTGTTTATTTTTGTTGTCATCATTAATTGATGGAAATGTACTTAGATACATTTTGTTTATATAATGATTTCATTCGTGGATATTTTTGAAACGTAATTGATTGAAGATAAACAATGTTGAATTTATGAACACCGTTAAGATGAAGTTACAAGCTATAAACTTGGAATGATTATTGATTTTTATAAAGTGATCTCCTTGAAGAATTGCGATGATCTTGATCGTCTAAGAAATGAATAAATATTTCTTTTGTATTTGTCTGAATTCATTTGATATCTCTGTGAACTTTCATATTGTTTATCTTTAATTCCAGATGTTTATTTGTACTATCTAAGTTCGTCTCATACACTTTGTAGTTGCAGAGAATTGTTTATATCCATCATATGAAATTCTTGCAATTTTTAATTAAACATTTTATTGTATAATACGACATGTTTGTACTTGTCACAATATTAGAAATGTTGACGTTTGTTTGATGACTCAACCAACGCGTATTTTATTTCAATGTTCTCGAATTTCATAGAATTCACGAAATTTTCCTTGTTAAAAGCATTCCACGCTTAAACTGACCCTTTTGCAATCATTAACTATCATGAGAATTTATTACAGAACATTCAAATTTTGAACGCTGAACTTTTGCGATTTTTGCAGCTTCAAGCGGTTTTTACGATCTCGTTGAAAATTCGTCGAAATTATTAGCAAGGTTCATTAACCCTTTTCTTAAAGACAGCAAAGACAGCATGCGTTTAAGTGAAACAGACAACAACACGAAACAAGAGCCTTTGGAAAAATCGATTTCGATTTCAATCAATCAAACTTTATAATGGAATTTTTTGATAACTTTTTTTTATTCCTTTCCTTCATTGCTCGATTTTAATATATCACATTTCAAAATAATTTTTTTCTTCGTCTTCTGCCTTCATAAAATTACTTAGAATTTGTTAGAATTTAGGCATCACGAAAGTATTTTTGGTTTGGCAGTGATGTCAATAATAATTTTTTCTGTTTTATTGATTATGATCAGGTGAAGTTTGAAAACCGTGAAAACATTTATGAATTTGTTAAAGTAAAAACCAAGTAGACGAGGTCAGATTACAAACTTATTTATCCCTATAAAGCTACATAACCTACATCACTGAATATCTTATGAAACCGTGTTGAATGTTATTGGAGTCAGTTTCTTTAATAATTTTGATCATCGATGTCATTTAAGCACAGTGACAGTGAACTGAGACAAAAACACTCTGAATAATGGTCAATGGATAGAAAATGAAAACAAACGACAAAAAAAAGTATCAAATTCATTTGAAAACAATATTTTATAAAAACGCAACAATCCATAAACTTATCGAAACTGACTTATTCACTGGCTGATGATTAATATATCTCGTCAACTTCTCGTTAACTCTCTCAGCTTTGAACAAACTGTTTTCGTTGGATTACACTCTCAACTCACGAGGAATAATAAAAGAATTTAATTCTCGAACTCGATGTCGATGTGCGATGATGTCAAATTGATTCCAATATTTATTATAGGTACCATCATTTTGTCTTACATTCATAATCTAAAGATTTGGATGGATGGATAGACGAGAGCAACACGTTCATGAGACTTTAATGGAATGTCATGAATGATGATTTCAATCCATGAAGTTAACGTATCAATTTTTCAACAGATCTTTCATTTATGTCTCATATCATCATTAATTATTAGCCTGAGAAATTTATTTCTTAAGGTAAACAGGAAAGAATTCAACTTGAAAATGAAATTCCGCGACGACGATAACTCACCCATGACAATCTGCTCTTATTTAACAAATTAATTTATAATTAAATATGACATTAAGTGACGCTGAGATGTCACATCGTTTATTGTTACAAACCTATACAGTGTGTAATTAATTTAGATTGTAATCGTTTTGTTAATGAAACGTGTTATGCACGTTGGGAAAACTTCAAGTTGCAGTTTCACTCACTTAACATTGATTAATCTTCAAGTGCGAAAGATTAATGTTGTCGACAACATAACGGGATTATTAATCGTCATTCAAAAGATCCAAACGATGAAGCTAGTCAATCCCAAAAAGCTGATATATTTCATTATAAAAAGACATGAAAATGTTGAAGCCTTTTAAAGTTCCATTCATTACATATTTCTGGGTTCTTTTGTTGGTTTGGCTGCTCCGCTTTTGACAAAGCATCAAGATACATGTCATATTAAATTACCATCGGAGACACACATGGATGGTGGAAGTTGTAACACAAGCCGTTGAAGGGACCTCGAGACACGAAACGAACACATCGAAACATCGAACAAAAATATTTTACAACAAAAAAAGATCGTAAATCGGAGATATGAACTTGATAATTTCTCTCAAGTTAATAAGCTTTTATTTTCTTCCTTCCCAACACAACACAAGTGAACATCATTCAATGCTACATAACGAAGAGTTCGCAAGAGAATGGAAGCAAATTTTATTACATTTGAAATCGACTTTTTATATTTTTTACTACATTTCGATGCTCTTCGAGTTGCAACCACAACATGTTGCAATTACTTTCAGATGAATCATAAAACTTCATTTTATGATCAAGGAACGAGAGGCTTTCTTGAAATGATTTTTCATTTCAGTCGAACAAAAAGCCACAGAAATGAATAAAAATCATAAAGAATTTTGAGTGAGCCTCAAACGACATGATCGGTGACTTCAAAAAACCACAACAAATTGTCACAGAAACTCGCATAAATTTAACGATTAAGCGGAGTGTTAGATTTATGTGCAGCATTTGGAAGTTTGAGGATTTTATCGAACGAGTTTGTACGAAAACTCGATTTTCACACAGTTTTGTCTTATCTTTATGAGACTCAAGCTCAGGCTCACAAATAAACAAGAAATAATTCCGACAGGGTCTTAAGATAACGTTGCTTTAAGTTCTTTGCCGAAAGAATTGAGGTAAACATGTGAAAACATTTGAAAATCCTTTTCTCTTGTGCATAATTTAAAATCTGACCCGACAAGATATTAAATACTTAAATGTGTCAAGTGGTAAACTCAAGAAAGAACAAAAAAAATCAGGAAATTTGATGTTGATTGAGATAAGTAATTGATTGTGTCGTTGAAAACAGCGTGAACTGCACGTGTTTAAAGGATTTCAAGTAGATATAAAATTGCTCGCTTCACTGTCGATTGCAATCTGATATTCGAGATAAACAAAGTAAGAATATCACGCTAAGCTGCCATCTTCAATGACTTCCAACTCGATTTCAGGAAATTGTAAATTAACAAAAAAAATAAGAAGAGATACAAGCAACAAATCAAGGGTCACGTTAACTTCTGATTTTTTTTTCTCTTTTGCCTCCCGGTAAATCCATTAAAAAGACATTTGGAAGCTGATTTATTTAACAGATTTGTAGATTTATTCAATCGACGAATGTAACAAATCTGAAGAATGAGAATGAATTGCATTTGAATTGAAGACATCACAAAAAAAAGAATCGAAAGGAGATTACAATCTTGAATGATCGCCGGTCTTGACTTTAAAAGCTTCTGTATGATTTGTTAGCTTGATTCTGGAATTTCATTTACGTCTTGCATTGAAAGGGAATTCAAATAACAATCACAACAACAACAGAATGAACTTATGTTTGATTTAGTTAAACAACATTTTCCGTTCTTGATTCACTTGAATCACTTCACCAACTGGAAGCTTGATCCAATTTATTTTATTTCGTTACAAATTTGAACAACAAATCCGAATGACAACCTACATGAGTTTTCCATACAACAAATCTTGGCTAAAGTTTAAAGTGAGGGAAAGAGAGAAGAGAAAGGCAGCAAAGCAACATCCCGAAAGCAAATCCGAAGAATTAATATCGTCAGATAAAGGCAAACAATAAGAAGACCAGTTTTAAGCTGGAATGGACGCGGTTGCTTGTCTTTATCTTATTTATTAAAAGCCTCTGGAAATGTTTCATATTTTCAATTAATTCATCCATAAAGTGTTACTCAAATCGTGTTTAAGATTTCCAAAGCGATGCTGACTTAACTTTGCTTTAATGTTTAATAATTAAATATGCGCCAATCCCATAAAGATGAAAGAATTCTTGTTTCTCTCTTTTTTCGGCATAGCGATCAATAACAATGAAGAAGTGAATATTAATGGACAAGAATCCGTGTACCTTCCTACCTAGTTTCTCATGTGTAATTTGTATCTCTTGAAAGAGAAGAAAAAAAATTTACCACGATCGAAAAAGATCCTCTAACTGAGCGAAATATTTATTTTTTGACATGTTTTCGGTATGGGACATTCGAGTCGATCGTGACACATAAAAAATGGTTATCTCATGTCCAACTGTCAGTTGATAAATGGCTTCATGTGAGAGATATTTGAGCAGCTTCAACGCTTTGAAGATCGAAATTTATTTTGATCGTTCACCGTCATCACAATTATCACGTTATAAGTTTTAATGGAAATCCGTGTTATCTTTAAGTATTTGGAATCTTAAGTTTCCTGTTTCAGTCATGATATGCCATCGAGAGATGATAATTTGTTTCAGATCATTTAACCATGGTCATAACATTAATTAATTATCTTCTTAACTCGACTGCTTATTTACTCATTCATTCGCTTCTGAGAAATTAACATTCAAAGATGTTTCACTCCTTTTATTGCCAAGAAGATGAATCGAGAACTCGACTTTTGAATGAACGACAAGATGCTTTCATGAATTATGAGTGACGGGAAGATCATCATGGGAATTAAAGATCATTCAATTGATGCTACTGAGAGTGCCAAATAAAGGCACCTGGTCTTTACTTATTTATGCCAAAATATTTCATAAATCTATTTATGATTTGCTTAACATTTATTCAAGATTTATTGCAGAAAAAATTCTTTTTTATTTTCTTCATTCTTCTTCATCATTGATGTTGTAAAAGAAATTCTTTTCAGTCACTAAAGGAAGGCTTTCCTTCTCTTCTCCTTTGCCCAATTGTGCCACACATAATTGCCATTGTTAACGAAAGTCAAAATATCATTTTTCAAACAAGATACGAAAAAAATGAAATTAAATAGAGAAGAAAAAACCCAAAATATTTAGACGCATTCGAGAAGAGCAGTTGTGGTTGGCTTTGTGTTGTGCCGAACTGTTCAATTCCTTTTTTTTTAAATGAAAAAAAACTCTTCTGATCAATGTTGAAAAAAAAAGGCATTGTAAAAGAAACGGGAAGAAGATATTTGTTTGGTTTTTATGTTCTTGTTCATGGGCATCATTTGAGATTGGTGTAGGTTTCATGATTTAATGTTGAGGTTTTTTTTTCCATTTTCCCGTGATAGTGTTGCAAAATATTTTAGCAACGATTGAAGGGTTCAAGGTGAAATCAACCATAAATGCAGTCATAAAGCAGAGTATCAATGAAGCTAATTAGAGTTGATGGAAGTTTTCTTAAACAATCAAATATTTACTGAAAAGTGACACTCGATAAATTATGCTTTCAAATTACTTTCAAATTTGTTCTCTTCCCTTTAGATTTGCTCTTCACGCTTCATCTCACACACACTAAGCTCATTACAATTTTATGAGATGTTTTCACCCAAAAAGCTTTTTTTTCTAATTTAATGTAGTCACCCTTGTCGGATTTTGTTCAATGACGATCTCCCGTTGATTCGTTGCTCTCATGTGACATAAACTAATGTCAGTCTAAAAGAACTAAAGTTAAAGAAGAATTGAAAGAGAAAAACTAATAAAAAAAAGTCATGTTTGTTCATGCTCATCTTGACGCGTAACGTTAAGAAATGAAATCAGGTCATAATTTAATTTAATCTTTAGAGGCTTCAATAGTTCACACGGATATAAAAAAGACCTTCAGGAATCCGTCTGCAAATGATTCATGATTAAAAAAGAAGAATTGCGTGTTTGAAAGTGGATTATAACACCACATTCTAAATAACTTGTACATGTATATTAACTTAAGGTATGCAGCTTAAATATGAATCATGATTAAGATAGAAATACTCTGATAAACGATTTATGGAATAAAAATAAAAGCAGACAGTTCGCAAATTTGTTTATGATCTTCACATTAATATTTATGATCAATCAAATGTGATCCATTTTAACCATAAATCTCTTGCATAGACATAATTACATGTTTGTAACTTTACAAACTTTTTCCTTGTTGTAATATTAACTTTGAAGATAGAAAGGAAAAATAACAAAATGAAATGCGCTTCAAGTAAACATTTGAAATTTTTTTATGTTGCTATAAATTTTTAGTCTCGCATATGAGATTCACTGGTCTTCGGAGTCTGATTTACCACGCCTTCAAAGGCTATAAAAATTTTATAAAAGAGAAAAAAAAACCATCGAAAAGACTTAAGTTTAATGATTTTTTTTCTTTTGTAGCCATCTTGTTAACATTGAAGACGTTTAATTATTTAATTTTGTTATGACAATTTAAAAACATTTTAAAGCACCTTTAATGATGAATATTATTTTATTACATTTTGTAGCGCTTGAAAGAGAAGCTCAACATCCTCGCAATTTCAGTGATGAATCAGTGGCCTAGTGTTAAGTTAAGAGTGACTGAAGGTTGGGATGAAGACGATTTTCATTCGATAGATTCGCTTCATTATGAGGGCAGAGCTGTCGATATCACAACATCAGATCGTGATCGTAGTAAATATGGAATGCTTGCAAGACTAGCAGTAGAAGCTGGCTTCGATTGGGTTTATTATGAAAGTAGAGCACACATACATTGCTCTGTCAAGTCAGGTAAGCATCGCATTTCAAACTCATTTATTATAATAAAGAAAATATTTGTAAGACGTTCGAGTTGTTCAACTGATCAGATATTCACTTAAAAATATAATCGAAGATTATTTCACGACAAAGGAAATAAAAACAAAGAAATATTTTCGCTCTAATTAGAAGAGTTAAATAAACTTGATAATTAAAATAATATTTACTGCAATATTAGTTCAAGAATTAAATAAAAAAAGAGGAAAACCAACATTGAGGATCATTTAAGCAAAAATATCATTCGAATGTTTAATCGTTAATCGTTAAATGAACAGAAAGTTTATTTATTGCCGCACTCATCGTTCGATGTTGGTTTTCTTTATGCATTAAATTTAATTCCTATTGCTCGTTTCGCCGCACTTTTACCAGCAAATTAAACTCGTGATGTAAACTTTAATGATCTTCTCATACAAGATTTTCTCATGTTTTCAATGCTGTTTGTTTCTTGATTATATTTTGTTTTCATTTTTCAATTAGAAGCATAATAAGCTCATTTAAAGATGAGTACAAGAAAATTATTTCGAAGCTTTGAAAATTCACATTCAGGTAAACCTTTCGACAATCATTCCATCGACCCTAGCAACATCAGAAAAGAATGAAAGATACCAGCAAGAATGAACAGCAAGAAATTGCTTTTTAGTTTCTTTTCTCGACTTTGGTTTTAAAAAATATTAAAAAATTTATAAAAAGAAGCCATGTTTTAGTACAACAAAAAATAAACCGATATTTATATTTTTATTTCTTTCATCTTACGGCATCTCTCTTGTTCGCTCGTTTGCTCTTTGCGCGTATATGTTTTGATTGTACATAACATAACAACAAAAAAAGCGTTTCTTGATTGTAGAGTTGAATGGGAAGCGAGATGAAATGTGATACATATGTCCAAGTCAGTGTATCCATTAACTCAGATGGGCTTCTATGAAGTTTTCAAACTAGATGAAGCTTCTTTCATTTCAAGATTTAAAAGAAATCGAATTAACTTGGAAATTCCCAAAAGGGAAGGAAGACAATGTTGAGAAATAAAAAGTACCTTTGGGAGTCTTTAAATTTAAAATTATAACGAGAAGACTTTTCGCGCTTGTTACATTTAGAGCAGGAATTTCAACTTTTACATTGTTTTAAACGAAAATTTTACATGCAGACTTTTCATACTCGTTATCGTGTTCTTCCTCAAGTTTAACGTCAGTGCAAATAAGAAGCAACCTTTACAAATTTCATCCGGCAAAATGGGTGTTAAAAACTTTGAATAATTGCTGTAATTTGTATGCCCACAGTTAGTTGAACAACATGATGAGAAGACGATGGAAAGTAAGGGACGAGTGAATAAATTTCCATACTTAATAGATTTGCATATTTTGTATTGCATTCGACATTAAAGCTTGATGATTGAAGGAATTTATATCGTCATCGATACAAATTTACCTTCTTTGAATCTTCGATCATTGATTAATTTTAGAATCATGTTTCGTCATATTCTTGGATTAAAAAAAGAATTTTTATAGCAAACCTATGACATTCAAATAAATGTAAAATCCTACAAAATTTTATAAAAAACATATTGGAATAAAGAAATGCTGATTGAGTCATGGTTGCGAGTTTCAACTTGATAAAATGGCTGAACTGAAAAGGAACTTATCGATAAATAAGAAAAGAAAGATTGGCAAAGGTTCAATCTTTGTACATAATGTATTGAAAGCGCAGATTTATGTTCAATCAAAATCATCCTTCTTCGGGTCATAATGCCAGTGAAGTGAATCGCCGTGTAAAATAAAAAGTGAAACGCAACTAGCAAAAAGAACAAAACTTCTTTTTCAACATTGAGAACACGTTCCCGCAAATCTCTTTTGCGAAACTTTTAAACTCAAGCATGGTTCATTTATTAATTTCCTTTACTGCATTTGCCATTGCTTTCTCATGGTCTCGCTCTTTTTTTTCTGTAAAGATTTACAACAGTTTCTTTTCTTCATTCATTTCATGTTTGCCGATTTGTATTGTTATTTTCGATGCTCCAAACATTCGAAATACATATTCACAGCAAGATATTCTCGAGTTATATTTAAGCGAATGGGAAATATGTAAAAGTTTCCCAAAGCCAGAATACAAACAAAGCTATGATATTATTTATCTCTCCATCTCTCTTCTTCTTTCATACTTTTATGTTGTGAAACATGATGGTTAGAGAAAAACTATTTCTTCAGGGTCATCGAGTACTTTTGTATGTTTTCAATAAAATTACTTTTCTTATGGAATAAAAATTCAATCATTGAAATGATCTGAGAATTTTCTACTTGCTTCAAACATAAGTTTGGTTTATTTATAAATTATAATCAAAGTAAAGCTTCTGATAGCTATACAAATTGCAATGCAAATTCAATCCTGACGTGTGCAAAGACCTTGGAAGTAACGATGTTTCAATTTTCCGCAGAGTTAAATTCAATACCTATGGAACATTTATTTCTGCACCAATTAATCATGAATCGGCAGTTGCTGTTGTGTGATTTGATATGCTGAAATTTTTATGTTATTTAAAAGCATTTATTACCATTCAAAATTTGATATGTGACATGCTAATTTAAGACAAGAAATTGAGAAACTTCTACATGAATTCTTCAACCAAGAGTTGCAGCAAATTGGACGAAATTTGAGCATAAATCAGCACGTAAAATTATGCAAATTTCATTGCATCGTGGAGAATCGTAATCGAGCAGTTTCTTGTCGTACGGCAAACGGCAGTTTCTCTCTTTAAATCGATTTCTGGTGGCTACATTGTTGAAACCTTTCTTGTTTAAAAGACATTTCATTTCACAAGACAAGGATTGTAAATAAGACTGCTAAAGATCCATGACGAATTTATGATTATCTTGGAAATGTCAGAACTTTTCGTCGTGGTCATTTAGACGCAAATCATTTCAAAGTCGAGAAAAGAATCAATGAAAAGCAAAGAAAGTAATAAGCCAAAATATTATTATTGCTGCTTTAGTCGTTTGCACAAAGAATCTTCAACATGCATGTCCATGTTAGAGAATCCACTTACTCTACCTGACAGAAATCACTGATTTCTCAGATGCTAAAATATTTAAGTCGAAGAAAAGGATTACCAAAGGTCATGTTCTTGTGTTGTGTTGTTTAATCTTAGGATAATCTAATGAATTTTTAATTAAACAAAATTAGATTTTAAGAGAAGAAAAACATAAAAATCTCGGCAATCTTCTTACAAATATTTTTCTTTCAGGATTAATTTTTTAAAGAATTCTCGTAACAAAAAGCGGATGGACTTTTAATTTTCGATCTTTCTTTATCTCTTTCTTGTTTTAGATTCTTCACAAGCTTCACACTCGAGTGGATGCTTCGCATCGGACAGTACAGTTCAGACTGAAAGTGGAGAGATAAGACGACTAAGTCAATTGAAAGTCGGCGAAAAGATTTTAAGTGTCAACAGTAACGGTGAGACAGTGTTCAGTGAAGTCATAATGTTCTTAGATCGCGACATTAATCAGACAAGAGAATTTGTACAAATCAAAACAAGAAGTGGAGCTACAATACGCACTACACCTGCACATTTATTGCCGGTTTGGAAACCGCATAAGCATGAAACCAAATATCTTTACGCTGATGAAGTGGAAGAGAATGATTTCCTTTTAGTCAATGTTAACAATAATCTGGAACCGCAACGTGTGACGGAAGTGAGTGCTGTTCTATCGCGGGGCTTCATTGCACCACTAACGAGAGAAGGCACTGTTGTCGTTGATTCCGTAGCAGCGTCATGTTATGCTTTAGTTAATAGTCAATCATTAGCACATATTAGTTTTATGCCATATAGAACAATGAAAACGATAGAGAGTTGGTTGAGTCGAACTGATAACAAACCGATTCCTTGTAAACAAAACGGCATTAATTGGTATGCAAAAGCACTTTATAATATTAAAGATTATTTACTACCTAAGGACGCTGTATATTCGAGAAAATAATCTTATTAATATTTCCTAACATTATTAAAGTTTTCTTGTAGCTTTTGGAAATCAAAAGTTACATGAAGAAGTTAAACTGTGCAAAAACCAACTGATGTAAATAAATATTTTAAGTTAGAATATTAAATTAATCTACTTCCAGTTAATTCAATCAAATGTCAAATAATTTTCCTCAAAACTTTACTTATGACATTTTTCAGTTTCTTCTTTTTCATCTAGTTTGTGAATATTTGAATATCAATTGTGCCATCATCAATCATTTGTCAACTTTTTTAATGAGAATCTTTTTGTTAAAGTTTAAACAGTTTTTTTAAAAATTTAGAATTTCAAGAACTTTTCATTGGCCAGTGAACAATTCTCTTTTAGGATTACAATGACAGTGATATGTAAATTTAGTGTTAGTCTAATAGAATAAATAGAAATATATAAATAAATGAATTTAATATTTAACGCGACAAACTCTGAAAACCTAGCGATCAGTTCAATAAAATCTTGATAAGTGACATTAACTATCTATCGTTTGTAAATTTTAGTTATTAATTTATTGTCTTGCATATTGAGGAAATTAATTTATTAATTAAAGAAATAAAAAAGAAACTTCTCACAAATAAATACTTTTAATGCTCCAAATTCAAAAGCACACATGAATATTTGTAATAAATTAGTTAAGATATATTTTCAAGCTGTTGTTCAACTTATCAAAAAATTATCCAAAACATTCCATGTTCAGAAATTTTGTACATAAAAATTAAAGCAGAAACTATGAGAAGTGAAAAAGGTAAAGAACGATGTAAAAACAACCGTCATATTAAAGAAATAAAAAAAAAGAGTTGGTGAAATTATTTGAAGGACTAAATCACATTTTATTTATTTTGTTTTCAGAATGAAGGGGAGCTGCATATTTACTTAGGTCAGATTTGTTTCTAAAAATAACATTTCCTTAAATTTTATAATGAAATTTTGAAACTCAAATAACGTTTAATAAAAGTTTCCAATTTTAACGTTCAAATGAAATTTAAATTTTGCCATGTTGCTCTAACGTTGCATGCTACAAAACAACATACAAAGCAACAAGTGGATTTCGTTATTTCTGCTCGATTACAAAAATTCACATTCAGTTTGCTTTCGAATTTTCAGCACCATCAACACGATTTGCGGAATTTCAAAAATATATTGAATAACTTCTCACATATCGAAATTTACTGGGAATAGAAATACATCGATAACATAAGTTCCAATAAATTGAGAGTTTAGAAAATTATTAAATGAAAAACGAAATTAGAATTAAAGGAAAAAATGTGATGAATTAAAAAGTTAAATGAAGTTTATAAAAATTTCCAAGGCACCAAATATCAAGCAGCCTGAGTGATTTTTCCACATCATTGTATTAGCGCAGTTCTTTCAAGCATATTCAAACAACACATGGTATGGAGTATAAAATTTGTAATTCGAGAATTCTGTTTACACTCTCTGTCTCCATCATAATCAATCAATTTCCTTTCCGAGTTTTTTGATTTTTCTTTTCACTCATTGAGATTAATATTAAAAAGCTTGAAGGTATTCAGATAAGTGAGTTAATGTTCACGAGAGAAATTTGCATCACACTTTACGACAGCGAACGGATTTAAAGATTCAAATCGTCGTTTGTGATGTAAATTAAGGCATGAAAAAAATAAGAAGTTAATGTCTGGTATTGAGTTTATAAGCTTTTGATGAGGCATCAAAATAAATATGTCGTGGAAGTTAATAAAGTTGTTAAACTCATTAAAGAATTTCTGCTTCCAAAATTGTTCACGTTTTAAGTGTCAAAGTTTTCGTTAAATTTTGGAAAATTGGAATTGTGTTCGACGTCAGAAGAAAGATATTTAGCTATATTTATAATTGCGCAAACTTAGAGGTTTTTAATCAGCTTAAATTCCAATTCTTGAAATCGCTAATGTTTACATAGAAAATCTTAAAAGAAAACGAGAAATTTATTGTAAGAAAAAATGAAGTGATGACACGTAATTAAGTTCAATCTTGTGAAAAAATTGCAAATTAAGTTTTCATGTGTCCGCTCATATGGTAAATATTTGAGTTCAAGGTTGCAATTGCTTATTCTTCGATCTTAAAGATTTATATTCACACTTTTCTCAATCATTTTGTTTACATTAGTTTTACAAGTGGAAAAATATTCGCTTTCAGCTTCATTTGCTTTGTTCGTATTGAAAATATGAGAATGAGAAATGAGTGAAAATATCGATGAAAGCTTATTAATATTTTTCATGTCAAGTTACTGATAAGAGATTGTAAATAATTGAACAAAAAAATGAAAGGTTGAAATATTTTAGGCTTTGAAAAGCTTTTCACCCTTTCGATTAATATTTTTATATCAACCTTACCATAACATTAATTTAAATCCGCCTTTCATCATTTATTTATGTACCATCATGAGACTTTTGAAATGTTGAGGAAAATTAGAAGGAAACGTTATGCCTTATTACGTTCTCTCGAATATATGTTTTATGTAAATTATAAAGCGAAGCATATTTGAATTTCCATATGTAAAGTTTTCTCATTGACATTTTTCTCGGATTTTTCATCAATTGCAATTCAATTTATTCGTTGTCAATGTTGATATAATATTTTATTGAAGTCTTCTATTTTCATACGCTACGACGAATTGAATTCATCGTTTAATGTTTCTCATTTGTATACATTGGCAGATTCAATTAAACTCAATTTTTAATTGCATGATTTGCGCAGAAAATGAAAAAAGTTCAATTCAGCTCACAGCAGATTAATAAAAAAAAGTTTAAAGTTTGTTTTATATCATGATTATGAGGCACTTGAGAAATAATGTCAGAATTTTTAATTATGAAATGTATGAAACGTTGGAAAAACAAACTTTTCTGACACCATTCGTTAAGTAACTCATAAGCTATCGATTTATTAATGTAACTCAATTAAACCCGATTTACGACTTCAAATCTTCGTGGAAATCGTTCGCTGTTAAACATTTAAACGATCACGAAATGAAAATCTTGATAGAAACTCAAAGTATGCTTGTTGAATACATTTGTAATCTATGAAAATTCCCATAGGCTGATTTTTTATGTATTCATTTATTCACTGAAGCATCCTCAAGATTCTCTTAGGGTGTTTTAAAACTGACAATACTCAGATTTGTTCTTAAAGCTAAACAAACATTTAAAATTCTTTAAAGAATTTAAGCAAATTGTGAACTAAAAGCAAAAATATGTTGAAGAGAAGTTTAAATATTTTCTCTAAATCGATAATGCGTATTTGTTTAGAGGGAGGTTTTAATAAGTATTCTTGAATTCGACTAAATCTATGCAAAACAAATCCCGTCACGTCTTATGTTATCAAACAATAGAAATGGTAATGAAAACACACTTTGACCTTAAAGTAAACATCAAATCCATTATTCAAATATTCTTTTGTGTATGTACTTACTTCAACATAACATTCATTCAATAATGTACAAGAAAGCTAAAAATAGTTTAAACTAAATGTTTATTCATTTTCATGTTTTTAGGTGCCACATTTACTGTCGCATCTTCACAGCTTTAATTTTAAAATCAATTATTATTGAATAAACTACATGATGAAAGAAGAAGAGGAAATTGAAGGCGGCATAAATATTCTTTTGATTATAACGGTGGTGATAGGAACAACATTGATGACTTCGCTGATTGTTTGCTATATTTGCGTATTTCGTTCGCTGTGCTGTCCGTCAGATGAAGAGATTGAACGCGCTCACAGTATGATGAGACGAGGCAGTAGTCGAAGGCGATTCAACCGACCATCAATGCTTGAAACGAACGTTTCAAGTCAACCAACAGAAGTTGAACGAATGTAGCAAATACAATTAAAGCATTTTAAACAACTGATGTAAATCTCACGCAATCAGAGTATTAATTTGTTAATTTATCTGATGGATTTCTAACAAGAAAATTATCCTTGGAAAATTTCATTTTAAATATTTTACGCATTTTATTCTAGATTTACATAAAATTTTCATGTTGTTTTCAATCTCTTTGCTCTTTTAATTGGTTTGTAAAAAAGAATTTTGAAAAGAATGAAGCATAAATGTTCAATAACTGTTATGCTGGAAAGTTTTTATGTTACATGTTTTTAATATAAAAAATATATGTGCAGTTCATAAAATTATTCTGAGTGGTTTTGATTGCATTTAAATGAAGTCTGAATATTTATTTATTCAACACATGACACGAACCTTTTGTTTATCCTGGAAAAAGGTCCATGGCAAGGCTTAATCATTAATAAATAAGCTCGATTGACTTTTGATTCCTTTTGATTTTAAATTATTTTGATACTTTTCAAGTTTAAACAAGTTTTTGATTGTCAAAGTGGGTTGGAAAAGTGTTCCGATGTTGTAGATATGTTAGTGAACGATATAAGTAGAAGTATAGCGAAGTATAGGAATAAGTCATTCAGTGCTTTGGTAGCCTGATTGACACCGACTAGTCTTTTGTAGTGGAATTTGCTGTTGAAGGGTTTCTAAGCAAATCTATACTTCGCATACGACTTGAGCAATGCTTCACCCTACCGACGTGCTTCTGTGAACTCACAACATCCGAACAAAAGAAAAACATTTTACATTTAACATTAAGTATCATGGAGAACTTTCAACTCATCAATTTCCAATAGCAACTTGTTAAATAAAATTGAATTCATTTGATCAAAGAAATCAATTCCACTTGAAAACAAAAGGTACTTTCATAACTTTCTTCTTGAATATATAATATCCTAGATACGAATAGGTATATTATTATTTCACTAAACTATCTAATTAAGATTATTCTCTATAAAAGGAGAATAATATCTTTACAATAATCAATTAATTATCAAAGTGGGTTGTCACCCGAGCGGCACAAGCTTTCCGCTTGAATGCCTATAGCTTGCCTTCAGCAGATTCCGTGAAATTTTTACATGCGGTGACGAAAAACCGTCCTACCCGCATCCTTGAAGGAAAATTAAGCGATTTTAAAGGCAATTTTGGCAGAATCTCCGCTTGTGCCGCTCGGGCTTTGTGGCCACCAATTTACAGCAGAAGCAAATG